TCTGCATGACCTCCTCCCGAGCTCATCCGTTTTGCACTTTCGTGTCGAGACCCAGTGGACTGAAAGATTGTGTGCTCATGACACTGATTTCGTCACAGTTTGACTCATTCTCACACGTTTCATTGCCCTTTTCTACTATCAAATTAATAATCTTGGCTCCGGTTCGCCGCCGCCGCAACGCGACCGCTTCGCAGCTGAAAAGACCACGCCCCTTTCTGCAAGTGCCGCACATGCCGCATCAATTAATTATTTTTCTTGGAAAATACACAAATTAAAGTTCAGAATCTCGTTTAAATCGATCTGTTTGCAAAGATAATTCTCTAAAAAGCACTCAAAATCAATTGATTTTTGTCGGGATTAACTTTATGTCGCGTCCAAAGTCTCGGAAAACCCGCAAATCTCGCGGATTTTGCAGTCCAAAGTCGACAGAAATTTGCGGGAAATCCGGGCAGCGCACAGCTGAACGAGTGTTACCGTACACCATAAAACTACGGTATTTTTTGAAAATTTACCCAAGAAATTTGAAAATTTTCAAATATTCTCGAGAAATTTAAATTTATTCAAAATATACCGTAGCTTTATGATGTACGGTAACACTCGTTCAGCTGTGCGCACGCCGGAATTCCCGCAAATTTCTGCCGACCTGGGACTGCAAAGTCCGCGAGATTTGCGGGGTTTCCGAGACTTTGGACGCGCCATTAATTGTGCATGTTCCAAGAAAAGCAATTAATTGACATTGCATGTGCGGCACTTGCAGAAAGGGGCGTGGTCTTTTCGGCTGCGAAGCGGTCGCGTTGCGGCGGCGGCGAACCGGACGCAAGATTATTAATTTGATAGTAGATTGACCCTAAAATCATGTCCTCGTTGGGAGGAAAGTGTTTTAGAAATTCAGGCCCAAACATCGCCATCTTCTCCCCGATTTTTGCTGCTCATTTCGTCTCGAAATGAGGCCCAGTCAGGGGTAGGACTCGCAAATCACGTAATTCCGCGGCACGTGATCCCGTTTGCAGCTGTGAAAATGGGAAAATGCGAGTTTTCAGGAGCGGATTAGCTCACGCCCACGCACGTTTCCGAGCTAATCTCGCCCGCCGCCGCCGCCGGCTTCTCTTTTTAGTCTTTTGGCTAGAGAGAGAGAGAGAAGAGCCCGAATTTTCTAGAATCCATGCTACAATAGATACCATTTCTGCTCATTTGGCCCCCCGTTTCTATTTTCCTCCCACCACTCCTTTAATGACGTCGTTTTCATCCATTATTCACACAAAAATCCGCGCATTTTTGAGCAGAAAACGCGCGAAAAAGTTGGCGCATTTACTATTCTTTCACTGCTTTTATCGGCTTCCTGCCGAGCCGAGCCGGCCGCCTTTCGCCTGGATTAGAAAGAGTAAGAAAAGCGGATTAGTGTCGGCATCACATTTTACGACATTTTGCACAGCGCTTCGGAAAATGAATTCGCCGAAAAGAAAGTGCAAATGACCTTCGTCACACTGATGAACTTTTCGAAAATGCTGACAATGATGAGCTCACGGATTCATTAAAAAGTCCTCAACCCCCCGTGGGACCAGAGGTAACCGGATTCGCGGATGAGTAACTTTTCGAATCGGATGATATCAACAAGTGCACTTTTGGAGTCACTCGCTCTTTTTCTAGAATATTTCCTTCACATTCCGTCAGAATGCGAATAAAACGAGGCTCCGAAAGAGAGAAAACAACCATTTGCCCATCGGTGAAATGCTGGAAGACGTTTTGCAACTGAGTCACTTTGCAACCATTGCCAGCCAAGATTTTAGCGTTATCCCTCAATGGTTGGTCGTTTTTTGTTTCAAAGTTGCAAAGCTCGGTTGCAAAACGTCCAGAATTTGAAAATTAGCATTCAGGACACTTTGCAACTGAATTTCCCGAATTTCTACCAGCTTTTCTGGCCTCAATAGTTGGCTGGTTCATCGTTCGTCTCTTTCTCTCTAAAAAAGTCCATGCCCCTCCCCCTTCCTTGCTAATAATGTTTGATTTGCTGATCCCCTCCTCCTCCTTCTTCTTCTTCTTCTCTTACTCTCGTCAGAGCCGGCAGCGGCTTTTCCTTTTCCTCAAAAACCTTGCTCAAGCTCAACACACACACACACACACACACACACACACGAGAAAAGAGAGAGCATGTTGCTCTCTCTTTTCTTCTCCCTCTCCCACTTCTTCTTCTTCTTCTTCTTCTTCTTCTTCTCCATGTCTCATGCTCCATGAGAAATAGTGGGCGTGTCCTCTCTCTCTCTCTCATTCTCGTTTTCCAGCCTGTTTTTCCAGCTTTTTGTTATTTCGGAGGGCTCTCCCAATTGTCCAAGAATTGACGTCATCGGCACCGAACACGATAATAATTATTAGCCCCTCGACTCGCCGAATTCTCCTATTTTTATCCCTCAAACACACCGGATTTAGACTCTTTTTCCCCTCTTTCTTTCCTTCTTCTTCTCTCTCTCTCTCTTTCTCTTTCTCTTTCTCCCTTTGGTCACTTCTTTTTTTGACGTCAAAACTTGGAGGGTCAGTGCAAAAGTACTGAGTACTACCGTAATCCATTTCTCACCTGTTTCTTTTGCATTTTCAGCCGCCTTTTACTTTTCCGCAAATAATCTTTCGCGGTGACGTGGCAAAGAAGCCTTATGTACACTTTTATCCGGAAAAAAGTGTATTTTGGTCCCACTGATCCTGAATTCGCATAGATGACGTGGCAGAGAATTGCCACGTCATCATAGAAACTAATCGGATTTGCGGTCTATTTCCGTATTTATCCCTTATTTTTATCAGCGGTCACCGTTTTGGGGCAGCTGAAAATGGGCGAAAAGTTTGAGCGTTTCCGGACTCTCTTTCTTCTGTTTGACGGCCAAAAAAATGAAAGAGAGAGAGAGAAATCGGAGAGGATTTCCCTTTGAAATCCGATCTCTCTCTCTCTCTCTGTGATATTATTGATCGGCGCGAAAATACGAAAATGATAAGGGTCGAAACAAATTTTTTCGATTCTTCTTCTCAAGTACTTTCTCTCTCTCTCTCTCTCTTTTCGATATTATCAAGTTCTGAGGGCACGCCCACTTTTTTGTTTTGCCATAATATCATCCTATCGCACACGCACACACATTCCTTTCTTTTTAGGGGTCAAAAACAGTTTTATTCGAATATCATAACGTTCTTTTTTATCTGAAAATCTACAATGGCGGTTCAAAACACACGGGAACTTTTGAAAATCCATTTTGGCCAATAAAATGTTTCGATACGGAAATAAAATGAACGTTTATGACGCCCCTGGCCACCTCCCGACCGAGGCTTTTTTCAGATCAGTTTCAGTTTTGAAATCGGCTACAGTAGCTGCCACGTCATTTCGGTGAAACAAGTGTGAACTTCCCCTCTCTCTCTCTTCTTCTTCTCCCCCTTTTTTTTTTGAAAAGAAAAGTGATTTTGAGCGAGTAAATGTCACTTTTTCGAGTGGGAAAAGTTTGCGAAAAATCCCTAAAAATTCGAGGCAACTTTCAGAGGCCACATGACATTTTCGATGCCATAAAGTGATAAAACGCGTGCCAAATCCCTCATTTTCTATTATAAATCCTCGAGAATGTAGACACAAATCCGCTCGTTTTTATCACTAATCTCCCTGGAATACGATTGCCGTTTTCGGTGGATCACATGATTTCCACGAAATGAAAAATTATTGTTCACCTCAAAATCAGATAAAAGCAAATGAAAATTGGGTGAAATTATCTTCAATTTTCATCTTTTTTCCGCCACTTTCTCTCTTTTTTTGTCGAATGAAAAATGAGCGGATTGTTTTGGGAGAAATACAGAAAAAAAAGCGGAGGAACAACATCATCGACTGACTCATCGCCTTTCGTTTTTCGCTGACAAGCAGAGCTGGGCATTTGTCGGCAGCGTCCAGTTGACCGATTGGACCCAAAAACACAGGCCGCTATTTTTTTTTGACCGATAAATGCTCACAGCTCTGGAATTGTTTTATATAAACGTTCGCAGTGATGCAAATGAATTTTGAAAGTTTTGAAAAAGCAATTTCGCAAAATCAAGTGCAAATTTTGGAGAGAACTTGACTTTTTACTTCAAAAAACGCACCGCCAATTTTTTCGGCCATTTTGTCGGTTGGATCGCGTCCGTAGCAGCCGCTCGCCGACGCAAACTCTCTACCAAGTTCTAACTTGACAAAAACTGGCCTGAAACTAAGAAAAACATCGAGAAACAGCAAATATCTGCGGCAAAATCAAGAGAGAGTAATAATAAAAGCTTTGCGCGTAAGGTTTGGGGTACAGTGCGCAGAGCCACACCGCACGCGAAAATGCATACCGAAGTCGTGTGCCGTGTATATTTCCTGAAAATTCCTTTATAAAATTCGAATTCCCGCCGGTGCTCGTCTCAATTCCTCTCTTATCACCACTTTTTGTTCTTTTTCCTCTCTCCGTCTCTCTTTCAAGCTCCGCCCCTTTTCCGGAGTGGGCGGAACTTCGCGCCTCTCTTTTTTCGCATTTTTCGTCGTTTCCTTTTCAAGAAGAGAGGATACTTTCCGATAGATATCAATAAGAGAGAGAGAGAGAGAGAGAATCTCTCTCATTTTTGTTTATTGTGTCTTGATTCTCGCGAAAAAGAGAGCGAGAAGAAGAAGAAGGATGATCATCAGTGGTCACGGGCAAAAATTGAAAAAGTTGTGTGTCCGTCTGCGTCTCTCTCTCTCTTTCTCTCTCTCTCACTTTCGCTCTCATCATAACATCATTTCTACTCGCTCTTCCTCTCTTTCTCTTTTTTTCCCCACGCTCCCGCATTTTTCCCGCATTTTTTGTCGATTTCTACTGAAAAAATGCGATTTTCCCCGTTTTTATTGGGAAAATGTCACTTTTTCTACATTTTGACCTTCTGAACGCTTGTGAACCCCTCCGGCAACCCTCGGAAATCCGTATTATTTGCAGGTTTTCTCCCCGCTTGCAAAAATTCAAGGTTCGAGCAATCGTTACGTGAAGACGGCGATGGGTCGCAAGAAAATTCAGATCACTCGGATACAGGATGAGAGAAATCGACAGGTACGCGCCATTTCACATTTTCCATCGGAATTCGAAGGAAAATAGCGAGAAAACTATGAATTTTTGGCTGAAAAACAGACCTTTTTCGAAGAAAAACGAAGCAATTCGAATCGATATTGCTGTTCTTGTCTCTTTGGTCCGTTTGCATGAAAATGATGCACTCGCGAAAAGCATAAAGTTATGTGAGAATGAATCTATGCATCGTTTTCTGACCACACGCCATTTGTGTGTGTGTGTGTGTGTGTGGGAACTTTCCGAAAATAGAAAACAGACTTTCAACGGCCCGGCAGGTTCTAAAATTACTAGAAGTTTCCAAAAAGTTGAAAGTAAGCGAAACGTTTGGCGGAGCGATAGATCACAGAGTTGAGCGGAATTCCGCCTTCCGCCTTCCGCTTTCTCACAAAACCTGTTCCGCTCAACTCGGAACCCGAGAGCCGCAAGTTTTCGCAAGTTTACCGCACGCGTCTTTCCCTTTTTTCGCTCAAAATTGGCAATCTTTTTCAATATCTGCTCCGTCCGTTCGTTCGGCGATCTCTTGAACTCTCGCTCTCTCGTAGGCCGCTCGCTGTGAGACGGTGACGTGGCATTGATGGATTACTGTACTTTCTTGTGATCACCACCATCAATTCGTTACCACGTGAGAATCACGCGAAATGAAGATGGATCGTCGATTTGCCACAATTTGACACCCCCCCTTTTTCGGTGAAATATTTCCCTTTTTTCGGGGCGAAAAACAAAAATACAAATGTAGCATTTATAGGGGGAGCAAGTACAGTAATCCTCGAAAATTTCTGGAAAATGAGTGAAGCGAAGGGAAAAACTTCCCGGTTTTAGTGAGATTTATTGAGGTGCTCATCTTGGATTTATCCGAGAATTCCCATATTTTTGCCACGTAGGCCAGTGCCTATTTCTGATCGGAAACGGCAAAAAGTGCATTGTTGTGCGAGCGAGCCGACAACATCGTCATTTTGTTTTGTTTTCGTCTGGAAACATATCAAAAATCCAATTTCCGTTCGTTTTCGCCCCCGATGGGAAATAGGACGAGTGCGTGGGCGGATTTATGTTTTGGGCTCTGAATGAATTTGAAAAAATAGACACAGGGGGACTGGGAATGTCGCGAAAAGTTCCTATAATTTCCCATTGTTCACTCCATCGTTTTCGTTGACCTTTCGCAACTCAAAAGTACTTCCGAGTCCCGACAAAAAGGGAAAAAAATCTTTTTTTGTGTGTGTGTGTGTCTCCTCGAAAGAAACATTTCCTTTTCCGGCGTTTTGCCTCCTTCTCTGAAAGAAAGTGCTCCGCGAGCACACTGCCCCCGCTTCTTCTTCTTCTTCTTCTTCTTCTACTCTCTCGCTCTCTTCATGATGACGTCTTCTGGGCGCCACGGCTCTTTCTCGCAATGACGACATCAGAGGCGGTTAGAGAAAAGCGAGAAAGTGCGGGAAAATGAGAGAGAGCAGACGTGGCATCCACAACAACTTCTTCTTCTTCTTCTCTCTCTTTTTCTCGCTGATGCTATTCGAGCGAGAAGGGGAAAAACCAAAAAAAGGCGCGGAGTGGGGGGGGGGACTATTTTTAGAATCGATATTGACAAAAATAGAAATGGAACGGGAAACGAAAGAGAAAAAGAATGAAAGTGGCTGGAATCTTAAACGGACATCAAGAAAATATAAAGGAATGGAGGAATGCGTGGGCGGGAATCCCACGAAAACAATCGATGACGTGGCTTGAACGAGTATTGTCTAGCTAGGAAATGTGCTTTGGTCTTGAAAATGTTTATGCGAACTATTCATGTCTAGTGCTTTACTTTTGTAGTTGATAACTTTTTACTCGAGCGCTTAGAAGTTACGGCCCTTGAAAGGCATGAGAACTTCCCACAGCCAAAGTACTATTAGAAGTGGGGGAAACAGTACTAGACGTCAAGATTCCACGCAATCGTTGTCAGGGCCGAAGAACATGTACTGAATGTACAATACTCGTTCAAAATTGATGAAATTCTATAAAGTCTCACTTATAATTTTGCAGGTGACATTCACCAAGCGAAAGTTCGGTCTGATGAAGAAGGCGTACGAACTGTCGGTGCTCTGTGATTGTGAAATTGCGCTCATCGTCTTCAACTCGACGAACAAGCTCTTCCAGTCAGTTCCCAATCACCTCTCGAATATTCTCGCAACTCTTCTTCAGATACGCCTCCACAGACATGGACAAGGTGCTTCTCAAGTACACCGAGTACAACGAACCGCACGAATCGCGCACGAACAACGACATAATGGAGGCGTTGAATCGGAAGGAGGGCAATCACGGCGGCGGCAATTCGGACGACGAGAGTCCCGGACCGTCGACGTCTCCGGCCCTCCAGATGCCGGTCACGACGGCGAACGGCCACGTTCCCTCGAGTTCCTCCGCCAGTTCGGCCGCTGCGGTCGCTGCTGCCGCCGCCGCCGTAGCCGCCTGTGAACAGCAGGCCTCCACGTCGTCTTCTTCCTCTTCCGCGTCTTCGCAGGGCGCCGCCGCCGCCGCAGCCGCCCTCCAGGCCTCCAATGTCCAACGCCATCACAACCTGAACCTCTACCAGAACCTGATATTCAACCCTAACTATGCCAGACACTTGCCGCCCAGGTAATCGCTTTTTACTAAAAATTCTGACTAGAAATTACTAGAAATGTTTAATTAAAAAAGAGCAATTGCAGACCGGATCCCCTTTCCTCGTCCGCATCGGTCTCCGCAGTATCCTCGAAGCACCTCGACTTCCCTCCCTCCACGTCCTTCGCCTACGACTCGTCGTCCCTCCATCCGATCGCCGCCGCCGACGCAGACTGCGATCTGGTCCCGTCGAGTCGGACCGTCGACCAGAACCTGTGGACCGCCGCCCTCCAGCAGAGACCCGTCTCTCAACCCGCGCCTAGTGGTTAGTACTCTTTTTCTAGAAACTGAATATCGTTCAAAAATATGCACCTAACTGCCCACACATCAAGTTCACCCAAACAAGTAGTTTCGTTATTATAATTCTTCGAAAAGTTCAAGTGGTTCGTTTCCATATTTACCCACTTTTGCGCCCGTTTTAAACGTCGGTCGCCAAGGACGATTCTATTATTAATTTACACTTTTTCTCCTAAAAAAACTTCAAGGGACTTTTTAAAGACTGTGCCGACAAATCAAGTACTTTCGGGGCTACCGTACCCCTCGACTTGCTCCAAATAATCCCAAAATGTTTCCAGTGTCAAATGGGCTCACGAATGGCGTCTCCAATCTGCTGTCTCCCAATATTTCGGCCCTGAACGGCGGTCATTCGGTTCTGGACCTCGGGGGACCGATTCCGCCGTACAAGTTGGACCCGAACGCCTACGTGAAAGTGGAACCACACTCGCCGCCCGAAAAACGACCGCGCATCACGACGGAATGGCGGCCGCAGCAGCTCACTTGAGAAAGTGTGCACGGACACCGTCACGCACAATTGCGGACCTACCGTAGTCGCTCCCCTCCGCAATTATTTTCATTCACCGGTGTGTTCACGGTTTGCAAGTGCGCTCTATTGAGAATCCTCCAATTTTTCATTTCGGCCAAAAAGTCCCTCGGGTTTCCTCCAATTCTCGGGTTATTTTCTTTCCGTGCGACGTTCTCAATAGAGCGCACTTGCATCATTTTCACAAATTTACTGTCTTATTACTGATTTTTTGTCCACATTCCGTTGAAATCCCCGTTAAAAAGGCCCTAAAAATTCGAAAAAATTGCAAAAGCTTAAAAAAAGACTATTTATTTTTCTGCTCCTCTCAGCCCGATTGTGATTGACTTTTTCCCCGTTTTTCCTCTAGTCTTCGGTAGTTTTTTCCCAATTCTCTGTCCTCTTCAAAATTCTCTATTTTTTCCCCATTTTAGTTGTGATGACCCATTTGTTCTGATGAATTATCTAAAATGAAACGAATAAAACGCTTAAAAAAAATGTACTTTTAACGACATAAAACGAGAGAGGAAGAGTACGAGTAAAAATGGCGAATTTTTCAAAACAAATCGCAGAAAAGCGAAATGGGACAGGAGTGAGACAGAGATTTGGAAAAAGAAGGAGAAAGAAAGGGAGATAGAGAGAGAGAGAGAGCGCGCGAATTTCTGCAAGCACACGAGATTTTGGGGAACGGGGGACATCGGAGGATAGGGAAATTAGTCGAAACACGCAAAAGTTCAGTTTGATAGTCGTGGCGGATTGGGGGGAACAATAAACTCCACAAAATGGGTGCTAAAACTCAGAGAGAGATTATTCGATTCAATGATGATGATGAAAAATTAAGAAAAATATTAAAAATCCAATGATAAATGTGTCTTTCCTCAATTGTTCCGATACGGCTGATAGCTTTGCGGGAAGTAGAAGTTGCCTGAAAAACCGTTGATAAAATTATATACTTTTTTTTCTAAATCAAAAGAAACAAGAGCATGTGGTCTAAAAACCCGGCAAGAAAATTGCATTCAACTCAATAGAAACATGCTTCATTCGACATGCGCACACAAAAAAGAGACACCGAAAAAATGGGGAAAAAAAAGGGGTAAGCAATTGTCAATCATCATTCTCAATCGAGCGCATTTCGGGCATCACTAAACACTAAACAAAGAGAATCTCGGTTAAAGCAAGCGGGGGGAAAAAAAGAAAAGGTTAAGTGATTACGGATATTTTCAACAGATTGCAAAAAAATGAAAGGGGGAAATATTCTTGGAGAACAAATATGTTTTGGGAAAAAAGTGCCATAATTCAGTGGGAAACAAGTGGAAAGGGGCGTTCTTTTAACGGAAAATCAGGGCTGAAAGTCTAAAAACCGACCTTAAAACGGCCAAAACGGCAAACTTCCAACACTGGTATTCCGCAAAAACACCGGCCTTTGGCTCAAAAAAGACGAAAATCAGAGAGATTTTCCCTAATTTCTGGGCGTCCTTTGTCGTTGTCGCTGTGTCACTCCGGGTGGTATCGGTTCGCATGCTCGACTTCCGGCAGAAGAAGACGTGGACGGTGCTTGTGGACGGGCTGAAAGTGTGCAACGGCAACGGCAACCTAACACAAACGGAGAATGAGATGCACCAAAAACAAGGGACAAGACGAGAAACAGACAGAGAAAAATGGGTAAAAATTACGGAAAAAAACGGGGCAAACGACCACATGCTATTGTACTTTTCCATAAAGAAATGCTCTCAAAAGCGCCTACCATTCGTCATCTGCTGTTGTCCGTAAAAGTTGGACGGTGTGACGCCGGGCGGTTGCTGTTGCATCTGCGGATGCACCATCTGATTCTGACGTCCAATAATTCCGTTCTGCATCGAGTACGGCTGGTGCGGCTGCATCATCGACGTGCCCACCTGCAAAATGATCGATCAAAATATCGGTAAATCAACAAATCCTTGTAAAAAAATCAACAAAAAGTGAGTAAAATGAGATGAGCATAGAAAAAAGGACGGGTTACTGTAGTTGTTAGTGTTCGTGATGATTGCATACCGGATAGGTGTACTGCTGAGCCGTCGAAACTGCCGCGGCCATTTGCTGTTGCATGTACGCCGGCGACGCCATTTGACCCATCAAACTGGCAGCCTGATGTTGAGATGACGACGGCTGCTGATGCTGGAAAACACAAAAAAAGATGGAGGGGGGACGAGAGCAACGGGATCCTTTCGGTGAACACATTCGGTTACGGAAGTTATGGATTGAGCTGATGCATGCAAAGTAACACTTCAACACTTTCGGGCCAGTTGCTATTATTACATTGCAAGATTGTCAGTCTTGGCTTGGAGTATCTGTTTTGAAAGTTTCATACCGACTGGTCAGCAGATACCGTAAATACTGTATAAGAAGGGCACCCGGAACAGTGAGCTAGGATACTCCAAACCAAAGGCTTGCAAAGATCGGATCCGATCGGTCAGTTGCACATGTCCGAAAACTCACTCTACTGTCTCCAATCTGCGCGAGCGCATCGCTGATCGTCTGCAAGCCTCCGCCATTGATCGGCGCCGACGCGGGTCCCCCCTGGCTCGGATAGATTCCGTTGCTGGATCCGGACGGCTGAGAGATCTGTCTGATCGGCGCCAACGGCTGCGGATGCTGCTGCTTCGGACGCGGCGGAGTGTCGTCCAGAGTGATCACCTCCACCTCCTTTCCGTTCTTTTTCATTAATGATGCTGCTGCTGCTGCTGCACGCGGCGGCGTCTTTTGAGCCGCTGAACTCGACGAACTCTCTGCAGAACCTGAAAATATGATGAGAACATCTGCCGACCGTCCCCTCTGCGCCGTTCTCGCAGTGCTAACCTTCGGCCCGTCGGTTAGCATTGATCGCGTCGTTCAACGACATCGCAATACCTCTGTTCAGGTCCTCGTCGTCGTCGTCGCTCAGCACGATGATGTCGTCGTCTTCCACCGGCAGTTTCTTCCGCTTTCCGCTCGTCGATTCGGCCGCCGAGTCGGTCCCGTTCGCGTCCGCGGCTGCTCCGTTTCCGTTCGAGGAGCGCGGCGCATAAAGTATCGTCGCCTTGACGTCGTCGTAGTCGTCCGAAAGGCAAACCTCGTCGTCGCGTCCAATCACATCGTACGTTCCGTCGGCCTTCAGCTCCACCTCCGTCGTGTCCTTGTCCACTTTGTGGAGCATGTCCAAGAAGTAACTGCAAAACACCGGTTCTCAACTGTTCCTATCCTTTTTTTTCCTCTTTTTCAAAAACCGTATCCCAATTTTTAGGTGCGACTTCGAAATAGAAGATGTCTCAGAATAGAAGTGCTCCGAAATACATGTTCTATTTCGAAGTCGCACCAGACTTTACAGATTTCTCATCAAATCACGCGCAAAAAACGAACGCACATTGCTTTCTCAGCTGCCGGACACGAGCACAAGCAAACATTCCGTACAAAAGTGTGTGTTTCACACACGCAAAATCGTCAGTGTGTGTACAGTTTTCACGCGTGCGAAAAGCCCGTTGACAAAGCATGAAATGGACAGACAGACGGTCCGTTTGTTTGTCCACCATGCTTTGATCATCATCGTTTTCATGAAAGGACGTCGATGATGATGATGATGATGAAGCAGCAGACTGGCGGTAAACAGTCCGAGAACGGAAAAACGGAAAAACTTGCAGAGCCTACTATCCAAAGGGGACTTTCCGAGCAGCTGGAAGATTTCTCGTTGGCCCAAGTGACAATAGCTGTCAGGAACAAACAATACTTTGAATATTTAGCTAAAATGTTGCGGTCTCCATGAAATTTTCTTTCAAATCACTTGGGTCCCACTTCGAAAGCTCAAGGTAAGTTTGGATCATTCGCCAGTCAGCTCCGAATGGTTCAGATTGAACTATTTCACCGTTAGATTAAATAAAATGTCTCAAAAGTCATCAAGCTCCCTCCAAGACCTATAATATCTGACCAACACCTGATCTTCGACCTTTGGAACCTCAAAGTTCTCTCTCTCCAAACCGCCACCGCCTTCTTTTCCGGCGTACAGTTTGACGTCATGATCTGAATATGATTCGAAGAGAGCATCAGTACACACACACACGCACACAAACCCGTGCTGATAACACACCATGATGCTTGGCAAGTGTAGCCGAAAAATTCCAAATTTAGACGTCGCATTTCCAAATTTGTGCACACGCCGGCTAATTTTATCAGCGTGTCACCCCGTGTGCGTGCCTATTTTGGGCAGTGTCCAGCGACTCGAAATAATGCAGCACTGATAAGGTGCATGAGAAGGCGAAATAGTGTAGAAGACGAGGAGGAGGGGAATAATAGCCAAGTGTCAAAGGGAAACGAGTGGTCGAAAATGGAAAACGAGGGACCGACGCATGGGTTTTGCGGCGTTTGAGAGCAGAGAGTGGGTGTTCCTGTGAAAATGGCTCAAACTGAGCAGGTTTCAATCAGAAATCGTCGGTCTAACAGGAGCTTCAATCTGAATCTTCGGCAGCTGATTCCGAAGCTCCTGACGGTAATCATTACCCTCCCCCATTTACCCTCCCAAGCACCAATCTGACCCTTCAGTTTTCTTGGGCTCATTCGGTAAAAACAGAAAAAACCCTTAATTTTACTATTTTTACCCGACTGAATTAGGCCATGAGGCTATTCGATCTGAACTTTGTCAGCCGATTTCCAAGAATATCTTTGCAAATGAGCCCCATTCAAACTCACTCTTCAATTATGAGCCGGTCGTACGGACAATAGTTGGAGCAGACGGGACACTGCCACGTGGCTTTCTTCTCGTTCATCATCAGATACGACTTGAGATCGAAACACTGCAAGTGAGTGCAGTCGGCGCATCGGGACGGAGTGACCATTCGGGTGCGCACGAGCGGATCCAGCAGACTTATCTGCAGGTGGTCCATCGCAATGTCGTCCTCTCCACTGCCGTTTAGCTTCGTCACTATCTCCTTCTTCGTCAGCTCGATGCTCTTGTGCTTGCTCGGATCCTTTTCGACGCGATCGAACAGAATGTGCGCGTCGACGCGATGCACGAACTGGATTTGTGCGGCCCACGTGCGTCTGTCGGCGAGCCATTCAATGACGATCCGATGCTGCGCGGTGCCGAAACGCGACAGACAATTCGTGATGTTGACCGGACGCGACGGACGCTTCGGCTCCATGTTCGGCTTGTTCGTCGGAATCACATTCTGCAAAAAGTTTCCCGTTTTTTTTAATTCAAAATTCCAAGGCGTTTCTAACCGGCAACTGTGCAATCTGATCGTCGACTCGGACGTGCGCGTTGAGCGGAAAATCGTCGCGGAACGGCTGTGCGTTATAGTCCGTCAGGTTGAAGAATCTGAAGGAAAACGTTGTTTTGGGGATTTGTGAGCTCCAAACCTCAATTGCAACTCAAATCTCGGCAACGGAGTCGTGTCCTGACGGTACGTGATCTTCGACATCTGATCCGCATTGATTTGGAATGTGAACTGCTGAAAATGATGAAAATGGACGAAAATTGAGTGGAAACTGATTAGAACCGTACAGATTTCGCCTGTTTCGTGGCCGGCATACTGGCGCCCAACTCGACGGGCGCCAGAATCGTCTGCACGACGTCGTAGAACGGCAATCGGATTTGCTGGAATGGCGGCGGCGATCGCACTTGGTGCATCTGAAGCAAAATTCGAGGGTTCGGGGTGCAAATTGGGAAATGTGCAGGGGGGTAAAAGGGTAAAAAGGGTGCATTTGGATGGGATGGGTTAGTGGGGACACCGTGATCGGGGGATTGAGAACAGTGCAAAGGCCCGTTAGAACACTCCGGCAACACCAGCGATCCTTCCTCTTCTTCTTTCCTTTCGTCTCTTTTCAATTCTCTCTCTCTCTCTCACTTTTTTCTCAATGAAAGCCTACTTCAGGAGGGCTATTCGGGGGTGGAGAGGGCGCTGAAATTGTGCAGGAAGAGCACCATTTTCAGATGTGGTTCTATTATCTACACTGTGAATGAGACACTTACTAAATCATGCAACAGTGATCAAATTCCAAGTGTCCGAACGGCTTCCGACAGGAGAAAGGGGGACTTAGAGCACAAAACTACTTTTCAAAAATTTTTTACCATGCAATGGTCGAATCGGCGTCTTCTATCGTGGTATATTTAGCGAAGTGTGCGACTTGGCGCTTTTCTCGAAACATTTTGAGCGAGCGACGCGAGCTGGACTTCTGCGCCGTCGGCACACAGACAATAGCCATTCCGGAGCTCTTTTCTAGCCGTAAATGTAATCAAACATCTTTACTGATCCGTTCAGCTCAATCAACACGAAATTACCGAAAAATTACTTTTCTATCACACTACTCTAATCGGATTATCTTTTCCGTCACAAAATACACTGACTATTCGGTATCAGCTGATTTTCGATACTTTTTTACGGACAAAAGTGGCCTCAAAACCCTTCAAACTACAAAAGCAAACCCATGGCGCAAAAAACTCGAAAACTGTACAGAAAAGAGAGAAATATGGGTAGAGAGAGAGAGAGAGAGAGAAGAGAGAGAGTGAGAAAGAGGAATGAAAGGTTCACCCCAGATGGATCCGTAAACGGCTGCTGAAACAGCTGCTGGTGCTGTCGGAGTAGATGATGGTGTTGTTGGAGAAACTCGTGATCGAGTGCCGTCGGCGGCGGATTCTCAGACGGATACAGTCCGTTTGCGGCCACGACCGCCATCAGCGCGGCGTTCATTTGGTCGCCGAACGCGTCCAAACAGACGGAGGAGCTCACCGATGATGGCTGCTGCTGCTGCTGCTGCACGTGCAACAACTGGTGCTGCTGCATTAGGTTCACCGGATTGCCCGGGTGGTGCTGTTGTTGCTGATGGAGCATCTGCTGGTGGTGCGGCATGAGGTGCCCGTTCGTGCCGTTCCGTCCCGCCGGCACCAGGTACGGCTGTGATCGCGCCGGCCTTCCCCGATTTGACATCTGCAAAAAAAACAATGTTTTGATAAGCAATCCAATTTTATCTTCGAGTTTTAGGTTTCCGGTCACATTTCGCCTACTTTTTTTTCAAATTTTTAATACAATTATGGGGTTCGGGGAAAAAGACAGGAAAAAAGCCCAGTTACAGACAGGAAAAAACCTGACTCGTCGACAATCGCTAATAAAATAAAATTAGGTGCACAATTCAAAGTAGTCCCTACGCGGTAGTAATAATCGATATTATCGGCGGCGGCGGCGGGCGCCAAACTCTCACTGGAGCGCACTTGCATTCTTTGGCGCGCAAAAATCGATAAAGTGTCAGGTGACCATTTCGCAATACCAGAGGAATCATTCGATAATATCCGATCAGCTCGGGGCCCAGAAAACCAACCTGTGCTCTTTTGGGCGGCATTTCCCGAGGTGGAGGACCAAGTTGACGCAGAGAAAGGGCCTAAAATGCGACGGAATTCGAATGAGGATGGAAAAGAGCGCCAGAATTGGGAAAAGGACGAAAATTGTTTTTAAAAAAAATGAATGATCTTTTTCTGTCTTTGAGAAGATCAAATTTTTGCGGCGGTACAGACTGATTCTTGGCAGGTCTGATTGTGAGAGATAAATTATTGCCAAGATAAAATTACGGTTTTCAGAGTCAAAATCCAAATTCAGCGATGTAAAAGCGTTAAAAACGAAAAAATTCGCTGAATAACTCCTGATTTCGATCCTCTCTGTAAAAAATGTGAGAAACGTTTCTAAACGATGTTTCGGAATTTTTTTAACAGAAAAAGCGAACAATCACAAAAAATTGGGCGATGCAAGAGAGAAATTCACTGTAATTGAGAGAATTGAACAAAATGTGTTTCTGAGCTTAATTTTCATTTTAAAAAAAGGTGCCTGTCGCTTCTGAACCTTCTGAAAATCGCCGGAATTCAAAAATTGAAGTTCGTGTGTCCTCGGAACGCACGCTTTCCGGTCCGTCGGGCGGTCTTCTGTTTTTTGGCGCGAGAAATAGAGAAGAGAAGAGAGAGTGCGAAAAAGCGAGAGACGTAGACGACGCGACGGATGCGGTCAACCGGAGATCGCACAAATTAGGGAATGAGCAGACGAAAAAGACAAGGATGGACTGTTTTAAACACTTTTTGGGAGCATTTTTGTACGAAACTCAGTGGAAAAATCGATTTTCCCCTTAAAAATCCGCAATGCGTGAAATCGCTGCGACCGGGCGCCGAGGAGCGATATGCGCCTTAAAACTCTACAGTAACTGGAGCAACAAAATTCAACGATTTTAGGCGAGAAATGACCGGAAACGGCGTTTTCTTGCGGACTTACCTCGTTATATCCTCCGTTTGACAAGCCGACTGCCTGAAAATATCGAGTTTATGGATTTCTAGAGGAATGATGAAAAATAAAGAATTTCGGACAAAATTTTCTGAAAAAGAGACCATTTGGTGGACGGTTCGCGCGGTTTGCGGCTCAAAAAGAGCGCTGTAGACGACTTTCTGCTGTTCGACCTTCTGATTGCGTGGACGTCGCAAGTTGAGCGCCGAAATGATACTCTGAAAATTATCATTCTTTTTTGTTGCAAAAATGCGAGCTCACCATCAAATCGTGCACTTTAAGCTTTGAAATCGACGCCTGGAATTGGAAAAAATCATTTTTTGGGGGAAAAAAACGTTTCCCGACTAACCAATGCCTGTTCGGTCTGCTCCTGCGACAATCCGTTCGCGTGCGCCATTATCGATCGACTTCCGCCCACACGATGAGAGTAACGGAAAAAAGAAAACGAAAAACTGAATATTTGGAGTCGGACATTAACAAAAATATAGTCTCTTCGTCAATTTTTTCGAACTTTTCAAGAATTATCTACCAATTTATATTCTTCTTCAAAAAAATTGACGAATCAACTGAAAAATAGGAAAAAAAGCACAAAAATGCCGTTCGCAGTGCTCGTTTTCCTATTTTTATCGAGCAAAATCGAAAATTCGCGCAATGTGTGGATTTCCTTGATTTTTGAACATTTTGCTCGATCATTGGCACGAAACCATGGGAGGATTTTCTTGGAATTTTATCGATATTTATAGAAAGTGTAAAAATTCCAGTAAAATCCAGAACGCGCGGAAAAGGGATGCGGACGGAATTTTGGCGCGCCGCGGCGTTCATCGAGAGCTCCGGAAAGTGCAATTTTATATAAAATCCACACAAAAATCCGAAAAATCGAACAATTTTTGGGACCGAAAATGGGTACAAAATCGCGGCGTTCTCGAAAGGATGCGTCTTGATTTCCCTTTTCAATAAATCACAAAACAAACAACAGAAATTAAGAGATAACCATTACGGTCCGGCTTTCAGAAAAACCGTTAAAAACACTTGAAAAAATCGATAAGAAACGGGGAAAAATCATCCTAAAAAGTCAACCATTTGTTTTATTTTTCGAACAACAGATTGAGGCGGAGAGAATGGGATCTATACCGATAGAAAACACACAAAAAACGAACAAAACTACTGGAAAATCGAGGAGCAAAAAGAGAGAAATAGAATATCCGACTCGTGGGGGACCGCTAAAAATCCCCCTTTTGTCTCTCTCTTTTTTTAACGTCTGTACCAGAGTTGGGCCTCACGCTTACGCTTGATCTTCTTCTGAAGTTGGAGAACTCCGTAGAGGAGTGCCTGCAAACAAATTTATTACGATAAATGTGAAAAAAGAGGGTAAAACCAGCCTAAAACCAGTTTCTACTCCAACATCAAAAATTCCAGATGCAAATTGCATAGCATTTCAGCCAAAACAATGCCGAACCGCCCGTCTCTCTTTCACTCTCCTTTTCTCGTGTGAATCACGTGCGTGCCGCCCGTCCGAATCAATCGATAAATGGGTGCACGTGCACTCACTTTCGTAATCCTTCGCCGCAAAACACGGGCCGTCTCGCTCTTCTCAATGGAGCGCACTTTCACAGCAGAGGAGATTTATGGGAGCATCGAAGGTCAATTTTTCATCAAAAAACGACGGAATTTAGGTGGATTTGGCGAAAGATTTTGAACAAAAAACTAGGGACCAAAAATTGAGTCGAAAGTGGTGGCGCGTTATTTGCATAAATTATATTGTCTGTTCAACACAAATGTTGCATAATTTACACTTTTGATCACACGAAACCTATAAGGAATTGTGATTGCCACACGAAAAAACAGATAAATCAGTGAAAACGAGCGCAAAAATTTCACTTTCTCCCACAAAGCCGTCGTCAAGGTCGTCTGAATGGGAAACGAAGAGGCATTTCGTCGAAAATTGATTGAATTGCGCTCGAACGACCTTGAAAAGACGAACACAGGCGCGCGGTTCGCATTTCAAACTGGTCAAGGGCGTCCGAGTGTGAAAATGTTCACAAAACAACGGAATTTGTTGAAAAATCGGCAGGAAACCCGTTTTTCCTCCGGTGAAAATCGCAGTAAAAGCAACAATTTCTTTAAAGGATCGAACCTCGGCGGTCGGCGGGCATCCGGGCACGTAAATGTCGACGGGAATGACGCGATCGCATCCGCGGAGCACCGAGTACGCGTAGTGATAGTATCCTCCTCCGTTCGCGCACGAGCCCATCGAAATGACCCACTTCGCCTCGGGCATCTGATCGTAAATGCGGCGGAGTGCCGGCGCCATCTTGTTCGTCACGGTGCCCGCCACGAAAATCAAGTCCGCCTGCAAGTTTTGTGGAATGTGAAAATAGTAGGAACAATTGAGTGGAAGTCAGTCAAACTCGCATTTGTGGCAAATAGTATTGCCAGCTCAACGAGCACATGTTTTTCCGCATACAATTCCCACGCTTGATTTCTTCATTTTCCCTCGGCCATACCTGTCTCGGGGAGGCTCTGAACACGACTCCGTATCGATCCATGTCGTATCGCGGCGCGGCGAAGTGCATCATTTCGACGGCGCAGCACGCGAGTCCGAACGTCAGCGGCCAGATGGATCCACGTTGCGCCAGATTGAGCACGTCGTCGAGACGCGCCAACGCGTATTCGGCTTTTGACGACGGATTCAGGAATGGCGTTCCTGAAGCGAAATGAGCAATTTTAGGGGTAGTTCAAAGGAGATTTCTGGGAATTTTGAATGAAGAGACCTCTTGTCTCATCTTTACAGATTGACAGGCAACTTAGTTGCATATCTTCAATGTAGCTCAACTCCGCCGTAGAATTGTATCATTTGTACCTAATTCAGATGAGGCACCAACACACAAAAGCTCCAAACTTGATCATTTGGTTCAAATTTCCAGCTGTCCCGAGCTCGTTTCGTCACAAAAAAACAGAATTACGTGAAAAAGTGATCAATGGTCTCAAATTAGTATCCATGGGGACCGAAGCAAGACAAATCCGATGCGATGAGAGGATTAACATTCCCAAGCTGATGACAAAAAGAAAGATCAATGACAATATCAGTCTGGCTGAGAGACTGGCCAGACAATAGTGGGTTTACTGAGCTTTTGATGTCGAAAATTGTCGATTTCTGGTTAAAAAACAAGCACTTTCCGCTCAAATTATAGCGTGTGAAGTGGAATTTTATAAGAAAATTTGAACAAACCTGTTGTGGCAATACCCTTCGGCGCCTCGCTGGCACTGGCGATCGCTTGGGTCGAAGCGAGTCGACGAGTGCCGACTGCTCCGACAGTTCGGAGTGCGGACAGCATCTGGAAATGCAAAAACGTGGAAGAATATCAACAAAAAAAAATTTTGTAAAATTGCAAAGAGTATAGAGTTTGGCGAGAAAAAAACATCGTTTGTTTCGGCAAACTTGGCCTAGAAAACTCTATAGGATGCTAGGCCAAATTAGCAAAATTGAGTCAGTCTTTGAAAAACTGTGTTTTGGGGGGCCTAAAATCTCAAATTTCCCGCCTCAGCCTTCAATATTCCCGTTTACCTTAAGCGGAACCCATAATTAGATGGTTTCGTCATCGAAAGGAAATAATTGAGAATCTTTGGTCTCGAGACGAAAATGAAGTGAGGAGGGAATGGAAATGGAAATGCCAACGTGTCACATGATGATAAAAAGGCAAAAACCAGTCGGAAAGCAAGAAGAACAGCTGCAGCAGGCGGGCACCCCCAAAAATCGATAAATTCCGAGGGAACAGATTATGAAAGAGGGGAGAGGGAGGAAAAGGGCCCGTTGCGGGGCGGCCCGGCCCGCTCGGCTGCCTGTCCACTCTCCGATCGATAATTCGGTTGTCCGTCTGTCTGACGTGTCTCGCACTCTCTCGTCTGCGTCGCGGCGCCCAAAGAGCCGCCCGTTTTGAGGAGGGAGACGAGCGGCCGGGGGAGACGGCGGAGGAGATCGAGAGAGCGGTTGGAAGAAGCCGTGTTCAGGTGGATCCGAGGGGTTCACATTGAATTTTAGGCCTAGAATATCGATACTTTTCGATAAGCATGAATTGAGAGCTTGAGAGCATTGAGAGCATGAAAAAACAGTGATTTTTGAAGAGAATTTTTAAGTTTTTAGATGTGGTAGATGAAAAGTTTACAGGTTTTATTGAATTGGCACAGGGCTGAGCAGAAGGCCGCACCAGGCTTTTCAAAGGCCTGCCGAGGCCTAGACTACTAATCTTTTTTTTCAATAATCTTTTGCTAAACAGAAGTCTGAAACGTGCAGAACGCGGGTTTACGAGCGCAAAAAGCAATATAATGAGGGAAGGCGATTCTTGAACGGGTACAAAGCCCAATTTCTGCCGCGGAGCATGTGACTGGTCGGAGAAGAAGAAAAACAGACGAGAATTCGGTTCCGGGATGAAGAAAATGAGAGGGAAACGAGAATGAAAACGGAATATTTTATGCGAAAGGGTCAAAAGTTGGAAAAATAGGAATCGAGCTGAAAACTATGGGCGGCCGAGGAAAAACTTTTGAAAATGTAAACGTGCTCCATTGAGAATGGCGCGAAAGTTGAGGATTTGAACTACGGCCGCCCGTCATTCAGCCATTTTCCAGGTTTTCACCCGATTCTTTCAATTTCACATTGATTTTTACTTAATATTTTTATTCAAACAACCTTTTTTTTTCTAATTAAGGCTTGTAATCAATTGTAATCAAAGTTATTACTGAGAACATCGAATAAACACGTTGCCGAAGGACCAAAAACCCGGAGACACTGTTGCAGAGCCATTCTTGATGAAACCCCACTAAATAGTGCTAAAAATAACCGAGAAATTGACTAAGACGGCCGAAAAACAGCAGATGGCTGGAAAAATGGGATTTCTCTATTTTTGACTTCCCGAACTGAGCAATGGCGTTTTCTGACTCGTTTCTGACTTGAATTTTGAAGGTTTGTGCCCTGGAATAGTCCCATTTCTTTTATTTGTCTAGAATCCTACATTTCTTTTAAAAGAAATCTGAAGTTTGCAGATACTTTGCTAAAAAAACTGCGAAGTGAACCCCTGCCGGTGAAATTTTAGACTTTTCCTATTTTTGTCTCACCGAACTTCGAGGAATTTTCTGTAAAAATCCCAAAAACTCGTAAAATGTGCGCTCAGCTTCCTTATCATCGTACATTCCGCACAAAACCTCAATTTTTTTATTTTGGCGAACAAAGCAAGTCAAAAACAAAAGAGACTCATTATTGTTGTGTGTGTGTGTGTGTCTATCGTCATAAAACTTGTACAAAACACAGAATATTGTACATTTTCCTTGTTTCTCCCGCGTCGCCGACTGGTTTCGCGCCTCCAGCTTCTTCTTCTCTTTTCCGTTACAAATTGAGAAATTTTTCTTGACAAAATTTTGCAAGTACAAAGTCAACAAGTATACGAGCGGTTCCTGGAATTTCACGCGCTTATCAGTTCATTTCCGAGAGTGTGCATGTGGTTTTCGGTCATTTTTGCACTGATCAATCGGTTTTCGCTCGTTGTTTCTTGCTGCCAATGTGGATTAGAAATTGAGATTCGAAAAAGTGTTCGCTAGATTGTCCTCTAAAGTTTCGAAGTCCACAAATCACGTGGTTTGTCTCCTTGGAAAGTGAAAAGTGACGTTTTGTTCGGAAAATGAGTCATACTGTCATTCGTCGTCGCGTTTTTTGCCCCCTTTGTACGTTCGTCCGCAATAGAAGAAATGTTGAAATCGTTGGATTTCAGAGTACAAAGTCCGTTGAGCTAGGCACAATAGAATTCTATTTTAAGCCCCTCTCTTATCGGCTGCCTAGAATTTTCTTTTTTCGTTTTTCAGAAAAAGGGAACTGTTATCGATGATACAATCTCTTCGTCTTCTGTTATTTCTCTCCGTACACACATTCCTTTTCTTTCCCCCAAATGAGACAAAACTGGCAGTAATTCTAATTCAATCTTTTTGGAAAATGGTACGCGATGCCATCTGTCCGGTTATTTCTGTTGAGCGCCTATTTTATGTGAGTGCAATGCTCACGTTTTCGATCTTTGCCCTTTTTCAAACAGATATGTGCTCAGCTGCATGTCTCTCTGACCGTCATGTCTGCATTTTTCGAATATCGAAATGTAATTGACTTGTCGCGCGTTGATTTTACCTGCACGGTCTCCAGAGATTACAATGGGCGCAAGTGCGCTCCGCCAAATACAGCGACATTTCGGCGTGAAATTTAAATTTTAAAGGAATCATGTCACTAAAAAATTAGTGTGTGAGATATATACACCATCGGATTACTCGGAGCAGGAACTCATCGTTCCCGTTCTTTCGTAGTCATGGATCCACGAAGACGAAATGAACAGGGACGAAACAACGATGACGATTAATTCCTGCTCAGAGCAATCCCCATAAACATCTCAAACACTAATTTTTTAGTAACAGGCCCCCTTTAACAGCAAATTCCGTGTTTTTTGTCAAATTAGCCACAAAATGCTTGTCTTTACGTGATTCATCATTCTCGAAACCAATTTTGTTCGAAGGCGATCAAGAATGCGCAGAATGAATGACCTAGAAATGAGTTAATTCCTGCGAAAAGAGGTGGAAAATGAAGTCCTACCTGAAAACATGTTTTGATCTACTCGCCCACTGGATGCTTGAAAATTGTTTTGATGTTTCGGTGCTCACCTTCGTGGACTTTCCTTTCTTTTTCAATAGTTTCATAGAGCAAAGCACGCATTCAACTAGATTTTCATGATATTTCCCCATTTTCGGCGTGCAGAGCCTTCTACCGTACCCTACGAGCGTAGCCTGCCCTCCTCCACGCGTCTTTCCGTCCATCGGCGCCCACGTTCGATTGTGTCTGTGTCTCGTGTCCGTCGCCCACTATTTCGCACCTTCATCGGCCAGTTTTCTATTTCGAAGCGACAAGACGCGGGGGGGTCTCCCCCTCCTTCTCCATCTCGCCCATTCCGAATTGTTTCCCGGCTGTGTCTGCGTCTACGGGCGGCACTCTCTCGGGCGGCTCTGCGCGCTCTTGGTTCGGCCCGGTCTCTCGTGCCGCCCGTCTCCTCCGACGCCTCTTCCACTCCATTCCGCCCGCGGGTGGGCCACGCTGCTCTCCGTCGTTTCTTGGCCTCTTCGTCTTATGTACTCTCTCGTCGTTCACTCATTTCATAATTTGTTTAATCAATGTTGGGGTCTTCTTCTTGTTCGCTTTTTGCTTTTTTCCGTTCTGTTTTCCATTGAAATTCGTGGAGTCAAAAAGTTGCAAAACCTCTTTCGGTCTTTGATTCTTTTCCGACGCTTTTTTTGTGCTGCAGAGGTGTCGAGCGACACATGGTCGAAAAGCTCGCCTTTTCTTGAGAAAATTGGCTGAAAATGTCAACATTTTGGAAGTGATCTTTGAAGTTGCGATATTATGTCTGCTCTCGAAATCACCGCAGCGTCAAAGATTGAAACTAGTGATGATAACGACAAAAATTGCAAAAGAGGAAGTGAAAGGAAAGTTCTAGAGACCTATTTCAACGTTAATCGAACAGTTTTGAAATTTTTTGTTGCAAATTTTCACTTACTTTTCGGTTTATCAGTTCTTCTCCTATCTAACAGTGTATGATGTTTCTGAAACAGCGAAATGAACTGATAAACGATTCGAAAAAGTGAAACATCAACAAAAGTACTAAAAATCTGGCATTCCGACTAACTTGTGTGTCGAATACAGTCGAAAAAATCTAATCAGCTTCTCCTTCTTCTCCTCCTCCACTCGGTCTTCATCACCATCTTCTTCTTCTTATTCTGTTCATTCCAACAAGAAAGAATAAGAAGATATCGTGTCGAGACCCGGTTCCATCCGTTTTGCTGCTAGTTGTTTTCTGCGGGTGCCGTCGGTCGTCTGGCTCCCTCCGCGAATCGTCCGCTCCCTCACTGCGTTTGTGTCGCTCCCTCTCACTCATCATCGTCATTTTCTGCCTTCTCCTCATCGCCCTTCCTTCTTCCCCTTTTTTCGCTCCTTTTCTGTCCTTTTTTGTGTTTCGGCGACACACGCGACACCGTTTTTTGATTTCCGATTGTTTTTGAAAGTTTTTGAACGCAAGCTTCTGTTTCCCTTTTTTCGTCCTTGAAACTTGAAAATTCACGTTTTTGTCTACCTCTCAATTGCAACTTCCGCTTTTTACAGGGTGTAAAGCGAGTTGGTCTTTTTTTGCAGTCTTCTTTTAGGACTATTCGGGTACTTTGCAACTTTGGCTGCTTTTTGATTTGACACAGGCCGGCAAAGTCTAAAAGGGACTAGAAATTGTAAAGCCTACATTTACCTCAAACACTAGCCGGGCCGTGTTTGCCAGTCCAAATTGTTATTTGATTTGCAGTTTTCATAAAATTTATCTTAAATGCTTGAAAAAAACAATATTGATGCTCTAGTCTTTGTCCCTTTCGATCTCTCTCTCTCTCTCTTTTTCCGCTAGTCTCTCAAGTGTTTCTGGGAACAGTTTTTTGCGTTCGTTCGGGTCTCCATCGTCACTTTTTTTGTTTATTCGATCCCATTGGCCGTATGGTAGCCAATCAGTGGATTTGTTGAAAGCTGAAACCTAAAGTTTCGCACTTTTGATGGAACCAGACCACCGATTTGATATTTTGATGGATAATCCCCCGTTGCCATTCTCACTTCCATAATGGGGCTGTCTCTGATCTCTGTACCGGGTGTATCCCTCTACTGTTTAGCGTCTCTACCTCCCTTTCCTTCTCTTTCTCTCTCTCTCTCTCCGTCGTCCCTTGTTTGCCATAGTAATAATTTGCGTTGAAATACCGGACGACGAGTAGTTTTCTACCCGCAAGAGAGCCGCCGCCGCCCCGGGAGCTCTTTTTGCGCCCCGAGCCCTCCGACTCGCCAGTTATCTCTGCTGCTCTCCGCCGATCTTTCCAGCGTTACTCTGCAGTAGTTCTTTGGCCGACTACTCTTGTTCCTTGCCCGTAAATCCGCTCTTTGCGACAAACAATTTGTTTGAACGAATAGTTTAGTGGTGGCAGAAATGGTTTACCCAGCCGTTTTTTCTTTCGCTATTTGGAAGTTTAGTCGAGTTGGCATTAGGAAGATTACCGGACTAGAAATGGCACTCTCATTCAAAATCGACTTATCCGTGACTTTGTTCTATCCATCTTATGACTTTGTTCTATCCATCACAGCTCTTCGTGCTGTTTTGTCGACAATAACTCCGTTTTCCTATATTGAAAAGAGGTGCGCATGAAAATTTTAGTGAAAATGCTACTTGTCTGGTTTCTCGCTTAGGTTTTGACGTGATTCCAAGTGACAAGTTCTGAAAAGAGTATAATTATTGGGTTCTGTCCGAGTTCCTTTAACCAAAGCCCACTTTTCCCATCGTTTTTTTCCTCTGTTCGTCGTCCCAATCTGCTGCCGCCCACTCTTCTTCCCCCATTCTCGCCTCCTCCCTTTTCCACCAGAACTCTACTCTTTTGATCATTTTCAGTGATAGTCCGTAACCCCGAAACCTACCAAATTACTGACACAAATTCGCAATACCACAGTCATTTTTGTCTTGGGCAGCTTTGCGTCTCTGCGTCTCCTGGTCGGGGTGGGGACCGGTTGGTTGCTGGTTCAAAATCACTCGAAACACTTGCGTCTCGACGTAATTTTCTCTTCGTTTCCATCCACCGTTGGAGGAGAAATAGGCGATCAGAGATTATATATACCTTTCCGCTTCTTCCGCATTTTCACGTTTTCCAGGGGGGCAGAAGCCCGCCCGTGGAATATGGACTGGTAATTGGCTATGATTGGCAATTTGTCACAAGCCGATGACAATTTTGACATGAACGCTTTTGGTCGATTGTGACAGGGAAGTAGGTAAAGAATGACCCGGATTCGGCCTATTCAACTCTCCCTCACACTCTCTCTCTCTATTTTTTGATTTTGACAAAAGAAAGAAACCACCAAAACTGACAGTCTTTTACTAAAAAGTTATCGTTCTCTCTCTCTCTTTCTCTCTCAGTCAACCATCCTTATCATCTTCATCATCTCATCAAAAAGAAGAGAATGACGGAAAAGAGAGAAGCCAAATTAAATGATGGATTGTGTGTGGAAAAAATTTTGGGGAGGGGAAAAAGATGAGAGAAGTGAAGAAGCATCCTTGTTGGCGATATCCAGCTGGTTATAAAGAATGCATTCCTTTTTCTTCGTCCAACACTCATTTCTCGTTTGGAAACACGCAAACGGTTATGAGGAAGTGTGTAATGGTCCAGTTGCACTTTTAGAAGGACCATTTAGAGGTTGTGGAGTTTTCCGCTAAATTTAGGAATGTTCTGGACGCCGCTTCCCACACATACATACACACAAAGGTGCGTTAGCCTCCGCGTGTTGCGTTGGAGAGAAGGCGGTCGGCCGGCGCAGGAGGCTGCTGTGCAAACTGCAATCGGCTATTTTGATAATGGCGGACGGACGGACGGACGATGAATGAAACGGGAGGGGGGAACGAGAACGAGGCGAGAGAAGCGAGAGTGATGGCCGAGTGTGCTGTGTTTCTTCTCTTTCCCCCTCCTGGATCATTCGCTTGTCATCACTAACTGACTGTTGTTTTTGTGTGTCTGTGTGTTCGTCGACTTGTTTGTAGTGCAGAATGATCTATCTGTCAATCTTCTGCAATTTTTGCAATTAAAACGTTGTCTTCTTTGAAAGCCATGACTTTCTTGCCAATTTGTTTGATGGTCATTCGGTTTAAACGAACTTTTCGCTTGGGAGTTTTTTTATCTACTCTACGAGTTCTTCTTCAAAAGTTATTTTATTACTAGGGCCTTTTTTGTCAATTTTCGCCGTAGCTAGTCTTGTTCTCATCCTTCTCAAACCGGAGGACGCCTTGAAACCAAAATGTTGACCCGAAATGTCCGATAGTTTTGAAATGTCGTGGTTCCGAAATTTTTGGGTTTGAGACGTCCGGAAGTCGGTATAGCTACCAGTTTTGCAGAAATTCGTGCGACAATAATCATCATAAGTGTGAGAGATTGTGTTTGTTGTTACACACCTTTCTCGCTCTCCGCGAAGATTTGTTCCCCTCTTCGTCAACGACAACGACGATGGCGACGCCGCACGGGCACGACGATATCTTCGCAATGGTTTTTATCTTTTTGTCCGCCGTCGTACGTCGACACGAGTTGTCAAGCACGACATCGCTGCATTCGCGCTACGTTGCGAAAAGACTTGGCAAAGTGCCAGCCTAAGTAAAAACGTTTCAACTCTGTATCGCCGCAACGCTCTATGAATGAAGATACGCGGCGAATACGGTATAACCTGCATATCTAATTGCGTTGGCAATAATTCAAATTTTAGTCGCCGCCGTCGCACTCGACACTCCGTGCGTCGACCACGTCGTCGTTCTTTTCTCCTCGCTTTCGTCTCCAGAATCACTGTTTTGACGGTGTTTATGGAAAAGTTTTGTAAAAGCCGACGGACTCTTTCTCGACTGTTTCCTAGTTCCCACCGTGGACGATTTGTTTTTGTTCTTCTTTTTGACGTCAAGACAACAAAAACACGGGGCGTATTGGAAATTGGCTGATTGTCCCAATATCATTCTCAAAGCATAAAACGTATAGCTCTCGGAGAGGCAATAATCATTTTTCAACTTTTTTTTTTCTCCGCCGTGCCCCACTCTGTCATCTATTTCTCTTCGGAATCTCACCGATCTCTCTTCCTTCCTCTCTCTCTCTCTTTCCTTGATCTCTCTTCCACTTTTCCGCCGAGACAAAGATTCCGGGAACAGACGTCCTCTCCTCATTCGCGTCGTCGACGCTGTTTACTCTTGATCACCCTCGTCTCTTTCGTTCTTTTCTTTTCACGCCTGGATCTTCTTTTCATAAAAAAAACAACACTGTAAAGTTCGTAAGATTTCCATTGTCTTTTTGGAAATTCGATAGTTGAAGTTGTAAAAAAAACGAGTAAGGTGAGTAGTTCATCCACGTTGCTAAGAAAACACGGAGGAACCGATGAGATTATGTATTTCTGATATTTTAGTGCTTTTAGAAGATGTACTTCGGATAAGCTCTTTTGGAAAGATTATTCTAGTCGTTGATTTTTGACCCATTTGCAATCATCCGATGGGATCGCGTTTTTGCACAAATATCAGTATTGAGTTGAAGTACCTACTTTGATCGTTTCAGACCGATAGGGTTATCTTATTTGGAAATAATATTAATATTCTATCCCCGGCGTCCGGCCGCTACGCGACCGCTACGCGCCCCAAAAGGCGATGCCCCTTTTCTCTTCCCGCGCAATCGCGGAATTTGCCGTGGAAAAGAAAAAGGGGACGTTTTGGGGCGCGTAACGGTCGCGTAGCAGCCGGACGCAGGAGGCAAAAATATTGATTTGATGGTATATAAACCCTGTACATACAACTTTCCTACCTCATTCTAGTATCTTCGTTTATATCTTCTCCAAATAGATGATCCGGCACTGGTCTAAAATCAAGGACCGAAAAAAAGAATCGTCGTGTTTTCTTATCTACGTGAATCTGCGTTCTCTAAAATGTCAATGTCCTATCGAATTTCCAGAAGAATGAAAGTCTATTGTTTTTTTCTAAAGAAAAGATGATCCAGGCGTCAATAGAAAACTTGCACTTTGTTGGTAATAAACTTTCGTGAGATCACGAAATACTCCTGGAATCATTCACACGCTGCATGGCGGAGCACACTCTCAACGAGAGAGCAACAGTTGTTTTGTTGTGCTCTTCGCGAGAGAGCTGCCCGGAAACGTGGCGGCCAGTCTGCGTCTCTCGGAATTTTTGATCTACCAATCCTCGTCGCCTCCTCCAATTCAGCAGGATTTCCTTATCACTTCTTTTATTCTTCACACTCTCTCATTTTCTCTGTTTCTCTCCGAGTCGGACATCTGTCTTTCTAAAGATAGTTTTTTGACCCATTTTCTGTTTTGCTCAGTCTCTTGATGTGGTTTTAAACGCAAGATTTTTGATCTTCGTTGATCTGTTCCAGGAAGTGAGCCACACTTTTTCACTCTACTTTTTTCTTTCAGATGGACGAAGACATAAGTTTATCGTCAGCGCAGGCTCAACAGCCTCAACCGTCGACATCCGAATCGGAAGAGAAGACGACGAAACGGACGACGACGACGACGACGACGGAAGAGGAGAAGCAAAAGGAGCAGAAGCAGCAGCAACCGTCGACGTCGAAAACTTGCAAAGTGGAACGACCGCGTGAGTTTGGCTACACAGAACCGATTCCTTTCGCACCGTGGCGGCGGAAACGCTACGCGCTGACAGTGCAGGGATTGCACGACGAAATTGTGGACATGTACCACTGGATCAAACCGAACGAGATCGAGTCGAGACTGCGGACGAAGGTGTTCGAGAAGGTGCGCGACTCGGTTCTCCGACGGTGGACACACAAAAAGGTGAAAATCTCGATGTTTGGAAGCCTTCGCACGAACCTCTTCCTGCCCACGTCGGACATTGACGTGCTCGTCGAGTGCGAGGATTGGGTCGGGTCTTCTGGAGACGTCAGTCAGCAAGAGGTATGTAAGGACTTTTCATCAACTTGCTATTTGATATTATCCTATGGATCCGTAACTTAATAGATAATGGCAAGTGGATCAATAGTTCAGCTCCGGCTCCGATAGAAAAAAAAAGTTACTTATTTTGCAGTGGCTGGCCGAAACGGCGCGCGGACTCGAGACGGACAACATAGCCGAATCGGTGATGGTGTACGGCGGCGCGTTCGTGCCGATCGTCAAAATGGTCGACAGGGACACGCGACTCAGCATCGACATCTCGTTCAACACGGTCCAGGGCGTGCGGGCGGCCTCCTACATTGCCAAGGTCAAAGAGGAGTTCCCGCTGATGGAGCCGCTCGTGCTGCTGCTCAAGCAGTTCCTCCACTACCGCAACCTCAACCAGACATTCACCGGTGGCCTCTCCTCCTACGGGCTCGTCCTCCTCCTCGTCAACTTTTTCCAGGTACTCTATTTTTGAGATGTCCATTTGAAAATTACGTTTTGTTTACAGCTCTACGCCATTGACATGCGACACCGAACGATTCAGGACAACGGCGTCAATTTGGGATATTTACTGCTGCGATTTCTCGAGCTCTACTCGTCGGAGTTCAACTACGAAGAGTTGGGAATATCGCCCGGCCAGGCGTGCTACATTCCGAAAGCGGCGAACGGAGCACGTTACGGACACAAAAGAGCGCAACCGGGCAACCTGGCACTCGAGGATCCGCTTCTGACGGCCAACGACGTCGGCCGCTCCACCTACAACTTTTCGTCGATCGCCAACGCATTCGGGCAGGCCCTGCAGATTCTGATGGTCGCCGTGACGTTACGCGAGCGAAAAGGACGTAATCTGCTGGCGATGAAGGGCTACAAAGGCTCGCTGCTGCACATGATCATACCATTCACCGCCAAGGAACTCACCTATCGAAACTGGCTTATGAGCTCGGTGATGTCGATGCCGCGCAAGGAATGCGCGGTCAGTTACGACCTGAACCAGCTGCACAACACGCTCGTCTCGCCGACTGTCGATTTGTCCCGCTACGCGTGGCTCCGCAAAAACGTGGCCGGGTTCGAGAAGAGAGATTCGCGGCCGCTGAAGATTGTGAATCCGACGGATGACATCAAGAACCAGGTGATCGCGCAGTTGAAGGCCAAGATGGAGGAGGAGCGACTGAAGTTGGAGGAGCAATCCGCATCCAAACCGCCCGCGACCACAGCAACGTCGACGGTTGTGAACGATGAGGATCTGCTCGTCTCGGCGCCGCCACTACCCACCTCCACCGCTTCCGTCAACACTTCGGCCACTGTATCCACAGCGGCCAGCATATCGGAGCGGGAAGACACGGACTCGCCGGGACTCTCGCTTTCGTTGGGCACACCGTCTTCGGAAGACGATGAGGACGGAATGGTGAACCGGATGAAGACGTCGTCGGGAGCCGTGCAGTTCAAGAAGCAGTTCAGCGAAGTGGTCGCGCAGAATAGTGGCCAGAAAGGAGGGAAAGAGTGCTCGTCGCGACGGACGCAGACTCGATTCGACGATCGAAAGGAAGGTAGGAGAAGGGGCGCCACGACGGAATTGAACTTGAACGGAAAATAACTTTTATGACATGTAGAGACAGAAGAAGGCCGTGATTTGAACGTATTCACACAGATTTTTGTTGCAGATCTCGATCAGAAATCGTTCCTGAACGGGCTGAACCCGAGCAGCGACTACTATCGCCACTACACGGACTACGCGTCGGTTGTCTCCTCGTACAACAACGGCGCCAACCACAAGTACCGCAATGGACAGCAGTACACGCAACGACCACGGCATCACGTGCGGAATCACTCGCAAGGATCGGACGGATCCGACGGATACCGAGATCAGAGATGGATTCAGACGGGCGCAACAGGGGCACCCAACAACAATGTGCATCCACGTGGCCGACGGAACGGAAGAGCCCTCTCGAACTCGTCGAACCGGTCGAGACGGTCGTCCGACTCGACAAGCGGCGGAAGGAGCGGATACTCGGTGTTCCCGCCGCCCTCACAGGCCACATCGGCGGCCGCTCCGATTCTGGAGACGTCGCATCACGAACAGACGGCCGACGAGACGCTGACCGAAGAGAATGCGACGCTGACGCAGGACGGGTGTCGGGTGAGTGTGCAGACAACGCCGATGGTCCCTAGAATGTACGCGGACGCCGTGAAGAAGAAGTCGTCGGTCGCATCGAACGCTTCGCTCGATCTGGTCAACGGAAATGTGTGCAAGAATGGTTAGAATTGGAATTTTGAATAAAGAAAAAGTTAATTTCCTAATTTCCTGCAGGATCTTCCTCTTCTTCTCAAGCGCCGCCTCCACTAACCTCTCCGTCAGTCCCGGCTCCTCCGATCGAACGATCCTATCGAAATATAGCTGCCAATTTGATAGGTACCACACTTTCGCCCTTTTCCGTTCAATACAACTGATGACTTCCAGCTAAACCGTCGCCAATAGTTCTGGCTCCACCTCCTCCACCGCCACCACCTTCATCGCAATCACAGACGGTGCGGAAGGAGAACGAGTGCCGATTCGACACGAAGACCGCCGGAATCGCCGGAACTTCGGAGATCGGACACCATCAGCCGCAGCTAGTCCCGCCGGTTGGTTTCGCATTGGAAAATGATGTATAATATCTGTTTTTGCAGGTGAACCGTCTTCAACGATAGTTTTCATTTTTTTTTTTCGCCTAGTTTCCCTTCCCATTTCCCCCTCTAGTGTTTTTGCTCGCCCATTCTAACCAATTTCTTCCACATTTTCGTTGTTTTCTTCTCTTTTTTTTTCATTTTTTTTACAAAAATTCTCCCCTACTCTCGTTTAGTCTCGCCCATCTCGAATTCTTCCCCCCCATATTAGTCTAGCTAATATTTGAATTATCATCGTCACGCCGCCACCAAAAAAAGTTTGAATATTATATTTTTTATGATGATTATGTTTTTGTCCGTTCCCCTGCCGAAAAACTCGCTCTCTTTCTCTCTCCCATCCCATAAAATCAGCCAAAAATCCGGTAATATTCCCAACTTCATGTGTTTCTTTCCTTTCTTTTTTTTTTGTGCTTTTCGCTTTGTTTTACTTACCCACCATTGCCTTTTTCGCCCTCCCCAGTTACGGTAGGATTACGGTTGGAAACCGTAATCCGTTTATTTCTGAATCTTTCCCGCCCTCCAAGCCCAAGTCACGAGTCTGCGCCCCCTACAATTGTAATGTGTTATAATAAGTGCTTTATAATAATTACCACTACTAGGTCCTACTTTTTTTGTTGCGTCGCGCCGAAAACGTTCAAATGCAATTGTTGTTGTTGAATATTTTGCAATTGAACGTTTTCCCCGCGCGCCGCTTCCTTTCTCTCATGTGAAATCGACACTGGTCCCCATCTGTTTTCCCGTTTAATATTTGGTCGGATATCATTATTCTCCCCCCGTTTTTCGCCTTCTGGAACTGTAACATTTCGACCAATCATTGAGCACACACACACACGCACACTTTCCAAGCGGGTCCCCCACTCTCATTTCCTGTTCCTTTTCGTTCCCGTACCCACACACACACACACACACATCCTTTCTTTTTCTGTGTGTCTCCGGTTTTTGAATGCTCTCTCTCTCTCTCTCTCTGTTCCCCCAATGGCACCGCCCATTCCTTTCGTTCGTTCCCTCGTCTAGATTTTGTTTTATATCCTCTGCCCCCGAAAAAAACCATCATCATCACAATGATCACTGTCTCTCTCCGTCACGCAATGTACCGTTTTTCCCCGTGCTGAAAGTGACAGTGATCTTGGAACTGTATTTATTCGATCACCTCCCCCCACACCCCAATCTCTATAGACGCAATATGAAAATGTTTAATCTTCATTCAATTTTTTTCACAAATCAACGTTCTCCTAGTTTCGTGCTGACCAATAAGTGAAATGGAAGCACTGAAATATTAGAGTAATATTCGTCACTTCTGGAATTACAGTCGACTCAACTCAACAGAATTCAATCGAAAGTAACCAGACCAGTTTCTCGGGAAACCTGTTTTGTAAAACTTAGCAATCCGTGAGTAAGTAAGTAGTATAACTTTACATGGCACGTCAGAAAGCACTAAATAGGAGGTTATTGTCTATTTATAAATTGGGTCGAAAAGTGTGCTCTCATTGGTCCCGTTTCGAAACCCCAGCAATTCTCTAGTTTGCTCCCAGCGTCCTCTGCTCTATTTTCTCCCCGATCCTTGTGTTTTGTGCCCAGAATTCGTCACGTTTCGTTTCGCAGTCCCATAAAAAGAAAACTTCCGGCTTCGTTTGCAAAAACTGTGACATTGTTGGGCGAAAAAAAAGATAATCCCGTGGAAAAGTGAGCATTGAGGCCTGAGAAACAAAAAAGAAAATGCTTTTTGCTCATCGAAAACCTTCCTGAACTTATTTGACCACAATGAGATCTCGATGCGCAATCGGAATTATTCAGCGATGTTTTCACCGATGCAAATCCAATTCCGCACGTTTTTCCGTGTTTTTCTTGCCGTCCCTGACAAAATTAGCAAAGATGACGTATTTTTTACTCTTTCGATTACTGTAGAAGGGTCTCTTGATGTTCTGCGGGCTTTTTGTGCTGTCACTGTGATTTATGACGTGCGTCGTCACATTTTTTGCGTTGTTTTTGTGATTTTACACATCAAACATCGACCTTAAACGGGAAAAACGGTTGAAATTAATGAAATTCGTTGATAAGTTTAAAGGCTCATGTCGGAAAAGTGTGCGACGGGTCTCGCCAAGATTACAGAGTTTTGAATGGCGGGAAGCGGAAATATTGAAATTTTTCGCTGTTTCAGCGGTTTTTAGCGCTTTTTCATTGCGTTTTCGAGTGAATGTTACAAATTTTGTGTTCTCTGCTTTATACATCGTTGTTTTCCAGCCGCTCGGTGTGTTATCTGCTTGTTTTGACCCGTCAAGTACCCGATTTTCCGTTTTTCGTCCTTTTTTCGTTTTCGATTGATGTACCCGATGTGTCGGAGGCGAAAGAACAACGACGAAACGAAATTCGGGAGATGAGCACACACACTTTTGCGTTTAGTTTGATCGCATTGTGCAAGTCGTAGTTTCTATGGTGTTCCGTTCAATTTTCACATTTCGTGTCGAGACCCAAAACCAATGATCGCTTCTTTTTGCTATTATCCGCCTCCGAACATTGATACGTGTGCGAGCGGGGGAAATGAGGGAAAAGAGGAGAAGAAATCAAACATCAAGTGTCCTATTATCTATTTATTGAGAGATAATCATGCGAAACTTTTTCCTCGAAGGGATTAGGCTTATGTGCTTGAGCTTAAGCCTAAACTCGTTATTAGATATAGAAAATCAACTTTTGAGCCGTTCTGATTTTTTTGAGAGCTTTACGAACGAACTCCGTAATTTTACAAGTTTTTTTCAAGCGTCCGAATAGGAAAATCAAAGACCTTTCTAGATTCGAATTGCGAAAGAATACCTTCATGTTGGTTATTCAGCTCTTTTAAAAACTGGGGTGTCATTGAGATGTTTGATTCACAAGTTCGAACTTCGAACGCTTGAAAGAATGGAACTTGAAAGAAGAAGAAGAAGGTAGTGCTCAATGTTCAATGTTTGATCATAAAAAGGGCTGAATCCAGGGCTTGTTTATAGTCTGCCTCGTCTTCTTTCTCTCCTTCTCCTTCTTCTCCATCTCTCGCTCCTATCGGTCCTCTTTTCGTGGCCTCGCTGTTTGGCCTTTGATCGTCTGCGTCTCTCTCTCTATCCCTCTCTTTCTTTCTTTCTCTCTCTCTCTCTACGTCTCTCCACTCTTGTCTCTCGTTCGCATCAGTGAACAAAGCCTCCTGCAGTCGAGGGGGGCCAGAGAGGTCCCGCCCGTCTGCGGTCCATCTTCTCACGTATTTGGGCCCCCATTTACTCGCGTTTCTCCGTCTCCCATCTTCCTTTCACTTTTTTCGGTGCGAATTTCCTGTCTGATCCGAGTGATCTATGCTGCGGATCACTGGAAAACTGGAAAACGCTTTGAAGGCAATTTTTTCTAAATTTTGCTTCGCAAGTCTTATTTCGCATAGGAATTTTGTTGATTTGCATCGAATTTCCCATTTCGCAATGAGGTAGGCAAAAAATTAGCAATTTTTGCGAGCAAAATGCAAAAAAAAATAGCGCAAGCCTAGTTTGTCACAAAAGATCTAACTCGGTTCCAGTGGCGAGACACTATCACTTTATTTTATTTTCTGCGACACAGTTCCACGAGTGCGCCGCTCGAACTGTGATCGAGAACGTCAACGGAACGAACACTTTATGCGATCAAATGTTTGAATGTTTGGTTTTCAGAAAACGTGCGCTTTGATCTCATTCCCGTAGCCTAGACTACATTCGAAACGTGCGCTTCTTCTCCGAGAATCCATTTAACCTCACCTACACACACACACTCGATACTATTCGCTTTACTTTACACAACACAAAGTATCAAAAGTGTATGTATTCGAGAATGTGTTCGCCGAGAAAGAAATAAAGCTCCCTCTCTCTCTCTCTCTCTCGTATTTCTCATTGTGTTTATGTGCTGAAGAACACGAAAACACGTTCGTTTTGTGTGTCTGCTGCTAGTGGTTTCTCGACGACGAACACTACGGACGTATTGATTGATTTTGTGGGGTTTCTCAAAGTTGGCATGATTTCCTGAATTCGCCGATTTCCATGCGATATTATAGATTTTTGAGCAAACTTGACTAGCAAAGTCATTCTTCCTTAGCGTTTTTTTTTTGTTGCTACAGAGAGAAAACATAGCGATATCAAACACAAAGTACGCATTTCGGGGCGATAAATTATGATTGTGTATAGCCTCCAACGGTCAGTTTGCATTCGGATCCCACTCGAATACTACACTGTATTCGGGGCCAAACTTTGACACTTTGACACCGTACTTTGTGCTCTTCGTGTGTGTTTACTCACATTGAGACCTTTGATCATAGCTGGATAAAAGTCACGTACAATAAAATATGAAATAGTGTGTTTCGATGAAAGTCCGAAAAGCCAAACATGCAAATGTGTATTCCTCGCCAGCTTCTGCATGATTCTTGACTTTCTCGTCGTCTCTGTCTCTTTTCCTCTCACTTTGTCATATGCTTTCACTCTTTGTCTCTCTCTCTCTCTCTCTCTTTCGCTCTCATTTCATCATCATTTTCCCATCATTTTCATTTTTCTTGCTGCTGCTGCTGCCCAAAGTGTGTGCGTGTGTGTGTTCTTTGTGTTGGAAACGACAGAGAAAAGAGGGGAAAGCGTGAGGAGCGAAGAAAGATCGAAAGTTCAATTAGCACGCATTTTTGAGCGTAATTTGAGATTTTCGCGGCGAGACCCGAGAGAGCCTTTTCTATAAAATCAAAAAAGCGCACTTCCTGGCTCAAGGAATTCTTGTTGTTGGATCCATTTCGTGAGCAGTCTCCTCATCCGCTTATTTTATTGTTTTTTTGCTCGTCCGCATGTTAGACTCAGCCGCTGAGCTCTCATTTCTAATGCACAAAAATCAGTTCCCGGTTTCATTATTTGCAGCTGTCGCATTTATTTTTGGGTCGTAGAGAGCTTTGGAGCATAATGTTGGAGCTTTGAGGCCTACGTCAGCTTAGAAGAAGCGGTTTTTGAGCGGCTATGATGCTCTTTTTTTTCCAGATTAGCCGCATTTTCGTCGCCGATGCTAGGAGCCAATTAGAATTCTGAAAATTCTCTCCAGAAAGTGCCCATTCCAATCGAGTGACTGTTTTTTGTTTGGCACCACCCATTGCAGCACGTTTCGTACCGTTCACCGCCCTAAAAAAAGGTGTGACGCATCAAAGTCCGAAGGTTTTTCAAGCGTTATCAGTTGATGAAGAGTTTTTATCATCCGTCGTACACTGTAGCTGATGTGTGCTTAAAAATTGTAACAAAATCGGGAAAGAAGCGGAAGTGAGTCCGAGTCCAATGCGAAACGTTTGCACCTTATCACTTGTTAGTCCCGAGATTGTCGCGGAAAAACTGATGAGGAATTATTTTTTGAGAATTTTTTGACGAAGATTTGTCTGATGAATTGTGCATTCAGTTTTCAAATTGTTGAGAATTTGCCTTTAACGTGTGGCAGGATTCAAGAAATTCTTAGAAACAACATCGTTCCTCATTCGTTTTTCAGCAAAAAGATGCGAAAATCTTTGGATTTTGTGTCTCGCCACAAAGCAAAAGACCATCATTTTTTTGTGTGTTCTTCTATGTTTGATGACAATGTTGACATCAAAGTTCTCTCTGTCTGGAATCACTCGAAGAACGCCGCTTCCCACCACCATTTGATTGTTATCGTCTCCATTCTTTTGCGAAAGAGAGAGAGAGAGAGAAAGACGTCTTCTCTCTCTCTCTCTCTTTCTCTCTCTCTTTCCTCCGCTAGCAATGATATGACCGAAAAGAGAGACGAATAGACGGACGAGGCACTCAATGACTCTCTCTCTCTCTCTCTCTCCCTTTTCTTTTCCGCCTTTTTTCTATCTCTTTCTCTCCCTCTTGAAATGGACAGTCTTTGGTCAAAATGAGATGCGCGCTTGTCTCGATTTGCAAATGTTTTCCCATGAAAACATGAATTTCTCATGTTTTTGTGCGGCGTCTGGCCCCCCGTCTCGTGGTTCCCTCCCAACTCTTTGTGGATACCTGACGGAACAATGACGTGTTTTTTGCTGATTTTGTTCAGGCGTTTTCAAATGAGAATGAATAAATGACAGTTCTGCATCATCATTATAATCGTCGTCGTCATTTTTTGTTCGCTCAGCAAAACCAGCCCTCCAAACTAGTCAGTAAACGAACCGACCGCTCTTTCTTCATCCGTCCGCCCGTTCTAATCGTTCCATCTCTCTCCCTCTCCCTCTCTTTCTTTCTTCTTCTTCTCTCTTTCTCTCTCTCTCTCTCTCCCTCTCTGATCAGAGTCTTATCGTGTGTCTAGTTTGTAGTCGATTCTCTATTTCTCGTCCGACTAATCATCCGATCAATCACTGCCTCCTTTCCGTCCGTCCGTCCGTCCGTGTCGGTTCCCGCATTCCCCCATGATTCCCTGAACTTTTCACCGCGGTTCCGATGAACTTTGCACGCAAACGATTGCTCCAGAATCTTTGACGCTTTCATTTGACACTGAACTTTACTGATGCCCATGATTTGCCGACAATATAACTTTGTTTGGGCCGCTGGAAAAACGTATTTATTTGAAGAGCGAACTTTATTTCCATATATCTAAAGTTGATAGTCAAATATTGAACAGTTTGGCGCCTTTTTTGAGAAAGTTATTTGCGTTGGACTTCGCGAAGATTTGCAAATGTTTTACTTGGAATTGACACGAACACTGCAACAGAGCTAATACGCAAATGTTTAAATTCGAAATTCGAAAATCTTGCATTTTCGCGCCCAAAATGCGAGGCGCCAAAAAAGCGGCAAAAGGTGATAGAGTTGAAAGTGTTCGGTGTGTTTGCTCACTTGCTCACTCCCTCATTCCACCCCTCTTCTTCCCTCTCTCTTTCTCATTCGCTCAGCCAATTATCGATTGATTCGTCCCGAGTCGGATGACTTTTGTTTTTACTTTGAGAACTTTCTTTCACTCTGTTCTTTATCGAGTTATTTGTAACCGCAGTTTTAGCTGAAAATGAGCAGGCTTATCATTCGGTTTTTTTCAAAATTGCTTGAATTCATATTTGCGTTTCCTCTTTTCCTTTGAATCGCCCTCAAAATTGCTGCTCGTTTTTGTAGAGAAATGGAGCCACAGGCGGACGGAGTGTACCTCGGAGGCGTCGGCGGCGGCGGCGGCGGCGGAAGTGGCGGAGAAATGTGCACGAACGGAGTGCCGTCGATCGGAGTCTCGTCTCAGACCGAGATTAAGGTCGAGGTGAGCAAACGACGAATTTTAGGGGGAAAGAGGGATTTTTTTTTGTTGTTTCGCATTTTACCGGAATTTTCAGAAAGTGCAACACACGTGGACAGTGAAAAACTTCTCGCACTGCTATCAAGAATATCTCGAAAATTTTGTGTATCTGCAAAGGTAAATTATTAGTGCCCTAATCGCGACGAACATTTGCGAGCATGGTTTGAATTTCGTGCCCGTATTTTGGTTTGCGATACGGAGCGATAAAAGCCTGGCCCGAGAGCATGTTCGCAAATGTTCGCCGAAACAACGGATAAAACAAAGTTTCAGAGGAGAAGAGCAGCTGACGTGGTCAATAAAAATATATCCGAAAGGAAACGGCGAAAATAATAAGGATTTTGTATTTTTGTGCCTCAACCGAGTCATTATTAATAATGTGAAGGCCGGCAAGATTGGCTTCAAGTCGCAATTCAAACTGCGCACCGCCGAGCACAAGGACATCGAGGTGATTCTTGAATGTTCTAGACTGTTTTCCAGTTTATCTCAAACATTTGCAGATGCGTATTCACCCGAATCCGTCGCATTCCGACTACGTGTCGTACATTAAACGGGACGTTTTGTTCCCGCAAATAATGCCGAGAGACATGATCATTGTGAATGTGGAGATTGACGTCGCCGTCGAGACGGTCACCACCAACAACGAGCCGATTCAGGTGAGAAGCACCGAAATTATTGGAAAAAATTTTGCCGTTTTTGCAGTTCGAGCCGGTGAACACGGAGCTCCAGCTGATCGAGGACTACCAGCGGCTGTTCCTGCAGGAAATGCTCACCGACTTTGAGATTAACGTGGGCGGACGGGTCATAAAGGCGCACAAGGCGGTCCTGGCCGCCCGCTCGCCCGTCTTCAACGCAATGCTCACGCATCACGACACCGACGAGGCCAAATCGGTGGGAAATTTGAACTTTTCAACGACTTGCTATTCTACGATCGGACCCGAACTTTGTACGATTTCTAGGCTTGGATTAAAGAAAATTGGGAGCATTTACTCTGGAGATACGTCAAATCCACGTATCTCCAGAGTAAGTGGTCCAATCGGTCTGAATCTTGGGCTCAATATACCTTAATCCATGCCCAACAAGTCCGCAAAGTTTGGTTCTGATCGCATTATTGAAATATTGCAAGTGGGTCAAAAGTGCATGCCTCGGAAACTGCCCGGAAACCCATTGGTTTTGCAGTCGTCGATGTTCATAAACGACATGGACTACGACGTGATCTACGAGATGGTCTTCTACATTTACTGCGGCCGCTGTCAGAAGGACATCACCGACATGGCGACCGCTTTGCTCATCGCCGCCGACAAGTACCGCCTGGAGGAGCTGAAGAGCCACTGCGAGAAGTACCTCGTCGAGAATATCAACGTGGAGAACGCGTGTTCGCTGCTCATCATTGGCGACCTCTACACGGCCCCCAAACTGCGGCGGAGGGCTGTTCAGGTATCTATTCGTAAACAAATGTTCATTGGAAAACAGACGATTCAGCTGATTCTGGCGCGACCGAAGAACGTGACGGGCACGCCCGGCTGGGAAGACATCCTCAAGTGCCATCCCAACCTCATCACTGACATTTTCAGTCAGATCGACAAACAGGTACGCGTTTGAGGAGACTGGAGGAGAAATTGGTCAAAAATTGCAGTCATCGACAGGCGCGAGCTCTTCCGTTCCCCCAACGGCGCCCGGAATGGCGATGGACTTCCCGATGGCGCCGCCGCCGACGGGCCTCTGAGCCACGCACTCGTTCCGCCCACTTTCCAGGTCTCGGTCCCTTTGTCGCCCACATTCCCACCCCGTGACTCTCCGATGTATATTTCACCGCTTCGCCTTTTTTTTCAAATTTTCTCGGATTTTCAACGCTTCTCGCGGGTCGCACGCCTTCTTCTATTCTTGTGTGTATTTTTGTCTGTCAAATTGTCTGAGAAATTCCCAAAAAAAGAGATACATGTAATTAAATGATTGACAACAAGCTCCGCCCCCTCTTCTTTTTATAATCTCAGCTTTAGCCCCGTCCGCCGCCGCCGCCACTAATTGTCCCCCGTTTCATGTAACACTTTTTCTCGCTGAAATGTTTGCCCCCAAAGAATTTGAACTTCTTGGTGCTCTTTTCCCCATTCTGACTGTCTTGTTTTACCCCCCGTCTCACTGAAAACAAACGAAAAAATGGATTGAGGAAAATGTTGTTAATGTTCACGCTTTTACAATGTGTTGAAATCACGGAATGAGCAAATGACATTTTTGAATATTTTATGCACTATTTTTTTGAGGTTTGTCTCTGAAAATGACGGACATTTAGCCAGTTTTCATTTTCTTTGAGTTTGAAATGATTATATTCATCTGGATTGGACATTTTTTACACTGATATAGATTTAAAACGGATATTCGTTTTTATCGAGGATTAGTTCTCGATTTCTCTGGGAACTCGATCGCAATCTAATTAGAAAACTTTGAAATATAATACGAACCCGTTTGAAACAGAATTTGCTTCAATTAGATTGCAAAATCTTCTAATTAGATTGCAATCACTGCAATTTTTCTAGTTAGATTGCAATGTTTTCTAATTAGATTGCAATGTTTTCTAATTAGATTGCAATTCAGGAAAAATATATTGTAATCTAATACGATTTGACTGGAACTTCAATTAAATCTGATTAGATTGTGAAATAGAGCTTTTTCTTATTAGATTGCAAACTCTTCTAATTAGATTGCAATCGAGTTTCCAGAGAACTACTGACTTTTTGGTTCAACTTTGATGTTTCCAAGCTATTTATATTGATGCACAAATCTGAGAAACAGACCGGAAATGAGATCGAAAATATGAGAAAGAGGCATTCGCTGTCAAATAAAGTTCACAAGTTATAACTGGAAGGTGGTGCATGCCTGTCGCGCGGCCAAAACACTGAAATCCCGTCCGGTCTTCTCGTTTTTCGCCGCTTCTCTGTCCGTTTTCAGCCATTTTCGGCACTCGGAGCGGATGCGGTCGTCGGAAATCAGCGGATCCAGGGAGAAGCGCTGCAAATTATCGATTTTCTCGTAAAAAGTATGTTTTTACAGGTTTTTTGCATAAAAGAGGAGATTTGCGTACTTACATGAATGAGATAACTCCGCCAGAGGGCCCATTTGAACGGTTCGACAGTCGTGATTCGGTCGATGACACGTGCTTCCGCGCGCAAAACGTCCACTATGAACGTCGTTAATAATTCGATCTGCAAAATTGTACGTTTTTAGCGATAAGACCCTTTTCCTCCAAATTTTTTACCCAATCGATTTTGGTGAGATGGGCGGCGCCGGTGAGCTCGTCGAACAGTTCTCCGCTCCAAACTTGCTGCCAAAACGGCAATTTGCCCGTCTTTTTCGGCGCTTTCTTCGCGTTCTGGTCCGATTTCGAATGGTATTCGATGAGCGGACTGTCCGCGAAGAAACTGGAAATCAAAGAGTAACACGCATTTTTTTTTTACAAAACCCCCTAACCTATGCACTTTTTTTGGATCGAAAATGCGATCTCTGAGGAGGCTTCCGACCGATGTCGTTTCTCGAAAAGTGCCCGGACGGGTGGCTGTCACCTGTTTATCAGCTACTTTTCTGGAGCATCCGAGCAGAATCACACAAATGAGCATCAGGTAGAGGGAGGACCAGAACTGCAAAATAATTGAATTTTTGACCCTGTTCCAATTGTTGGATCGGACCCAAACTCGGCGCGCTTCTTCGACTTGAATCGACATATATTGAGTCCAAGTTTCAGACCGATTAAGCGTGCCGAGTTTAGGTCCGATAGAAAAAATTGCAACAGGGTCAAAAGCAGAGTTGAGCGGAAGAACTCAACGGAAGAGCACGGAAGGACATTTTTACGCAACAACTCGAATAACTTTTTTGTATGAAAAGCTAAATTTACAATTATTTTTTTAGGAGCACAGTTCACTTTGCTATACATTTCGTCTGTTGATCACATTCCATGAAAAATTTTTCTAAAAAATATAAAAATTCTTCCGTGTTCTTCCGTTGAGCTCTTCCGCTCAACTCTGGTCAAAAGTTCAGATGAAAATTGTCGCTAACCACAAAATGCTTCCAGGTGTGTCTTCTCCTCTTCGTTTTCGCACTCCGATTTCCGATTACTGTGGAGACGATGGCGGTGAAGAAAATGGCACGGAATACTGTAGTTTGGGCTAGACGAACCTGAAATTGAATGCTGGAATTGTACCGTATCCCTCCAAAACCGTTCATTCAATTCAAAACGATGTAGGTCAGTTGACGGTTGAGATACCAGAAAGTTGTCAACGAATAAATTGTTCATTAAGACATTTTATACATTTTTTCAGTTGACCACTTTTTGACATCTTCACAAACAGCTGAGATATCGCATTTTGAAGTATCAGTATTGGGAGAGACTCCATGACTAACCATAATGAACATGGAAGAGAATGCGGCAAGCCAAATGTAGCTGAGCTCGCGGCTCTGTCCGCCGCACTGACCGATTATGTACACTCCTGAAATAGCTTGTTTTTAAAGAAACACTTTCAAAAACCCGCTACCAAAGGTGACACCGACGGCGAGAACGGCGATGAAAAGGAGCGAGTCGATGTCCGTCCAGCCGAAAGTGACCGTACACGCGAGCCACGTGGCCACGCCCACGTACGACCCGTAAAAGACCGAGTAGACGAAGCGGGTGAACGAAAAGCCGACGAATTTCGACTGCGCCGCCTGCAGTTTTCCTTTTCTGCAACATTCAATTCAAACTGTGAAATTGTGGTGAACGCAAGTGCGCTCCAATGCTCCAATGCTCAATGGAGCGCACTTGCAACATACGGCAATTCAACTCACTTGTACTTTTCCTTTTCTTGGTCTCCATCGCTGTCCCTGATCGCTCTATTGTACTCTTCCACTTCGTATCGGAACATGAAACTGTCGTAGAGCCATCCTGCACAACATTTTTTTGTTCGGTAGAGCGCATTTCGCTCGAAACGAACCGATCAAAAAGACGCCGAGTGTGGAGAAGAAGACGAACGATTCGGGAATTTGTCGCAGATAAAGTCGATGAGCGCCGAAGAGTCCGCCGATCGTTAGAAGACACCTGAAATTGATTTTCAAAAAGTTTTTGGCCTAAAATTATGGAAAAATTGAGAAATTTATTGATTTTTAGACGAAAAATTCGGGTTACCTAACTTTCCACGGTTTCACCTCGTTCTCCTCGTTGCTCATCTGAATATTATCGCATTATTCGGTACGACACTCCGAAAAGGGCATGCACGGTAGGTACCCGGGGTTCAGAAGATTTGTCGCACTTTTTCTCGAGTACAGCATGCGGCAACTTCAAAATTTGTTCATTACGGAAGAAGAAAATTCACAAAAAAAAAACGATTCGCCGGGTGTTGGTCGGATCACAATAAATTGAAATTCTACGGGAAAATAAAGGAAAACGGATTATGACGGAAAGGGAAAGGAAATCAATAAAATTCACATCTTTTCAAAAAACCAATTAAAACACAGCCTTTTTACGAAGAGATTTCAGGGCGGAAAGGGGGTGGGAATTTATACAAAGAACCAGTGAGAAACACTGGGAAAACAGGACATTTTCACAGAAAAATCAAATATTTATAAAAAGGGGAATGTCAGTGAAAAGGCGGAAAAGTGAGAGAGAGAGAGAGAGAGGGAACTGCACTTTCCATTCTCATTTTACACGAAAATTGGGGGGCTCGCTGTGGAGCGGTTAATCGATTTTGACGGCCGCGTAAATCTTGGTCAGGAAGAAGTGCGATGCGTAGAATCCGATCGTTCCCGTCATGAAAAAGAATGTCAGTGCGATCAGCGATCTGAAATTTTGGATCAGTCATGACATTTGGGTGCATTCTTCCACAGACACTTGTAAATTGATGCGAAAAAATGCAAAAATAAACTCACGAGTATCCAAAATAGAGCACAGTCGGCACGAATCCCTCAATCGTCAACTTCGTGTTGTAGTAGAACACTGCGTAGGCCATCACTGCAAAAGATGCGTACGTTTCATGTGAATGCACAATGAAAACCGACCATAGAATGCGGATCCGCCGGAAATGACGAACGACCGCCACCACCATCTGTAGTTCTCCGCGCAAAGCGAGAAATACGTGGCGACGACTGAGATTTGCGCCGTCGAAATGGCCAAAATGATGGAGACGATGAAGAGGAATCCGAACAGATAATAGAATTGATTCTCCCAGATAGCGTTGAAAATAAAGAAGAGCTCGATGAACATGGCTCCGAACGGAAGGACGCCGGCGATGAGCGAGCTGGGAACGAGTCGCAGGTACCACGGCTGTTCGGGCACTTGGCGGGGGATCTGGTTGGTTCGGACCGGGTGCGTGTACGGCTGTTTACGGTATCCAAAGTAGAATCCGAGGAAGATAAGGGGCATGTCGATGCAGAACCACATCACGAGCAGCGCGATCATCGTTCCGAACGGCACCGCCCCCGAAGAGTGCTTTCCGATGAGGAAGAAGTTGAGGAGGAAGCCGGCGCCGAGGATCAGCGACGGGAAGAGCGTGGCCGTCTGGATCGCGCACCGGATCGGATTGCGGCCCTTCATCGTTTTGTAGAGCCGTCCCGCGTGGTATCCCGAGATGAGGCCCATGAAACAGAACAGGAACACGGCCGCAGACATTAACGATCCGCGGGACGCCGGAGAGAGCATTCCCAGCATCGCGCACACTGAAAACGGGACAATTTATTAAGGATTTGGCGCATGCAGTCATCGGATCGAATACTGACTTTGAACAATCATCAGCCTTCGTCTAGAGTATCGTACCTCAAAAGTTTCAGCGCAAATATATCGATTGGAAGTCTAAAGCCCTATTTTTCTTGAAAACCAGAGATTTTCAAACTGAAACATCTACAATCGCGCTGAAACTTTCAAGGTAGACACTTCGAACGAAGCCAGTGGATTGCAAGTCCATCCGATTTACTAACCAACAACTATAGCGGACATTCCGAGCAGTTGGATACCGGTTCCGACCATGTTCACAAGGATCATCTGGTGCGGGGGCGGTCGGAACACGTCCCCGTGCACGAGTTTCCAGCCCGTCTCCTCGAGCGTCTCGTCCTCCTCGTCGTCCCGATTGTACTGGGCAATGTCGCGACGAACAGTCCGCACGATCGTCACACTGAGGAAGCCGGAGAGCGAGAGGACGACGACGAGCGAGTTGAGGATCGAGAACCAGTGGATGTCGGTGGCCTTCGTCGCCAGGTAGACGTCCCAGCGAGAGGCCCACGGCACGGCGCTCTCTTCGAACGAAACCGAGTAGGAGAAGTCGATCGACTGCTCCGAATCGCCCAGTTCCACGTGTTTCGCGCCGTCTTCCGGCAGAGAGCACTTCGTTTGGTCCTTTTTAGAGACGTTGATTGAGCGGGGCCGTACTTCGAAACCGACCACTCTGAAATATCGAAAACTTCTTGAAAGTGCTAAAAAAATGCGTCTAATTCGGAAAATTACTATGTATGTTGAGAAGTTCATGGCTCTAATTACAGAAAAAATGCAAAATGCAAAATGTTTGCAAATAAGAGAAACGGACCTGTACAATCCGGGGGTGTGTTGATGGTATTTGACGACGAACTGCAGGTGGTTGTTCAGATAGACCTTTCCGTTGTCGTCCGTCCATCCGAGCCGATATCCGAGGTCATAATAGACGTCTTCCGATTTCACCGGCGAGATTACCGTCGCCACTGGCAGATTGTCCACGATTCTGCAAATTTATGAATTAACGCGTACAAATTGGTACAAATGCGTACAAATGGGCCGAGTATTCCTGTCGAATTCGCTCCTTGAAAAGTGCGACGTCGTCTTTCGAAAGTTTATTCTCGCACAAATTCAGGCACTGCTCGTCCTTTCGCATGTTGAACACGTAGGGAGTGTTGACGATTCGGTCGCCGCGCATCACTTCTCCCAGATTCTCCGATTTGTACTGAATGTCGCCGTTCGACGGTTTGCAGAACGGCACCGAGTAGTACTCGAAAGGCATTATATTGTTGGAGCTCGTCAATTTTATCGCCTGAAAAAATTGATTTTGATTAGAAGATGCTGATTTAAAAAAAAAGTCACTTTGACATCGATGACATCGCCGACTTTGAAATCGACCGGAGCCACTCCGGGCACGTAGAATCCTTGCTCCAGCGGCACGAAACTGGCGAGCACCAGAAGGGTGCCGAGTCGCAAAAGGGCCATTACCTGCAAAAAAAAATCAAATAAATTATGAGTATAAATGTGAGAATTGAAGAAATGAGACATTTTAGAGGAGAAAAAAGGAAAAGCTCAAAAATGCGAGAAAAACAATTTTTCCTCAAAAATCCAAACTTTTCAGTCTAAAAAATGGCTGTTAGCGTCAACTTTTCCTAATTTTTTCAGCAGTTTCCACTTTTCCACCCTAGAATCTGCCTAGAAATGCGGAAAACGGATCGAATCTGGCGGATCGCCACGTGGATTCGGTGCTTATCGGCTCTCCGAATCGCCGACTGCCGCACGCTTTTGTGGGCGGAGCTTCGTGGCGTGGATTCCAAACGTAGCAACTGTGCCGCACACTTTTTCGGCGCTTTTTGCGGCAGAGCATCTTGAGCTCTAAAAATTGTCTAACAAAGATGGAAAGATAGAGAAGCAGCAATGAAATCATTCCAAAAAAGTGAACAGCTTACTTTCTATTCGGATATTCTCTATTATTCAGCAAAAAAACCAACGTTAAATTGATTTTACGGAAAAGACTGCCAAACTTTTTAAAAAGCTGTAACTAGCATGAAAAACGTGGCGAAAAATGAGAGCACGTGAACTTTTTCGCTGAAAAATAATCATTTTGTCATCGAACAAAAAGGGGTGACAAATTGTCAATCGTCAACAAGAAACGGACAACAAATATGAGTAAAAATAGAAAAATAACAAAAAAGGGTGTCAATTATCAACAACTTTGACGGCGGTGAGCACGTGTCCGCCGGCGACGTGCTGAGCCATGAGCGGGTGGGTCCGATCGGGCAGCACCTGCATCACCCGGCACATTTGCTCCGTCAGCACCAGGTTTATCGCTCCCCGCTTCGACAGCCAGTCGTACGCCGCGATCAGCACCTGAAAAAAAAACAGTTTGACAACACTTTTCAAATAATCGAAGAATGCGTACATTCTGATGCGGCGAATAGATGACGATGGAGGCGGACGGGGCGAGTTTCGAGTACAGCAATTCCAGCACATTGATCGGGTCCACCTGCAGAAAAAGACATGGCTTTCACTGGAACATATTTTAGAGTGTCTCGTCTCATTCATCGAATATTTGAAAACCCGATTTGAAACCGTAATAAAAAAAGACGTTTTCAGCGGCTTTAGTGGGAACATAAGACAGATTATGAGGGAGGAATATTTATCATTTCCAAAATGATTCAGGCACTTTTTGAATTTTATTTGAAACCGTAAAAAATGACTAATTACACCAGAATTTCGATCATTTTTCCATTTTCCCCCCAGAAATTCCGTGATTTACCGTGCGACTGGCGATGAGGAGCGAGTGAGCCAATCCGTTTTCGATCGTTTCGACGCCGATCCGTTCCCGCTCCAATCTGTCATTCCGTCGGCCCATCGCCTCCAGATCCTGCTCCTCTTTCGCTCCGTTCTCCGCCATTTCCTCTCCGTTTTCGTTCGTTCTTCGATGATTCTCGTACGGTAACTGTCTTCCCGCCAGAACACATTTTATTCGCACCGGCAGGAATGTGGAGAGCGTCTGAAATCAACAAAAACTAGTGGCCGAAAGCGAGACTTTTATAATGTTCAAAAACTTGCGAACCTGTTGATCATAGTTCATCGAGTGCAGGCACGGAATCGATTGAGCAACGGCGCCCTTAAAAAATTGCAGATTTTTTAAAAAGCAATTTCAGAATTGCTTCTTACCCTGTGAATGTGGACACACGCTCCTTTTCCGCCGAGTCGCTCGACGACTGCAGAAGTGATCAATCCGAGGGTCTGCTCGAACACGATCACTTTCTTTCCGTGGTGCACGGCCGCCATCTGCATTATCAGGGCGAGCTGGTCCGTTCGGAGCATCGCCAGACGATCCGCGTCCTTCAAATAATACGATTTCGCCAGCAGACGGATCGTCGGACGCAGGATCAGCACTCTGCAAAGAAATGCTCACTAGCGAATGATCAACAGGTAAGTTGGCCTTATGGGCCGTGACTGACATAGTTCGATAGCTTAGCGTTTCGTCTGTAGGCAAGTATGCATTTTCCATTACAGTCACGGGTACGCGACAATTTTTAAAAATTGGAATGGACCCCTTGACGGTCACGGGTACGCGGCAATTTTTAAAAATTGGCATGGACCCCTTGACGGCCACGGGTACGCGGAAATTTTTAAAAATTGGCAAAAAAATTGCCTAAAATACAGGATTTCAGTACAAATTTTCCGGTGTCATTTTCTCGAAATCCAGGTGCCGGCAGCAAAAACGATGAACAGAACATTTGATCCTCTTGGTATAAGCTATCGAACTATGTCAGTCACGGCCCATAAGGCCAACTTACCTGTTGATCGTTCCCTGGTCAGTATCAAAAAATTGAGCAAAACAAACCGATCGCTGTGTTTCTTGGCCTTGCGCTTGATGTACTTGCTCTGCGAGAAGACAGTGCGTGTCTGGAAGGAGGCGGATCCCTCGACGAGCCGGGCGACCATCTCCTGCCCGCTCACGCCCGCCTTCTTCATCTCAAGCACCGCGTCCATCTCGAGCTTCTGTCTCTTCTGCTCGGGCTCCAGTTTCAGCGCCGACGGGGCGATCACCACTCGAGGATCTTCCGATTGCGGTTCCGGTGCGGATGACGAACATGATGACGTGGTTGCTTCTGGAGCATTGATCGCTGACTCCTGCACTTGCAACTCTTCGATCAGTCTGTCGACGGACATCGGATGACACTGTCCGCCCGACACTTCGAACAGCCCGTACGGTTTTCCGAATGCACTGTAACATTTAAGAATAACCACTTTGGTTACTTCATTGTCACCCTACAAAAACTGTTCGGGAGCCGACCAGTCATAAGATTTTTGTTAATGAAAAATGAGAGAAATGTTTCATAGGAGAGGCTGAACGTTTCGGATCCACTTGCTATTATCCACTGGATCGAAAAAATATGATGATTGGTCGGCCCACCCGAATTGAACCAGTTTTTGTTCAGTGACGATTTAAAATGTATGAGAACAAAATATTGACGTCAAAGTGAACAAACACGGGCGAAAAAGGTGGTGGTGACTTTCAAAAATCACAATTTCCCTATAAAAAAAGTACCTGTCAGCGGAGAACTTTAATTTTTCGATGAGAATTTTCTGTTTCGCAGTGAAACGCATCACTCGGCTCTGTTCGCCGTCCACCTGCAAATCAGTGTGAATGACAATTTTTATGAGCCTAAATGTACTTTTTGCACGATCAAATATTGTCCACTTGTGATGAGAGTCTGCGACGGAGCAGGAGACGTCGTCGCCATGTTTGATCTGAAAGAAGTACAATGAGTGATGGAGAAGCATAGAAAATGAAGAGTGATGAAAAAAAACAGAAACTTTTCTCGTGGTTTTAACTCGGTTTTCCAATTCGTAATGACAATCTCAGCTATATTTCTAGCGTTTGAATTTGAACTTTGAAACTTTGAAAAACTTCTTTTCCTGTTCCTATTATCTCTGTGACATTTGCCGACTAATTATCATTGCGGGACCCGGAAAAGGAAGTGAAAGAGAGAGAGAGAGAGAGAGAGAGAGAGAGAGAGAGAGAGAGAGAACGAAAAACCAGTTGAGTATCACTTTTTGTCTGTTTTGATCGAATCAAATCAACGTACACTCAAATGGAAAGAAGACCGTCTTTTTTCCGTATTTTTCAAATGATTTGTCTATAGGAAAACACCAGACTGTAAAGTTTCATGAATTTGTGTTTCTGCTCGAAAAAGCTCCGAAAATAATTGCCGGAAGTTCCGCGGTCTATTTTTCTCGTTTCTTTTTCAATCTTCTCCCGTGCGAGCTCCCTTTTTCTCAATTTTTACATTTGTGGCGTCTTATTGTCAAATAAGCCATTTTCGTAGATAAAAATCGCACAAAAGTGCAGATGTTCAGTGAATCTTTTAAAAAGCGAGTTTGTTTGCACACCGGCGAAAAAACAAAATTTTAGAGATAGCCAGTCAAACCCCTTAAAAAAAATTCGATTTATCAAGACTTGTTCAGTAGGTCAATTGTGGCAAAAATAAATCGAATGAGAATTGTGTCCTTTTCAGACAGTGTTCGCCCCCCATTACTATGGAAATGTTTTGGGCGTCGGTGGACTGAAAATCCTCTTATTTTCGTGTATCGTTCCGCATTTTTATCATCATTTTCCGGTTGCTCTCGTAGATCATTTTTTGATGTGTACACCCGAGTTTTCCGGATTTTTCCATTCGCTAATTCTAACAAAACGCTAACAAAAATCACCCGTTGTTTTTGCGTAGATTCACATGCGTCTGGTCGAGCGGAACAAAAATAACATTAAGAAAAAAGTGTAAAAATCGTTTTGTTTGTGTTCTCTTGACGGGGACCACAAAAATGCGAGTGTCGACAATTTTTTATCGAAAACCACAAATTTCTAACCTTTCGCCCTCGGAAAGCCACGAAAAACATGTGGAATGTGTTCTCCACCGGAAAAGTCAACATTTGGCTTCTAAAACAGCGGAAAATCTTCCCATTCTCTTCCAATTTCCCGCTCTCTTCCTCTCGTTCCCCCATTTTCGAATGCTCTCTCGGCTCCTCCAATCTGTGTCGTAATCTAATCCTCTCGGGTGCTTTTGCGGTGCTCCGAGCACTCGGAGCAACCAGATTACGCTTCCCCGGCGCGGCTTCTGACTTCCCTTTCCGTCATTTCCTAATTTTATGGTTTCGCGATAAAATTAGCTAATAAATGGCAAAAAATACATAAAAGCTGATAAGCCCTACACCTCCTACTATTTTTCCCCTAATTTTCTACTAAAATGTCGACGTTGGAAGAGCAAAGAGTGCTTGTTGAGCTCGAAACGATGCCCTTCATCGTGGGACCCGTCGAGAAATGCGCGGAGCACAAAATGAAGCATTTCGACGGATTGGAGCCGGAAAAACGAGCAAACGGCAAAGGAAATGAGACGATTTCGACGGATTGTCACATGATTACGAGGAAAAACGGCATTTCGTACGTTTTTATGCAAGTTGAGCGTAAAAATGCAACGCAAGTGCAAAAAAGTTATCAGATGGGTAATTTCTGAAGCCTTTTTTCAATAAAACTCTTTTCAATTTTTTAAAAAATTGGAACAACAAAAAACGCACCGAAAACAACAAAAATCCAATTGAAAATCTGATTTTTGCCGAGAAAATAAAACAAATTGCTCAAATATGTCGTCAAATCAGGTGCCAAGTCCGCAATTGCGTACAGTACTCCTCGCAAACTTTTTGGCGGCTATTCAAGTTTGGTTTTTTGCAGGGCAACGTCCGGATTGATTAACTTCATCTGCGGAATGATCGGACCCGGATGTTTTTCGCTGGCAGTCAGTTTCAAAGAAGCCGGGCTATGGGTAAACCGAAAAAATCGCGAATTGACACGAACAACGAAATCTTAGGCCGGTCTCGCGTTAGTTTTCATCGTTGGCTTTCTGAGTTTGTACAGTATGCACAAAATTGTCAATTGTTCGCAGTTTTTGGCAAAAACGTAAGAGTGCAGGAGTTTCACATCGAAAAAAAAGTGATTTTTGAAGGAACGGCGATCAAAGTTTGGATTACGGCGAAATGGCCGAAGCGGCAATGCTGAACAGCTACGATTGGGCGAGGAGGCACGCGAAAATGACAAAGTAATCATCGAAAACGGCCAAGAAAACCAAGATTACAGTCCAACATTTCCAGAATAATCGTGAATGCGTGTTTGTTGGCCTTCCAACTCGGAGTCATCACAGTTTTTATGGTTTTTGCAGTCGAACACGTCATTGAGGTAGCCCTAACTTCCAAGAGCTACAGTAGTCTTAGAAGTGGTGCCAGAGAAAAAGTGTCGAATGGAAAACTAAAGCCTCCTGATGTGTCAAGATTTCTCCTAAATAACTTTGAACGTTGCAGATCTGGGAGTTCATCGCCGCCGCGCCGCCGCCCTTCTCCAAGTCCGTCATGATTCTGATGTACTTTGTGCCGCAGATGCTGCTCAATTTCATTGGTCACATGAAACTGATCACCGTCCTCTGTCTCTGCGGAAACGTTATCATTTTCGCCGCGATCGCCCTGATTGGCAAGGTACGTCCGAGATCCTTTCACACAAAGTCACTAATGTCGGAAGGTCTATGAGGCATGCCGCCGGCAGAAAACGTGTTCAAAACACAGTTGAGCGGAGGAACAAGAATTTTTATCTTTTTTTGAAAATTTTTTCATGAAATGTGATCAACTGACGAAATGTATAGCAAAGTGAACTGTGCTCATAGAAAAATATTTGTAAATTTAACTTTTCGTACAAAAAAGTTATTCCTTCCGTCTTCCGTTAGCCCTCCTTTTTTCACGGAACAACTCGCATAACTTTTTTGTATGAAAAGCAAAATTTACAATTATTTTTCTATGAGCAGAGTTCACTTTGCTATACATTTCGTCAGTTGATCACATTTCATGAAAAAATTTTCTAAAAAAGATAAAAATTCTTCCGTGTTCTTCCTATGCGTCATACACTTCATCACACAAATCACGTTGCAGGAACTGATGGAGCACTCGTGGGTGCCGACGTGGCAACTGCCGGCAATCCGCGGCGTGGAGGGCATCTCGCTCGCCGCCGGCGCGCTCATTTATTCGTTCGAAGGGCAGGCGATGGTGCTGCCGCTGGAGAACTCGCTGAAGCACGCGGAGGACATGCGCGGCGCGAGCGGACTCCTCTCGACGGCGATGAACCTCGTCACGCTGCTCTACGCGTTCCTCGGCTTCTTCGGCTACGTCACTTTCGGGAATCAGGTGCAGGGCTCGCTCACTCTCAACCTGCCCAACTCTGTGTAAGCGGTCACTGCCTGCACGCACTCGATGTGCGCCTTTTTCAGACTGACCGTAACCATCAAAGCGCTTCTCGTGCTCAAAATCTTCTTCGGCAGCGCCATTCAGTTGTTCGTCATCGTTCAAATGCTCTTGCCGTCCCTTCGCTCCAAATTTTCCGAAGACCGAAAATGCGTTCACAAATTGTTACCGTACGCACTGCGATTCGGACTTATGCTCCTTTCCTGTAAGCTATCAAGCATCGTCTTGTGAAAATGTTTCCAAATTTCAGTATGCCTAGCCCTAGTGGTACCCAATCTCATGCAAATAATCCCGTTGGTCGGCATCACCTCGGGCCTCCTAATCTCATTAATTCTACCCTCATTCTTGGATTGCATGGTCTTTTTGCCAGTGTACAAGAAGCAAGGAGAGATGTCAGTTGGCCTTAACATTGAAAAAATCAATAAAAAGAAAGGTGTTCAGGTTCAAATTCTATCAGAAACTATCGATAAACGTCTCACTTTTCGTGCTCGGCTGGCTCTTTTTGTGCTCCGGACTCTACTCGAGCATCGACGATATCCTCAATCATACATAGTGTCTGATTCTAGACATCTCTTCTTTGTTTGACTCACCCGGTGACTTACTGGTATTACGAGTATTGTTTTGTGATAACGTTCGAATGAATTCACTTTCACACGGTCTCCAGAGCTGACAATATGGGCGTGGCCTCGGCCAAATGGCGTTTTCATGAATTGGCAGGTTTTCTCTGATTTTTGTGATCAAAGACGATGAAAAATGATTGTTCGACATGAAAACACACTAATTCTCACAGCATTAATGACGTTTTGGCGCATTTTTCGCAGACTTTGCTTTTTCGCCTTCGCCGCCTAAAAACCGCACTATATTTTGCGCTTTCTTGACCGTTTTCAGACAGAATTGGTTTTGAGAATGATAAATCACGTAAATACAAGCATTTTGAGCGCTCGAACCGCGAAATTACCGAAACGCAACTGAAATTCACGCAGTTTCAGCGAAAAACCTTCAAACTGATAAATGTGATTTGCGACTTGACCAAATTTAACGCTCTTGCGCTTAAAAAATGAGAAATTATCGATTTTTCGTGGCTAATCTGGCAAAAACACACAAATTTTGCTGTTAAAATTTGAATTTCGCGCCAATGTATCGCTCTATTGGGCGGGGCGCACTTGCGCCCATTGTCAGCTCTGGAGAACGTGAATTTCACTTCTTCTTCAGATCCCCACATTTCGTGGTGTGTGTGTGTGTGTGTCAGTGTTGAGCGGAATTCCGTCTGCCGTCTTCCGGAAAAAACGTTTTCTTCCGTCTTCCGGGATTTTTTCTTCTTACCGTGAAAGAGTAATAGCTTTTCAGAAGCCATTTACTAGCTCCGAAGAACGCGAATTTCCACGGGCAGTGACCCAGATCCAAAATTTTTGTTGTTTAGTTATTTTTTTCAAAAAAAAAAAAACCGGAGAAAAAGGTTCTGCATTGACGATTTTTTTGTTCCGTCTTCCGTCTTCCGTCTTCCGTGTGAAAAATGTTCTTCCGTCTTCCGTGTTCCGTGTTCCGTAAAAACATTTTCTTTCGTCTGCCGTCTTCCGGATTTCAAAATTCCATTTCCGCTCAACTCTGGTGTGTGTGTGTGTGATGTTTGCGTTCGATTCGGAACTCGTCCGAACTGACAGTGCCCTTTCGCTTCCGAGCGTTCATCCGATCGTAATCTTCCATGAGAACCTGTTTTCCTCCATTTATTTATGCATATCACTCTCTCCCCTCCATCCCCTTTTCTTCCTTTTTTCCAATTCCCTCCCTTCTTTTGTGCCTCCTCAATGCGTATCAGCACAAAAGGAGGAAATCAATCAATTGCTCGGAAGTGTGGTCATACTACACTCTCCGATGGGGGGGTCACTTGAGGCCTCTCTCTATCAGTTGTCACTTCACACACTGATCATCAGTTTCATCGTTTTCAGTGGCGATCCCTGTTAGTGTTCCACTGGAATTTGATATGATAGCGTGTTCATAACTGATAGGAAATGATAATACACCAAGTGTTACTTTTCTCAATTTTACAATACAAGAGAGGTATTCAGAACTAGAGAATGTGGTGTTCTTCCCCTTTATGTCTAAACGCGCTGACAGGTTTTGAAGCGTAACGCCCGACAGACATTTTATTGTGATCATGATGTTCTCCTGGTCACTCTGAACACTTTCTCATTTGAGAATTTGTTGTTACCCTTGTTAACCTAAAATCAAGATTGAGACCATATGCTTAAAAATAAGCGAATTTTGCTTTACGGGGTCAACAGTCCTATGCTGAAATGTTCAGTTGAGTCTGATATTTTGAAGACCACGACGACGCTTGACGATCAAAAAGTGATCACGTAACAAGGTGTAAATCTTGATGTTTAATGACAATTTATCATTTTTTTTGAAACTTCAGCGATCTCTAAAACTCGATCCTAGAGTCTTCTTCGACTTTTCGTCAACTAGCACAAATGTCTTTTGCCCCATACAGTCCGTTATTATGAAAGGGTTCGAAGCAATCGTTGGCAGTGGTGAGTGACCTAGAGTCTTTTGGGTAATCCCTCTTACAAGGAAAGGTTGTGACACACTTGGAAAATTCTGGAAAAATTCTTAAAAATCAGCAAAAATTCCGAATAGCACGCTCAAATTTTTTCAGAATTTTCGATTTTCTAGAAAAGCGCTGCTTTTGAATTTTCTTCTGCTTATCCTAAACTTGCTGTAAAAGAGAAAAAGCCAAAAAAAATTCGGCCGCCTAATTCTGCGAAAAATAAAAAAAAATAAAAAATAAAAAAATAAATTTAATAATAACTCATTTATTCTCTTCAGCCTATTTCATTTAAAAAAATTAAATTGGTCACAACCTTCCCTTGTAAGGTCTACATTCTCATTTTCATTTGAATGTTCACTTGTGACCTTCAAATAAATAACCAAACATCTCTTTCTCATTTTTATCATCAAAAAACGAAAGCCTTCCGGTGGCTTGTGCCGAGCAACTCTATCTTCTAAATAAATAATGTGTCTGCGTCTCTCACTCATTTCTCTCGTCTCTCCTCTCTTTTTCGCCGACAACAAAACACGTTACAAGGTCATTTTGAGCATAAAAAGAGAGAGTAGAGCGGTTTTTTTTGCGTTGATCCGTCGAGGTCGCAGATTGTTATCAGGACACGTGCAGACACCAATTCTGATACTTTTCGGCAACTTTCCCCCGCCCCGACTACACTATTTTCCGATTCTCTTTCTATTCTAACCTTGAAAATGACAAAAAATGTGTCGGCAAAAGAGGACGTTGAGCTCGTCGCAAAGATGCCGTTGATGAGTGCGCCGAAGGAGACGAAGAGCACAAAAGAGCCGGCGGCGAGCACTTCGACCGCCATTTTGAGGAGCAACGGAATATCGTGGGTTCACACTTTTTAAAACCTTTTTTCTATCCGTCTCAAAGTGTCTGTAAAGTATGACATTTGAAGGTTGTTAGCAGAATTGAGCGGAAGAACTCAACGGAAGAACACGGAATAATTTTTATCTTTTTTAGAAATTTTTCTCATGAAATGTGATCAACTGACGAAATGTATAGCAAAGTGAACTGTGCTCATAGAAAAATAATTGTAAATTTAGCTTTTCATACAAAAAAGTTATTCCTTCCGTCTTCCGTTAGCCCTCCTTTTTTCACGGAACAACTCGCATAACTTTTTTGTATGAAAAGCTAAATTTGCAATTATTTTTCTATGAGCAGAGTTCACTTTGCTATACATTTCGTCAGTTGATCACATTTCATGAAAAAATTTTCTAAAAAAGATAAAAATTCTTCCGTGTTCTTCCGTTGAGTTCTTCCGCTCAATTCTGCTTGTTAGTGGTGAGCGTAAGGCACAACCAGGGCTCGGCAATTGGCCGGCACAGGCTTTTCGTTGGACCTTTGAACCCCTCGCAATGTTCCGATCGGCGCCAAACTTTGCAGGAATGTTGCACTTGGATTGAGGGTCATTGGGACCAAGTTTCAGCCCGATCGGATCATCTGGTCCCGAGATATGTGGATTATTGGCCGAATTTGGCCGGAGGCTCGGGCTTTTTGGAAAAAATCGGCCATATCTCGGGATCCGAGGCTCTGATCGGGCTGAAACTTGGTCCCAATGGCCCTCAATCCAAGTCCAACAATCCTGCAAAGTTTGGCGCCGATCGGATCATTGCAAGTGGGCCAAAAGTCCGGGCCGGCCAATTGGCCAGCCCTTGGCACAACATTAAAAAAGCAATGTTCAGAGCGACAGCGGGCCTAATAAATTTCGCGTGTGGAATGGTCGGACCCGGCTGTTTTTCGGTCCCAATCAGTTTCAAAGAAGCCGGTCTCTGGGTACGCGCTTCACTTTTTTGTTCACAAAAAAAAAAAAAAAATCGATAACACTCATTTCAGGCCGGATTCACTTTGGTCTTCATCGTCGGTTTTCTGAGTGTGTACAGTATGCACAAAATTGTCAATTGTTCGCAATTTCTGGCGAAAAAGTTGCGAAATTGCAAAGAATTCCTTTGATAAAAGCGATTTTTGAAGGAACGGCGATCAAACTTTGGATTACGGCGAAATGGCCGAAGCGGCGATGCTGAACAGCTACGATTGGGCGAGAAAGTATGCCAAAACGGCAAAGTAACTTGTAAAACGTTGAACAACTTCCCCCAAAAACGATACAATCCGGGTTCAGGGTGATCGTGAATGCGTGTCTGCTCGGCTTCCAACTCGGAGTCATCACTGTCTCCACCATTTTTGCGGTTGAGCATATTATTGAGGTACAACAGGGCTTTGTTTTCTACTCGACACTGTTTCTATACGATCACTTTTAGGACTACTGTAGCTCGGGGAAGTCAGGGCTAGTTGAGAGCACATTGAGGCACTCCCAACTCTCCAAAGCTACAGTAGTCTTGTTAGGAGTGGTTGGATCAAAAAGGTGTCAACTACAAAAATGAAGAGCTAGATGTGAACATCATTTTGTAAGTTGACACTTTTTGTCGTACACCACTGCTTTTGGAAGTTGGAAGGCTTTTATGTGCTCTCAACTTGCCCTAACTTCCAAGAGCTACAGTAGTCTTAGAAGTGATGCCAGAGAAAAAGTGTCGAATGGAAAACCAAAGCCTCCTGATGTGTCAAGATTTCTCCTAAATAACTTTGAACGTTGCAGATTTGGGAGTTCATCGCCGCCGCGCCGCCGCCCTTCTCCAAGTCCGTCATGATTCTGATGTACTTTGTGCCGCAGATGCTGCTCAATTTCATTGGTCACATGAAACTGATCACCGTCCTCTGTCTCTGCGGAAACGTTATCATTTTCGCCGCGATCGCCTTGATTTCAAAGGTAAATAGTAGTAGGAATGTGAGAGCACATGACTCTCTCGTGATCGTTGATACCACCAAACAATTGGCGACTGGGAAAAGGAATTTCTGGAATGTAGAGTGGGAGCCCACCAGTGTTGAGCGGAATTCCGTCTTCCGTCTTCCGTCTTCCGGAAAAAAATTTCTTCCTTCTGCCGTCTGCCGTCTTCCGGATTTCAAAATTCCATTTCCGCTCAACTCTGGAGCCGCACGGTCTCCAGAGCTGACAATATGGGCGTGGCCTCGGCGGCCAAATGGCGTTTTCATGAATTGAGCAGGTTTTCTCTGATTTTTGCGGTCGAAGGCGATGAAAAATGATTGTTCGACATGAAAACACACTAATTCTCAGAATTAATGACGTTTTGGCGCATTTTTCGCGGACTTTGCTTTTCGCCTTCGCCGCTTAAAAACCGCACTTCTGATTTTGCGCTTTCTTGACCGTTTTCAGACAAAATTGGTTTTGAGAATGATAAATCACGTAAATACAAGCATTTTGAGCGCTCGAAATGCGAAAATTACCGAAAAGCAACTGAAATTCACGCAGTTTTAGCTAAAAACCTTCAAACGGATAAATGTGATTTGTGACTTGACCAAATTTAACGCTCTTTCGCTTAAAAAATTCGTAATAGCCTATACAATCGGTCTATCGAGAGACAAATGAGAAATTATCGATTTTTCGTGGCTAATCTGTCAAAAAACACAAATTTTGCTGTTAAAATTTGAATTTCGCGCCAATGTATCGCTCTATTCGCACTTGCGGTCATTGTCAGCTCTGGAGACCGTGAAGCCTCATGAACAGGCGGCTCTAATACTCTCCAATACCCGAACCATCACGTTGCAGGAACTGATGCAGCACTCGTGGGTGCCGACGTGGCAACTGCCGGCAATCCGCGGCGTGGAGGGCATCTCGCTCGCCGCCGGCGCGCTCATTTATTCGTTCGAAGGGCAGGCGATGGTGCTGCCGCTGGAGAACTCGCTGAAGCACGCGGAGGACATGCGCGGCGCGAGCGGACTCCTCTCGACGGCGATGAACCTCGTCACGCTGCTCTACGCGTTCCTCGGCTTCTTCGGCTACGTCACTTTCGGGAATCAGGTGCAGGGCTCGCTCACTCTCAACCTGCCCAACTCTGTGTAAGCGGTCACTGCCGGCACGCACTCGATGTGCGCCTTTTTCAGACTGACCGTAACCATCAAAGCGCTTCTCGTGCTCAAAATCTTCCTGGGCAGTGCTCTCCAGTTGTTCGTCGTCGTTCAAATGCTCCTGCCGTCCCTTCGCTCGAGCTTTTCCAAAGACCGAAAATGGTTGCACAGACTGTTGCCCTATGCTCTCCGTTTGTTCCTAATGCTCGTTTCGTGTAAGTTAGCCCACCCTACAACATCCAAAAACCGATCAATTCGATCTCGTTTCCAGTGTCCCTGGCCCTCGTGGTTCCCAATTTGACACAAATCATCCCGTTGGTCGGCATCACCTCCGGACTGTTATTATCGTTAATTCTGCCCGCCTTCTTGGATTCCATCGTCTTTTTGCCGGGCTTCAAGAAGCAAGGAGAGATGTCAGTTGGCCTTAACACTAAACAAAAAATAGAAAAGAAAGGTGTTCAGGTTCAAATTCTACCAGAAACTATCGATAAACGGCACACTTTTCGTGCTCGGCTGGCTCTTTTTGTGCTCCGGACTCTACTCGAGCATCGTCGAAATTGTCGATAACAACAATGACTCCTAGATTCGTTTTTGAGTAATTCCGACTCTTACGAGTATTTCATGTCCATTTCTAACTGATCTATTGTGTGCGATTCTTCGGCCGATCGAGAAGAACATTATTAGGGCCATAAATTTTGTCAAAACGTTTTGAGAGATTGTCGATTCGCTTGGAAAGTTCACCGTCAACAGCAAGACGATATTGTTCTCTTCTTCATCGAAAACGACCTTGAGTTTCAGTCGTCAAAATGTCCGAATGTTCTCGTGACCAGAACCGGTTCTTTTTCGGTACCTTTCATGTCTTGATCTCGTTGATGATAAATGATAAAGTGAAAAGTGTTTTATTTCAAAGAACATGAAAGCGGTGTACCCAAAAAAAAATCAATAGTATTCCATTTTCAGCTGTCTCGTTTTTTTCTCAGCCGCGGCCCGGGCATCCGTGTCCGTTGCAGAACAGATAGATTCCGTTCTGTGGGGTTCCCTCGAACGTGTTGCCGTACTGATCGACTCCGATTCCTACAATAGCCGCTCATTCATTCTCTTTTTGTTCGAAGAACACGACCTTGAGAGTTGTATCCCCACGCGGGCTGCGACCATCCACCGAACAGTTGGGCGTTGACGGTGGCGGACAGCACGAGCACAATCGCCATAATGCAGAGAATCGAGTAGTTGGACATGTGGGACGAGCCGAAGACGGTTCAGACAATCAATGCGAAACAAGACGAGTGATGCGACACTACCAGCGACGCAACTTTATACGGTCAACGGGGGCGGCGTCTCGCCTACGACGATGAAGACGTCAGCGAGCGCAAGAATCAAGTGTAATTACGAGAAGAGTCATTGAGAATTTGAGACAAGTGAAAGTGAGCAAAACAGTTTCGCTCCCGGGTGGGCTCGAACCACCAACCTTTCGGTTAACAGCCGAACGCGCTGCCTATTGCGCCACGGAAGCAGGCCATTGGTGATGGAGCCGAGGTCAATGAAAAAGGTGCGGGCGCGGGGGAGCTGTGCGGACATTTTCTCGATGATTTATCAGAAAGTTGGCGATGATCGGTCAATCCACGCGTTTCTGCACGGACTGGCTTATCATCGCACTTTGTCTCAACTTCGGATCCGATTCATTTCGACAATTCGCCTCAAATTCTCCAATTTTCTCAACATTTTCCATCGATTTTCCGTATTTTGGTCGTGTTCCATCGTTCGGTCTCTCTGGGATCAAGTCAGATGACGTGTCACGGGCAGACGGATAATATTGGGAAATTTAGAGGAAATTTAGAGCCGACTGTAGATTTGGAGGGCGATTTTTGAGCTCAGTGACGTTGCTCTCATTCGGAGTCTAGACGACGTGGCAAATATGTGAAATTTTTGATTTTCGACTGAAATTCCAACAAAAAGAAGCCACGTCACAACATTTTCCAGCACAATTCGCCACGTTATTCCACCTGAAAACTCCAATTTCTCTCAGAAATTCCATTCGAAAAAGACCAAGTTTGTGCTGAATGTCTGTGATTGGTTCGTGCGCCTCCCATCTACCGTAATCCTTTTAATTCGCTTCTTTTTCTAAAAAGTCACTTAGATCTGCAGATCAGAGTATCCGATCGAGCTGAAAATTGTTCTGGAGATGCACCATACCAAGGGCAATGTCCAAACACTTTTTCGGCTCGAATCGGCCAACTGGAAGTGTTCTTATTCATTTTCCATCTTTTGGCTGTCAAACTTTGGAATCTGTGAGTGTGAGAATATAAAAGAAATTTTAAGATTGGCCTGATATTTACAAAAAATGAATGGAAGAAATAGTATACACATTCAAATAATTATATAACAATTGTTGTTGTTTCGTCAGTCACGACTCTGCTTCACGTACGCTTGGTAATAGAATACTGAAACGAATTTCATGACGTTTTTGGCATTCCATGTGCAAAACTCACTTAAAAACGAGAAAAAAGTGAGTGGGAATGTGAGACGGGACATCAGATCGACTCGTCGTGAGATGTCAATGTTCGCCGACAGTAGTTCGCTTATCCTGCAACAAAACAACCATTTTTTTGACACACACAACTTTTGCCACCCTATCCAAAGTTTATCAGAGCTTTTTGTCTACAGGTACCCAAAATCAGATCATCTGAACAAACTTCACACTGCATTCTCGAGTAGGAAGCCAAAATCATTGACGTCAACATCATCAGATGCCCATAAAAAAGGGCCCACAGACACAGACACTCTCTCGCTCTCTCGTTTGATCTGTCAGAAATGAAATGACCGATCAAAGAGGACAGTGAGAAGGGTGAACAGCTATTATTGGGGCACCGAACAGAAAGGGCGCGCTGTTCGCAATCTGGCCGAATTTCTAGGCCGCGAAGTAATTTTCCACTGAAAACGTGGCCCAAATTTTCAAACTCGGCCCCGAGGTCGCTCAATTTGCACTGCAAAAAGAGTTTCTCAACAGAGCGCCATTTCTGTGCGGTGGTGCCCCTATAATAGGACCATAATAATGGATTTTGAGAGATAATTTTCGAGAAACTTGTGAAAAACTACACTGTCCTGAATGTTTGTCACTCACTGATTAAATGAAACTTTGAATGCGAGTAAAAAGTGTTACCTCTTGACAATGGGCAACTTTTTGACTCCCCGATATGCGGACAGATCGAGTCGGAGTGGCGGACGATCCGAGGGACACACGCAGTCGTCGATACGCGTCTTCTTCTTCTTCTCCTGCACAAAAAATGCGATTGCTTTTTGACATTCAGATAATACGCTTTACGGGCTTATTCGGCAGAAAAAAATGGTCTAATTAAAGGCTCCGATTGTGAAAAATGCTTCGAAAGGGTGTACTACTTCTTCTGAAACAGAAAGTGTACCTTTCTCAAAAACTCTTTCCTTCCGTAGTAATTGACGACTGCGTACTCGAGAAGGGCGCCGAAGATGAAGGCGAGACACACTCCGATCCACACGTCCACCGCCTGAATACTTTTCGTTTTGTGACCTGTGTAATCGATTTTTGAATACTTGACGTTCGCTAACAATTTACGCGCATTCAACAACATTGAAAAAGTGTGAACGAACTTTGATATAGGAGACGGGCGGGAGTTTCGAGTTGATGCCACTGGCCTGAGTGGTCATTGTGAGCAGAGTGGTCACTCCCAGAGACACTCGCGCCGGCACCGCGTCCTGAAACAGTTCACACGGTTATTTGTCGTCTTCACTATTGATTGAGATATTTCTGACGCCAAATAGTATTCAAACATGCGTGATGTGTCTGTAAATACTACGAAAATGCATCTTTTCAAGACCACAAACCTTGTCGAGCCAGAATGAGACCCAGGAGACGACGACGAGCATGATGCAAGGGATATAGAGTTGGATTAGGTAGTAACTGCAAAAAAACGTAGTTGTGTGAAACACATGTACTGTGCCTTTGAAACGAATTTCTATTAAAGCTTGAAAGTTCAGACTACCCTATACATCAGTAAACGCTTCATAACTGACCTGTACTCGCGACGAAGGCGCAAAACGACCCGTGCACAACTGTATTCGCCTAAAATCGAATGAAAACAGATAGGAATTGAGGAAAGGCACACGAGAGGGAGGGAGAGCAAAACACAGAGGAGAAGAGGCAGAAGACACGGGGGGAAAAAGAGGGATCACATGAGGTAGACGGCCCAGTAAAGCACATTGAAACACGCGTAGCCGATCGGGAACACCTGCAAGTACCATGTTTTCCGCGGGTGGGGCGAGAACTTTATGAAACTACTAACCAATCTGGAGACGACATCGATCCTCTTGGACCTCTCTTTATATCTGCGTACAAAGATGCGACAGCAGAACGAGGAACGGCCCTGCGAAGCCGAAAGTGGGCGGTATCCGTCCGTCGGCAACTGCTTCATTTGTCTCTGTGAGAAAGAGTGGTGTCATCAAGTATGCACATCTTTTTGAAAAACTTACAATTCGCTGCGAGACCTGTGTCATGTCCTTGCGCGCCGCGTAGTTCACCAGAGCGAATTCGAGAAGGGCGCCGAAAATGAAGGCGAGACACACTCCGATCCACACATCGATCGCCTGAAAATGAGAAGGTTTTGCCACGTTTTTTTTTGAAACAAAAATCGTGTACCTTGGTATAACTGACGGGCGGCAGTTTCGCATTGATACCCGAGCTCTGGGTGGTCATTGTCAGGAGGGTTGTCACTCCTGAAATACACGTTTATCGATTTTTCCGACATTTCACCGTTTCTACTCACCCAAAGTGACTCTCGCGGGAACAGAGTCTTTATCGAGCCAGAACGAGACCCACGAGACGATGACGAGCATGAAACTGGGAATGTAGAGCTGAAAAGGGACGGCACGATTGAGGGACAAACAGACGCGGAATGGAAGAAGGACCTGGAGGAGGTAGTAACTGAATTCGCGACGGAGGACCATTCGGGTACGCAGACACGAGTACTCGCCTGAACACACAAAGAACACTTTGAAGCGGTTATCATGGACACGATTAGGACGTACATGAACGGAACACTTTTTGAGGAAGCCCCCCAAATACAGAGTGGGTTGGGATGGGGAAAACTTTCGCCCCATCCGCCGAAACAACAAAAAGCCGCGGTCTAGAAGGGGACGACGTACCGGTGTTAGTGAGTGAGGTACAGTAATCGGTGACGACGTCTTGCAACTCGAAGGACGGGAGCGACTGCCGCAGTCCGTCCTTCTGCTGAATCGGCTTCTGCTCCTTCCACTCGTACTTTATGTCCTGTGTCGTGTACGCGTCTGAAATCCTCGTTTTTCATTGCGACTTTTTTGCGAGAACGCGCGAACTGACAAGAGGCCAAATCGATGAGACAGTTCTGTCGATCCAACGGATAGAATTCGAGGGACATTGGACACGAGAGCACCAGGGACAGTCTGGAATTAATGCGTTTTTCTCACAGCTTCGTTAGACCATTCGTTGTTGGGGTCTTAAGAAGAACAAGAGAAAGGTTTTAAAACGACAAGAAGCTGTTTGACGGACCATTCTGTCCGTGAACTACCTACTTTCACGGTCTCCAGAGCTGACAATATAGGCGGCGTGGCGTTTTCATGAATTGAGCAGGTTTTCTCTGATTTTTGTCGTCAAAGGCGATGAAAAATGATTGTTCGACATGAAAACACACTAATTCTCACAGAATTAAAGACGTTTTGGCGCATTTTTCGCGAACTTTGCTTTTTCGCCTTCGCCGCCGACCGCCGCCTAAAAACCGCACTTTTCATTTTGCGCTTTCTTGGCCGTTTTCAGACAGAATTGGTTTTGAGAATGATAAATGACGTAAATACAAGCATTTTGAGCGCTCGAACCGCGAAAACTACCTAAAAGCAACTGAAACTCACGCAGTTTTAGCCAAAAACCTTCAAACGGATAAATGTGATTTGCGACTTGACCAAATTTAACGCTCTTTCGCTTAAAAAATTCGTAAGAAATTATCGGTTTTTCGTGGCTAATCTGGCAAAAAACACAAATGTTGCTGTTAAAATTTGAATTTCGCGCCAATGTATCGCTCTCTATCCATTGTCAGCTCTGGAGACCGTGCTTTGGAAGTCTTCGGGCTGTTAAGAAAGGAGGTCGGATGACACAAGAACATCTTATAAACATTTGTGTTTCAAAATCTAAGTACACTTTTTGTTGACTCATGATTACTGTTATTTTGTTTCATTTGAGGTCGGTGTTTACCTGACTGAATAGAGAATCGCTCCATTTTTGTGAATTCTGATGAGCACGTTCGGTTTGTCGATCAAATGGCGACGGGCTTCTCTGAAAATAGGGACATTTTTGAATTTTTTACTGTTTCAAATGCATCTTTAATTATTATTTAAATCTGTCTCAGTAATTATGTTTCCTGTATAAGTTTTTTAGCTGTATAAACACGAAAGGATTGTTTTCCCCCCGCCGCCGAATAAATTCGATTATTCTCGGGTCCCGACATGTGCGAAAAAAAAGGGAAACATGTTTTTTGTTCCACAGAGAGAGAGAGAGAAAGAGAGAAATCATAAATTAAGAAGGGAAAAGCATGTGTTTTTGACACGCAAAAGGCAAAAAAAAAAGAAGCGGAAAATGAGAATGAAAATGACGTTTCGGGTGGAGAAAGTCATGAAATTTTTATAAAGTCAGGCGAAAAAGACAAACTTTTCGTTTTGGAAAAACGTGTCGGGCATCCAAATTTGTTGAGATTGATCCGCATTTTCGGAAGTGGCCAACACGACGAACGGAGGTACCTGGAACACATCATCCAAAAACTCCCCGAACACAAATGTTTCACTATTAGAAGAACCCCTTCGCGTGTCAAAAGTTCCGTCTCCGACCGAATCCCTTCTTCCCTTTTCGGACCCTTTTCATCACCCTCCCAAATTCAATTTGTTCCCCTCCTTCTTTTTCTTTTTCTTCTTCTTCTTCTTGAGCTCCCCCTTGAAAGTAGCTAAAATCTGAGGAGCTTTTGGCAAAAAAAGGAAAAAAAAAGAGGCATTTTGTGCTCATTCAATGGATCTCATTGTGTTGAAAAGGGTCCTTTTGATGAGTGAGAAAAGAGTGGAGAGACGGAGGGAAAAGTACGGTGACAATTAATGAATAGTGCTTAGAAAAACGCGTGTGACGAACGAATGAAAAATTTTGAAGGGGAACGATCAATTAAAAAGTTGTAGAGCACAAATCTTGCGACAACTTGTCCGTTGATCGCTTTTTGTTTTGACAATTGGTTCCCGCGACACGTGCCTTGGAAAGTGGTAAAAATTTGCGCACCTCAACGTCGCCCAATTCCTCGTATCGCTCGTAGGCCAGTCGCTGATCGGTCCATTCCTCGCGGAAAGTGAACTGCGCACTGTACTCCATGTTTACATCGTCTATTTTCGAAATCGAGCGCAGATATATGTTCACGGTCACAAGCACGGGCCCTCCGGTATCTGAAAGCACACAGAATACGTGACAACCATCAAAAATTTGATTTTCTCTTTGTTTCCGTCGAAAAAAGGGAAATTTGATTTGGTTTTTGTGTCGAATGCGACGAAAAGTGCGCATTTTGTCGTAAACACCCAATAATTGACGACAAAATGCACACTTTTTCAAAATTCAATGTTCGGGAATTTTCAGCTATATTTCGGATAAAACCTGTATGTGTCCGTTAATACACCGAATCTAACAGGGATATTGCTGTTTCGAAAGCAATTCTCCCTGAATTTCAGGTAAAACCTGTTTTTTTTTTCGAGGCAAAACCGAATTACAAGGCAGAATGCACAGATTTCTCATGTTTCGCTATTTTCTGCTCAATTTCGGATAAACTTAGCGGTCAATATACATCTTTTCGTCATTTTCAGATGATTTTTGCAGCGAGATTCGCATCTGATTCTGCGTTTTGTCAAAACAAAACAGAATACTCAAAATGTTTAATCTTTGAGAACGCTAATGAGTTTTTCCTCAAGATTCCTGTGCAAAAGTGTCAAATATCGTGGAGAGTTCAAAGATTTCCGCCCAAAAGCTCTCAAGTTTTATTTTCTCGTGTCCTAATGAGCACATTCTCAAGTAGACCCTCTTCTGCTCATTTTGAGATGGAAAATTGGCAGTTTTTGAGTGTCAAAAATAGGAGAAATCAATAAAATTCGAAATTTTTCACAGAAATCGCTTGCCTGGCCAGCTGGAATTGAGTCCGCGCGGGCGCACCCTCCAGTCGTAGTCCTTCAGAATTCTCTGGATGATTTCCTGCTCTTTCAGCTTCCGTTTCGCACAAACCGAGTAGATCATTGTGAATATTATGAGAATTGTGGACGGGCGCACGTACCACATCTCTCTGCAAACACTTTTTTTTTTATAAATTAGGAGGGGATGAAAATTATGAAGAAAATGAGAAACAGAAAAAAAAGTGGGAGCTTTTGGAAACACTCCGTTTTGGGCCATCAAAAAACATCAACAAATCACATGGGAGCATAAAAAAAGCGTGCCCCGTTTTGCGGCTTATAAAATTAACCGCCTAATTTCTTGGCTTTCCCATAGTACTAGTACAACTTTCTCTCCCTCTCTCTCTCTAGAGGAACTTGAAGCAGAGGGCCCCTCCTTCTAATCGAAAGCCGAGAAAAGGGAAGAAGGGGGAGAAGAAGAAGAAGAAGAAGTGATGATGGCTAATAGTTATGTAAGGAAGAGAGAGAGAGAGAGAGAGTGAAGGCGTCTTTCTGTGCCGTCCGTCTCAGATGCCTTTTAGCTCCTTTATCCCCCTCTTCGGCTCGCAAAAGAAGAAGGAGGGAAAGAGGGAGTGAGAGAAGAAGTCCCTCTCTCTCTCTCTCTCTTCCATTACCTGATGCATGCACACTCACTCACACACACACACACACGTACAAATGGAAGAGAAGAAGAAGGCAAACGACGGGCGGCCAAACACCTTTTTTGCATTTCACAGCAGCAACCACTCGGCTGGAGTGAATGAAAAGGTAATGCGCAACTTTTGAGGGGCGTGCGGGGGTCTTCAACAATCACATTTTCCATCATTTTGTGAGGTTCCCTGAATGGATGACCGCCTAAATGCCCCATGGCGGTATCACTTTCGGTTTGAGAGGAAAAGTGAAAGTCATAGAGGGTTTCGAGGATCCAAACCAGGGGTGTGCGTAAAATTTTTTTCGGAAAATTTCGGAAAATCGGTTTTTCCGAATTTTTTTTTCGGAAAATTTCGGAAAATCGGGTTTTCCGAATTTTTTTTTTCGGAAAATTTCGGAAAAATCGGAAAAATCGGAAAACTCACTTGTTCATTGGTTCAATAAAGTGTTTAAACAACGTTCAAATACAAAAAAATGCTTATTATGATTTGAAATCACTTGAGTGGGCGGAAGCCAAGCAATGGAATATTTTTTTGCAAAAAAATTAGCCGAGAGAAGCTCTCCGGGTCCAGTGTTTTCCGATTGTCAGTGAGAATGAGACGCGCGGTTGAAAATTTTAAAAATCAAATTTAAAAAGACGCTCGCTGCTAGACCCTTCCAAAAATTTTGTGATGCGCCTTTAAAAAGCATACGGTGGTTTCGGACAAATTGACCTTGAATCCACACTAATTTTCCGAAAATTTTGCCGAAAATTTTCGGAAAATTTCTCGGAAAATCGGAAAATTTCGGAAAATCGAAATATTTTCCGCACACCCCTGATCCAAACTTTGCAGCTTCTTGGTTCAAGTATTTCGGGTCCAAGTTTCAGTTCGCTTCTTTTTTGAGAGCAATTTTCACGGTGCGCTCAAACCAAAAATCACTTGAATTTCTATGGTTTTCTTTAAATTGATCTTTGTAAATCGCGTATTTGTTTTGCGCTTACTAGTAGAAAAAGGGGAAGAAGTGAGGGGGGAAATATGAATATTTTGTAACCTGAAACCCGTCTTTTTCTCTCCTAATTCTATAATATCTCAAAAATGTTTGACAAGTTCAGTATAGAAAAAAAAATGGATTCAAGGGTTCACATTTACTATCAAATTAATAATCTTGCGTCCGGTTCGCCGCCGCCGCAACGCGACCGCTTCGCAGCCGAAAAGACCACGCCCCCCTTTCTGCAAGTGCCGCACATGCCATGTCAATTAATTATTTTTCTTGGAAAATACACAAATCAAAGCTACTCCCGACGGAAATTAATTGCTCTCGAGTGTTTTTAGAAAATTATCTTTGCAAACAGATAGATTCAAACGAGATTCTGAACTTTAATTTGTGTATTTTCCAAGAAAAATAATTAATTGACATGGCATGTGCGGCACTTGCAGAAAGGGGCGTGGTCTTTTCAGCTGCGAAGCGGTCGCGTTGCGGCGGGGAACCGGACGCAAGATTATTAATTTGATAGTAGAAAAATTCAAAAGGTTTCAATTTCTGGCAAAACTATTTTCAGCAAGCTAACGCCACCCAGCTATGTTAAACTGAAAAAAGGAACAAGTGGGGGAAAAGGTGGTTAGAGTCGATCAATCAAAAGAGAGATTGTCAGTTTAGAAGAAGAGGAAATGGATAATATCGGAAGAGAGAGAGAGAGAGAGAGAGAGAAAGTGCACCTGAAATATGAGCAATTCCCTTCTCTTTCCGAGCAGCTCCCTCTCTCTCTCTCTCTTGCACAATTCCGCTGTGATAATGTGTCGTCAGCGAGTGAAAAGAGTGAAAAATGACGAGGGAGATGGGGGGTGACAAGTGAGAAGACTGATCATGTTATTATTACAATCATTCCGATATTATATGTTCACTTTGTTCGAACTACCGAAACAAAAAATCCGCGCTAGATTCAGCGCCCAAATCTCACCGTGGAAAATTGTTGGGACGCAAAAAAAAGGTATGATTACCGTATGAAGAGTAAAGTTTTACAGTGATCGACTTAATTGTGAAGCCTGAACCAGAAGAGAAGAGATGGTAAAATTAGTAAAATTGGTAAAATGGTAGAATTGGTAAAATTGAAACCGGAAATGAAACCAAGATTCAATCAAAGTTGCAGTGAAATCTTATTCGATTACAGATACTTACACCCAATCCCCTTTGTGTCCACTAGTGGCCCAGTCTACGGATCAATAATATCTGCTCGCATTCTTTATGTTCCACTTAAATAAGACTTGTCCAGGGGACTTGTACAACATCTTTTTTCAGCATTTTCTGGTGTTTATACCAGTTTCCACATACTTCCAGAATGTTCATCTCTAGACACTCGGGTCATGCATACCCAATTCTGACCAATTTTCTCGGTTTCAAACACTCGTTAGACACCGATCCCGTTCGCCGCCTTCCCATTGCTTGCATGTTATCTCTGGTTCTGGATCCTATTCGCGTTTTATGAGAAGCTGTCTCACAATCGATACGTCGAAAATGATAATCGACTACACGAACATCTTCATAATAATCGTTTTCTTCGTGTGCACATCTGTTGTGGTGCCGCCAGACTTTCATCAACCGGATTTTCTTACCTCTTTTCAATCGAAACGTCAGTTGCCACGTCGACAAACGAATTCAAAGGAGAACGTTTCAACTGTTTCTATTGTTTCATCTGTAGAAATTGCGCACTTATAAAAAAGTGAATTTCCATGTGAACGCACATTTCACATCTAGCAAATAAATGGGTGAACATAAGATTTAGGACATGAAACACATTCATTAGGGTTACTATTATCATCATTGTCCCAAAGTAAAAATAATCAATTGTAATTGTGGGCGGGCGGGAAGATTAACACAATTTCTCGCCCCTTTCAGCTTGTTTTTTGACAAAAAATGAATGCGATCTTGGGAAAGAACCAGGAAGAACATTAAAAATGAAATTCACTCTTCTATTACAGCTGAAAAGAAGGGATTTTGCGGAAAATGCGGGTAAATAATAAAAACGAAACAATAAAACCATTTACAGGGCGTGCGGGTGCATGGACGTGTCCTAATCGAACGACGTCTCGAGGCTCTTCGCCTCCTCCATCTTCTTCTTCCAGAATCTGCGCTCCATATCGCCGCTCGAATTCTCAGCAATCTGAACGGGAAAGTGTACTATTTTCAACAAGATTTGGGAAAATTACCATTTCCAAGGTGAAGACGTTGGCGGTGAAGAGTATGCGGTTTTTGTTGAACGCCGCCTCCTGGACATTATCCACGAATCGGGAGGCCAACTGCTTCAGAGAGTCCGCCACTTCCGCGAACTCGTCGTCGGAGAGCAAAACTGAAAAAGAGGACGGTCTTCAGCTGAATTTTATGAAATTTTAGTTAAAAATTATTAGAAAACGCATGTTTTTGGAACATTGCTCACCAGAAGTCTGTCGGTCCTCCTCCAACTCGGTCGGACAGTTGGACAGAGTGCTGAGCCGTTCGTCCTCAACGCCTTCCGCCGCTTCTTCCACAGATTCCACCGAATTGTTGCCGTCGACGGGAAGCTCCACGCCCTCCTTCTTCTCCGACTTCTCGCCTTTGAAGTGCTCCCGAACGCGTTCTCTCAACTTCTCCGTCTTCATTCCTTTGTGCGCTTTGAGTGCCTCACGGAGCTTCTCCGTCAGCTCCGCCTGCTCTTTCTCCTTCTGCAACTGCTCCTGCAGCTCCTTTTCCTTCTGCTCGTCCAGCTCTCTCTGTCGCTTCTCCTCCGCCTTCAGCCGCTTCTCCTCAAGGATCCGTTGCTTCTGTCTCTCGAGCTCCTCTAGCTTCCGTTTCAGCTTCTCCTCTTCTTCTTTCAGCTCGTCGCATGTCGAATTCGCCCACGCATCGTCACTGTCGTCGTGGAAGTTCGCTTGCGCGTCCGACATGAGACAAGCGGCCGAGACAGCCGAAGAAGCCGGCAATCCCGGAGTTGGCGTCTGGAAAATGAGGATTTCGTCTCGGAAAATCGTTTCGGGTTAGAATCGAGTACCTTGGCACTCCTCTCCTCCTGAATGATCGGAATCCCGTCCCTCGCCTGCTCTTCGCTCTCAAAAACGTCGTCCGCCTCGGTTTCCGACGGTTTTTCGATGCCTACCGCGATCTGCGGCAGTTCTTCAGACGGATTTCGCGGCGCCGGAGTGTCGATCCTCTTCCCGTACACCTCCTCTTCGCTCTGTATTACCGGAACGGCCGGTGAGTCGCGGAAAGAGGACTTTTCTATCGGAATCTCTTTGATTTCCGCCGCAACAGCGATCACCTGTTTCGAAGAGAAAACGACGCTTTTTGGGGCTGTCAGAGCAGAACTGCATCCAGCCCAAGCGTCGGACGTGCTCGGAATCTTTGGCGCCGTCAGCGGTCTCTGCTTGTGGCCCGTCTTAGGCTCCTGAATCCGTGCCTCCTCGAGTCCCCATCCATCGGTGTCGTCGATACTCATCCTCGGCGGCTTCTGCTTCATCGGCGTCTCTCCCCATCCGTCCGACGACTCCTTCCGCTGCTCCTCCTCCTTTTTCTGCTTCGTCGGCGTAGTTTTACCGCGAATCTGTTCATCGAACGTCGGCTGCGGAGTGCTGGCGGCCGACGTGCGGCACGACTGCTGCAAAGTCGAAGAGCGCAGCGAGGAGAACGTCTCGTTCAGCGGATCGTACCCATCCGCACGTGGGCGAATCGGCTGACCTGAAATAGTCGAAATAATGCTCATGTTACTGTCAAAATCTGCGGATCTCTGGCTGCAAAACACATTTAAACGGATCTTGCGATACTTCCAGTAAAATTTGATCAGTTTTCCTCAAACTTGACATGCAATAGAGGTCTCTCTGTACTTTTAACTAAAAATCTACGTAAAATCCACCCTTTCGAGGTGTATACCTGGATAGGACTGCTCGGTGGGATTCAGGTACATCTGGGCACCCGGTTGCTCTTTCGGCTCCTGAGAAATCGGTTTGACGAGCGAAGAAGAGGGGGCAGACAGCGGCGGACTGACGTTTGTTAGTCGAGCGTAAAACGAGTCTATTTGCTTGGTCCCGAACGGACAGTCTCCGAATCCGAGCGGTTTCGTACGCGATGGATCGTTGAGGAGATCCGAATCTGGAGTTCTGGAAAATAAAACGAAAACTGAAGCGGATCCGCACGAAAAACCGACTCTCTGTCCTCCGAATCGTACTCCAACGACACGATTTTCTTGTCGACAATCTGCTGGTGTGTTAGCGGCTTCGGGTCTCCATGCGCCACGGACATGTGTCCATGCACGGCCATCACAGCTTCCGACTCGGTGCACCGGCTCTTTATGAGCGCCGGATAGTCCACGATAAGCTTCCTCTCGCCCGCGTCCGTCTTGTAGATCATCGCCGACACTCCGGCCTTTCGTCGTGCTTTGTCGTTGTAGAACGTTTGTAAATCATCGCGGAATCCGTCGACGAATCCCGGCCGGAACGCCTTGATTCCGACGAGTCGAGCCACGTGCAGCGCGCTCGGGTACTTCTCCAGCGAAAGTTCAGGAATCGGCATGTAGAGGTTCTTGAGCTTCAGCTGAATCACCTGACAAACGTCCAGAAAAGCGACTTCGTAACGGCGTTCCGAGTCGGACGCGCGGGAATCTGACGGTTCCGAATAGGAAATTTCGGAGAGAATGATCACGCGGTACACTTTGTGGTCCTTGTGCTTGTAGAGGAACTCGGCGCCCGGCTGGATGTCCATTTCGCTCGGACGGGACACGAGGAGGTTCCGCGCCTGATCGAGAGTGTCGGTGAGGCCGAAAGCGCGCGGTTGCGACAGGTTGAAGATCAGAATCGACGACGGCGGCACCACGTACAAAGGTGTCATCTGTAAAATGGTTTTTATTTCGAAAATAAAGCCACTTCCCCTCACATTCTGATAGGCGGGCGTGTCCAAATCGCACATGACCGTATTTCTCTTCATCTCCGACAAATCCACCTCGGCAATTTGACGGCAAAGCGACGGTATCGGATTCTCGAATGTCAGCGATTGATTTCGGAATGAATATGTGTCTGGAATTTTGATTTTGTCCCGAAAAATCAACTTTTTCCGCCGCACCTGTGTACGGATCGTAGCGGAAAATGCTATTGTGCCGCGCGCAAACGAGCTGCGAGTACATATCAATGTCCGTTCGCTTCTTCGGCTTCTCCTCCCTGTACATTTGCTCGGCAAGCTGATAGGCGTCGCGCCATTGCTCTTTCGCCGAAGTCATTTCTGAAAATCACCGATTTACCCGAATCAGGTCACCCGATTTCAAGAAGTTTTATAAAAATTTTACAGAATTTACGTTAGCAAAAAGCCAGTGTTAGGTACAATTTTACAAAATTCGCTAAAAATTTGAAGAAAGCAGGCTGAATACAGCTAAAAATCGAGAAACTACGAATTTCGAATGATGACAAATCGGGTCCGCAATCAGCTCACGCGCAATCACACAGAAAAACTTTCACAGTAATCCCAGCTTGTTTGAAATGAATTTCTCACTCAACAAAAGACTTGCTCTGAATTTCCGACGCATTTCAGCCGTATTTTCCGGCCAACGAACCACTTGCTGGCATCCAGAAGTCGGGCACACTGACTTTGTCCACATTCAGCATTATCACTCCATCCTGCGGCGGTACATCCAAAAACTTGTACAAGGATCTCTGTTTTACGCCGTGTTGGAAGAAGATATTCGCGGATTGCGTGAATGCGGGTCTGAATTGAAGGGCTCTTTATTGGTTCATCGATTTGGCCAGTGTATAGATCGTTCAGCGACAACATCATGACACTGCGGAAATGAGAAAATTAGAAAAAGAGCGTTGGAGGGAACCGATCTTACATTGAAAACGGCGAAAGTTGGTAGATGAGTTGATTCCAGGCAATCTAAACATTTCCGACTCTCGGGCTCGGTACAGGTATTCTAGTGGGTGCAATTGAGTTAAAAGTGAAGGACAATAACAAAAAGAAGAATCTGAATCGTCGCCCATCAGATTTCTACTATTGCAGGTTTGGATGCTCGGAGAGCAGCCACTGGAAGCGAGCGGAGCCACTTGCGTGCGATCCGCCCGCGTCGCCGTCCCCTCTTTGCCTTCTACGCGCTCCTCTACTGCTTCCAGCAGTCTTCTGATGCATTCTCCAGGCTTCTCAGAAACGTCGCCCATCAGAATCTCACGACGTCTCCCCCCGATGCTGGAAGAGCAGCATCTCCAGTATCAATTTCACTATATTTTCGAAAGCTAAAGGGATTTTGCTGTAAGGAAGAGAAATAAATGTGATATGTATTCCGAAAATGTATTCTCAAGTTTGTAAAATAGTCTCTCTTTTACTTCTTCTTGTGTTTTTATGCTTTTTTACTTTTGTTCTCTTCTGATCTTCAGCGAATTCTGAAAATGTATCAGAACTGTCCCGAATCAGAACCCGTCACAACATGACACTTTTTGTAACAAGAACCACCTGCAGGTAGGTTCTGATCCGGGACAGTTCTGGCTCGGCGTAGCCTTCCGCTCATCAAAATCGGGTCCGTCGTTCGACGTTGACGCATTTCTCGATCCGGCGCGTGCTCTCTGGCGCGCTTTCCGTGCCCGATTTATCGATTGACTTGCGTTGAATTTCCGACGCATTTCAGCCGTTTTTAAGAATGGATTCGGGCGAACCGTCGTGTTCGACGCCTACTTTCAACCCAAATGACTTGATTTGGGCCAAAATGAAGGGATTTCCACCGTGGCCGGCCAAGGTAAGCCGCATTTTACACGTTGGGCTGGTTTCTGTAATTTTCGTTATGGGGCTATTCAGCGTATGTTTGTTTTCCGTTTTTTTTCGTTTTTTTGCATCGTTGAATTGGATTTTTTGACGTAAAAAAACGAAAAAAACGGAAAACAATCATTTTTTTCACAGCCTGAATAACCCCATTATGAAATTTGTTATTTTATAGTGTTTTCTATGTTGCTTGAACAAATTTCAATATATTTTTCTAAAATTTTCTCTGAAAACTATGATTTTCTGGTTTTCTGCCAAATTATGTTCAAAATTAAGGTTTTATGAGGTTGAGGCTATTTTTTGCGCTGCAGTTCCAAAAAAAGCTATAACAACAGGCATAGAAGCATGAATTTTACCAGTTTTTATCGAAAACCCCACAAAAGCCTAAGATTTTCATCAAATTCCGCCATTTGCAGGTTCTCGAATGCAGCGAAGACACTCCGGCCCGCCGCATTCCCGTAATGTTCTTCGGAACCCTCGAGACCTCCTTCATGAAGCCCACCGACCTCTCCGATTATCTCTCAAACAGAGTAATCCACGAAATTCCGCGAAAACAAAAGGATTTCAACAAGGCCGTCCAAGAGATTCGCAAGGCCGCAGGCCTGGAAACGGACGCCGACGAGGCCAATTTTCCAACGATCGAGAAGAAGAGCCCACCGAGTTCGCCGAGCACAGGACGCAAAAGACAGACGAGCGGACGCTTCCTCGACGCGATCATGGCCGGATCCGATCCGATTCGGATGCGGGGCCAACGATCCAGAACGGGATCCACAAAGTTAGTGGGGGGAACTTCAACAAATGATTTTATTACAATCTGCACTGAAAAACCATAATTTTCTTTATAGAACTCGTTCGCGAGCGTCCTCGAACGCGTCCGCATCGAAACTAATGCTCGATATGCTACGGAAAGAACGTCGTCGACTCGACAGTGAAAGTTCGCACGGATCGAAACGGAAACTCCTCAATAACGCCCTTCTGGGCTCGGGCACTCTCGGCGGAAACGGCGGTGCTTCGAATTCGGAGCTCTATAACGATTACGCCGATTCGACAGACTTTAACGCTCTCTTCGGCGACGCGATTCTCGGAAACTTTGATTTGAACGACGAGACAAAGTCGTGGAAGTCGAAGCGCTCGCGCGGCAGTTCCAAAGTGTTTGACGACTTTTTTGGGCGGTCCCGCAACAGATCTGGCTCCGCGTCGGGCCGCCGCTCCCGAATGATTAGTCTTTCTGGCTTTTCGGGCGTCTCGGACATGTTCGACGAGCTGTTCAACAATCCGGCCGAGCTGGAGCACCAGGCTGATCAGCTCATGCTTTCCCTGAATAATCTGCCGTCGGAGGATTCGATCGACCGCCCGTTGTCACCCGAAATGCTCAATTTGAACCCGATGCTCGCGCCGGCCGTTGAATTCTGCGATTCGTGTGGATACGAGTGCCGACTCGTGAACGGAGCATGGAAATGCAATTCGAGCCACTGCGGAACCATCAAAACCCAAGGAACCAGTGGATCAATGACTATGGGACGGATAATGGAGGACCAGGCACTCGCGAAAATGCCAAAAATTGAGATTAAAACGGAGGAGCCCGAAGAGTTGCCGAGCAAACGGGTACGGAAACCGAAGAAACAGACGGACGAGGAGGAGTCGGACGAGGAGGAGCCGCGCAGAGGGCGCCACAAGGAGAAGAAGAAGAAGAGGGTTCAGGTGAGCTCAGAAATTTGGTGCTAGAAATCGTGCAAACCGCCCGTTTTCTGCAGGTTCTGTCCCCGCGTACTCCAGCAGACGCGGCGGCGACTCCGGCGACTCCGTCGCAGGTGCTGCTCGGCCGATCGAACTCTCCGACGTCGAGTTCTCTTCGAATACGGGACCGTGCACGGCCGAAACACTAGTAAGTCCCCTCTCATTTGCATTCATTTCAACGTGGACGGACACACGTCAACACTGATAAAGTGGTTACAGCAAAGTGGAGAAGACGCCGCCCATCTCGGCCACCGGACACCGCCACTGCGTCAACTGCAACGGACAGGTCCGCCCGCAAATGTGCGGAGGAAACCGACATCGGTACGCCCTTTTTTTTGAAGTTTTTAGGTTCATTATCACCAGAAACATTGCAGATGGCGTTGCGTTGACAAAAAGTGCCGTAAATGGTACGGATGGGTGCGATCGCACGAGGAAATTCCCAAAAATACGGGACGCAAAAAGATGGCCACCTTCAAATCGCCCGTCACGAAACCGGCGAAAGCGAGCAAAAAAAAAGGTGCGTTTCTGGGATTTTGAGCGCGAAAATTTCAATTTTCAAGAGATTTCAGAGGAAGAAGAGGAGGTCTACCCGATAATGAAGAGGAAAGTGGGCCGTCCGTCGAAGAACGACATCAAGATCCGGCTGAAAATGCAAAAGGAGGTGGAGGAGAAGCAGGCGGCGGCGAACGCGGCACGGGCGGCCGCCGCTGCCACCCTCTCCGCGTCTTCCGCACTCGTTCCGGATCCTTCCGCGCCGTCGACCTCGTCCGCAACGGCTTCCGCGGCGCCCGTTCCGCACCAGAGACGCAAGTATACGAAGAGGAAGAAGGACGGAATGGGCGGCACGACGGCCACCTCCAGAACCGATTTCAGTACGTACGATGAGGAGGCCAAGAAGAGAGGTGGGAATGAGCAGGAAAAAGAAATTTAGCTCTGCATCTGAAATGATATGCAAATGTTAATTGAAAAAATGCTAGGAAGAATGATAATTTTAGGAATTTGGTAAAAATTGATAAAAACATGTATTGCAGCGGCCTCGCCACTTCCGGAGCGATCGGCCGCGTACCGCCCGTGTGCGATGGAGAAAAGAGCGCGTTGGTGGACGGGCGAGAAGAGGCGAGTGGACGTGTCGCCCGAGAGAGAGTTCGGAACGTCGCCGGCCGATTCTGCGGCCGCATTCCGGATGATGGCCCACGCGGTCAGGTCCGCCGCCGTTACCAGGTCTGTTTGCGCTCTCAAAATGCACTCATGTGCACTAAATTTGATGAATTGTCGTCCGAAATCGTGGAAATTGCATGGATTTGCTCTAAATTTACTCAAAATTAATAGTTTGTGTGCTTTTAGGCCAGAAACCGTAGCTTCAAATGCTTTTGCACAGACAAACGGTGAGCAATGTTGTAACGGTGTTTTTCCACTGAAAATCGAGGCTGTGGTTTGTGAAATTTGGGTTTTTGCTTGAAAACCTTCAATGAGAACTGAATCCTGAAATATTTGTTTGAGAGAGAGAGAAAAAAAGCACAAATCTACTCCGAAATGTTACTCCAATTTTGCAGAGCTGACGAAGTGGGAACGGTGAACGGATCGCTCGACCTGTTGATGGACTCGTTGCTCGGATCAATCGGACCGCTTCTGGCGAACGTGATGAAGCTTCCGCAGTTCCAGAACGAGAAACAACTGTCGCAGCAGCTGTGGAACGCCTCCGCAGTCCACATTCCCACTTTTCAGTAGACATTATCAAAATGAGCACCCCCTTCTAGCATTTGTACATTTTTTTTTAGAAATAATAACACTTTGATTTGTAACAAATCTCCTCTTTCCCGATGTTATTTCATTTCAATCTGTACATCCTTCGAACACACACACACAGTTCATTTTTATTGGATCTCTGAATATTTCTTCAATACTTTTTCGATAGAATTCTCATAGATTTTTGCGCATTTCTTGTCCCGCCGATTTTTGTGTTTTGAATTTCACTAATTTTGGAACTTTCTTTGAATTTGAGACGATAAAAAATTTGTAGGCGATTTTTTGAAGCATTTTGAAGCATTTTTTGGTTTGTATCCATTTTTTGAGCGATAGAGTTGATTGTAATTTCTTTTCTAGAATCTTCTTGAAATGATTTGAGCGATTAATGCAAATGCTTTTTTTTGAATATTTTGCAGGAATGACGTCAGTCTACGAGAGCCTCCTTTCCGAATATCCGAACAAAGGAGTCGTCGGAAAACCAGAGGTGAAATTTGAAAAATGTCCAGCACTTTACTTTTTCGCTCTCACGTTTTCTCCAATATTCACCCGAAACGTCGTCACTCTCAGGTGCTCGACAGTGAAATCGTGGCGACGGAGAAGCTGAAACGTCTGCACGAGCACTTTGTGGCGGCGAAGAACACGGGGAGGCCGGTGCTGGTGCTGATCGGCGCCGGAGTGAGCACCGGATCGAGACTGCCCGATTTCCGCGGCAAAAACGGAGTGTGGACCCTTCAGAAGCAGGGGAAAGAGGCGGAGGGCGTCGAGTTTCACAGGGTTCGTGTTTTGTGAACAACAGAACAATTTTCTCGAAGAAATTATACAATTCAGTGTTCAAATGTGGCATTTTTGAGAAACCCCTCTTTTTGTGAGCTTCGGAGCCTAATTTTGCAGCCGCGAAACGAGTTTCAGCTGTTTTTCATTTGAATTCTGGAAGATTGTTCGCTGTTTTTAATTGGAGATCACAATTGCAAAACGTTTTTCTCAAAAATTGTGGAAAATCTCGAGAAACCCTCTTATTCTAGGCTCGTCCGGGAGTCTCGCACAAATCGATACTGGCCCTTCACCGCGCCGGATACATCAAAACGGTAATAACTCAGAACGTGGACGGATTGGACCGAAAAGTGGGAATACCGGTTGAGAACCTGGCCGAAGTGCACGGAAATCTATTTCTGGAAGTGTGCTCTACTTGTGCAAGGTTCGTCGTTTTTTTTTTGGGGAAACTGAAAAAGTAGTGTGCTATTTTGCAGAGAATACGTGCGCGAATCGATTGTGATGAGTGTGGGCCTGAAGGCAACAGGCCGCGCGTGCGAAGGAAATGCAAAAACGGGCCGTCCGTGTCGCGGAAAACTGAGAGACGCCACGTTGGACTGGGACTCGGCCATCGAGCAAAAACACTTGGAGATGATCGACTCGGCCTGGAAGGTTCGAGCGGCGAAAAAACATTCAAAATTGTGCTGAAAACATTCGGAATTTGCAGGAAAGTTCGCACTTGCTGTGCGTCGGCACCTCTCTCGAAATCATTCCGATGGGTGCGTTGCCGAAAACGGCGAAGAAGTTCAACATTAAAACGACGACGGTCAACTATCAGGAGACTGCCCAGGTTCGCACTTTTTCAACGATTTACTACTCGGCGCCAAAAAAACATTTGTCTGTGCAGGAAAAGATAGTGGAGACGGCGATCCACGCGGACGTCAAACTGATTCTGTACTCGCTGTGCGTGGCGCTCGGAGTTCAAGTCGACCTAGAAGACGTGCCCGACGAAGTGCCCACTCCCCTCACTTTCTGAATCTCTTTTCGTTCTAAAATTTGGGATCTCTGTAAATTCAAGTACTAACTATGTGATTGCATTCATGATTCATGAATGCAATACTCTGTAATTGTGCTGACAGCACATTTATTAAACGATAAAACAAATAATGACCGCCTCCATGGCTGCATAAATTATCTATCCCAGTGCTCATGCACGGATTGATCTCTGTAAAAATTGAACGAGTTTTAAACCAAAACTATTAGGTGCAAAAGCATTATTCGGTCCGTTCTCTTGGTGATTTCAAAGTAAGCAAAATTTGCCCGCACGTCCTCCTTTATCATTTCTATACATTAACAGAACCGATGGTGGACGATGAGAAAAATATTGTCCAAAAAAGTGATGATAGTTGTCGCGAAACCGTCGCAGACCTAGAAAAGACGGTTGCGGGGATGTCTTCAACGCTCCGACTCTGACGTACACCGAACACCTCGAACTGTACACACCACTGATCACGAAATCCAACTTGGAGCTTGTTGTCTTATTATAAATCAAACGGAAGAAAAGGCGGGCGGAAAGAGGAGAGACTATTCGAATCACATTTTGTCAAGGGTTCAAGAAAAGCAACGAAAAATCGAGAATAATCGGAAAGGAGACGTAGAATTGCGGGGGGCGTATAGGTTCTGCTGAAACAGACGGAGACGATCACAAGGTGGTGGGGGGTGCGAAGAAAAATTCCAAAAAAAAAGAAGTGTATAAAGCTAAAAAACTTAGAACTACGGGGGGAAAGAGCTAAAGAAAGAGACACCCTGCAAATAAAAATGGGAAAAAAACAAGGGATTTTCTCGAGCAAATCGAGAATCGTTTTGGATAGAAATTGTCGGGGGAAAATTATACATTTCTCGTAAATCTACACACAAACTGCTTTAGATTTACGGTGAGATAAATGGGCAAAGTGGGGAAAAATAAGGGAGGGAAAATATACACATACTTTGAGAGAGAAAGGGAAAAATTGAGAGAGAGAGAGGAGGATACGGTAGACGCGGCGGCGTCCGACGATCTTCTTAGGCGTTCGGATCCTTGCCCAAGCGGCGGAGACGCACTGAAATATTAAAGTATGCAAAGGATTTGACGTACTTTCAGAAAAACAAATTGCTCTCAAAACGTTCAGTTTTTCGGTCCATTTCCTCTAAAATATCGATGGATTCTCCGTTATCTCTCATTTTCACTCTATTTCTTTTCGGGGTCAAATGACAACTGCTCTTTTCTCCGTTTTTCCGCCCCCATCCGAGAAAAAGCGAGGGAAAGGGGTGATAAAAACAGCTGATGATGAATGGACAAACAAAAAACAAACGGAGAAAAGAGGGAGAGGCAAACGAAATCAAAACAAAACGGTGACTTTTGACCAAATGGGAATTTTCTTGAATTTGTTCTGCGGAAAAAGCACAAAGATACTATTTCTTTTCAAAAATCTCCAGCTGACCTCGTTCGTAATTCCGCTCCAACGCCTCCGAAACGCGATGCCGTGCCTCCATCGAGGCGAACGAAATTCCGACTCGGAGCAGCGATTCGTTCTCCTCGATCGCCATCATCATGTCCATCTCGATCTGGTTTCCGAGCACTGATTGACGCTGAAAAATTGGAAGATTTCATGAATTCCGCTGTGGCGTACACATTTTCAAATATCCTAGTATCCCCCTCGTTTGTTTTCTCGACGAACGTGTAAAAATCACATCTCGAGGGGTAAATAGAGGGGAAAATAAACAAAAAAAAAAGAGGCCAATTTATTTGCCATTTGGCTCAGAAACTCTACAGTATTCACTTTCAATTGGACAATAGAAAATGAGAGTAAATATTGTAGAAATTGAGAGAGAGAACGCGCAAATTTCGCGTATTTTTAGGACAGGAAATTAAAGAACGTAAAAAAAGTAAAAAGAACCTGATTGTCGGCCTTGAACTCGACGATCGACTGAGTGACAAGTGTGGATCGGAGCAGTCGGGCCAGAAGTTCCGGCGTCAGGAAGTTGGACTCAACGTTGAGCACGCGCAGAGACGGCGACGTTTCGATCAGTTCGATTAGGCCCTGTGGAAATTAAAATATTCAGTCACACAGGGCTGGGCGAGTTCGCGGTTCAACCGGAGAAAAACAAGGGCGAGAGAGAACAGAGACGCAGACGCGAAACTGTTGCGCGCCTGCGTCTTTGTTCTCTCTCGCCCCCTGTCAACAGCGTTGAAATCACATTAAAACATCTACAGATTTTAAAAATGTTCCCCACAAATTGCTCACTCTGGCTTCGGAATCCGAAATGGCCGTGTTTGCCAACGAGAATTTCTCAATGTGCTTACTGTTGCACGCCGCCTCGATCAGTGTTCGGATTCGTTCCTGTAAATGGGAAAAAGTGCATCCAACACCGAGAGTTCGTTCTGCCGATTCTCGTCAGTTCTTAATAACCTCTCAAACTAGAAGTCCGAGCTTCTTTCAACAGACGTCCCTACGAACACAACACGTTCAAAAACAATTACCTTGGATAATCGTTTCATATTGTTGATGTTCACCTCCTTCAAATCTGTATCGTCCTCTCGTAATCGACTGAAAAATGATAAGTTCAGCAACAACAACAAAAAAAAAACGCGCTGAAAAACCGTACTTGATGCACTGCTCGACGTCCGTATCGTTGTCGGGCTCATCGGGCACGATGCGCGGCACAAAAGACTGCACGATTCCGTTGAAAGTGGTCCCGGTCGTCTCGTCCTGCGATTTGCCCTTCAGAGCGTTGTAGTACTGCGGTTGGTTGAGCACATTGTGCATTCCTGCAAGTAAATATGTTGCCAATTCTTAAATGAATCAATTCGAACTGGGTTGGAAAGTAAATTTTTTCAGAATTTTTTAGTGAACCCTAAAAAATCGTTGAAGTTTGTTCGTACCCAAAATGCCGGCCAAATCGACGAGATCCTTTTCGGGCGCACTGACAAGCGCACACTCGAGCTCCTCTTCGTCCTCGTCCAAATCGATTTCGATCGGCATTTCCATTTTGCCCGATTCGGGCTCTTCCGAGTTACGCCCACTGTCACTGTCGTACACTTTTCCTGCAAAAAAACTTGTATCCCATTTCTTATTACAAACCGAGAGTTTTAAGAGAATTTCGTGCTCAAAAATGCTATTTTCAGGAGAAGAACGTTGAAAATGTGTGCTCCTTGATTGTCTGGGTACCTCGTTTGAGGCCGGGCGTGTACGGGCACACATCCTCCCAATCCTTTTCGGTTTTCGCCTTTTCCTCCAGAAATTTCAGCAAATTGTCTCGTTTGTACGGTCCCGTCGGCTCTTTGTCCGTCTGATCACGACAACGTTGCGACGGCGGCAGCATCGAGTTCTGGAATGATTCATCGCTTTTTCGTGTTTAAAAATTTTCTCAAATGTATTTTGGCATCAATTTACAGACGGTTTCAACAAATCTTCATTAGTTTTCCAGCTTCTTCTGATTCAATGATCCTTTAATAAATTTATTTCTACATTCAACAAATTTCCGATTGAAAAACATACATTCTCCCGCATTCCGTTTCGTCAAAAATCTGAAATGTCCGCAGATCGCTCGTGCGTGATATCTGCCATTTCGGCAGTTGCCCCCCACATTTAGAAACTATTCGGAAAGGGTAAACTGTCATTTCCAAACACTGCCTCCTCCTCGTTTCTGTTCGGTTAAACATAGTTTGTCCCGATTGCGTCGAAGGTGGTCTCTCAAGGTTTTCGCAAATAAAATGGGTGTGTGTGTGTGTGTGTGTGTGTATGTGTACAAGTGTAGGAGAGACAAGGAAATTCGACGGAAATACACATAAATTTCCACTTTTTCCCCAAATCTTTCTGCTGCAGCTCTGTGGTGGTTTTGTTTGATTGCCGCCGATAAAATTCGCATAAAAAATGGCTTGTTCCATGAAATTATACGATAGTCGAGAGATCCGCGGAAGGATCAGAGAACGATCGGGGGGAGAGGAGCACCCGAAAGAGTCACAAGGTGCACTTTCACAGTGTGTCACCACTTTACACTTTTTTGTACTTGAGAAAAAGATAAGCTCACAATTGTATTTTTGGGCAAAAAACGAATACCCAATTTCGCACTGTCAACGACCGCCTAAAAAAGTTCAATTTTCAAGTGTTTGAGCTGAGAAGAACCATAGATTTCAATGAGTTTTACAATAAGCGTGTAGAAGACCTATTTTCTTCTGAAAGAACATTCCCTGAACCTACAGACGAGTTCTAGCCGGAAAACCGTCGAGAACATCAAATTTGAAGTGCGGAACACAAAGATTTCAGCAATTTCATGCGAATTCGCATCTAGACGAAAATGGGTCGAAATTCCGAAAACTGCGATAAAATCTCAAAATTTAGGCCATTGAATTTGACTTAAAACCGTTTCACTCGTAATTTTCTTCCAGCAAAGTGGACCCAATTCGATGTTCCGTTTCCGTCCCCTCCAACTTCACTTTTCCATGCTTTTGGGTTGGACGGCCGTCGGGTAGGAGAACTCAGAGAAAGTTTGATTGAAGAGTGTCTGCCGCGACGGAGAGACATCGAATCGGATGAGGAGAGCGGAAGAGCGAGAGGGAGAGGGAGAAATGCGGATCTCGGGCGGTACATCCTCCGTCTTTTCGGGCCGAAAGAGCTGCTTGGCGAGTGAGAGAGCCGAAAGATCAGAGAGACGGCGAGACGGATTCCCGAGAATCGACGAGTGTGTGGACACAGCCTCATGTGATTGGGCGAAAAAGAACGAGCAGACGCCATCATATCACTCATTATCGATTGGTTTTTGGGTGGATCGAGGGGAGAGGGAGAGAGACGCGTTTTCCCTTTTCCAACTTTTAAAATTTTCAAAACGATTCTCGACGCCACGTCACACAAGATTCTAGATTCCTGCTTCAGTTGTCATTGCAAATAAACACACCCAAATGCGCGCATTCCAGTCAAGTACCTTTTTCGTCATTTTTGTGCTCGAATGACTAAACCAAACAAACTCAAACAACTCGTTTTCAATCTTAATCGTTTTCTTTTTGTGGATCCAGAACAGAACTCACGTCGGGATCGAAATCATTGTTGAGGTCCTCGAGCTCGTCGATCGACAATTTCGAGAGGAGTCCTTCGATGTCATTGTCCTCCAAATCCTGAATCATTTTCAGAGTTCTTCGCTGGAAATGCCGCCACTTACTTTCAGTCCTTTATTGTAGACTTTTGAGGGAAGTTGACTTCCCTGCTGCGTGTTCGCCGACGGAGCCGAAAAGGTCTTCTCTTCCGAGTAGTAACTGCAAATGTGCATTATTTTTTATGGAATTTAATAAGAATTATGCTTTTTTTTTTACAAAGCAACTCTTGAAAACAGGCCAGGCAGAGAGAGAATCTGTTGCCGAGGGAAATACCATTTGCGCGATAGAAGAGAGAGGCGCAGGCGAGAAAGTTGAAGGCGCATCATAATGAATGTCATGGTATGCGCCTTTAACTGTCTACCGTCTGCGCCTCTCTCTTCTACCGCACAAATGGTATTTCTCTCGCAATGTGTTTCCCTATGGAGATCAAATAATTTTTCCAAATTTGCCAACCTGAAAATTTCAACCATTCCTAATATTTTCTAGAAAAAAGGTGCAAGACGATTCGAATCGGTACCTATGATAAAGACGCGAGCGCGGGAACATTGGCGGTGGTGGTTGCGAGGCCGGCGGCTCCATTTTCAGCCCAAATTCAATGGAAATACTGTCGGAATAGGAGCGAGCGGCGTCGAAACGTGCAGCTGACTTTGAATGGAATCGAGCGAGAGGGAGAGAAAGAGGGAGCGTCCTTTCTTTTTCGTTATGCGCACTTGAGAGGGCGAGAGAGACAGAGAGACAGTAGGCCCAAAGAGAGAGTGCGCAGAGAAACGAGATGGCGTGTTCGATGTCTGCGTCTCCGAATGGGACTGTATTCCGTCGTCTCCTCGCTTCGCCCTATTCCTCGTCGCCTCTTTTTTGTTGGCAATCAGTATTTGTGTGCTCTGACCGAAAATAAGTGTAAATATCTCCTTCGCTCTCTATCAAAATGCGAATTTTTTGCCGCGTCCCGAGAAATTTGTTCAAAAGATTGAAATGTTGACAGTGACCGATTACTTTTCGTAAAGTTTCTCAGAAATCGAGGATGAACACTGTTTGGCAAGGAACGACCGAATTCCATAGGAATTTCTGTTTCAACTTTGGATCAAATTATGGGGATCGTCGAGGATATTACAACAACGCGAATCTGTACAGAGCATTTCAGGCAAAACTCAAAGTTCCTCATCAGTTTTGCGAACAAATGCTCCAAAAATCAAACAATTTTCAGATTTCCAGCCGTTTCTACCCGTTCCACGTCAAATTTCAACCAGTTCTTCGCGTTTTTCCCGTATTATTGTGTTTTTGATCACAAGTTCTCAAGTTCCATCTACTTCTGTCTCTCTTTTTCTCAGTGTGCCGCCTGTGATGATGGGCTCTTCTCTCTCTCTCTCTTCGAAAATTGCGAGTAGGGGGTCAGCTGTCCAATGGGGGCACGCACAAACTGAGACAGAAGAAGAAGAAGAAGAAGCCGACTCGCTTTCTCTTCGGCTCTTCTTTTTCTTCGAGTAGAAGAAGGAGAAGAACAAAATGTCAATGTGTGTGTGTATGTGATGGAGCCGAGTCGAGAAAGTGATGATAAGCGGTGAACTTGTGGCCTGACGAGAGAGAGAGAGAGCCAATTTTAAATTTGAACTTTTCGGACATCCACCCATCATAGTAGCCTCAATTTCGGCAAAAGTCACAAGATTGCTGGGAGCATTGAACGAAATTCGTGGAAAATGTTCAAGCTATCACAAAAATTCAAATACTAGAGATCTATGTTGCGTTTTTCAGACTTTTACGATATTGAAGAAGAGCCTGGAGTCGAAAATTCCGGAAATTTCAGCTTTTTTCCCAAGTGCACCGAGTAAAATGAAATTTTATGTGAATTTCCAATGAGAAAGCTCCATGAGCTCCACCAAAAATTTATGCTCATTTTATCGGCCATTACTCGAAAGTGTCCGATAACAAAACACACATCGGAGGGGGACCCCAGACGTGATTTGTTTTCATTGACATTTTGTGTGGCGGGACAAGATCTCATTGGGTTTGAAGATTCCGGCCTTCGGAAAAAAGAAAAGCAATCTCGAGTCTTAAAAGTTCAAATATTCACAAATACTGTCTTATTTCTACAGTTCTCACAGTTCTGAAGATCTACGATATCACCAAGTAGCACAGATCGAAAAGATTGGATTCTTGTCAACTTTGGGTTGAAAAACGCGAAGATTCGCGCGATTTTCCCATTCTTTCCAGGTTCTCCACCACTTTTCGCCAATCACATCAAAAACTCACTCAGTTTTGGCCTGGCTCATGGCTGCCGACGGCACGGCAATCTGCGGAGCGGGCGGCTCGCGGGGCGTCAAGCCGAGACGAGGTGCTCCGATTGCGGACGTCAGTTTGGACGGCGGGGGTGAGTTTCAGCGACTGAAAAAATGCCGAGGCACAATATTTAGATGTGGAAAAAAGTTAGTAGAACTGCAAAAATTACGGGGAAAAATACATTTTCCAGAATTTTAGTACAAAAAGTACCAAAAAGTGAGGGAGAAGGAGTAGCATGCTAGTTTTCTCTCTCTTTTTCAAAAGATGCTCTCGGCGGCGAGCCGTGGAGAGTATAACACAGAGGGACTGCGAGAAGGAGGCTCCGAGAGCCACAAGGGTCCTTTCGGAAGAAAGAGAAGGGAGCGGAGACGCAGAGAATCGTTCTGATTCTCTTCGGGTGCCACGTGTTGTCACCTGCTTCCTCTCTCTCTCTTTGTGCTCACACATTCATCAGAAGGACTGTGAATACCCGAACATGATAGACACAAAGGTCAGGGTATTTTTGAGCAGAAAAAGTTCGACCAGTTGTTTCTATCTATTCCCTAATCAAGTTTCTCAAAATCACTCATGTTTCAATCGTTTTTCTTTGAAGTTGTTACTAGAAGCAGACCAAACTTTAAGAAAGCAAAAAATAGTGAAAGGTATCCTATTCGTCGAAAAAATAGTTCTTTATGAGGATTATTAAAGAATTCTCGAAGAAATGGCTTTTGGAAAGTTTTCCAACAGATTTCATTCAAATCAGGCCCGGGCGAGGGAAATACCATTTGCGCGGTAGAATAGAGAGGCGCAGACGAGAAAGTTAAAGTTTTGGTTCCGTTTAAGAAAGAAAACACGGAACTCGTCTAGTCAATCAAAAATCAGAAATCTCGGGGAAAGCCCCGGGAATCGGTGTTTTTCCATTAGTTCCACCACTCAAACAACTGAAAACACGAATCGGGCGGTCCCCGGCGGATAACCTAACCAATTGGCGAGCAGAAATGAGCAAGAAACGGACACATCTGGCCGATAAAGTTAATGGAAGCGAGAACTAGCGAACTGACGAGTTTTGGCCCGAACCTCCTAAAATTCCTCGAATATCTTTGGATTTGTCATGCAAATGACGTGAAAACCTCCAGAACTTCAACGAATATTGTTTTTCAAAGGCAAAAAAAAAGAAAAACAAATGCTCGCCAAGAAATCCGTCATTTCCCAATTGATTAGACGCTGAAGAATTGAGCGAAATGGAAGATCGTAAGGGCCGATGTTTAGACAATTTGCACACATTTTTCTGGAATTTCAGCGGCCGATAAGCAGAGACGAGAAGCCGAGGAGGCGGCCGAAAAAGCCGGAAAACAGGGCGTTCTCTCCAAATTTTTCGTCCAGACCGGACAGAAAATGGGCGTGGTCGAGTGGACAAAGTTGGAACCCGAATTTGAGGTTATACTGAATTTGTTATCAAAATTTTCTGTGAGAAATGCAAATTGTGTGATAAAAATAGTAAAGGACACTAGAAAGATAGACAGATTTACCAGAAAAAAAGGCCAAAAATTTGTAGCACGCGATAAACCGTCTCGTCAAATACCACAACACGCTCTTCGACCTTGTCGACAATTTGGAGGCGTGCATTCAGGTTTTCACCTAGTTTTTTCTCACAAACTAATGTTCACAGGTGGACAAAAACGTGCTGGCGGCCGGAAAACTGAAGCCGGACCCGGGCCGAAACATGTGGGAGGTGATGGGCGGCTGGTTCAATTATCTCTCCGTCGCCCACTTTGAGGGCAAGGAACAGGTACTTTATCGCAAAGAATATCCGAAAAATGGGAGAATGTTGCAGAGGTTCCTCAAAAAGTACAGTTCGTGTTGCGGAAGAATCGGCCGAAAAGAGATGGAAGCGTTGGGAAGCAGTGAGTTACCGCGCTTCACGGACACGTTCTTTATGGAGCGCACTTGCAGCGCGGACGCATTGGCTCCGTAAAATGCGCGCCTACACTGGCATCGAAAGTGACGAGCTGAACGATTGTGTCGAGCAGATGAAGGCGCTCATTCACGGAATCGATGATACTCGTCATCAGGCGAGCAGAAAAAGAAACAATTTTTTAGGACTACAACCCAAAAATTTCAGCTCAAATCTGCGCACACCACAAAAGACGCGAGATCTCGCGGCGAGGCCTACTGCAAAATGATCCGGGCGTTCAATTCGAAAGTGGCCGGAGCTTGGAATTAATCTTAAATAATTTTGGAAATTTTAGGCCGGTGAAGTACAGTCGATGATCGACGAGATGCGAACCGTCATCCAAGTGCATTCGTTCGAATATTTGAAGGTGGGATCTTTTGGGAAAAAAAAACATTTTTTAAACCAAAAATTTTGGGAGGACATCTCGGAAACCGTTTGTTTTTTTTTTTTTTGAAATGTGGTCAACTGAAGAGTTGTTGTAAAGTTGTTGTGAAGCGCCTACGCCCCAGGAACTCATCGTCCTCGTTGTTTCGTGCCCTGCTCATTTCGTTTCGATCCATATCCGTTAGATCTTCATAGATCCACGACTACTGGCTCGAAATGAGCAGGGGACGAAAGAACAAGGACGATGAGTTTCTGCTTGGAGCAATCCCTAAGTGCCCACATGTAGGCGAACCTCATAAATGGGGCGAGGGATTACAATCACTCTTCAGTTGACCACATTTCAAAGAAAACAAACGGTTTTTGAGATGCAGGTCACAAAAGTTTGAGTGCGAACAGCGAAAAAAGCGAAGCGAATAATTTTTTACAGTTTTCGCGAGAATTTTCCGCGCTCCACAATCTCATCTTCAACAACCTCTACGAGACGCATCTCCGTGTGAACCAGCCGGTCGGAGGAGCTCCCGGAGCAGGAGCCAATCAGCCTTCCGCCCGAACTCCGAAAAAGTAAAGGTCATTCAGAATTTTGCCGATTTATCAATGAAAGCGTCACAAAAATCGATTTTTCTCTATTTTCTCATTTCGAAAAGTGTTTTTCCGCTGTGATGTCATCTTTTTCACTCAACCGCACAACTGTTCGAATGCCAGTGACGCCTTTCGAAAGAACAACGAAAACTTGCTAAAAATTACTGGATTTCTGAGCAAAGCAAAATCGACGGAAATTGTAGTTTTTGAGGGAAGGAATAGGGAAAATAGGGGAAAATGATGTGATGTGTGACGATAACGACGCTTTTGTTGATATTGGGTGGACGAATGGAACATCACATGATTCGATAGTATCAAATGGGAAATATTGTCGTTTTCGTGAATTTTGGGGGGAAATCTTGAAATTTGAGGAATTTTCAGAATTTCAGCTAAAATGTCGGTAGAGTAAGTACGAAAACGTCACAATTCATCTATTTTCATTGTTTTGCACACGTTTCGTCAGCGAGCGGATCGAATTTCACGAGGTTTTCGGGAAAGACGCAAAAATCCGAGTAAAAATAGGTTTTGCAAGGAGATGATGGGGTTTTTGGATAGTTTTTGGGATAAATGCAGCGAAATGGATAAAGTTGACGTGGGAAAGAGGGAAAAATACAGTGTTCAAATTTTTGAAGGTAAAAAAACAATTTAATGGAAAAAAGTGTGAAAAGGAGGTGCAAACATTCGGAATCTGGGTCAAAAGTGTCGGAATACACGACAAACAATCATGCAAACACCAGAAAATCCGAAGAAACGTGCCAAAAACCATGCAAATAAAATGGCAGAAGCTATCAAATTACGGTAATCGTGGCGGGACCCGCCGCGCAAACTTTTTGCATGCGCCTTTAAACTTACTTCGTTTTTTGAGTCCAAAAAACGAATCGCAATCGGCGGAGCGTGGCTCTTCGGTGCCGAATTAGGTGATGAGCATTGTGACGTTTGTTTGCAGGTATTTTTTTTTAATTTGATCAAAAATTACGCTGATTATCAATTGATTTTCAGAGAAAACAAGAAAGTTCGAGAAAAAATCGGAAAAAGAGAAAGCAAAGGGGGAAAGGCGAAAAAGAGTGTAAAAGCGATAAAATAAAGTGATTTTATGAGTGGGTTTTCCGAGAAGTTCACCCAACAACCCACCGGGTCTTAAATAAGTGAATGAAGTTTATTAAAAATTTGATAAACAAGGTTTTGGGGGGATCTCCCCGATATCTCTCAAGCTTTTCGATGATGATAGCAGTTCAAGGGGAAAAGAAGAGAAACAAGAAGGCGAATTTCGAAGAGAGAGAGAGAGAGAGAAACCGAGAGAAGCCTGATGATGATCGGAAATCAGTCGGAAATAGTGGGCGGAGAACAGAGGAAACGAGCTGTCACACGACGCGGCGGGGATTCTTCTTCTTCTTCTTCTTCTGCTCGCCGAGCACAATCCCACCCGAGTGCCAACTCAAAGCACCGCACAACAGGATCCCCCGTGGCGGGAAGAAGAAGAAGAGAACGACGAGTTGAAAGGTCGCGCTGAAAATTGAAAGAAGAGAGATTGTTTTGTTTCGAAGGCGAGGCTTTACACGAAATAGCCGTGCATGAAGACAATTTTGTATGGTTCACACGTATGGCATTGAAATGAACGGTACTCAACAGTATCGTTAGGGACTTGTGGCGCGGGCCCAGAAAGATAGAACAATGTTACCTGTGTTCCGGAATGTGCCGTTGCTGATCGAAATTTTTTCAATTTTTTCAAAGACCCGCATGTAAGAAAAAGAACAATTTCCATAGATAGACAGACTAAAACTGTATTCATTGTATGCAAACAAAAGAAGTTCTCTCTTTCTCCTCTTTTTCTTCTTTCCCTCCTCAATTCTGCGTCTTCTCCAGTTGCTCCTTGTTCAGAGTGCTCGCAGTTTCCGGCTCTCTGCAAATTCTCCCTATTTTCAGTGGGTCTCGCCGCGAAAACCGTACACTTCCTGAGTTTTGGTGCAAGTTTTCCGCAGATTCATGCTGAGCGTGCTTCTGTTATTCTGCGTTTCGGCTGACGGAAGGAGCGTCACCGGAGCGACCGTGCGTGGTGCTACTGAAGGTGCTGCCGCTGCTGGAGGTGGTCGGGGCTAAAGATTGATTATCGATTGATATTTTTACGAGTCGAATATGGTGAGTACCTGTTCAGGCTTCACGTTCCGAGGGTTTTTCTTCTGAAAAAAAAGATTTTTTGAGACGTTTTGCAATTTTTTCAACTAACCGCTGCAGCAGGCTGTCCGGAAGGTTCGAATTGCTGAAAAACACCAAATTTCTCACAAAATAGGTGAAAATGGCAGGCTCACATAGCATGAAACCCCGATCTGTTTCTCATTGGGTCCGAGCAACGGGCGCTCCACATTCTGTTCCTCCTCCGTCTTCATGATCGTCTTCGCGTTCGCCTGCTGCTGCGCGGCGCCCGTTTTTCCGACGACGTTCGGCCCGCCCGGGCACGGCTGCAAATCAATCGATAATTCCGGTTCGGCGGAACGCGTTTGCATACCTTTCCGGGCGCGTGCGGCACGTGATTCTTTTTGTTGCGCGGTTTGCACGGAATCTTCGCCAACGGATTCTCCTCGTCGTCGTCGAACTCGTCCTTTTTCTCCTCCAGCTTGTTCGGTTTCAGGTTGAATTGCACGTCGTCTACAAGTATTGCTTTATGAGAAAAATTCGTGAGCGCAATGTAAAATCGAGAGGGGTTTTTATGGAAAAATTCACCATTTTGTAACGAGGAGAGGATAGCAACAAGAAAAGCGAAAATTCTTATAAATTCAAAACAACTTTCACAAAATTCAGAAAAAATCCAAAAAAAAGTTACCTTCATCGTCATCGTCGCCCTTCTTGTCGGTCTTCGACGTTCCGGTAGAGCTCTTCGCCAGATTCGTCTGCGATTTCTGCGGCTCATTTAAATCTTTCAACGTCTTCTGCGTGCCCACCGCCGTCTTGCCGGTCGGCGTCCCCGGCGCCACCTGTCCATCGATCTTTTTCTTTCCCTGCAAAAGATTTGCGATTTTTTTGGAAGGGACTACCGAAATTCGACGAAAAACTGACACATAATACCAAGAGCACACTGAGCAACAGAATCGAAAACGAATGGAAAGCGTGGCTTATTAACTCTGCAAAAAAAAAGGTTTTGTTCGAAAAGAAACTGTAATGTTACCAAAACCGAAGATTTTCATCTTCTTTCCCGTTTTTCGAAGCTAACAATTTTGTAAAATAAATGCATTTCATTTCGTAAGCCTTTTTTTGACTATTTTTTCTCAAATCAAAGATCTTATCAATTTGTTTCTTTGAAGAATATTTTCAAAACAATGTCACGTTTCAGAAAACATTTTGCAATTCTGTTTGTGTGCAAAAGCACCAACTTTTTTCCAACAACAAGTTTCTTACTTTTTTCGTTTGGAATTATACGATAAATCTATTATTTAAAAAACACACGACTTTCTGTGCGGTGTTTGCACACAAAGCACCGGAATTGACGACAATCGCCATAAAGTTTGGGCGGAAATGAGATGAGAATTTTCAAAAAATGACAAACAAAGGGATCAAAGATCCATGATGAAACCTGTGTAAACTATAAATAATTCATCTTTCAAACTTTCGCCTATAAAAGTGTGCTGACCCCAGTTCAAACAGTCGCCAATCCACTCCGAATGCACATTTTCACCTCCATCATCGCGTTCAGCCTCCTCGCCGTTTTCGCCTACTCCCAATGCTGCGGCGGCAACACCGTCGGAGGTAACTACCGTATCCAGTACGACCGTAATCCTTTCTTAAAGCTTGCGTCAACGAGTTCTGTCCGAATGGGACAATGTGCACGAACGGCTGGTGCTGTCCGGGATGCTACGACACGTGTTCGAACTGCTACCAGTACACGGGCTACTGTAACAATCCGTACTATTCGTGCAGTATGAGCTGCTGTCAGGCCACTTGTGGACGGTGTCATGCGTGATGCGAATCCCAACGATTTCTGTTTTGTGTTTGTCTAGTTCCTACGAATGAAGCTGTAGTTTGCAGATTTTTGATCGTTTGATCTGTTTGATCGATTTCTGAGAGTTTCTTCAGAACTGTTCACCTCTGAACGATTTCAGATTTTCCAATAAGCAACTGAACATGAAAGAAAGACTATTATGGATTATAGACAATTTTGATCGATTTTCTTCTGTGCTCCCATTTTTCATACTCGCATTCGTTTTGGATCCATTCGCTCAGATTGCCAACACGTTCGGGAAGATTCATCCAGAACAGATCCAATCGGTCCGCGTAGGATAGCATCTGAAGGTAACAATCTCTGTTTTCATAGGAATCACTATTCATTACACGGTCTCCAGAGCTGACAATGGGTGCAAGTGCGCCCCGTCCAATACACATGGCGCGAAATTCAAATTTTAACAGCAAAATTTGTGTTTTTTGCCAGATTAGCCACGAAAAATCGATAATTTCTCATTTGTCTCTCGATAGACCGATTTTATATGCCATTTCGAATTTTTTAACGCAAGAGCGTTAAATTTGGTCAAGTCGCAAATCACATTTATCCGTTTGAAGGTTTTTGGCTAAAACTGCGTGAATTTCAGTTGCTTTTCGGTAATTTTCGCGGTTTGAGCGCTCAAAATGCTTGTATTTACGTGATTTATCATTCTCAAAACCAATTCTGTCTGAAAACGGTCAAGAAAGCGCAAAATGAGAAGTGCAGTTTTTAGGCGGCGATCGGCGGCGAAGGCGAAAAAGCAAAGTCCGCGAAAATTGCGCCAAAACGTCATTAATTCTGTGCGAATTAGTGCGTTTTCATGTTGGCCAATTATTTTTCATCGCCTTTGACGACAAAAATCAGAGAAAACCTGCTCAATTCATGAAAACGCCATTTGGCCGCCGAGGCCACGCCGCCTATATTGTCAGCTCGGGAGACCGTGCAGTGTACAAACCTTGGGATCAAAGTCGAATCCATCGAAACCGACGATGAGCGACTCGTGGCCTCCTGGCTTCAGAATCCAGTGGGCAGACTTCACTGTCGACCACACGCCGTTCGATTTGTGATAAATCGAAATGCGCTTGTTTCGATTAGTTCGGTTTATCGATAATTTCCAATAAATTGTGTTGTTCGGCGATTCGTTGTGGATGCTGAGTTTGCCTTTGAACGGAACGTCGAACGGTGCATTCAGAACCAACTTGGTCCGAGGGCGCATTGACACGTTTCCGATGGGTTCGGGCGACGGGGTTCCGCATTTGAGAACGGATGAAGATGTGGAAGAAGGAGACGAAGTTGAAGTTGAAGAAGTGGAAAGAAGTTGAGCACTTGTACAGGAGACGATGAAGACTAAGAAGACCAACCACATTTAGAGAGGAGAAAAGGGCGAAATGAGTTGATTTGAAGACAACAATACTTGAGGACGTTTTGCGAGAAACGTGGTTTCATATCACAAGAAAACTAGAACGTAATAAATACAATCCATTTTTTATTATTGATAAACGTTTCTATAATACAAACAATACAGAATTTCCAATCGATACACAACCGGCTCACAATTTCGCCATTCCGCCGTTCCGATGCTTCTCCACTTTTTGCATAAATTCTTCCATTTTTTGCAAGTACAATTTCGGGTATTTCCGAAAGTGTTCCACGTGTGCACTGTCCGTCAGTCGCACAGTCGACACTTCTCTCCGTTTGTCCGTTCGTTGCGCCGCCAGAGTGTTGAAGAGGTCGATTTGGCTGGAAGAACAAAAGTTAGACAGGGTTTGGATTTCTAGGCCATTTCCTGTCCTATTTCGCTCAGTTTCTTATCGCATTAAAGACTTTAATTTAAAGTGTTGTGCGTAGGCCGTCTGGTGCGGCAGTTAAACTAGCTACACTGTCTCCCCTTCGACGAAAAAAATTTTCGCACGCTTTTTTGCGTGCGGCTCTCAGTGTCGATTTACGGGAGACGGTTTTTCAACTGAAAACGATATTTTCCCGAGTTTTTGGGATTATGCACACTTTTCCTTCAAAACGTTTGCCTCACGTTTGTTCACATGACCGATAGCTACAAAATGATCGCAGAGCGCTCGTGTAAAAGTGAAAATTCGAAGAGTATTTTCGTTTTTTAAATTTGGCTTGAAAAAACGCGAGCTTTCGGAAATTTTGAGAAAACAGTTGATAGATTCAAAAAACAGTTGCCTCACGATTGTTCAGCAGACAAAGGCGGTCATTTTGAGCACAGAGACGGCCCATAAAATGCAAAAATGACTGATAAATTCCAGTTTTTGAGGATCCGGAATGAAATTCACAGAAAAGTGTAATAATGCGCGCTTTCTTGTGAGCAAAACGCTAATTTAAGGTCACAGCTGTCATAAACAATTCGAAAATTCTCTGTTTTACTTCATTTTTCTCATTTTCGGATGAAATTTCGGGTTTTCGGAAAAAATCCAAAAATTTCAGAGACCTGCTTTTGTTTTCAACGACACTCCGTTTAAACGCGGCGCTCAATTTAGCATTAGCTTTTGGGGCGCTTTCTAGAATGTTTGTTCGGGTCTCTAGGCGCCACTAACCTGGCCGAACAAACGGCATCGGCGTCCGAGAAGACAGAGGTGATGATCGGCGGCAAACACGGATGATTGAGGGCGTAATGGTAGGGAGAAGCGTCCTCGAGCCGGCTGATTCCACTCGTCACCATAAAATGATCCTTCAAGGGTTCATGTGTGGATGCGTTTTTTTCTCTAAATTTCACAATACCCTCAAAAGTTGATATCCGAACTTGGCCGTTTCGAGCCGTTTGTAGAAGCGATACGCGTTGGACGTCAGAAAATTTTTGTTTTTGATCTGCAAACCGAAACGATTTCAGTTGGACTCTACATCTTCTACGTACCAAACCGTCATAGACATGATCCATGACGAGTGCGTGACTGACGAGATTACGGACGGAAAACCCGGAGAAGGAGGCGGGGCACGAGTCGAGAAAAAGACCGTCGCACTTTTCGAACAGTTTCAGGTGCGGATATTGTGCATCCAGCGAGGTGAGCGTCAGGAATCCGTTCATCGAAAAACAGTGGAATATGAGGCGGTTCGACGGGTTTATCAGGACCGAATCGAGCGTTTCGGCCAGGTGCCTCACTTCACGACTCTCCTGCAATTTTTCGGGATTTTTCGGACGCTTTTCCAATCGCACCTTCGTTCCCCATCCTTTGATGATCGGCGCGGCCGTAAATTGAACGGTCGTGTACCTGAAATGCCACGTGGATGATCGAATGCAAACGCGCTCCGCCGAACTCGCCCTTTCTTTTGGTAGACGTCCGAGTACTTGGCCACGTTTTTGTCCGTCGCGCCCGCCCATCCCAACACTCCCACTACCGTATCCCTCTTTCCGTGCGTCACGATCGCTTTCGCGGACAAATTCATCAGGAGTCGCGCTGAACGCACAAATCGATAATGGTCAGAGAGTGTTTTTGGCTAAAAAAACGGTCGAGGAGGAGAGAAATTGTGAAAAACATTCTCTGAAAATGAGTGCGCCTGAATTAGTGGGCGTTTTATATTATTTCCGTTATTTTGAGCCGTCGTGGGAGTCTGTCACATTTGTTTTGAAAAAAAGAATTATAGATCAAAAAACGAGACTGAAAACAGAGTCACATGACGGAGCACTATAAAACCGGCGTAAAACTGTCTGACCACTTTATAAAAAACCGATGATAAGAGCATTTTTCTGGGTCAGAAAACGACGATTGCACGTAGGAGAGTGGTCCAGGCGTTTTGACCCACTTGCAATGATCCGATCGGGTCCAAAGTTTGCAGGCTTCTCGGACTTGGATTGAAGTATATTGGGTCCGAGTTTCAGATCGATCCGATCATCTGGTCCCGAGATATGCGCATCAGAGGCCGAAGAAACCTCAATTTTCGCAAAAACCGATAAATCTCGGGTCCAGATGAACCGATCGATCTGAAACTCGGACCCAATATACTTCAATCCAAGTCCGAGAAGCCTGCAAAGTTTGGCGCCGATCGGATCATTGCAAGTGGGTCAAAAGCCTGGCTCTTTCTCTAAAAAAAAAACATTCTAATGCCCTACAACCGCTCAAAATAACGGAAATCATCCGGAGAATTCGATGGAAAAGATGGCAATTGACAGAAAAAATCATAGAAATTCGGACGGCCCGAATTGAGAGAGCATCACTGAAAGTATAACGAAAAGAAGGTGGTAACAGACCGTAGCCGCGTGCAGTCGTGGCCATTTCCGAAACGGAAAAAAAGGATCGCTTCCTTATCGTCCGCCTTTTTTGTTCGATCGACTTATCAAGCGGAGACCGTCCGTCTGATCGAGTGATTATTGATTGCCGTGCGCGCGCTCGCTACGGTGTAGTATTCGTTGTGGAACGACGATATTTGTTGGCTTTTCATCCGGGTTCACGTGGATCGCATTTTACCGATAAAACTACTATTTAATTCATTAGGCGATCCTAACAAAAATCGGAAATAATCTGACCCGAACAATACAACAGAAAAAGAGAAGCGAGAACAGGAGGAGAAATTACAGAAACAGTGAACATCCGGTTAAGAGTGTACTTGATTCGAGCTACGACCCGTTTGTGCGAAAAAAAATGGGCAAAAATTCGAAATCATTTGTAGGTGGCTTCGACGTGCTTCACAAAATTGACACACGCGTTTCGGTACTTTTGCGGGTCCGTTCGGATGTGTGCCACGTGTTCCGAGTCGCCGAAATCGATGGCCGTCGCCGCGTTTCCCTTCTCTTTCTGCTTTGCGATGAACTTTTCCACGTGTCTGCAATTATTCGCTTGTTTTTCAGTTAATTGAGGGACATTGTACGTACTTTGCCTTGATCATAGTGTCTGCTTTCGAGTACAAATACAATTGATCTCTGGGCAGGACAATGTGTTCCTGCAGATAATAGTAGATGGACATGAACGATCGGAGGAACGGAACCATCGCGAGCAGCGGGATTTGCTGCAATATTGACCATTTCTTCACGAACAAGGGCTGAACTTTTGACACACTTGCAATATTCCGATCGGATCCAAACTATGCCGGCTTTTTGGACGTTGGGACCAAGATTCAGCCCGATCGGATTATTTACTCCCGAGATGTAGTGTTTGAAGGCCGACTTTGGCCTATAATCCACATATGTCGGGACCAGATGATCCGATCGGGCTGAAACTCGGTCCCAATATACTTCAATCCAAGTTCAAAAAGCCTGCAAAGTTTGGGTCCGATCGAATGATTGCAAGTGGGTCAAAAGTCCAGGACAAAGACCGGAGAATTGCAATTTTTGTAGCACTTTTTCGCCCAAAAAAACCTCACCAGAGTGGCTCGTAGATTGAGGAAGAAAGTGAGGACGGAGATCCTCGTCTGCTCGCTGATCCACCGCTCCAACGCATCGATCGGAGGCGTCGAGATGACCATCGCCGTCGCGTCCTGCTTTCCGTACGGCCGCGACGGCGCACTGAACACAAACACTTTGAAACATTTGCTTCTCCGACTATTCGAACACCACAAAAAGTGAAACCTCGATGGTTTTCATGGGGCTATTCAGCGTATGTTTGTTTTCCGTTTTTTTTTCGTTTTTTTACACCGCTGAATTGGGTTTTTTGACGTAAAAAAACGAAAAAAAAACGGAAAAAAATCTTTTTTTTTCACAGCCTGAATAACCCCATAAGACTGGCTTACTAGCAAACAGTCCAAAAAAATGAAAGGAAAGGGCAGCGAACCTGTCGAAGATGATTCCTTTGATGCGGTTTCTCAGTTGCGGCTTCTCTTCCGCCTCCGTCCATTTCCAGAACGAAATGAGGCCGCGCACGCCGTTCATCGAGAACGAGTGGATTATTATCGGGCTGCAATTTTCAGGAAACCGATTTTGAACGTTTCGAACTTGTTTCACAAGCGACTGACCACTGTGCGAACGAGCGAAAGTCTCCCGGTTTGGCGTCGATGGCTCTGAAGAGGGGCGACATGTAGAAACCGACGCGCGAGTTCGGGATACTGTAGTGATAGCACGGCGGGCACAGCGAAACCACTCGGTACCTGGAACAGTTCAGTGCAAAAAGAACAAGAATCAAAAACGACGTACCCCTCGTCGTTGTAGATCTTGATGTACTTGTCGATGTGTTTCGGATTGGCGCCCGCCCACCCGACCACCAGCACCACCGGCTTCTTTTCGTCCGGCTGCTGATGCTCCGCAAGCACTAGCGACTCGCTCGTCACGTCTGCACAATTCTATTCTTGTTTTAGACAATTTTCAGATAAAACGTTCCCATTTTGCTGGAGAAATACGCGTTGAAATTGTCGTATTTAGGCTTTGAAAGTTTTGCGAGAAAGAAGGTTCGAGATTTGAAAGGAGCAATAGTGTTTTTGTTTTTATCAAACGTGTCAAAAAAGGGCGCAAACCTTGCGCATTGGGTAAATGAATCTGCATTTTCGGTTCGGGCACGTGTCTCGTGAAGTAGTCCCTCTTCTGGAGTGTTCCAGAAGAAGAAGAAATGGGCGGAGCCGCCGATGATGACGTGGCGGCGACGAGTTTCGGCAGAAGACGTCGGGTTGAGAGCATCTGCAAGTATCGAAAAGGGTTTTAATTAAATCATACATTAGAAAAATAGCGGAACAACTGGAAGCGCCTAATTTAAGTCAGAGAAGAAACAGGAATATTCAGTAGTAGTTATAAAACAGCCAAACATTTCATATCATAATGAATACATTGGCATTTCAGAGACAGGGCAAGTAAATGTGAGCATATTTGTCGAGATTAAATTGAAAAATGAACGATTTTAAACAGAAATAATCGAGAAGAAGGGGAATTTGAACAAGACTTCGTAGATGCTTTTGGAGTGGAAATAAACCGATTTTTGGATGAAAATTCCGAAAAAAAATCGGGAGAAAGCGCGAAAAATTCGCAGTCTTCTGGCGTTGAAACCGTCCGTTTCGCAGACGTCTCTGCGTCTTCTTCTCGCCGTTTTCTCTCGTTTTCTCCATTTTCTCTGCGTCTCCACACGGAAAATATCACGAGGGGGGGTCAAAACGGAGTCAAATGAACAATAGAGAAATCTGAAGGACGGAGAAGCACAAGTATTGAGGGGGTGATAATTATCGTATAGCAAAACCGCTTATTTAAAAATTATTGTTGCGCGCAGTTGGTGCTTTTGCTGGTCTTCCGATATGGTTTAGCGGATTGTGGACACATCTGAAAATGGACAAAAAAATTTATCAACATTTTTCTTGAAAAATTGTTTAGCGCGCTATAGCGAAAAAACGGCGGTCCAACATAATAGAACTGCGCAGAATAGAACTGTTTTTGTGTATTTATATGAGCATTTTGTCTGTTCCTTTCAATTAACTTTCGCAAAATGTTTCGTCTCTCGAACAATTAAGCAGAAGACCACAGTTTATACCTAGAAAATTGGTTTCCTTTCGTTTTTGTTAGTACAATAAAATTATTTTCTGTGGGTTTTCGTTACCGCAGAAAAGATGGATCACGACGGAAGTGAAATTAATGAATGCAATAAATCGATCACGAGTTTCAAAAATTATCTTTTTCTACGACACAATTAGCCTACAGAAAGGCTTAAAAGGCGCTCCAAGCAGTCTGGATTTGAAAACGTTTGGAGAGAAAACTCACTGACCGTGCCGATTTTTTCGATGTCGTCATCTTCGAATAATATTTCGGTGTCGCCTGCAAATATTCGAGAAAATTATCATTTATTTTTGAAAGGATAAACAAAACGGACGAGTGCTGCTGCTGGATCCGGGCTGATCCCCATCTCCGGTCATATCGACAAATTGGAACGACGAGTCGTTGATGGTCGGCGCAGAACTTTGTAGGACTGCAAAAATTGAACGTTTTGAATGTCTGATGAAATTAGGAAATTGATTTGAAAGCAGCGCGCCACTAAGGTTGTGGCCGTGGCCTACAAAACGTCAGATGGGCTAGCACGATGCATGGCTTCTGATTTGTGCGAATGCTTGGCAACGTCTCAAGATTGTACCGAATTCAGAAAAATCGGAAAAAGATCTCATGGCCTGAGATTTTTCTAGGCCACCGCCACCACAACTTTAACTGCGCTCTGTTCCGTTTATAGACATTTCTGTGCTATTTTTTCACAAAACAAGACGTACTCTCGTCTACAATTATGCAGTCATCCTCGTCCTCCTCCTTCACGACCATTTGCTCGCTTTCCTCGACGCCCACAAACAGCGATTGCTCGAGTTTATCTTTTTGTTTCTGCGAGAATGAGTACTCATTTTTCGGCTCGTTTTTCGGCACACACTCCATTTCGAGCGACGAACTTGAGGAACTGCAAAGATCGGAGAAAATTGGGTTGAAATCGGCAAAATCAACAAAACGCGGGCTTCTTCAAATCGAAAATCTGCGAAATGTCCGAAATTCAGTGAAAAACGCACATAACAAGAGTGTTCTGATGCACAATAGTTTCCGAAGCACTTTCGACCGTCTCCACGTCCTCCTCCTCGTCCATTTTCTGTGTTTTCCGTTCAGACTCTCCATTGGCCAGTCTCCCCAGTTCTTTTTCTTGTTTTTCTTCCACTCTCTTCTCTTCTCCAATACTTTCAGGCGTCGAAATCATGTGTTTGATGGATTCACACGTGGCAGGCGTCACTGGAGCGACCATGTCCGTTCTGAGCAATTCAGGATCATTAAAATTTGTAGTTTTGCGAAAAACCAGAGAGAGACCGTCACCAAAAAATGCCTCACTTTTGTATTTCAGACTGGAGAAGTCCGCCCAAACTGGATCCGATCGATCGAAGGGATATGACGGAAGTATTGGAGGAACTGAGTGCGGAGGCGTGTCCGTCAGCCGCCGAAATGAGCGTATCCGCCGGTCGGACGACGGAGTTCTCGCCTGAGACAGAGAGAGACGAAGTGCCCAAAGTGAGCGCGGCCTCGATCGGGACCGGATCCTCGACCGGAGAGGCATCCGCGGCCTTCGGAATCATTTTCCACGCGGGCGTCTCGCACACTTGCTCCAAAACGCCCGCGTAAGCGAACCAATGGGCCCGTGTCCACTGGGAACGGTCGGCCGGCAGTTCCATCGGCGGGTAGTCCAGGACCGGCGCTGAAGGGTTTAGGATTAGACAACACAATTCTATAAGGATTACCGGGAACTTGGCCTAAAATGCGGACATTTCCTAAATGTTGTTTTAAAATTAAAATAATTCTACCGAAATCCTATGAATCCTGATAAAGCTCTGCGAAAAAATGAAGAACCCACGTGGAAAATCGGGAGAGGACTCTCTGTTCGTCTCGTCTTCACAATCACTATCAGACGACGGAGTTGCCCGTCTCACAGGACGTTTTCTCGATCTCACAGTCTCCCTTTTCGCTTTTTTCTTCGGCGGAGCAGTGGGTTTGTCCTTGGAAGGGGCTGCCTTCGGAACACGTCTTCTTTTTTTGGGCGGCGCGACGGCAGGACTGGATTTGGCCGAAGTGGAGCACGCCCTCGAGAACTGGAGCTTCGAAACGGGCTCTTTTCTTGCTTTTTTATCGGTGTTGCTATTATCCGAAGAGTTCGAGGTTACTGAGGAGAGGAAGGAGGAGAAGGAGAGGGTCGCCGGGCCCGTCCGTTTCGCGAGCGATCTTTTGCGGGGACCATCGGTCGGAGGGACCGGCGAGCAGTCGCTCACCGAGGAATCGAGAAGTTTCCGGGCGGCCGGGGTCTGCAACTTTTCAAAGTATAAAATAGGAAAAAATGGGAGTTTTTTTTTTAAATCAAATACCAGTTTTTGCCTATTTTCGAAGCATAAAAAAATTCCGTACCTCATTTTTCTTTGCACTTTTCGGAACTTCACATTTTAAAGTCTCTTTTCTCGGTGTGCACGCATTAAACTTCCGGGGCGTTTTCATAAAGACTCTCACCTGCCGTATATCACGGACATTCTGGAAAAAGTGAAGTTGAAATGGCGAAAAATCAGGGCTGGGCAAATTTCGGCCAAAGCTTTTCGAAGGCTTTGTGAGGCCTAGACTTTTGACCAACTCGTAATAATCCGATCGGGTCCAAACTTCGCCGACTTCTTGGACTTGGATGGATGTATTTTGAGTCCGAGTTTCAGATCGATCGAATCATCTGATCCCGACATTTACTTGTCTGAAAGGGTCGGGCTTCTGCGAAGATTGCGGCCTTTTCGGCCTCAAACCAGTATATCTCGGGATCCGATCGGTCTGAAACTCGGACCCAATATACTTCCATCCAAGTCCAAGAAGTCTGCAAAGTTTTGGGCCCGATCGGATTATTACGAGTGGGGCAAAAGTCCACGCCTCAAACAGCCTTTGAAAAGCCTGGGCCGGGGCGTTTCCATTCGGACACTTACCACCCGTTTTTTCTGGAAAAAAAAATTATTCGCAAAAACAGTGAATTTTTCAAATCAGCGTCATTACCAGACCTTGTCGATATTGGCGGCCCTTTTCTCGATGACGCGTGCCATGCGCCTGCACTGCTCTGCCAATCCGTCCAACTCGTTCATTCCGAAATGCACTCTGCCCGCATTCATCTGTCGACATTTCAAATTCACGAAAAGGTCGAGTTCGTCGTGAAAGAGGCACGTGAGATCTCGGGTGAAACAGAGGCAGAACACGCACAGATCCTCGCGCGCACTCCGTTTTCTCATCGGAATCAGCCCTTTTTGCGCTTTTTGGAACTTTTTTATGCTCTTGAATGCGTGGTGGAATCGATTTGAGAGGAGAACTGAAGAAAAACACGATATTTACGAAATTTGAAAGTTATACAAAGGAGGGGTGCTAAAAAATGACAGCCTCTCGGAATTGAATCCGAAAGGTCGTTATTTTGTTGAAAATATATACGCACTCAATTGTTCGGTTGTCATGACGCTCATTTGCTTCTTTTCGTCAAATGACTGTTCCGCACGCGTTTCTTCAATTTCTTCCTCTTCGATTCCTTCATTTCTCTCCGTTTCCGGACTTTCTTCCGATCTTTCCGATGCTGTCGATTCGTTCGAATCTTCGCTGCCATCCGAGGATCCCGAAGACGACGAACTCGAAGGGAGACTTCCCACGGGTCCAGCGGATAACGACTGAAATGACAAATTGCGAAGTGTGAGTAAAGTTAGGAAAGCATCCGGGTACGAACCAGGCCCCGCCCACTCGCCTGTCCCGAACTGCCGGCGCTCAACTCAAAACACCAATGTTCTGAGTTTGTCCTGGACTTTTGATCCACTTGCAATGATGCGAGCGATCACCTAGGCCCAGTATACTTTAAGTCTAAGAAGCCTGCAGAGTTTGAGTCCGGTCGGATGATTGCAAGTGGGTCAAAAGCCGAAGACAAAGGGCCGGCCAATTGCAATTTTTAAAAGAAGGTTTCCCTAATTCGCTCACTCTTTCCATGACGTCTCTAATTTTGGCCGTAATCGTGTCCATCACTTTTCGGTCCAAACTCACTGAAACGTTTGCAACATTTCAATTTTTCGCGCGTAAAAGCGTACAACTCTCCATAGCCCTGTACTTTTCGTATCCTTCCACACTCAACTTTGCGATTATGTTGGGAATCGATAGGTCTCTGAAAAATAAGAATGAGAATAGTGGCTTTTCCTTTTCAAAAGTACAATTCTCGATTTTTAAAAATCTGGGCGGCCGCCTGCTCCAACTGCTCGTCCAAATGCCCCTTTCCCGTGTTGAATCCGAACTTTCCAATGTCAAAAGCGCCTTCTTTCTGCTCCAGAATCCATCGAGCCAGCGGCGCTTTCAGGCGACTGATCTGCACAAAATTACAGTTGTTTCTAATTTTTGAAAAAAATTATTTCTTTTATTTAAAAATGTGGTGGCGTAACCGGGAGAGGGAAAGCTTTTAAAACACATTTTTTCAAACCTCCTCGAGCTTCTGGTCATTCTGCTCCATTTTATTGAAATCAGTCTCGCAATGCATTCGTTTTTCCTCTCTTTTCAGGTACTAAAACAATTTTTACAATTAGAACATTGCTTTTTTGAAAATTCCATACATCAAAAAGTTTATCCAACGTTTTCAGATGCCATTTCGGTTCCGATTTGGAATTTTCCGGAATTTCCGGAGTTTGCGTCGTTTGTTGTGATGTGGAGGGACGCTGGAAATTCTTGATTTTTTTAATTCTTTAAAGAATCATCTTACTGATGAAGATGGAATTGGATGAGTTTCTGGTGCTCTTTTCGGGACTTTTATCTGCAAAAACTTGTTTTTATACACAAAAATTAAAAGAAAAAATGAACCGTGGCATTGGGATTGATTCTCCAGCAACTTTGTGCGTATTTGCGGCCCTCTTCGTTCGCCCAATCCTTCAATTTCATCTCGTTCTCGTTTTTCGGACTCCAGAGTCCGTTTCTGAGCACCGAAATGAACTTGTTCACTTTTTGAGCGGTCGTGAGTGCGTCCAGAAGGATTCGGAGACACTTTTCGCAGTGCTGTGACGTCATTATCAGGTGGATGACCGATTGGAAATGCGAGAAGCACGTGGGCTGGTGCTTGATCACACTTGCGATCGCCATTCGGAACTCTTTGTGACGGACTCTGCAAAAAACTGTCGTGAACTAGTCCCCCAAACTTGAAAAGTTATTTTTGAATCCAACGAACCCGTGTCCGTTCGGATCGAAGTCCATCAAGTGCTGAACGGGACCGTACATGTTCGAGATCTTTCCGTCCACCGCCATAAACGGATTGTGCGAACTGGCAGTGTCCTCACTGCAATTTCAGCATTTTTCAGAAATTTCAAGTTTTCTTCAGAAAAAAAACGCACAAAGGTTTGAGCATGGCCTCGGATTTCAGGGTGAACGGCTCGTTCAGCGCCACGTTTTCCCAGAACAAATACGGCGGTTCGGGCAGATTTTCCGATTGGAACGGCACATCGGACACTTTTTGCACGAGATTCAGGTGCGGATGATCGTGCCGACGCATCGTCCCGGCCGCCCGTCGAATCTTCTCGAGCATTGCGATCAACATTCGGCCGCACGCATTCGGAACCTGGGAAAAATCGTTTTCTCAGGTTTTTCGCGATAAACTCACTTCTTTCGAGTTTTCCGCGGACAAAACGATGTAAATATCATTCTGTACTCTCGGACCGTTCATGGAAAGTGCCTTGTAGAAGTATTTACACTCGGCATCCAGTCTTTCCATCGTTTTTAGCTAAAAAATGACTGAAAATCGAAAGATGCTGGCGCGTGGCGTGCATTCGAACGTGACGGTGTTTGCACACATTGCCATGTGCTACAGTAAGACTGCGTGTTGAAAAATTCGAAAAAGGGCGGACAATGAACGGAAAATAATCCGTTTTCCTTCAATTCTATCAAGTTCAGCCGGTTTTCTTAAACATTCAAGTCAAAAACTTTGAAATTCTGTAAACATTCAAAGAAAATCCGTCAGTTTATGTCTTATGCTAATTTTCAATGTTCCCGCAAATTTTTTAAAGCATTTAAATCGTTGTAGTAGTTGTACACTATTTAAGGAACCCTTGATGAAAACATGCGTTCGGCCTGAAAAAGAACTGTCTGTTTTCAGTCAGAAACAGCAATTCTGCACTAGTATCGTTCAAAAAACGTTTTTTTTTGCAGAGTTTGCCCAAAAAGCAGTATTTTGTGTTGTCAGGTGAGTTTCGAGCTGTAAAAGTTGACGATCGATGTTTCCGTAAACATTTTCTGCAAAAGTCTGAAAACAAAAGTAACAATAAACGATTTATCACACAGAAAAGCATGAAATTACAACAAATATCCGATTCTTCCATTATTTCACTGAAAATCCATAAAAGTTTCACTCTTTCAGTCTTTTCCTCCGGAAACCTATGAAATCAGTCGGCATCACGGCGCGGCTTTCGCAACATACGCAGCAAAATGGTATGCATTTTTGCGTGCCGGTGTTGCTCTGCGTACAGTGCATTTTATGTTACGCGCAAAAGTCATTTTTTTTAGTTGTTGATGGATTTTCTCCAAATATTCATCTCTTTAAAGCGTTTTTCTCCACTTTCTACCTCAATTAGACCTTTTTACAGATCCCAGATGAAGTAATACGCGAAAAGAAGTCGATGCGATGAAAAGAAACGCGTAAGTAAATGGAAGTAATGTTTTATTCAGAAAATATACGATTTCTCGAAAAACGTCTCTAGATCTTCTAATCTTTTGATTTAAAATGTTCACTAACATGACTGTGAATGTCTTCGAATAAAAAAAAAGTAGAGTGACAGCTCGCTTTCGCGTAAAAAAATTGGTTTTTTTGCCGGAAAACAGTGACATTTCGTTGAAAAAAATATTTTTTTCTCAAAAAACCGTCTCTAGATGTTCTACTTTTTTTTGTTTAAATAGTTCACTTACATGACTGTGAATGTTTTCGAACCAAAAAAATTAAAGTGACAGTTCATAGAAGCAAAAAAATTTTTTTTTAACGAAATTTCACTGTCTTCCGGCAAACTATCGGTTTTTTTCCGCGAAATCGAGCTTTCACTCTACTTCTTTTTTTAGTTCCAAAACATTCTCAGAAATGTAAGTAAAGTTTTTAACCAAAAAGATTAGAAAAATCTAATCAAGTTTTTTTCGAGAAATCGTGCATTTTCTGAATAAAACCTCACTTTCACTTACTTACGCGTTTCTTTTCATCGCATCGACTTCTCTTCGCGTATTACTTCACCTGGAATCTGTAAAAAGGTCTAATTGCGTTAGAAAGTGGAGAAAAACGCTTTAAAGAGATGAATATTTGGAGAAAATTCATCAAAAACTAAAACTAAAAAAAAAGAACTTTGCGCGTAACATAAAATGCACTGTACGCAGAACAACACCGGCGTGTCAAAATGCACAGACTGAGGATCAAACGTTTGGTGAACGTCGCAAAAGCCGCGCCGTGGCGCATTTTCCCAGCTTTTCTGCCAACTTCTGTGCATTTCGACGTGACGGTGTTCACACCTCCGGCACGAAACTTTACGCACAACTCTTGTTATTATCTGCGAAAAATGCAAATTTCAACGGATTTCCAGCAGGAAAATTTGAGAGTTTTTTGCGAAAACAAACTAGTATTTAGTTTGAGACCCATTAAAGGTCGAATCGATGCAATCAAACCGCCCGTGTCCGTCCTTGACCACATTCCGTCCGATCACCTACCGTAACGCATTTTCTTCATTTGATCAGCGTGATGTGTTCGGCGCCGCTCCGCCTCCTTCCGACGTCTTCCTCTTCGTTTCTCTGCGCTTCTCCAATCAGAAATGCTCTCTCGTCGGCCCTTTCCGCACAACATCGGCCATTCTCGTCAACAATCGCGGTGTGCGCACGCAAAATGGTGAGTGCTTTCCTTCTTTTTTATTTCTGGGATATGTATACTTTTGAGCAAAAAAGTATAGCATTTAACAAGTATATGCCTTCAAGTTGGGCTCCCATCTTAAATCGGATTATTTGCAGCCAGTTCTCACGGAAACGGAAAGAGCCGACAAGCTGCCAGGGCTCAAAAATGCCGGTTGGAAACTGGTCGAGGGCAGAGACGCCATCCAGAAAATGTTCGTTTTCAAGGATTTCAATGAGGTAACACATCGCACCGTCCGAGTCCCAACTCTCACAAATGCCAATGAACGGAACAGTTTGAAATGTGACAGACACATGAACATTTCAAAAACGTTGAGGCTTCCCTGGTCCTTCAAATTTGAACTTTTCAGGCATTTGGATTCATGACACGTGTCGGATTGAAGGCCGAAAAAATGGATCATCATCCCGAATGGTTCAATGTTTACAACAAGGTAATTTGCGAGAAAAAAAATGTCCGAATTGAATTCATTTCAATTTGCAGGTCGATATCACTCTGTCCACTCACGACTGTGGCGGTCTCTCCGAAAAAGACGTCAAATTGGCGAATTTCATCGAATCTGCCGCCAAAAAATAATTGTCTTTATTTGTAACCGAATCATATTTCACTTGCACTAAAAATGTCCAACAGAAATAGGAAAGATGTTAGAAAGCTGTTAGAAAAAATGTCTAATCGAAAAAAAAAGTTAGGAGAATTACTAAAATGATCACCGTAACGTTTCGCTGTCGCCACTGTTTGGCAACTTGTCGGCACTGTAACAACTGTCACTGTCTATTAGACAGTGTCTAACAAGTTTGGAAAATGTCACGTTTCACAACCATAACGAATGTCAACCAGTACGTTTCGCCAACAGTACGTTTTGCTAGGCTTGTCAACGCTGGATCCCAACATTTGTTGATAAATACAACCGAGGAGCACCCAGTAACTACTTTAAAACCGGCGTAGTTGCGAAACATTACGGTTGCATTCCGCTACAGTTGCGAAGCGTAATAAACCGAGAGCTCTCTCTAAAATGCGCGAAGTTCCATGAATAATTTGTCGAGTGCGTCGATGCGATCTTGAAGTGATTGCGAAATTTTCGACGGCTCGGCGTTTTTTAGCATCTGATATTGGGTCTTCTCTGAAAACATTTTTCCAAAAACGTTTATAGCAAGAAGGAAAAGGGAGACCTGTTGTCAATGGTCCGGAATTTCGGCACGATGTACCATTTCGACCGTTTGAAGCTCCAAAATGAGTGAAAGACTTTGAATGCAAAGGTCTGGATGCGACGGCCTCGTTGCGCCACTTGTCCGTCCGTCCACGCGTCTTCCGTTCCTCCAAATATTCTCGTTCTGTTTTCGGCGCTTTCCGCTTCATTTTCGACGTAGGCGTCACCAATTTGCGCATTGTCACCGGAATTATTTCGTCCACTTTCGGGACTGAAAATAATAGTTGCCGCAGAAGTCTGACAATCGCGCTCCACTGCACTCCACGTGGGATTGCGATGGAGCGAGATTGCCAGACATTTAAGGGGCCAATAATTACTTTTTCTCGAAAAGAAGAAATCGAGAAAAAGTGGTTTTAAACAAAAGAGCCTACATCCAATCGGTTTGATAATCGTCGTCGCAGATTTCGAGTGATTGAACGAAGAGAACGGCGTTCTGAAAAAAATTGAGGAAATGGTTTCGGAAAAATAGAGCAAATTTGCTTAGAACCTACTCATTATTCTGCTCTTCGATTTCCTCTTCTTCTTCTTCTTCTTCTTCTTCTTCTTCTTCTACTTCTTCCGAATCCTCCACTCTTTCCGGTGTTTTCAAATGTTCCAGATTCGAAAACGTTCCAAATCTGCAAATGTTTTGTATGTTTTGATAATTGGCAAAATGAATTGCGTACGTGGAGGGTGTGTGCATGGACGGATTCGGGCCGTATCCCAGTTGTTCGTCCATTTCGATTTCTTCCGCGTATCTTTCTTCGAATTCCAACTGAAATAACGGGTTGACGAGCCGTTTCTTGTGCAGAATCCTGTCCAATCCAAGCGCTCGCGCTCTGCAAACATTCGTATTTTTTTCAAAATTATGGGGTTATTCAGGCTGTTAAAAAAATGACTTTTTTCCGTTTTTTTTTCGTTTTTTACGTCAAAAAATCCAATTCAGCGGTGTAAAAAAACGAAAAAAAAACGGAAAACAAATATACGCTGAATAGCCCCATTAGAACGAAAAAAAACAATTTTCCCACCGTCTGTCTTGTTTCTCGTATCTGTCCATGTTCAGTTTCTTTTTGCCGTTCCCAAACGGATTCTCGTACTTTTCGAATATTTCCCTCAATATCCGCTGGTAATTCAGCTTGTCCGCCTCGTCGCGAATGCCCGAATCCACCGACTTCTTCCGCCTCAAATTCACGAATCCGGCCGTGTTCAGATGAAGCTCAAAGTACTCCTGGAGCTCTTTTTTTTGTAAATAAGTGTGGAGGGCCAGTCGGATGACCGCCACTTTCCGAAATGGAATATTGCGGACCACTATGCTCTGCAGCACTGCGTTCAATTCCTCGTTCCGCAGGTTTCGCTTCATTAACCTGAACAAAAGAGCTTCTCTCGTTGATAAGAAGAAACGAAGGAAACTGGGTACCAGCGAACGGCCATGTTGACGAGCGGCGCCTTCCGCTGGATGTTGATGACGGTGGCGAGCAGTGCGGAAATACTGCCGACCGTCAGCTCGTCGATCAGTTTCTCGTCCATCCCGGCCACGTAACGCGCCAGTTCGTTCGAAATGTTCTGCACGTTTTCGGTGATCGGATGGTAGACTGTGCACAAGGCCACGAACGACTTTTGCGGGGACAATTCGAAGCCGTCGCACGCATTATTCAGGGCACGGAGAAGGAAACTACCTTCTGCGTACGGCACTGTTGACTCTGCAAGTTTGTGCGATTTTTTTGGGATTTTTGGGGGGTCTTTGTAAAATTTTTGGAATTTCTGTAAAAGGCGACTCACTTAGAACGTTTAATTTTGACATTCGATGTTGTACAGCAAAGCTTCCACGTTTCCCCGCCGGGAAATGACGAAAATAGCTGGAAAGTGAAGAAAAAACGTGCATCGTTGCGAGACCCGTGCCAAAATCTCTGCTGCGCCTTCAAACTTCTACCGTAATCGTGATTGTTTTCTGTGCGGCAAAATTGCCTTTTCATCTGGGGAAAAATAGCAGAAAAAACAGGGAACAACTATTTACATACAACTTTATTAAATTTTCAGCCATTTGTTGGAAAAAAAATCAATCAATAAATACATTTTGAAAAAATTACACAGGAAAAGACGAGAAGAAGTGAATTTTTCGGTCGAAAAATATTGTTTGAATCAGAATGATTCTACGTGGCAATCACTCACACTCGGGCATCATTTTCTAGTCGGGACTACTTTTTAGCGAAACATGCAATTGCAAAAAATAAACTTGATGGCACCGAGAATGGAACATGGGGAAGACTTTGAAAGTTAGAAAAAATGCAATCAACTACTAATTTTTATCGTCGACTATTTCTGTCCTGCTCTTTTTGCGCGCGAATGATGAGCTCGCAGAGGACGGGCGCGTTGACCTCTTCCGGATGGGCGGCCATTACCGACTCCACGTAGTTGGCCGGGAAAATGTGACAGAGATGGAAGTGGACTCGGGCGCGCACTTCCGAAAGCGTCTCGTTCATTTCTCTGCACACACACTTTTTTTGCGATTTCTTCGTAATCTTCACTCACCCAGTGTTGACGGGTCCGACGGAGAGTTCCGAGTGTCCCCAGACGGCGGTCGAGGGCGCGTAAAGGTGAGTTTGCGATACGGTCGCCGTCATTTTAGGCCTTTGCGATCCGATTACTCCGTGCTGATGATGGGGCACCTGCTGATGTGGCGGTTGATGGTGCATCTGGGACGGATCCAGCATGTGTGGGTGGTGGAGCGCTGGAATTACAGAATGTTATGAAGCGTTGAGAATTTTCAAGAACGGCCTATTCGCTAGATCTTTGCAACTTTTCTGCAATTTCGTTTGTCTCAAACAGAAAGCGATAAAAAACAATGGATATAATTTCTCAAGGAGCGAAAGATTCGGAACATTTTGAGGGATACAACTGATTGCCTACATAAAATTACGATTATGATCCAAGCAAGTGTTTTGTAACAACGGACTCTCAAATACTTGTTACAAGTGTTCTAACAGTCTCAAAAAGCCAAAAAACAACCCACCACTGTTAGTCTGTCGGTTAACGGGCGTCAACGGAGACGATCCGTGTCGCTGGACGGCCTGATGCTGCTGCCACGGAGCGCTGTTCGCCTGGCTCAGCTGCATGTGCTGCCTCTGGTGCATCGGCGGATTCTCGGGCGTCGGCGGCAGTTGCGAGAGGTTCTCCGTCAGCGGTTTGACTACGTTCAGCGATTGCGTACGCGAGAGCGCCGCGTGCTTGTTCTTGAACATCTCGTATTGCATCGATTTCACTGAAAACGTTCGTTGAAAACTATTTCTGAAAAGCCACAGATAGTCAAAAGTGAACAAAATGCTCATTCAAAATTTTCTAACTTTTTTTGAAACTGTAACATTTTTTCGAATCGGGACATTTCCAGGTTCTGGGCGAGCGTCCTCTTTTCTCAATTAGCACCGGAGCTGGAGATGCAACACAGCGCACTCACTTTGAATACAGTCGCGATAGTAAATGTTTTGACGAAGAACAATAGTTACCTGCTCCGAGGGACTTCTTCTGCTGATTCTCCTTCATGAGCCGGTCCGTCACACTCATATGGTTCCCATTCGCTCTTTCCGGATGATAAAACTTGCATTTGTTGCCGTACGTGCACTTTCTCGCATACGGACAAATCAACGGATTCGACGAGACGACGGGCACTTTCGACAGGAAACTGTCGATTCGAGGACCGTGACGGCCGGATGGATCATCTGGCGGCATGAATCTGAAAATTCATCGCTTTTTGATAACGATTAGACCCCTTATCATCTCTAGGCCACACAAACAGAGTGCACCAGAAAGAACGAAACACTTTTTTTGCAAAAAAAAAAAAAAAGTGTGTGAACAAGTGGATGCTCCGCGTCATTTCTGCTCTTTTGTTCGCAGACGAGGCGGAATCGAAGACGGAAAAGTGCACAAAAACAGGTCGGAGCGCGCAAATATTTGAGAAGCGGACAAAAAACACGGTGGATGGGAACATCAAGAAACAACCGATTGTGTTGTGCTGGATAGGATTTTCTGACTATTTTCTTGGCATTTTTTTTACTAATGTCGGCGTCCAAAGTCTCGGTTTTAGGAGTACGGTTACATTCGTTCAGCTGTGCACACCCCCGTTTTTCACGCAAATTTCGGCCGACTTTGGACAGAAAAACCTGCGGGTTTTCCGGTTTTTCCGAGACTTTGAACGCGGCAATAAGGGTGCAGTACTAAAATGTCTTCAAACTAATTCGACTTTGTGCTAATCAATTTGTGAAACGGTGAAATTTTTCCGGAACTTTTTGAGAGAGTCTCGCAAAAGACGTACTTGTCCTCTACGAAGGTGAACATGAGCAGTCTCTCCTCGACAATCTTCCTCCACACCGGATTCTCCCTCGTCAGGTCGCGGTACTCGTCGTTCGAGACGATGACGGCGTCCTTCAGTTCGGCCGTCCTCAGAATGTACCGGTCGTCGTGGCAAACTACGCGGCGTCCGTTCACGTTCCTGCAAATTGACAGTGTTTCGAACATTAACCGTCTCCAGAGCTTGGAGTAGGCAAAAGTGCGCGCCGCTGAATTCGCCAAATTAGTCACTAAAAATCGATAGTTTCGCATTTGTGCTTCGATAGAACGATTGACTAGGTTAAAACTAGTTTTTTAAAAGCAAGACCGTCAAATTTGGTCCATTTGAAGTGTTCAAGCGCTCAAAATGTTTGTATTCCAATTTTGTCTGAAAACGGTCAAAAATGCGCAAAACGAGAAAAGTGCAGTTTCAAAAAAAAGGCAATAAAACGTTTGTCATGTAGTGCTTACCTAGATGGCGTATAAATAATGTGCCGTTCGATTTCCTGAAGTATATGCTGATCGGTGATCGGACTGTCCGAACGAGGCTGTTCCCGTCTGCAAAACAATGATATATTTTGGTCACAAAAAAATATAGAAAATCATGTGCTCACCTGTATTGTGGTATAAAAATGAGCACTTCGGGATGTCCTCTTTCCAGAAAATAGTTGAGACACTCGCGGAGTCCGGCACACGAAAACACCTCTTTTCGGCCGTGTCTGAAAAACGGGGAGCAACTTGAATATCATTAATTTAAATATCTTGTTGATAAAAGTCTCATGTACAGTCTCGAGAGCTCACAATGGGCGCGAAATTCAAATGGATCAAAACAGAAAGTGGTGGTCGCGGAGCCATTCGGCCGCCTGCTGCCGTCCGTTTCTTTCCGTTCGGCGCGGCTCAGCATGTCTCTGTTTACATTATTATGCTCCCTTTCCCTCTTTTTCTCTTTTTTCGCGCGTCCGGAAAGCAGTGTGTCCGGCTGGTGGCGGCCATAATAAAACGGACGACTCGCTCTCTCTCTCTTTCTCTCTCGCCTCATTCTGTGTTTTCTGCCGCGCGGAAAAAGCGGGAAAATGGACAAAAATTGTCGTTTCCGGAGCGGAAAAGCCACCGATCTTTGGCAAGAAATCACCGGGAGGGGTCTATCATGCTTTGTTTCAAGTACATAACGCAGGATTAGTGTGGAACAACTCACAACATGGCCACGTTGGATCCGTCGACGACTACGGTCCTCAAGTCCTTGTTGGAAGTGGTCCCAGTGGTGGAGCCAGAGGAAGAGGGATTGGGAGGAAGTCCGTTCGACGAACAGGCACGGACCGGCGGATGACTGTGAATTGAGGGAGAGGAAGAGGAAGAGGAGGAAGACGGAGAAGAAGTCAGCAGAGAGTGGTCCGACGGCTGGTTCTTGTCCGGAAGCCCCAGTTTCACCAGCTCCGAGAGTATGTCGTCCTGCAATTTATTTGAAAAATTATCGCTTTTTTTCAGGCCTCGGCGGATTAACGCTCGCGGCAGACAAAAAACACGGGGCGAGGGAAATATCATTTGCGCCTCTCTCTTCTACCGCACAAATGGTTTTTCTCTCGTCCCGCAAGAAATTTCTAATAAATGCTACAGACACCAACAAGCGCTTAAAATAACGAAAAGTAACTGGAGAATATAGGAAAAATGCTGACCATCCTGGCGTCCACTCCGATCGCATTCAAAACGTGGCTCAGTTGTTCGACCGTATAACCGAGTTTAGTGGCGAATTCGACGACTTCCGGCGACGGATATCGTATCATTCCATGTTGTTCTTCTGCAAAAATCGATATTGTAGACTGCAAATAAGATAAAATAAAAACTCACCATCAATTTTGCTGGGATCCGACGATTCACGACTCAGAGACGGATGGGAAATATCGTCGCACGAGCTGCAACAAATGCACTTTAGTAAAAAAAATTTTCTGTTTCCAAAAAGATTCATAATTTTTCGTGATGGATTTCAGTGAATCGTCCACCCAAGTTTCATGACTTGCATTGAAGTACATAGGGTCCAAATTTCAGATCGATCCGATTAACCGGTCCCGAAACATGTGAATCAGAGGCCGAAAAGGCCGGTTTATTGCGGAAAGATCGGTTGTTCGAAAAGTATAAAATAATGCAATTTTATCCGAAAAGAAGACCTATACGCCCACTCAAAAAAAAAAAACGCTAGAAAAAAAAATGAGAGAAAATCCAAAAATCCCATGAAAATGCACGTTAGGTGCTTCCGGGATTGCGGTTATTTTCGCGTCGGTCACATGAGAAAATTAATATTTTTTCCTCCGAAAAAAAAAGAGAATTTTCGCATTTAGAAACCGAGAGTACTCGCACTGATTTCCGGCTGGAAATGGCAAATGGGAAATTGGGGGGAAAAGGGGGAAGTGGCGTTGGTTTCGGACTCGAAACGGGGTCTGGCAATGATAATTTTAGGAGTCGTCAGAATGTGACAACGTCGAAAATGTTCTTGAAGTCCATTGTACCACCATGATCTTTTTATGTGCTTGCTACCTAAAATTGTTCAAATAAATTCCAAAATAAAAGCGAACCTGTAACACGAGTCGAAGTCGTTGCTCAACTGGACGGGAGCCAATCCCGGAGGAGGTCCCTGGATGAGTCCCGGCGGAGCTCCAATCGTAAAGTTCGAGTTATGGTGCATCGGCGGATACGCTTGGATCGGTTGATAATATTGGTGGTGTTGGGGACGTTGCGAAGTACGGCACAGTGGGGCGTGGCCTCGCGACGATTGAGAATCCATCTGGAAACGAATGCAGTTTAGAAACGGAAGAGGAAAAGAAAGAAAAGAAGAGAAAGAGGAAAATTCGTGCGATTTGAATCACCCGAAACAGTGAGAAAATTCGAAGAAACTAAAAAAAAATTATTGTGAAACCGGAATTTTAGTGATTCCAATGCGTTCAAAGTCCTTTCCAGATGACTCGTTTCTCTGGACGGAACTCTTTCGGGGCCGAGAGCACAAAACTATAATCTTCTTAAAATATCGAAATGGTGTGTTGACACGTTTCCCCTATTTTTGAGGCAACGGGGGGACAAAGGACAGGGACAAGCGTTTAGTGTCCGCACAATATATTTAGGAAATTGTGAAGAAGAAGAAGAAGAAGAAGAAGAAGAAGCATAAGGTAGACAAAAAAATAAATGGGAAAAAGGGGATTATGGAGGGAAAAAGGGGGGGGATTAACGGGCAGAGATATCAGTGGGCGGGGGGACTCATTTATATTATTATTTGTTTATTTTTTCGGATTATGCCTTCATTTTTTCTAATTTTTTATCGAAAAAACATGAGATCCGGGGGCATAATCCCCGGCTAATTAGTACGTGGATTTGGTGATGATTTTTGGATTTATACCAGGGCTGGGCAAACGCGCAGCTTTTTCAATAGGCCGCAATGAGCACTTTTTGACTCGGAAAAATGATAAAAAGTGTTTCAAATCTACTCAAAAGCAATGTGCTCTACGGGTTTTGAAAACCGGGTAATCCCGGTTAAATAGCGGGTTTCCACTAAAAAAAACCGGGAGAATACCCGCATTTTACTGGTATTTTCTAGTCTGCAAACCCAATGGCATATAATTCCAGACAAACATTGTAACTGACGAGCATATTTTCCAGAAAAAGTGTTTAAAGCAACAAAAACCACAAAATGCGCGTGAGTTTGTTTGCAATGTCTGCAAATGATCGTCGTGGTGTTTGCGTACATTTGATACCGGTTTCTTAGCGATGCGCCACTGGTGTTCACGGGTTTTCACCCTTTTTTTTCGAACCGAGCTCACGTAGCGGAGCGCTGTGACCGCATTATAAAAATAATGATTCCGGTGCGGAAGTGCTCTTTTTGTACGCGGAAAAACACGGAAAAACACGCTCGTTCTCTCTGTTTTGTTTGGAGAAATTGCGCAATTGAGCAGGAGGAAAAGAGCAAGAAAAGACTGGTTATGGGAGAGAAAAACGAGCAGAGATGCCACTAGACACGCACTTTTTTTGGCCAAGAATCCCAAGATTTTCGGGATTTCGTTTTCCATTGTAAAAAACGCTCAAGGGATTAGGGAATAGTGCTAGAAATTGAACAAACACGAGACTTGCAAAATTCCGGCCCGGAAGTTACACCTTGAACCAATTTTTTTCGGCGGAAACGAACGAAAAACGCGTGCGGTAAAGCCGGGCCGGAAAATTTAATGCAGTTCAAATGATAATGTGAGAATTGAGAAGGGTGAAAGGTGGTGAGATCGGAATGACGAGCAAAACGGAAAAACGATAAGAAAGAGGGCAAGACGGGGCGAGAAAAAAGGTGTAAACAGAAAATAATCAGATGAAAATCAGGCATTTAATTCGGAGGGTACAAAAATTAGGGGGTACAACAGGGTACAAATGGTTTTGGGGTACAACTTTCATGGTTTTGGGGTACAAAAAGTCGAGGGTACAAAATTTTCGATTCTGGGGTACAAAAATTTACCGATTCAGTAGGCAATGATTTAGAGGTACAACTTTTATGATTTAAGGGTACAAATTTCACGATTTTGGGGTACAAAAGTTGCACGAAGCACATTTTCGAAGTTTTCATTCCAGTTTTGAATTTTTGAGAGCTCACGAGACACAGTCGTGTGTATCCATGCTTTGTTTTATGCAGTATTTTGTGTCATTTCGAGAAAAAAACTTTACTTGGGTAAATTTCACACACAACATCAGATGATGAAATTCTGCTGTGAAATTGCAGAATTTAAAGGGGCCAAAACAGCAAAACAACTTGTAAGTAATATTATAGGGGCACCGAATAGAAAGGACGCTCTGTTCGCAATCTGGCCGAATTTCTAGTCCGCGAAGTAATTTTCCACTGAAAACGTGGCCTAACTTTTCAAACTCGGCCCCGAGCTCACTCAATTTGCACTGCAAAAAAGTTTATTAATAGAGCGCCCTTTCTGTTCGGTGCCCCTATAATATTATAGGGGCACCGCACAGAAATGGCGCTCTGTTGAGAAACTCTTTTTGCAGTGCAAATTGACCGACCTCGGGGCCGAGTTTGAAAAGTTAGGCCACGTTTTCAGTGGAAAATTACTTCGCGGCCTAGAAATTCGGCTAGATTGCGAACAGCGCGCCCTTTCTGTCCGGTGCCCCTATAATAACAAAGGGGTCGCCGTTTGAACCACTGTCTATCGGAAGCAAAACGCTTCGAAGGGTCATGAAATCTCATTTAAAAAACATCTCTGGAACTGATCAAGCGATTCGGAGTACAAAACATTCACGGAGTAAAAAAATTTTGTGAAACAACTAAAAACATTCACTGAATTGATGCCCATGAAAAAATGGGGAAAAAATTGTTGTACCCCAAAATCGTGAAATTTGTACCCTTAAATCATAAAAGTTGTACCCCTTAATCAATGCCTACTGAATCGGTAAATCTTTGTACCCTAGAATCGAAAATTTTGTACCCTCGACTTTTTGTACCCCAAAACAATTTGTACCCTGTTGTACCCCCTAATTTTTGTACCCTCCGAATTAAATGCCTGAAAATCAACGAGCACACGGTACGAAAATACAAAAATGACAATAAAGTCCCTTTTTCTAGACTTTTCGCAGTTAAGGTTTTGGCGGCGGCCTAGAAAACTCCTAGGCCATGAGATCGTTTTTGCATTCGGCACAACCATTCGCACAAATTCGCAGATTGTCAAAGTGCAACGGTGTCGTTATGTTATCAGCAGGGAAGAGTTTTCACACCTGTGAGTTTTCTAGGCCACTGTTCCGTTTTCAGGCATTTCTGAGAATTTTCTCCTCCACAATTTCTAAACTTTACACAAAATGCTTGCCTCGATAATTTGAGAACGTTTTTTTTACACTTTTCTAGTCGATTTTGAACCCGAAAGACAGAAAAAGTCACAGAAAACCGCACACACACACACGCCAATTTCCGCGTTTTTATCACCAAATCGTCAGTCGTCCCGATATTGTCGAGTTCCGGTTTCCGTCACGCCATTCCGTTCTCTCTCGCTTCTCTCACTCTCTCTCTCTCTCTTTCTCTCTTATCTGTGCTCTTTTCGGACTGAAAAGGGTCACGGGGCGAGATGACGAAGATTGGGGGGAAATGCAATGAAATGGACGGTCGGCAACAGGGGTGTGCGGAAAATATTTCGATTTTCCGAAATTTTCCGATTTTCCGACTGAAAATTTTCCGAAAATTTTCGGCAAAATTTTCGGAAAATTAGTGTGGATTCAAGGTCAATTTGTCCGAAACCACCGTATGCTTTTTAAAGGCGCATCACAAATTTTTTGGAAGGGTCTAGCAGCGAGCGTCTTTTTTCCGAAAATTTCTCGGAAAATCGGAAAATTTCGGAAAATCGAAATATTTTCCACACACCCCTGATTCTCACTGACAATCGGAAAACACTGGACCCGGAGAGCTTCTCTCGGCTAATTTTTTTGCAAAAAAATATTCCGGGCTTCCGCCCACTCAAGTGATTTCAAATCATAATAAGCATTTTTTTGTATTAGAACGTTGTTTAAACACTTTATTGAACCAATGAACAAGTGAGTTTTCCGATTTTTCCGATTTTTCCGAAATTTTCCGAAAAAAAAAATTCGGAAAACCCGATTTTCCGAAATTTTCCGAAAAAAATTTTCCGCACAGCCCTGGTCGGCAAGAGACCTAGTCGTCTCGCAACCGTTACGTTTCGCCACTGAACAACCCCTACATTTCGAAATGGGTCTTGACACGAAAAGTGCAAAGACAATTTTAGAGGGGATAACAGCTGAAAGAAGAGATGTTGAAAAACGTTTGCAAGTGCAAAAATGTGCACCTGTTTGCTCAAAGAAAAGAGCAAAGAAGTATGAAAAAGTGTTGGGATGGAGTAGTAAGATTGAGATGAAATATTCATAAATGCCAGCCAATGAGCAGTTTGTTTGCAAACAAATTTTTCGATAAACATAACCCATTCTCTATAAAATGGGCCCTAGCAGATAGAGTTTTGAGATTTCATGTGACCCATTTGCACACTATATTGGGTCCCAATAGTATAAAAAAAGAGCTAAAAGAGTATAGCGAGGAGAAGAAAAAGAAAAAGAAGAAGAAGAAGAAGAAGAAGAAGAAGGTGAGGGTGGAATGAAATTAGAAGCGGAAGAGGGAGGGGGAGCACATAACAAGTAGCAGAAAAAGGGGAGAAAAAGAAGAAAAAAGGAAGCGAAAAGGGAGGGAGAGAGAGAGAGAGAGAGAGAGAGAGAGAGAGAGGGATCGATGTTGTATAGCTGAGACCCCCCCTTCAGCCAAAACATGCCTATTTTTAGAGAAAAAGAGGATATATATATACACACTTTTATGGAAAAGAAGAAGAATCGCTTCAAAATGAACGATGTGCGTAGAACAACATATCAGAATGTAAATCTCAAAGAGTTCTATAAATGTGGGGCCGATTTTAGAGCCGGTATTGTGGCGCGGGCCGAAAAAAACAATACTGGCTCTGAAACCGAGAAGCATGTTGTCACATTTGTAAAACTCACCGAGATTTACAATCTGATTTGTTGTTCTACGCGCAATTTTCATTTTGAAACGAGTTAGCAGCCGGCCCGAAATCGCGCTCTGTTGAGAAACCGCTGGGGGCCGAGTTTGAAGAAAAATGAAAAAGCTCGGCCACAGTTCCAGTGAAAAGCAAAACTGAAAATCACTTTGGAACAGGGCGCGATTGCAGAGAAATGGCGCCATAACGTATGTAGACAGATTGCAATCATCCTACTATTTTTGTTCGGATAATCCCGCGAAAAGAGACATTTTCCGAAGGTGTGCTGACGAACAAAACAAAGTGACATTTCGCGGATTTCGAGGATTTTCAGATAGAAAAATGTGTTTTGTCATGTGAACAAGTGCGCTCAAATGAACTTTGGCGGCAAATTTATCGATACGTTGAAAAATCGATAATTTCGAAGAACTTAAACTTTTGGGCTCAAAATTCAGGATTTGCAGTCATTTTTTTTACAGTTTTGCCTCTTTCCTCGCTAAAACTGTGTGTATTTTCTGGTTTTGACAAGTTTTCTTTTGAGAATTGCTTCAAAACACTTAATTTCATAGAAAAGTCATTTTTTGCCGAATAAACGCTTTAAAGCCCCGTGTTTTGCAACCAAATTTGAACAAACTCACAAAAAAGCGCAATCAACGGATAAAATGTTGCTCTCGGCGAGATCTCAAGACCAAAAAGCAATGTTCGGGGAGATTTCGCCGACTAATGAACTCTTTTTAATCCGTGTGCCGCCCACGCACATTCAAGAAATGGAAAACAGAATAAGCAGGCGAGAGAGCGCGATTTTATAATCCGTTTTCTCTTTTTTGTAGTCTTATCGCACAATTCCACGAAAATTATTATTATTGTTAGTGTTGGCGGAGGAGGAGGAGGAGGAGGAATTCGGGGGGCAAAATATAATAGGGAGAAAGAAAAATGTTGACAAAAATCTGGAAATTATTACTTTTTCAAATTTGTTTGAAGAATAATGTTTTCAATTGAGCATTTATTGAATTTATTTTATTTGTTAGACAATTAGAGAACATGTCGTAGAGTCGCATTTTAATAAAATTTCCCCTCTCTCTAACACATGCCTCATTCGGGGAGGGGGATTTGTTCAGTGATCTGAGGATGGATTTCCGATCCGATTCCTTCTTTTTTCTCTTTTTACGTCAAGGAGCACTCTTTGAGCACAGAAACAAATCCGGCATTGATATTTGATCGCGTGTGACTAAACGCACGGAAAAGAGGTGAAAAATTTCGAAAAAGCTGATGAATCTCTCGCTAAATATATCCATAATTTATCGATAAACTTGTCGATACATTTTTTTAATCGATAAACAGGAAAGATTCCGCAAAAACTTCGTTTGAAAGTAAAAACGTTACAAAAAATCGTGTGTGCGGTTGGTTCGGCGGGTTGGTTGAGTGCCGATCAAAATGCACTAAAAACGCGTCCATAAATCCATTTCTCCCTCGTTTTTTCTCTCTTTTTCTCTTCCTTCGTCGCCTGAACACACCACTAATCATCCGGAAAAGAGATTATAAATCTACGAGTGAGATTTTGGTCCCACTCGTGAAATTTGGGACAAATCGGGGCCAAGTGCTATAAATTTCATCTAAAAACCGGGTTACAAGTAGTGAAAAATGAACACGAAAAGGTACTGGGTACATTCAAATTTTCTGATAAAAAAGGCACATCGGTATCATTATGCAAGGCGAAAAAACTGGAAAAAAAAGCTAGTCGGGCTCTAAAAATTTCAAAACATCACTAGAAAATCGGGGAAAATTGTCTAAATGGATCCTTCGATGGAATTGTACGGTCTCCGTTGTGCTCGGTACTTTTCCGTCCTCATTTCGTACAATCTCGATATTGTCCGTGTGAATGCGAACGCTTCTTCGTCCCCACTGAACACGTTCGCCTTCATTCCTTCCTGCAATCATTGTGGTGTTTTCGAATTTAGTCAAAGTCGTACCTGATCAGATTTGATGCCCAGATCGTCCATGAGCATTCGTTTCGAGTCGCTCAGAGCATCCGGAGTCACACTGTGACTCTCGAATTGGAACAGATTGTCCAGAGGGGCGGCCGCTCCGATTACCACTCGAACCTTAATGAAAATTCTTTATGCGATTACAATTTTGTGAGCCGTGGCCTAACTTTTCCAACTTTCTACTGAACCTCACAGTTTTTTCCCTAAAAACCCAAAAAATCACAAACTTTCTGATCGTAAAAAGTGTCGATCATGGTGATGAATCGGCGCATCGCGTTCCACTGATCCTGATTCAAAACTGGCACATTTCGGACGATGACCGTGTGGAATACGCGGGCGTACACGAGATAATCGGCCGCTCCCTTCGCAGTCATGCACAGTTCTTTGAAATCCACGTCGGCCACGCCCCCGCAACACTTTTCCACCACCACACGACGGCCCAGGATTTCCAGCGTTTTCGAGCGAACCGCTGCAAGCGAAAATTGCCTTAATTTTGAAAAATGTTATTACAGTTTCATGAATTTCTGTTAGACACGTTTGAATTCGTTCAAGTAATGTACTAAACCGGGACTTATTAATTGTGCCGCTTTTTCGCGATTTTGTGACAATTTCACTTGGAAATATGGATTTCCCCCTATTTTTTTTAGCTAAAATGAAATAAAAACAGACTGTCGGTCTCATTGGCGGCAGACTGTTTGAAAACGATATCGCACTGGGTGCAGGCGTCGTCTCCGTGAAAATAAACGGGATTTCCGTCCCCGGACGCACTCCGCCGGTAGTCCATTCCCGAATCCAGGGCCAGACTCTCGCATTTGTCCTTAAAAAAATTCAGTTTCACAAAAATTCAAATAACATACTACTTTAAATCATAATTCGATAATAATTGCACTGTAAAGGTACAAATGTGAATGACAAAGTCCAGAAAGAAAAAGCCAATAATCACCTCTAAAATAGTGATAAAAGGGACGAATTGATGCCTTTGCAGTCCGTTTTTGTACAATTCGGAAGGCGCCCGATTCGAAGTGGCCACCATTACGAGTCCGCGTTCGAAGAGCATCGAGAAGAAGCGCTTGAGGATCATTGCGTCCGCGATGTCCGTCACCTGCAACACTTTTGCGCATTTATATAGAAATCATTGAACAATGTAAGTCTGTCAAGTCTTTTTCGATATAAAACATCTTTTTCTGGAAGCTTTCATAATTTTAGGCCAACCTGAAACTCGTCGAAGCACAATAAATTGGTCGTTTCCATAATTTCGTCGACAATCACTGGCACCGGATCGAACTTTCCGCGGGTTTCGTTACTTTGCATTTTTAGTTCGTGCATTCCTTCAAAAAACTGTTTTGTGTTCAATTGTTCTCAAATTTGGCCGTACTCTCTAATAGAACTACGCAGAAAGTAGCCAGTCTCGCAAAGATTGCATCGTCTCGTCTCGTCTCGTGGTATTTCAAAGGCAAACAGTTCTATTAGGCAGTACGGCCGCTAATTTTCGTTGTTTTCGTGCAAAAATAGAAAGCCTCCAGAATTTTCCTTACTTTTGTGCACGTTTTGCATGAAATCGTTGAAGTGCACCCGCCTCTTCTTCCGGATCGGACAATTCTCGAAGAATAAATCCATGAGCATTGTTTTTCCGCATCCGACCGATCCGTACAGGTAGATGCCACGTGGCGATGTGTTTTTTGGTGTTTCCTGATAAAAAGGACATGTTTTTGGGGGGTGATAAGCGGGCAAATGACGTGAGAGTGCAGAACATGGCTTTGAAAACGGAAAAACCTCATTTTTGGCATTCTGAAACATTTTCCAGAATGCGGACGGCGTTTTTTCGGTTCCGCCCTTTTTCGCCGGCTTATACGTCTCGATTTCCCGCCGCAATCGCTCAAAATCCACAATCATTTTGCGCTGAAAACACTTTTCGAAATTTTTTAGAACATTTTCAAAAAAGAACCTGAAAATCGTCGTCTTTGAGTGCTCCTTCGTTGACCTTTTTCGAGTACGCATCGCTTAAAGTGACCAAGAATCGGTGAATTTGGTTCCGAGCACGGAATGGTGAGAGCATTTTTTCAGGGCTAAAAAATATATTTCCAGCCAATTTTTTTAGCCAAATTTAAATGAATATTGTCGGTTTACTGATAAGCGATCATCACGAGCGTTTCGCACGTTTTTGCGATAAGAAACCGACACACAAAGAACGCTCAAAACGGGGCAGGCCGAGTTTTGGCGAGAACTAGGCCATCACGGCGTTTTCTAGGCCACTACCTGATTCTAGCCCGATTTCAGTCAATTTTCAGCCAATTTTTTATTCAACAAGAGCATAAATGGAAAATTGACAGGATCTGGACTGCAAAATCGAAATAATCAGACATCGAGAGAGGCGGAAAACGAGCGGGTTTTCACCCAATTCTTGTTGTGAGAGCTCTCCGAGCCGAGAGCTTCTGCCGAAAGGGAAATTCGCATCCGGGTGAGCAGCTCGATCTTCTGCACAGTCACGATATTGTCCTTGAAGTGCTTCTCGTTGTTCCGCTTGTCTCTGAACACGAAAAATTGCGATTCTTTCCGTTTTTTTTTTTCTCCTATTGTTTTAGAGACAACAAAGTGCGTTTTGTACCTAAAAAAGCGCCAGCACGCGACGACAATCATCATCATCCATATCTGGAGCACGATAACGATGGCGAAAGAGCCGGCCATGAGCCACGCGGCGTAGTCTGGAATACAATTGTGGGCGGGCTCGAGAAGGAGACGGGCCCTCACTGAAATAGGCTGTCTCGTCGCGCGGATTCACTGGAATACCGTAGGATCCGAGCACCGTCGTGCCCACTTTCTTGTCGCCGAACAGGCCAATGTACATGAACGACACGAAGAAGACGAGCCCGATCGCCAGCCCAGCGCCCTGCAAAAAATTAGGTCGTGCAATGGGACACGCTAAAAAATTTATGACACAGTTCGATGTGTTCTAAAATCGTTGCGCTTTTTTATTGGATGAAATGTGTACACCTGCAACAACAAATACGGGACGAGCAACTCGGCCCTCTGCGCGAAAATCGCCCATAAAACGGAGCCGGCAATGAGAACGCCGGCGAAAAAACGGATGGCCGCTCCGGTGACATCCGCCTAAATGACACACATTTTTTGAAGACACTGTAAAACTCATGATCACCCGTTCGACCAAATCCGAGGCCAGCATGGAGACGATGAGGTGCCAGAGCTCGAAGACGACAGTCACGCACAGCATTCCGGCCACTATCTTCATGCCCGTCTGCAATTCTATTTTACGGGTTTCGAAGAAGTTTCGCTAATTTTACAAGTTAGGTGACAAATTTTGAACTGCCTTACTTCCAATGCGCAAGAAAAAATAGGTAAATGCCTAATTTCGAGTGTTACCAGTGAGTGGGCGTGGCCACAACAGCACAAGTATCTCTGATGATTCGGATCGAAGTTCTCGTTGTCCTCATCGTATTCCCAGTCGCTTATTATGCAAGTGGTCGCTGCAAGAATATGGTAATACTTATCACATTTTCAAAACTTGTAGAAAACTTTTGAAAAATTCTGAAACTGCAAAACAAACCTTCGGATTGCAACGAATGTCGATTCGTCCTCGATCCACTTCCAATCCTTATCGATCGCATTTTTAGTGAAATGTTTCAAATGACTCAATTTGCCATGTATTTTCCGTTCATTCCATTCGCTTTCAAGACTAATGGCCACCCTAAAAAATCACAAAAAATGTGAAAATTGAGCTTTTCGCGCTCGCCAAAAAAAAAACGGCGAAAAAGTGAGTAACCGCGAGAAACGAGATGAAGAAATGTGCTCATTTTCGTGATGAAAAGGTGCCAAATGAGGTGCTCACGAGAGCCGCACGCGTGTGCTGATTAGGCCAATCAATTGGAGCTCCGCAAGCCGCGAAAATGATGACACTTTTCGGCGAATCCGTGACCGGAATCGGACAAAAAACAACGAGGATTCGTCGGAAGGGTTAGTTTCTTGAGAAATGACAATTTCTGGGCAAACACATACAGAATTTGGGAGGGGGGCTATTTTAACATGAAAAAATGGGGGAAAATTCACAATGTATACAGAAGAATTGGCAAAAAATCGGGGAAGGATATCTACAATTTGACAGCGTTCACATTCTTTTTGTGGTTCTTCCGTCCGCGATGACCGTAATTTTTTCCGCAACACGCACAAGTGTCCACGTAATTCCGGAAGAGACACAGAAGCGGAAGACAACACGTCACGGGGCAGCAGCCGATCGCCAGGCACATCAGCAGACGCTGGAAATTAAGAAATACCGATTTATCAGTTTTGCGCGAGGCTTGTTGACAACGGTGCAAAGACCGCAATAATGAAAGGAGTTTTTTTAGAAAACCTTTCTGAATCTGTCCTGTTTTCTCGTTATAATTCCTTTGCGGCATTTCGGACAAATAAGAGCCCCTCCGCCGCCGGACCCTCCCAAGCTTGTCACACTTTGCGGCGATTGATTGATGTTCAGAGTGATCGCTGTAAATATACTTTTTTTTTAATATAAAAATCAGTTTCAAAATTTAATTTGACAGTCAATTTTGTGAAAATTTTCAGTAACCAATTGTTACGCCATGCTGGGGAGGAAAATTTTGAGAACAGCGAGGAAAGGCTCAAAAATTCAGGAAAACTTCTGAATTGGTACATTGACTTACAGATTTTGTCAATTTATTATTCAAATTCAAACAGAATCCCATTTCCGCTGCGTTACTAACTCGGAGAAGTCTGTTGCTGCGGGGCCACGTGGGCCAAATTAACCAAAGTGGGCGGAGCCTGCATCAGAAGCGGCGACGACATCATCTGCGGAATCTGTGGCATGTAGACCATCGACGGCGGTGCCATTTGGACCATTTGAGGAGCGAAAGCCGAAGAAGAAGGTAGCGGAGCCTGCGGATAGGCTTGCAAAGGCGGCGAATTGACGGTCGAATAGTAGGACGGAGGCGCCGATTCCATTGGTGGCGAGGAGTACGTCGGCGCTGGAGCACTGCAATTTTTTTGAAGAATTTCTGACTTTTTTCAAAGTTCCAAAGAAATTTTTTTGATTTTGCGAGTTTTTGGACGCCTTATGCAATATTTATGAGGGTTGGACCACAATTTTTTCTGAAATTTTTCAGATAATCTGGTTTTTCTCTGCTTACACTGGTCTGTCCGGTCTGATCGGCTGCCTTGGCACCTCAATTCTCGGCGGCGAAGTGTATTTGACCGTGTCGGGACTCAAAAATTGCACTTTTCCCTCCGGGCGCGGGGTTAGTGGCAGCTCTTCGAGCGGATTTCCTGCAAAATTCACTTGCTTTTGCAAAAATTTAATGAATTTCACTTACTTGACTGTTCTGGTGGGTTAATTGTCATTTTTAGTGCGAAAAAGTGGGAGAAAATCTACGAATTTCAAAGGTGTTAGCCATGTCCGTGCAGATTCGCGTGACGGTGTCTGCGTACTCCGTGCTGTCAACCGTAACCCGCGCGCGTAGGTTTTATTCATTTTGAGCCCCGGAAAGACAAATCACGAAAGCATTAACATTTTCAGACTTCTCACAAAACCTCGCTTCGAATCATCTGCCAAACTTTTATTTTAGTGCACCGCATGACGTCACTTCTCTCTCGCTGTCGCTTCCCGGCGGGAGAATTTCCTCTCCGTTTTCCACTGATAAACGGAACAAAGATGAGAAGCCGAGTTGTTTACCGCTGAGAAAAAGAGAGAAAAAGAGAAAAAGGAGCCAGAGTCGCCCGTTTTCGCTGCCGCCCGGGACCACTTTGGCCGACCCGCCGACGGGCGTTTTCAGATTATCGATCGATTTTTATTGATTTTGATTCAGAACAATGCTTTCTCGACTTTCCGTGCAAGCGGCTCGCGCCGCGTCCGCAATTCGAACCCATCAAATTCCCGGAACCAGAGTGAGGAACATTCAATTTTTTTTCAAATTTCCACCAAATCTCGTTCAGCTTCCACTCGCCAAATACGGTGGTCGACACACGGTTTGCGCCCTTCCGGGAGACGGAATCGGACCCGAGATGATCGCCCATATACGCAATATTTTCGCTTTTTGTCACGTAGGCCCGGTTTTCAAACATATTAAGGACGAAAAAACAGTATTTTAGGCGCCGATAAATTTCGAAGAAGTCCAAGTTTCGTCGTCGTTGTTGGACGGAGATATGGAGGCGGCGCTGCTGGCGATCGAGAGAAATGGAGTTGCGATCAAGGTTTGGAAACTTTTGTTGTTGTTGTTTTATTGAAAACCTCAAATTCGCTATTAGGGTAACATTGAAACGAAGCACGACGATCCGCAATTCACATCGCGAAACGTCGAACTGCGAACCCGACTGGATCTCTACGCAAACATCCTTCATTGCGTCACAATTCCGACCGTACCGTCCCGGCATACGGTAGGACTACGGTAGAAGTACTGTAGAATACATATTCTCAAACTTTCAGGGAATTGATATTGTTCTCATTCGCGAGAACACCGAAGGAGAATACTCGGGATTGGAGCACGAAACGGTGCCCGGAATTGTGGAGAGCATCAAGGTACGGTGGGAAGAGTATTGTGTCCATCTACAATAATCCTAATTTGTAGATTGTGACCCGTGAAAAGATCGAACGAATCTCAAGAATGGCATTCGAGTACGCAAAAGCCAATGGAAGGAAGAAGGTGACCGCAGTCCACAAGGCCAACATTCAGAAACTCGGAGACGGTCTTTTCTTGAAGGTGAGATTTGACACCTTTTTCTTCAAACGCTCTTAGAAAATAATTTGAGTGTTTTGCAGGTGGTGCGTGAGATGTCGGAAGAGTACAAGGACATCAAATTCGAGGCGATGATCGTGGATAACGCGTCGATGCAACTCGTGTCCCGCCCGCAGCAGTTCGACGTGATGGTCATGCCGAATCTGTACGGAAACATCATCTCGAACATTGCGTGCGGCCTCGTCGGCGGGCCCGGACTCGTGTCCGGAATGAACCTGGGCGACAAGTTCGCCGTGTTCGAGACGGGCACCCGCAACACGGGAACTTCCTTGGCCGGCAAGGACCTCGCCAATCCGACGGCGTTCATTCGCGCCAGTGTAGACATGCTCCGCTATTTGGGGTGTCATTATCATGCCAATATCATTTCTGACGCACTTTGGAAGGCTCTCGTCGAACAGCAAATTCACACAGTCGACATTGGGGGACAGAACTCGGTCAGTGTGCCTTGCGCCTTATGGGGTTATTCAGGCTGTAAAAAAATAATTTTTTTACGTCAAAAAACCCAATTCAGCGGGGTAAAAAAACGAAAAAAACGGAAAACAAACAGACGCTGAATAGCCCCAATAAAAAATTTGAAGAAAACCCGTAATTTTGCAATTTCAGGGAAGCGACGTCGTCAATGCAACTCTTCAGAATATCGCAAAACTGATGGATGAGCAACCGAATCATTAACTGTCTTTTTATCGATTTTTGTACTATTTTTCAGGTTGTAATTAAATATTTTTCAAAATGTGTCCAAACTTCCCGCGTGACCATTTTCCGAACTTCCCGAACGTTCTTCGCCCTAATTCCACCATATTTCCCCGAAGGAAGTCAGTTCTCGTTGCCGATTTTCCAATTGAAAAACAATGAAAATCGTGGGATTTTCGGTGCTTCTCGTCGCCGCCTTCTTGGCTCACTGCGCCGTTTCCGAGGTATTATCGATTGACTTTTGTGCGGTAGAGCGCATTTGCATTTCGTGGTTTTAGGACGAGGTAAAGTACGATTTGACGGACAAAAACCAATTCTCGTTCTACTTCCGCCAGCAATGGGAGCTGTTGTTCGGCCAGCCGATGCCCGTCGCCATGCAGGCAAAGTGAGTAGAAAAGTTGCGGAAAATCAATTAAATCTGTATTTTGAGGGCGGCGATCCTGGCGCTCGTGTCGGAGCCGTTATACATGCAGCCGTGCTTCATGGTCGCGCGCCAGAACGGCTATAGTCTGTTCGATAACCGTCTCTGGGCGATGCACCACGCGTTGCAGTCGTGCACGGTGAACTCGGTGGAAGTGCTGCCGATGGACCCGAACGACAACACGATCGACGCGCCGCTGCACATGGAATTCGTGCAGAACAGCTCGTACGTCAGCTACACACACCGCTTCAGCGACATTTCGCTGCACATCAAGGCGAAGAAGGAGGAGGTCGACAAGCCGTTCCGCATCTACAATATCTACGAGAGCTGCTCTCTTGACTAGCAATTGTCTCCATGTGCGAAATAATAAAGACTACATAGAAATGTGTATAATGCAACTGTTTGAATAACGTTGAATTTAGTCTTCGTGCGTGGCAACATGAAGAACTGGCCTCACCCTCATTCATCACAAAATGCCAGGGACTTCTGGTATTCCTCAGTTTTCTAGAAGCGATTACTCGAAAAATTGTAATAAAAAAGAGGTAAGAGACACCAAATTTCAAAAAGTGAAGATTTCTTTCAGAATCAGCTAGGAAATTGAGCGAAATGAGATTTCTCGTCATTTTCTCTGTTTTTCTCGAATTTTCATCGATTTTCTCGGCCAACGACGTCGATTGGAGTCTTCAGAAGTTGTGCGCATTCAAAGAAGGAACGTTCACGGAGAGATCGAATGTTTGAGCAGTTTTTGTCAAAAATTTCCAAAAAACTAACAAATTTAGGAGGAAACGGGAGACGTTTGTACCATTTCGTTCAATGTTTTCACTGAGAATAAGCACAACGCTCTCAAATTCTGTCAAGACAACTTTCCGTATCATATAACGAAGGCGGTCACCGGAAGACCCACTGTTTGCACCGCAGGTACTTGTAGCGGAAGAACCGAGCGGCATCATACCAACTATTCCAGAAGCGACGTTAATTTGCAAAGACGATTGGGTCCAAATGTTCGGGCGATGCTACAATATGAACAAGAAACTGAAGACCTATGATGACGCCAAAAAACATTGTGAAGAGCAGAAGGCAGGCATCGCATTCCTTCACCGAGACGCACTCGTCGCACGCTGGAAAGGTATGGACAGAGAAAGTTAGACCACGCCCCAAAACCAAACTTTTCTTCCAGACTACTTCAGTCGTGTCTCGCGGATCTGGCTCGAAGCCAGCGAAGTGTACACGAACGATCTGTTGTACAACAAGGGACCCAACATGATTCTGGCGTTCGACGCGCACCGCTACGGCATGCCGAACAACGCGCTGGTCCGAGTGCCCGTCGACGAGAAGGCGATGGTTTTGTGCGAGTACACGCCGAAAATCAATCGGGCGGAGACGAACTATCTGCTGCGGAAATACGGAGAAATCTACTATAAAGCGGTTTTGACCGACGAAGGAGCCTACGTCCGATCGGCGAGCATGCTGAATCGGCGCGACGGAGAGAGTGCGGAGGATCGGCTCGCCCAACATCGGTACTGCGAAAAGGTGCTCCGACCGTTCATGCGCTCCCTGGGCGCACAATCGGCGATTCCGACGCAGACGTTGCTCGAGAAGCTGACCGAATCGAGAAAGGCCGAGATTGTGCGAGTGTCGGCCCAATCGCAGGACTCGACCAAAGGCAGCCGCGTCAATCCGACTTGCGCCGTCAGCGAGGCCAACAATTATGGCTGCTGGATTACGGATGATGTGAGTCGTTGTTGGTTTGGCTGAAAAAATCGATAATCGATAATTTCAGAGCGATAAACCGATGTACGCGAGACTGTCAAAGAGCGGAGTGGGCATTTGGGCGAAGAATCAGCCGAAAGAGGTGTGCGACGGAGGTACGTGGAGCTCCGGAGTTGTGCAGAGGTTCGTGTGAAAACGTTTTTGAAAAATGAATAATTGCGGAAAAAAGGAGGAGGAATTGAGCAATCTGAACAGGTTTTGTGGAAAAAATAACAGCAAAAACTGAGTTACTGAGAACAAAATAAAAAGACAACCGGTGAAAAAACTTTTTTCAGCCGAACACCAGAGCAGAAAGGTCTCGAAGCGATGTCGGACGCACGTTTCGGGCCGATCTACTGCCAAACACGTTTCGCGAGTCAAACGTACGGCGGCTGCGCCACCGGATATTGGGAATTTGTGCGATCGAACGGACAAAAGTGGTGCCACAAGTTTGTGAGCAAAATGGTCACTTACCAAGAGGCGGTCGCGCATTGTCAGATGGAAGGAGCCCTTGTGTCGGGGTACTCAAATCAGACCGAGCTCGACAAAATGCATGGTATTCATATTTTCTCGAAGGCAACTGAAAAGGATTGTCCCGTTTCAGAGGCAATGAACGTGGCGGAGGCGGCCGGCACCGATTTCAAAAAGGGCTCGAATCATAAAGTGAAAAACGTTTGGATGGGTGCGAGACGTCGAGAAGAATGCATCAAGTTCCCCAGAGGCTTCGACGAGGCCGAAACGCATCCGTGCTCGCGAAAACGAGTCTTCGAGTGGGTGAACGGAGTGGCCAGCAATCCGCCCGATCTCATGAGCAATTGGATGGCCCCGTCGGAGCCCAACTACCAGAAAACGGCGGAAAAGTGTCTGGTGCTCATGAAGGGGCTCGTCGAGAACTGGCAAACTGTGCTGAACGGCGACAAGAAGGTGAACGACGTGCCGTGCGACGAGAATCACTACTTCTTCTGCGGCCAGGAACCACAGATTGAGTTGAAGGTGGCCAACGATTCTTGAGTTGAGACTTGAAAATAATAAATAAAGTTGTCAGCGAACAGATTGCGATTTTTGTGTTGAATATCGATGGAATGTGGGGAGGAAAACGCGACAAATGAACAGTGTTGAGCGGAAATCCGTGTCGGAACTAAACATTTTGAGGGTTCGAACAGCCAAAATGACTGAAACTCGATCATTTTCAGCGAAAAGCCCGAAATCGATGCAACTTCCTCAGTTCTCAATGAAATTCGCTCGTTTTCCGCCTAAAATGTGAGAACATTGTGCAAAATTCAAGTAGTTTTTGGCGAAAACTTTAGAAACTGGGCACGGTCTCCAGAGCTTTCATGAATCTCATGAAATTCATGAATTTCATGAAAGGTTTCATGAATTGAGCAGGTTTTCTCTGATGTTTGTGGTCAAAGGCGATGAAAAATGATTGTTCGACATGAAAACACACTAATTCTCACAGAATTTAGGACGTTTTGGCTCATTTTCGCGGACTTTGCTTTTTCGCCTTCGCCGCCTAAAAACCGCACTTTTCATTTTGCGCTTTCTTGACCGTTTTCAGACAGAATTGGTTTTGAGAATGATGAATCACGTAAATACAAGCATTTTGAGCGCTCGAACCGCGAAAATTACCGAAAAGCAACTGAAATTCACGCAGTTTTAGCCGAAAACCTTCAAACGGATAAATGCGATTTGCGACTTGACCAAATTTGACGCTCTTGCGCTTAAAAAATTCGTAATAGCCTATACAATTGGTCTATCGAGAGACAAATCAGAAATTATCGGTATTTCGTGGCTAATCTGGCAAAAAAAACAAATTTTGCTATTAAAATTTGAATTTCGCGCCAATGTATCGCTCTATTGGGCGGGGCGTACTTACGCCCATTGTCAGCTTTGGAGACCGTGATGGGGGTAAAATTTGAATTTCTCATTTCAGCTATGTCACAGCACTCTGTTCGCAACTTCTCGTCGCCGGGCCCATTCGGTTTTATCTTTACTCCACTCTATTTCCCGAAGTGTTCTTCATTCGTCTGTGTGCTCTTAGGAATCTGCGAGACGTCCTTCGGGACCTTCCCAGGTCGCGTTTCTTTGTTTCCCCATGTATGCCTGCACTCAAAGTGGGCCAAGATTAGGCCTCTATTAGCCAATTATAGCCTTCCCAACGGGCTTCGAGGTCATGGGACTCCGCCCCCTCAGGTATAAAAAGAGACCCCGTGACCACATTGTACATCCATTCCCAATTTGCTCTTCTCGAGTAACCTCTCTGTTTTGTGCTCCTTTCTATTCTTCTTCTTCTTTTTCTGCTTGAATCAATCGATTGTTTGTCCAGAACTACTACTCACGCAACGAACAAAATGTCGTCCTCGTCGAACACCACCGTCGATATCATCCGCCAGCTGATGGGCCTTCAGATGGCCAACGGCAGCCAGGATAGGAGAGAACTGATGGAGGAGGCGGAGGAGAAGCTGAAAGCCAAGGACAGGCAGATTCAGCAGCTGCTCAAGGATCGGGAGACGATGAAAATGGAGATGGACCACATGGAGAGCATCATGCGCTCGAATGCGCAGGAGAGGAACCAGCGGATTGAGCAGCTGGAAGAGATGCTCAAGGAGCTGCTGCGGCTGCGGGCGAACTCCGAAGCCGCTCTCCTGTCATCGAACGAAGAGCTGTCCGGGCGGAATTTGGCTCTCGCCGACGAACTGCGAACGACCAAAATGGAGCTGCTGGCTGCGAAGAAGGCTCGCAGTGATCACGAAAAGTGGGCAAACACTTTTGTGGAGAGTCTTTGCGTGACGATCCAGAATACGATCGAGAAGAACGACGAGTTGTCGAATCGAGTGAGAGAAGCCGAGAGGAAGTACGCCGACCTCGCCGGAGACATGAATCAGGCGCTGGACTTTGGAAGAGCGCGGGAGGAGGAAGACGACGACGATGTCGACGATGAAGATGAAGAGTACGAGTACGAGTACGAGGATGAGGAGCTCGTCGAGAATACCGACGATGAAGGAGGAGATTCGTCCCACGACGAGGAGGAAGAAGAAGAAGAAGAAGAAGAGGACGAAGAAGAGGAGGAAGAAGAAGAAGAAGAAGAAGAAGAAGAGGAAGAAGAGGAAGAAGAGGAAGAAGAAGAAGAGGAGGAGGAGCAGGAAGAAGCCGACGACACTTACTCGTCTTACGAAGAGGTCAACCATGAGGATGTCGACGAAGAGGACCCGGAGGAGGAGTGGTGAGCAACGCATCAATTGGACTTGTCGCTCATCTAAGTGTTTTTCTTTTATATTTCAAGTCTATAAAGTTTTTTTTTTCTTCACCAAAGTGTCGTTTTGTCTACCTCTTCGTCCGCTAAGCGCCGACAGTTTAACAAAATAGTTTCACAAAGAAACCTGTAGAGACAAGTACATCACAGTCAGCATCTTCGATTCTCTCTCTCTGATAGCCGATTCGATGATCGCATTTCTGCCGAAGTTCCAGTCTGCTCTTCTCTTCTGCACTTCCGGTTCTTCAGGTGACGTCCGTTTCCACGAAACGATGAGCTGCAAGTTATTATGAGAAAAGCCCGCGAAGTTCAAATGGGGCCCCGCCCCTTCAGCGTTCAATTCTTGCAAGTAGCGCGCGCAGTTTTTGCAACGCTGCCGCACACATTGCTCTGAACATCGAATTCTTGAAAATTAAAGCAGAAAATTATTTTTTTTGTTATCAAAACCTATTCTGTCGCCTTGTTGCATCTTCTTCTCGAAAACAATACACTAAAAACCGACAACGAAAATTTTTTCACTTATTTTTTCACTGTCGAACTGAAAAGCAAAATGCGTGCATCTCCACAGACCTGCTCCTAAAAGTGTGACGCGTTGTTGTTCAGTCGAAACAGATTTAATGAGAAACAGAAAAAAAAGAAGTTAAAAATGAATGCGTCCTCGGTTCCACTTTTCCACGTCTTCATCACAATCGTCATCGATCGAGTACAAATCCAGACGGTCTTTGCCGCCAACCTCACGATCACAGTAGCTAAAGTATTCCAGATATGGCCTAGTTTTCTCCAGGCCACGTCATGCTCACCTCAAACGACAAAGAATGAGTGTGCAGTATGCTCCGTTGAGAATAGCCAGGATGCCGAGGGCGCCGACGAGACGGACGGTCCCTGAAAGATACGATATGTGCAGCCGCCAAATATGATTCACATTTGAACCAAAGGACGACGGAAATGCTGGTGAACGTGTAAACGGGCGCATCGCTGACGAACGAGCTGATTGCACAGTAGGCGGTGGCGGCGAGCGCGATCGTGTTCATGATTGCATAGTATCCGAAACAGCACTTGGATTTACAGCACAACATTGCCGACGCGATCAAGCCGTTGATGCACTGAAACGAAGCGTGTCGGATCGGCAGATGAAAAAGAAGCCTACACATGCAAACGCCGGAAGGAAAAGACAGAAAAGCACAAATCCGCCGACGACATCGGTCACTGTCTGCGCGTGTTTCACGTCGGCCTTCGACGCTCCGACTGTCTCTCCGACCTTGTCCACTTTGTCCTTGTGCGAGAAACTGAACTTACACTTCGCTTACACTTCTTTTGCTAAAATTGAAATTACTGCTCGCCGAGCCCGGTTCCAACAATCGCCAGACCGCTGACAATGTGAATCGCAACGATTATCAGAATATGAAACTGAAAATTATCGCCAAATCGTTTCGAAATCCCCGAATATCCTACCTTTGCCCTGAGACAAAAGATCACAGTGTTCGTGTCGACAGATCCTTCCGGCATTTTTCTTGGTTTCAATGCTGAGGGAAGGGGGAGGGGGCTAACCTTTTCGTTACGAGAGCAAGGTCAGGGCGGAAAGGGGACAGAGGGGCAGAGCGGGCAAGGGAATTGCAGACCCATCTGATCCATCCCCTGTTACGTTTACTCCATTCAAAATCAATAATTTCTGCGCGGTACACCCATTTCCCTGTCTCCATTTCGGCGAAAAAAAATGTTCGCGCGCTTTTTTGAGTGCGGCTCTCAGTGTCGATTTACGGGAGACGGGTTTTCAACTGAAAACACTGTTTTTCCGAGTTTTTCGGATTATGCACAGTTTTGCTTCTAAGCTTTTGCCTCACGTTTGTTCATATGACCGATAGCTACAAAATGATCACACAGAGTGCTCGTGTAAAAGTGAAAATTCGAAGAGTAATTTCGTTTTTAAAATTTGGCTTGAAAAAACGCGACCTTTCGGAAGTTTTGAGAAAACAGTTGACAGAATCAAAAAACAGTTGCCTCACGATTGTTCAGCAGACAAAGGCGGTCATTTTGAGCACAGTGAAATGCAAAAATGACTGAGAAATTTCAGTTTTTGAGGATTCGGACTAAAATTCACAGAAAAGTGTAATAATGCGCGCTTTCTTGTGGGAAAAACGCTAATTTAAGGTCACAGCTGTCGTTAACAATTCGGAAATTCTCTGTTCTACTTTATTTTTCTCATTTTCGGATGAAATTTCGGGGTTTTCGAAAAAAAATCCAGGAATTTCAACGACACTCCGTTTTAACACGGCGCTCAATTTAGCATTTTAGCTGTTGTGGAGACAGTGCGCCCATTTGAATACTCAAATAAATCGATCAACAACAATAGAATCAAACTGGAACATGATGACAATTTCCTGCAATTTGGACGTGCTCTACATCGCCCTCCATTCGTTATCTTGAGAATCAGTTCAAGCATCGTTTCCTCAACTCCTCACAAACACTTTTGAATTCCTGTTTTGAAACGAAAAACGCATCGCAAAATGCCGGGAGGATCAGTCGACTTGAGCACGAAAGTCGTGTTCGCGAAGGGAAAAGTAAGTATCACTCCCCCAAAAACGTTTTGTTTTCTTACTAATTTTTCCGGTTTTCAGGTACTTCTCATCGTCGTGATGGCGGTCTACTTGGTGTCGGCACTGGCCGTCGTCGGAACCGGTCTTGCCGAACAGTAAGAGAAACGCAAAGAGCAAACGATAACGGTTCATTTTCAGTTTCTCGTTCAAATCCAAAGTCACTTCAGCATCTGCTGAAAAAAACGTCAAAGAAGCGGGGGCTGCGGCCGATCTCATCGGAGGAGTCATCATGTTCTTCCTCTTCATTCCTGCTCTTGCTTGGGTAGATCCTCGAACAGAAACACGCTGAAAACATCATCGGAGAATCCTTTTCAGATCATTGAAGGTGTCGCCATTTCGTTCTTGTTCTGCTGCAAGTCCAAGTGCTGTTACGGATACTGTGCTATCGTCACATTTCCGTTTGTCGGCGTGGGAGCCTTCACGGCCATCAGCGTGCTCACCGCCGACATTCCCTGGTTCTTCTTCCTCGGCGGCGCTTGGATTTCGTTGATTTTTAAGTGTAAATATCTCCGTGCACATTATTTACAATGGAAATCCTCCACTTTCAGACACATTGTACATGATTTCTGCGTTCGGCGTCATCACCATTCTGAACGGAATCGTGTGCATCGTCGTCCTGTGCCGCCTGAGCTACTTTGATCGTGCCGGCGGCGGCGGAGAGGACTCGGATCTCTACTCGTTGGACGACGATGAACACTTGGAAAAGAGTGATTCGATCAGCGAGCAGACTCTCAACAACCTCACCGGAGTGTATTGACGCAGTGGCGAGAGGAGGAATCGGAATGCCCAGAAGTTGCTGAAAAATGTGCTCGATTGTGCTCGAATAAAGCATTGTTTTTGTGATTGAATAGGCCCGGGGTCATCAGTGCACCCTGAGATTTGTTTGGTGATTTGAGTGAGCGAGTGGCGCCGGATTGTAAGCGGCAGAGTTGAGCGGAAGAACTCAACGGAAGAACACGGAAGAATTTTTATCTTTTTTAGAACATTTTTTCATGAAATGTAATCAACTGACGAAATGTCAAGCAAAGTGAACTCTGCTCATAGAAAAATAATTGTAAATTTAGCTTTTCATACAAAAAAGTTATTTGAGTTGTCCCGTGAAAATGTCCTTCCGTCTCCCTTTTTTCACGGAACAACTCGAATAACTTTTTTGTATAAAAATCTAAATTTACAATTATTTTTCTATGAGCACAGTTCACTTTGTTATACATTTCGTCAGTTGATCACATTTCAGGAAAAAATGTTCTAAAAAAGATAAAAATTATTCCGTGTTCTTCCGTTGAGTTCTTCCGCTCAACTCTGGTAAGCGGACTTTCCGCTTGTTAACTCACCGAGCCTTGACATGCCGATCGATACTTCCAACAGTTTGAATTAAGCAATTTTATTCCACTGCTCTCTAGACGGGTTATCAGTAACTGATAAACAGATAACGTCCACTAATTGTGTAACTCCTAATCTTATCATTTTCAGACGTGCTCCGCATCCACTATCAGCAGCTTATCAGTTCCTCACCGCCCGTCTTCCATGAGAAAAATAGAACAGACTGTTCAGTTTGACAAAAATCGCTCAACTCAGTGTCGATTTCCTCTTTGAAACGAGAAACGCATCGCTAAAATGCCGGAAGGATCGGTGGACTTGAGCACGAAAGTCGTGTTCGCGAAGGGAAAAGTAAGTATCACTCCCCCAAAAACTTTTTGTCTTCTTACTATTTTTTCCGGTTTTCAGGTACTTCTCATCGTCGTGATGGCGATCTACTTTGTGTCGGCACTGGCCGTCGTCGGAACCGGTATTGCCGAACAGTAAGAGAAACGGAACGTGCAAACGAGAACTGATCATTTTCAGTTTCTCGTTTAAATCCAAAGTCACGGCAGCAAATCCTGAAAAAGAGGTCAAAGAAGCGGGGATTGCGGCTGATATCGTCGGAGGAGTCATCATGTTCTTCCTCTTCATTCCTGCTCTTCTTTGGGTAGATCATCGAACAGAAACACGCTGAAAACATCATCGGAGATTCCTTTTCAGATCGTCGAAGGACTTGTCATTGCAACTTTGTTGTGTTGCAAGTCCAAGTGTTGTTACGGATACTGCGCCATTGTGGCGCTTCCGGTTGTTGGCATGGGAGCCTTCACGGCCATCAGCGTGCTCACCGCCGACATTCCCTGGTTCTTTTTCCTCGGCGGCGTTTGGATCTTGCTCATTTTTAAGTGTAAATATCCTCGTGCACATTATTTGCAATGGAATCCTCCACTTTCAGACACATTGTACATGATTTCTGCGTTCGGCATCATCACCATTCTGAACGGAATCGTGTGCATCGTCGTCCTGTGCCGCCTGAGCTACTTTGATCGTGCCGGCGGCGGAGAGGACTCGGATCTCTACTCGCTGGACGAGGAAGACTTGGAAAAGAGCAATTCGGCGAGCGAAGAGACCCTCAAGAACCTGACCGGAGTGTACTAGCCGAGGAGGTTACGAAAGAGATCATAGAGTATTTTAGAGAATAAAAAGTTTTTGAATTGAACCCCGCGTTTTTGCAATCAATAAAATAAACAAAAGACAAAACAAAAGCGCACATCACTTCTTGACACTCTTCTTTGAATTCTTCTTTCCGTCGCCCTCCTCCGCCTCCATTCCTCCAGTTCCGGTGCCGGTCTGATCTGCAGCGAGCACTTCGGCGCCGGTTCCAATTCCACTCTTATCCGCATCCGTTCCGTTCTCGGTTCCAGTTGGATGCGGTTCCTCCGCTTCCACCGGCTCCACCGGCTCCGTCCTCACAGACGGAGGTGCCACTCGGACGGTACGAAGGGGTGCTGGCTTTGCGGGCGGTTTGTAGAGGAAACTGAATGGGGAGGTTTTGAAACGCGCGTTCTCCAGAGCTGACGGTCTCCAGAACTGACAATGGGCGCAAGTGCGCCCCGCCTAATGCGCGAAATTCAAATTTTAACAGCAAAATTTGTGTTTTTTGCCAGATTAGCCACGAAAAATCGATAATTTCTCATTTGTCTCTCGATAGACCGATTGTATAGGCCATTACGAATTTTTTAAGCGCAAGAGCGTTAAATTTAGTCAAGTCGCAAATCACATTTATCTGTTTGAAGGTTTTTGGCTAAAACTGCGTGAATTTCATTTGCTTTTCGGTAGTTTTCGCGGTTCGAGCGCTCAAAATGCTTGTATTTAAGTGATTTATCATTTTCAAAACCGATTCTGTCTGAAAACGGTCAAGAAAGCGCAAAATGAGAAGTGCGGTTTTCAGGCGGCGAAGGCTAAAAAGCAAAGTCCGCGAAAAATGCGCCAAAACGTCATTAATTCTGAGAATTAGTGTGTTTTCATGTCAAACAATCATTTTTCATCGCCGTTGACTACAAAAATCAGAGAAAACCTGCTCAATTCATGAAAACGCAATTTGGCCGAGGCCACGCCCATATTGTCAGCTCTGGAGACCGTGTATGAAGAAAGAAGAAGACGACTTACCTCATTTTGACAAGAACGAAAACGCAGTAGAGTTGGAGCGGAATGATGGCGAACATGACGCCGGTGAACACGGAAACGGACACTTTCATCATAACCAAACTCATTTTCTCCATAAACTCCAAATCAAACTCCTGCTTCAGCTCGTCTGGTATTGGCTGTTGATGTTGTTGAAATTGCGCGATAATTTGATCTTTTTGTGCTTGGAGTGGCTTCATTGTCTCGAACATTCCATAAATTAGGTGTGGCGGCCAGACGTACTTCATCTTGAAATACACGAGAACTGTTGCGTTGTAGCCGATTGTGAGCAGAGCAATGATGGCCTAAAACCGGCGTTTTCGTGTACTAACGTGTACATCAGCACAGCGACCAAAAACGTAGAAAGGGGCGTGGGGCCTAGCGTGCACGGTTTATCACAATTTTGGCGCGAAATTCGAAATTTAACCAGATTTTTCATGTTTTTCGTTAAAAATTACCCAACTTTTGTACAATTTCGACGATGTAATTGCATAATAACTTTTTTAAACTAATCATCGCGCACTTTTTGAGCTTAAAACGAGCAGGTTTCATTCAGAAATGAATCAATTGAATCGATTTTCAAGTTTTGTGCTGAAAATGCGCGAATTTCAGTCATTCGCCGATACCTTTTGCCGTTTGAACGCCTAAAATACTTTTATCAACGTGCTTAATCACTTCCGACACTCACTTCGTCTCAAAACTATCCAGATAGGCCGGTATGAAAATTCCGAATTGCGAATGATGCCAAAAACGTCTCAAACGCGGCGTTTTCACGAAAAATTCAATTTTTTCTCTCTTTTATGTCTCTTCTTTCGTCGATATCAAACACAAAAATATCGGAAAAGTGCTGGAATTGCGGCAATTTTCAGAAAACGCGTCTCAGATTAGGCCACGCCCCTTTCTACACTTTTGGTCCCGCCGTGATCAGTCTCACCGTGATAATCGCACACATTGCGAACCAGTTTCTGTTCCTGACGAGTACAATCAGTCCGCTGAGAAACGTGACGATGACGAACTGAATTGGTTACAAAGGTATACAAATACTTGACCGAAGACTGCTGACCGGAATAACAGTGTAGCCACCCAATCCTTCCAGAAGCCCCTTTTTTCCATCCCTAATCTGCTCTTCTGACATCGGCGCGCCGTTCATCTCCTTTGGAAAGTTTATACTGAAAAAGTTTAGATTTAGGTGCATTTGATAAAGCAAAGCGCGATGATACTAATTGTAGCCGACTCCGGCGGCGAACACCACAATGAGCAGGGCGTAGAGAGCGGAGATAAGGAGGAAGTGAAACTGAAAATGTGTTGCAAAGCGTCCGGTTGGCGCAAGAACTACACTCACATGTGCTTTGAGACACAATATTTTTGTGCTGAGACTGACTGACGCGTCCATTTTCTTGAACTCTCACACTTTCAAACTTGCAACGGACCAACCCCCGAACCCTGAGGGGTCAAGGTCGAACCGGTCAGTTCAAAAGGGCGACGGTCACATTCTCGGGACAAACTTTTTCAGTACAATGTCCGAAGTTGATCTTAACGACAAAGTGTTTGGTTGGAAGGCCAAGGTAAGCCAGACTTGAGCGGAAGAACTCACGGAAGAATTTTTATCTTTTTTAGAAAATTTTCTCATGAAATGTGATCAACTGTCGAAATGTATAGCAAAGTGAACTCTGTTCATAGAAAAATAATTGTAAATTTAACTTTTCATACAAAAAAGTTATTCCTTCCGTCTTCCGTTAGCCCTCCTTTTTTCACGGAACAACTTTTTTTTGTATAAAAAGCTAAATTTACAATTATTTTTCTATGAGCAGAGTTCACTTTGCTATACATTTCGTCAGTTGATCACATTCCATGAAAAAATTTTCTAAAAAAGATAAAAATTCTTCCGCTCAACTCTGGTAGGTACCGTACACCTTTTCGGATATTGTAGAACCACTTTTACGCGGTGTTCGCCTTCAACTCTTCGCTCTGTCTCCTTCTCCTCCTCGCCTTCATCGATTGGTAACGAGGATTACTGTACTCGACTAGTACAGTACTTTTTCAGGATTTTCCTCCCAAACGACACGCCCGCCGGCGTTCGCTATTATATTTTCGGGTTTTTCATCTCTATTCCTATTGGGGTTTGAAAATCAATTGGAAACGTGCTTTGGGCTAATTTTGTAAAAACTTCCAGATACTTTTCAACTCGTTCACCCTCATCCTTTCGCTTTGTCCGAATGTGTACTGGTACGGTTTTCTGGCGCTTTTTGCGGTTCGTAATGAATTTCAGGTATTGTCGAGTAAGAGAAAATGTGATTTAGGGTCTCGCCGCGATCATCAAAGTGGGCTATGGGACGTGGAAAGCGGCGACGATTGGCTACGAGGAAATGTTCGAAAATGAGACTGTCAGCAACGTTTTCAAGTATTACAAGTGTAAGTTATTGTGGGATTACTGTACTTCTCCGAAAAGTTACAGTAGTTACAATAGTCTGAACTTTGAAGGACCATATCTTGAGAACCATTGATTGTATCAAAAATTGGTCAACTAGAAAATTGATAGAAATTTTATGCTGAACAACTTTGTAATTGACAATTTTGCATTAAAACGCTTGATTTTTGAGTTATGACTTTTTTTGTAAACAGTATAATAATCGTCTTCCAGGCGGGACCTGGGCCATCGGAATCCTACAATACTTCACCACAGTCTCCGCCTTGTACTTCACGGCTGTTTTGCTCAAGCTCAGGTGCCTACAGTCCCGCCATAGAAGCCTACAATATCTTAACTTTTCAGTTTCTTCTACACCCCAAAACCCCGCGTCGACCTGCATTCTGTTCAAATCCGGCCGCCCGTCAAAGTGCACAAATCATCGGAATCCGATGAGGCTCCAGAAGTGGTCCCAAAAAGATCGTCGACGAGTTTGGGGCCGATTCAAAAGTCGCAAAAAAAGTTCCAGAAAAGCCAATCGGGATCGGATTCCGGAAGTGAAAAGTACGTGAATTCGAAGCGGTCCGATCGGGTTCCGAAGAAAAAGAAGAAGAAGAAGGAGAAGGAGGCGGTCCCAGTGGATCAGGAGGAACATGAGTTTGACGGGAGACTCATCGCACTTTGACTTTACTTGTGTTTTTGAAGAATAAATGTTTTTTTGTTGTACTTTCGGTTTTTAGCGCGAAATTCAAACTTTGACCTCTTTTTTAAAATGTTTTTCCTCAACTAAGAAGCATTTGATTCGAGACTACCGTAATCCTACCGTATCTTGGCCTTCAGATCCGATTCGCCCATTGCAAAAAAGCAAAGAGCCGCGCGTGCTGTACTGCATTTCTAGAACGATTACGGTATGTGGGATGTCAGGCCAGGTCAGGCCGGATTACCCGACCGTACCCCAGCCCCGTCCCAAAAACCTCGAATAACAACAACGTTTTCCTGCTTTCCACAACTTCGCTCGTCAGTCACAACCATGGGTTTCGTCGATCTCAACGACTACGTTTGGTGCTGGAAAGCCAGGGTGAGTGGGGTTACGGTAGAGGAGGATCACGGTAGTACGGTAACCTTTTTGTGTTTTTTTTGTGCAGACTCACTTCTACGTCAACTCGATCGTCCACCTCGCCATGTCCTTGTTCGCGCTTCTTGCCATCATTGACTAGTGAGTCGGGGGTCGGGTTTTTGAGAGAAATTGACGTTTTGCAACTCACATGCTCCAGATTAGGACGAAATTCTGAAAAAAAGCTCGTCAAAAATTAGTCTTTTTGTACAACCAGCCCATTGACACTAAAATGCGCAAGCGTCTAGAGAGTTCAACTTCCAACAGCTACAGTATCCCTAGGAGTGATTGTACGGAAAATGTGTCAACTACAAAAGTGAAGATCAAGTCTAGTACTTGCTTTTTGTAGTTGACCACTTTTTTGTACAATCACTCCCAAGAGTACGGTAGCCGTTGAAAGCCAGGACTAGCCGAAACCCCATGAATTTTCAGTGTCCGACTCCCGGAGGACGCGTCGTCAGAGCTCAAACTAGCTTTCTGGATCCAGTTCATGTGGTTCATCATGGCTTCCGTCTTCACTGCCGCGATTTGTCTCTCTTTTGTTTTTTGTCCCAACCACATTTGGTACGGAATCCTTTCCATATTCTTGGGGCTCTTAGGAACGTACGGGCTGATCAACGAGACGTACGTGCTGGCCAAGTACGGCATTTTGAGGACTGACGATAGGAAAAAAGTGCAGCTTTTGGAGCATTACAAGGGTAAGTCACGCTAAGAGTGTGCTTGTTATGCTTTTCGATTTTCAGGTTCAATGGCCGGCACTTCCCTCCAGATGTTCCTTTCGGCCGCTTCCAGTTTCTACTTGTCGGCGGTTTTGTTCAAATTGAGCTTCCTGTACACTCTAAAACCCGACGCCGGCGACATTTACATCATCCAGACGGGACCACCGCCCCCGCCCGCCGTAATCTCGCTTGACACCAACGGAAACGCCCCGATCAACCGGCCACCGGCTCAAGATCCGCTACCACTTGAGGGACCGGCACCAGAGCTAGAAGCACAATGCGCCCAACGGTCCGACCCGGTTCTGGATGTGACCCAGGCTCAGAACTCGCAAAAGTCATTGGAAAAGTCGAAGAAATCTGAGAAATCCGCAAAGAGCCACGTGGAGAACACGCAGATTTCGAGTGGTTCCGAGCGAAAATAGGACGGTTTCAATACTTACTCGTCGTTTTTTTTTGTTGGAAAAATTAATAAATGGTTGTTTGTCTTGATGGCTGATTGCTCAATGATTTGAGGACGTTTTGTAACCGAGAAATTGGCTTGTAGACATTTCGCAACTATCAAAATTTGTGCTTAGCATAAAAATTCCAAAAATTTTGCAATTAACAACTTTTCAATACACTAATTGGCTCTTGGGATAAAGTCATTCAAGTTGAGTTGAGGGACGTTTTTGCTGTACCTAGTTGCCGAATGTCTCGCCACGTGTGCTCATTCAGAACTCCCGCCATAAAAATTTGAATTTATTTTCGAAGGGCGCTACGCACCGATTCAAAATTTTCGTTTGCCGCCTTTACGCCGGCGAACGCCCATTGGCTGCGTGTCGCCCCTGTGCAAACACCGTTCTAGATATTTTGCGTACTTGGCACCAGATACTACGCAAATTTTAGGCCAGCTGTTTATTTATTCAAATTAGAGAGTGCGAGATTGAAGAGACGCCGACGATGTTCGGTAGGGCGCGCTTGCATGCGCGTAACAGTTCGAACGCTCGTGGTCTCGGTTGCAAAACGTCCGAAAACTTCATCAAGTAAAATTTAATTTCAAAAAATCAATAAGCCATAACAACATCCCGTTTTACGGAGTTCTTCGCCGAGTTGGAGCTCTCCGAACTTGAAGCCGATTTTTTCGCTTCTGGAACATTCTCGGGTCCCGAAGGCTCTTTCAACTCCTCCTTCGATCTCGGCGGGTTCACTTGCACGGAACTTAAAATGACCGGTTTAGGTGGGGTGTACAAGTAGCTGAAAAATGATTAGAAGTTGTGAAGTTATAAAGTAGGGGAAAAGCCAACCTTGATTTGATCATTACCGCCGAGAGGTAAAATAGACTGAGAATGGAGCCAAAGTAGAAGATTTCTCGGCCAATTAGTCCATCTTAACAAAGAAACGTTTTGAGGTAGGAGGGCTACGGTACTTACATGTGAAATACTTCAACACGTCCGCTTTCTCCTTGTCGTCGGTCCCAATAAGACCATGTTCGGCCAGCTTCAGACTATTTGAGGCGAACCAGAGAAAAGTAAAGACGACCTGAGAGAAAACTGATATTATCCATTCCTCAATAGAATTCTCACCACGAAAGGGGCCAGAAGTTTGAGCCAAAAACGTTGTGGACGAGGAAGTTGGACGAGTTGACAGCCGAAAACGACCAGGAGAAACTGATTAGATGGCAGCAAGTTTTTTCGCAGATTATTTAGTTCCACGTACCGATCCACTGACGATTGAGATGAGAATGAACGAAACGAATTCGGTCCGGAAGTAACGCTCTGCGTCTTTGGGCGCGGTTTTCGGGAGACGAACACTGAAATGTGTGCATTTGTTATTGTAGACTCGAAAAAATAGCGTACCGATCAATAATGGCGAAGAGGTTGAAAAGTGGAAGAATGGTCCCGGCGGTGAGTAGGAAAATGACGTTGGTCTTGAGTTTGCAGCAGAAAACTTGCTCATTGTGCTCCGGAGCATTCATTTTTGGGGAGAATTGATTTGAAAGTGTTTGAGTTAGAGATTGAGGGCAGGGTTAGGGTTACAGTAGGGACAAAGAAGGGCGTGTCAGGTCGAGGTTACCGAAATACCTGGTTTTTTGTTTAACAAAAGTGGGAATTCGGAAGTCAGGAGTAATAACAAACAAGTAACAATTTTCAGTTCGATCAACCATCAGTGCTAGCTGCTGTGCTGACATGCGTGCTCATTTGAGTGCTCATGATCGAGTATTCCATTACGACACTTGAAGGAGCAGCGGATAACGGAGAAGTGGATGATATCGGAGGGGGCGGTGTCAGGGGAGTCGGAGAGAAAGACGAAGGAGTCAGCGATCGGTTGAGGATCGGACCGACGGGCGGAGGGACGATCGCAACGATGTTCGGATTGGGCGGCTCGCGGTGCAGGAAACTGAAAAAGGGGAATGTTGCATTGAAAGGTACAAAAACGTACCAGAACCCGTGGCTCAAAGGGACCTGAAGCGATCATCAAAAGCCATCATTTTGACGCAATCAATTTGCGTTGACGCAATCTTTTGGCGCCCGCAAACTCCATCTCACCTGAACTTGACCAAAACCATCACTGCATACACTTGAACCGCCAATATCGCCACGGCCGATCCGATATGAAATGCGGTGAGCTCTAGAAATATTTGTTTCGCAAAAAAAATGAAACATTTTTGGAAAACCTACCATCCAAGAATACGTTGACCACATTGAAAACTGCACAAATGGCCTAAAACAATTTGTTGACAGTTTTTTCAAATTTTTCATTGGTAAACCATAAAAATCGCGGAGGATGCGTAAAGCCAAGTGTGCGGGAAATGAAGAAGAGCACACGAGGAAATTGAGTGGAAAATCTGAAAGATTTTAGAGAATATTATCGATTTTTGTCGAAAAACTGACCCAAATAACAGCGGAGCCTATTTTCGCTTGCCACGTATTCCAGAATAGACTTGTGCTTTTGACGGTGCTGAAATATTGTAGTTTTACAAAGAAAGTCTGCATTTTTCTTACTATCTGTGATAAATGGCCAAAGTGAGTGAAATGGCGCTGGCGAGGAGGAAAGCGGCGGCGATTGCGCAAAAATGAGCCTGACGGGATTACGGAGGACGGGCAACATTGTCGGGACGAACCTTGGCCTTGCAGCAACAAAATCGAGTGTTCAAATCGACTAGCATTTTGAATTTGAAACATTTTGGCAGCAAGGCGGTCTAGCCTTGTCCCGGTCACCTTTGAACGACATGAAAATCGGCCTGAACAACACTGAATTCTACTCAATTCACCGCTCTTTTTGTACTTTTATTCTTCAAAAACAACAACTAGTTCTCCTTGTCCGTTTTCTCCGTTTTCGAATCGACGGTCACTTCGTACAAATCGTTCTCCTCATTTTCGGACGAAACGTTGAAACGGTCGAAATAACTGGAAAATGTTTAGATTTTTCTGGAACAAAAACAAGAAAAAACCTCATTCGACAGTAGACAAACGCACAAAACAGTTGAAGAGCGATGGCGACGGTGCACGTGACGAACAGGACGATCTGGGCGGCTGGAAATGCGAGTCCGTGAAAAAAGGTCGGAAAACCAAAAAGGTCGGAAGACAAAAGGTCGGAAAGCCAAAAGGTTGGAAAAAAATGACAAAAGGTCGGAAAAAAGTGACAAAAGATCGGAAAAACTGCTAAAATACCTGTTTTCTGGCTTTTTGTAATTTTTATCCGACCTTTTGGCATTTTTTCCGTCCTTTTGGCGTTTTTTCCGATATTTTGTCACTTTTTTCCGAACTTTTGTCACTTTTTTCCGACCTTTTGGCTTTCCGACTTTTTGTCTTCCGACTTTTTGTCTTCCGACCTTTTGTCACGGACTCGGAAATGCGCGCGCACGTTATCAATAGAGCGCGTTTGCACAATGCCCAATTTTTTCGACGCAAAAGTCGCTGTTCTTCAAAATTCTACTCATATTTTCGAGTTTTGGCTCTGTTTTGTCAAGGAAATATGGAAATTCTGCTGAAAAATCGAATAAAAAGTGCAAAAACACTCACCCTTCGATTTTCTAAATTCTCTCGAGAAGAACCGTTCGCTGTCGATGAAAAAGACCAGCGCGTAGGTGATTGTGGAGCACGCCGACAGAATCTGACAATATTTATTTTTTTAAATAATATATATATTTATATAGTTTGGCAAACCGTTGTAATCGCATAATATCCGTAGGCGCACTTTGAGTTGACACAGATCAGAACGAACACGCCGACGCTACTGCAGCACTGTAACAAAAGCGATGTATCTCGGTTGTCTGTGGAGGTATCAAAAAGTGGTCAACTGAACAAATGTGTAAAATGTCTCAATGAACATTTTATTAGTTGACAATTTTTTGATATTTCCACTGGCAGCCGAGATAAATAGGGTTGAATGGACGACGACTTACGTATTGAAGGATTGGCGCGATGCCCATGACGAAAATCGCTTCAAACTGATATTGTCCGGCCGGAGTGAACAGAATGACACAAGCGATTATAAAATAGGCGAATCCAATGAAGAGCATCGCTTCCTGAATTGCATCCAAGGATTACGGTAGTTCAAATTGTGCCATACCTTTGCCTGGAAAAAGCATATTTTGGTTCGAAGCTCCGGTTGCGATGGGAAGTTCATGTTTCGTGGAAATGACAGAAACAGATATTAGCGAAAAGTGATAAGGGGAAGTGTGTGCATTTGTTGAATTTCACGTAAATTTGCAGATTTGACAAGCCACAGTACTCGCGGCGTGTGTGTCTCCACTTTCAACGGCTACAGTAGGCTTCAGAGTGGTTGTAGACAAAACTGATCAAGTACAAAATTAGAGCGCTAAACGTGTTCTTACTTTTTGTAGTTGACAACTTTGCGATCCCGCCACTCCCAGAGGTACTACAGCATCTTCTGGAACTACAGTACTCTCGCGAGTGCGGCTTGCTGGCGCATCTTGCGTGCGCTGACGCACTATTTGTAGTCGAAAATTGAAGGGGTGTGAGAGACCGTGCGCACGGAACCCCAGCCGTCCAATAAAAAATTCCCTTGGCGCAATTCACGTGCGCTAAACAAGGCGCGTAACGCGTAATTCCGGAGCGTCGTTGTAGAGTTTCTCTTTTCAATTTTCCCTTTTTTTGCATTATCCCCATCTTTTCAGAACCAATCAGTGTCAAAACTTATGATAATGATTAGAAATGAATAAAAAAAATGAAATGTTAACTGCTTCGTCATCAATTTCGAAACGTTTTATGTGAAAATTACAGCATTTTTTCCTTTTGGAATCGAAAATTTGCCTCAATTATCTCAATTCTGTATATTTTTCGACGGTTGAGCGCTTAAAAGATGCGCAAAAAACCGCTTGTTGACTGGACGGTTCCAATGCCAGTGTCCGAACTCGATTCGGCGCAAATAATCGTTAAAACTCCGTTTTTTTTCAGTAGTTTTCGACAAAATCCCTCAATTTGGTCAATTCTGAACGAATCTGCTCCGTTTCGCGCTTAAATCGATGCTTTTAACTCAGACAATCGCCCTACGGTTCGCAAAGAACACAGTTTGAGTGCTTATTAAGAGAAAAACGACAGAATTCTGGTTTTCATTTGAAAAAAGAAACTCCGAGTCGACGGTGGATGCAAGCGCGCCCCATTGACAACTCGCTTGCGCATTGGAATGCTGGTGTTCCGTGCGTGCGCTCATTTGTGACCCCGTCTCCTCTGGAGGACGGTCGTGCCCGCTCTGCTCTCCTCTCATCGATTTTTCCATTTTCCTTTCCGTCTTGTCCTTCCTTCAACTCTTCTCATCTTCCATTGTTCCAGATTCTTCCATCCCACAAAATGTCGACGGAAACGAGTTGCGAAGTGACGCTCCGCTTCACCGCGAGCAACAACGAGCTGATAACGGTGCGCGAGAAGGAGCTCATCGAGCGGATTCCGCTCCTCGAGCGGGCCGTTGCCATGGAGTTTGGCGACTGGCAGTCGATGGACGTGAAAGTGGAGCAGCCGATCGACGTTCCGTTCGAATACGGACCTGCGAGGCTGCTGTTCGCCCGTCTGCGCGAGTACAAAATGCCCGCGGAGATGGGTCAGGAGCCCAACATCGAGGATTTCAAGGAGGCGAACGAGATGAGTCTTGAGGAGCTCAGGGATTGCATAGAGGTGAGTGGGGGCACAATAGCGTCCATTCAAAGCAATGTATCTCGGCCGCCTGTAGAGATATCAAAAAGTGGTCAACTGACAAAATGCGCAAATTTTTCTAACGAACAATTTACTAGTTGACAACTTTTTGCGATCTCCACCGGCTTCTGAGTTATATTGTCTATAAGTCTACTAGTATTTTGCAGCTGGCCAACTTCATGGAGTGCTCCGGTTTCGTCGAATGCCTCGGCTTTGTGATCGCCCAGAAACTGCGCGGTCTGCCGATCGAAGAAGTCGCCGCGTTCCTGCACGTGGATATTAGCAATCCACCAACGGACACGAACATGGACTGGGTACATCCGCCACTCGCCGCCGCCAATGAAGACCAAGAATCTTCGTGATTTTTTCATTGTTTTACTCTGAAACTTATCAGCATTTCAAGCGCAAACTCTTCCTGAAACCACATTTCTTCAAAAGTGTCCGTCAAAAACGATAAGAGTGCCGAAGAGAACGTTATTGATTTATTGATTGGTTTATTCACTTCACAATTTTACGATCTTTGTCTCAAATGCAATAAACGACGCGATCGAGCCACAGCTCTTCCTCTTCCTTCTTCTTCCCCAGCTCTTTGTTCGACGAGCTTCTCGAGAATGTCCGACAATATTTGATCGATGACCAGACACGTGACCGTCGAAGATAAAACGCCAAAGAGACAAATCGAAACGATTACAGTCGTGATCACTGGAAAATGTGTATTTAAAGTGATGCTCCTTCGCTATTTAGACGGCTGAGAAATCGAATCGAATCGAGTCGCGCACGGTCTCCAGAGCTGACAATGGGCGCAAGTGCGCCCCGCCCAATAGAGCGAAATTCAAATTTTAACAGCAAAATTTGTGTTTTTTGCCAGATTAGCCACGAAAAATCGATAATTTCTCATTTGTCTCTCGATAGACCGATTGTATAGGCTATTACGAATTTTTTAAGCGCAAGAGCGTCAAATTTGGTCTAGTCGCAAATCACATTTATGCGTTTGAAGGTTTTTTGCCTAAAACTGCGTGAATTTCAGTTGCAAAATGCTTGTATTTACGTGATTTATCATTCTCAGAACCAATTCTGTCTGAAAACGGTCAAGAAAGCGCAAAATGAGACGTTTTTGGGCGGCGATCGGCGAAAAAGCAAAGTCCGCGAAAAATGAGCGCCAAAACGTCATTAATTCTGTGAGAATTAGTGTGTTTTCATGTCGAACAATTATTTTTCATCGCCTTCGACGACAAAAATCAGAGAAAACGTGCTCAATTCATAAAAACGCCATTTGGCTGCCGAGGCCACGCCCATATTGTCAGCTCTGGAGACCGTGAGTCGGAATGTTTGTACGCTTCTTCTGGAATAGTTAGCCTCACTATAGAGTTGACTGGGAAACTCGGCGTCCTTTCGAAATTGATTGCAGAAGAGCCCAAAAGCAAAGAGATAGTAGAAGTAGAGGAATATTTGCATAACGGAGAACCCTTTGATAAACTTCAAATTCGTCACTGTCGGCCTGGAAGTACGGCCTTTCGGATGGAACAGAGCGCGCAGGCGGGTGTAGGTGACGAGCTGAAAATGCGAACAATTAGAGTAGGAGACTCTGAAACTCGGCGCGCGAACCATTGAGAGGGGAATGTTCACACAGCACACGACGTTCCAATCGGCACGATGCAGTCTGCAAAAGTGTGCATTCTGGTCAAAAAACGTCCGTTGTCCGAGACTTACACATCGAGACCAAGTATCAAAGTGGCCAAAGCGATGAGAGGCAGCTGATAGAACATGATAAATTTGACGCAAGTCTGCAAATGGCGGTTTTTGCAATGGATTACGGTGGGCACGAACATTTCGAGTGATCACACGATTCGAGTTCAATGTGCTGATCATGGCGTCTTGCAGAAAAAATAAAGAAGAGAATGAGGATTGGGACGAAGATGGAAGCGAGAATATTGGAAATTAGAAAGTCACGGACGGAAATAAGGGATGTTCTCTCCTGTTCACTTTATGCTTCTTTCAATTATTTTATTTCCATTCCGATTCTAGTACAGATTTTCAGACTGTTCCACTTGCAGTCGAGACTCTCCCGGTGGCCTTTTTGCCCCCAGAATCCGTCCGTCTTGCTCTTCATCGGAGCCATCGAAAGTGTGACAGCATCTGAAATTGAATGATTTGAAGAAGTTCAAAGGGCAGAGTTACCCGACACAAATGGAGAAGCGGGCGAGCGGAACGAAGCCGATGGCGATGGTCCTTTAGTCGAAATAGAGTTTCGGATCACTTTCAGCTTGGCAAGAGGCGACGTTGAAGCTGTTTTCATAGCCATTCGAGCTCGAAACGCTATAATCCGATCCGTAGTAGGCGAAGAATTAACTGAACGATTCGTGGATGATTGAGGCGGCAATGATGGCGAGGATCTGCAAACGGAACATGTGAACGAGACTGAAATTCCAATATTATCGTACCGGCCAAACAATGCATACGAGTCCGCACGCGCTGAACAGTCCCAAGGCCGGAGAAACGAACAGGAGCACGGCGTTGGTGCCAGCTTTTGGAGGGTACCGCCGAGCACGACCAACGAGAGCAGGAACCGGAAGAGCGCCGTCGCGTTCAGACAGATCTGCAAGTGAAACATCTGTTAGCCGAGCATACCGCTGTTTTTGCAGATTTGTCTGATCGGCGCCGTCGCGTTCCACGTCTTCATAGGCCTCCTGAACATCATCGCCGCCGTCGTTGTCCGTTATTTTCCGTATCGATTTTCAGTGTGGATGCGAATGAAGGCGTCCACTTGCTTTCCGCGCGCGCACTGTCTCCCCTTCGGCAAATAAAAATTTTCGCGCGCTTTTTTGCGTGCAGCTCTCAGTGTCGATACGGTTTTTCAACTGAAAACACTGTTTTCCCGAGTTTTTGGGATTATGCACAGTTTTCCTTCAAAACTTTTGCCTCGCGTTTGTTCATATGACCGATAGCTACAAAATGATCACACAGAGTGCTCGTGTAAAAGTGAAAATTCGAAGAGTAATTTCGTTTTTTAAATTTGGCTTGAAAAAATGCGAATTTTCGGAAGTTTTGAGAAAACAGTTGACATAATCAAAAAACAGTTGCCTCACGATTGTTCAGCAGACAAAGGCGGTCATTTTGAGCACAGTGAAATGCAAAAATGACTGAGAAATTTCAGTTTTTGAGGCGCCGGACTGAAATTCACAGAAAAGTGTAATAATGCGCGCTTTCTTGTGGGCAAAACGCTAATTTAAGGTCACAGTTGTCGTTAACAATTCGGAATTTCTCTGTTTTACTTCATTTTTCTCATTTTCGGATGAAATTTCGGGGTTTTCGGAAAAAAATCCAGAAATTTCAACGACACTCCGTTTTAACGCGGCGCTCAATTTAGCAATAGCTGTTGGGAAGACAGTGGCCGCGATTCATGTTCTTTTTCAGCCCATTCCGCCATTCTCGTCTCATTCGGAATCGTCATGTGTTTGTGTGCTCACTTGCATTGGGTACGGTCCCCTCTGGATCCTTCCAGATCATTTTCGAGCTTTCAGATGTTGTCATGCAGAAGATTAGGCTGGAGCGAAACCGATGGGATCGGCGGATCATTTCCAGGGTTTGACGACTGTTACGAGGTTGTAAATTGTCAGGTGTACTTGTTGCTGAACAGGTTTTCACGTTTCTACGTCAAAAATTGCAATAATCAGTGAACTGATAATATCGAGACAAACTGATAGTCAACGGCTTGACAATTTTTGAACCGAAAACCCATAAAAAGAGACCAGACGAAGGAAATGTGCTCAAAAACCCGTCAAACTTGCACTTCGCACTGTGAATATACTCACTCTAAACCACCCGAAACGTCTCGATTGCCCTGAATGTTCTCGTGTTGACCCTTCCTGACGGAGTACGTCATGTTCCCCTACCTCGCTTCAAATCATCCACTTATTCCCACAATTTTTCTCCTGATCAATCAATACTCTCTGGCTCGTTTCTCCTCTTCAAAAAAATGGCGCTCGGCAATGCGGATCTCCGAGCCAAAATTGTGTGCATTTCCGGAAAAGTGAGTGCGATTCCGGAAACGATTTCACAAAGGCGATATTGTAGATTTGTCTGCTCGTGAGCGCCGTTCTTCACTTGTTGGTCGCGCTCGCCGTCATTGTGATTGTTGCGTTTACCTAGTACGCTCCCCATTCAACACAATGTATCTCAGCTGTTTGTGGAGATATCGAAAAGGTGCCAACTGACAAAATGCGCAAACAGTCTTGATGAACAATTTATCAATTGACAACTTTTTGATATCTCTTCGGGCAGCCGAGATATATCGGTTTGAATAAACAACCAAATCGTTTTCAGTGGAAAGTACAAGGTCGCATACATTTTCGTCTATGCCGCCCCCGCAGTTTTTGCGGTAAGACCCACCACCATTCTATGTACAAAATCGAATCAAAATGAGAAAAATTGCAGGTGTTCAGTGCAATCGGATCCGTCGTTCTGCTCTTTATCCGCAAACAACTGATGATGCTCGTGTGCATCTCGTGGCCCGCTATTGTCTTTGCCGTTTGCGCCTTCTTCTACGGATCCATGGTCTTCGTGTTTGCGCGCGACGGACCGAAACTCGAAGTGGACGGCGTTTCGCACGAATTTCCGGGTCAGTTGGTTTTCGAAGATTTTGTAACCAACCGGAGGAGGGACCGACCACACTTTCAGCCGACGATATCGTTGCCCTGTTCATGGGCGCTCTCATCCTTCCGCTCGCCTGCCACTGCATCTTTCTCCTCTCCTGTCTCGGGTCAGTTTTCCACAACCTTGACCTCACATTTTCCGTTTTAGATGCTGTAAAACGGACGTTGATGGAGGTGCTCCGCTTCCGCCGACGCCGTCAAAACCCAAAAAGGGCAAGAAGGGAAAGCCGGACGGATCGCAGATGGGATCGCCGTCCGCAACGCCCGTCGGAGATGCACCAGTTGGAGGCAATGAGCAAGGCGGAACGGTCGCATAACTTGTACTTGAACTTTTCGATAAATTATTCATTGTTTGGTTGATACATTTCAAAGTTAATTCCGATTTCCGACTTTGTTGCAGAAGGTAGGCGATGATCAGTGTAGGTGGCCAACGACGGACTGCAGAAGGGAATCGCCATTTCGATCCCTCGGAGATTTTAAAAAATGGTGGAGATTAAAAAAAATGGTGGAGATTTTAAAAAATGGTGGAGAGCTAAAAAAAAAATGGTGGAGAGCTAAAAATGGTGGAGATTTTAAAAAAATGGTGGAGAGCAAAAAAATGGTGGAGAGCAAAAAATGGTGGAGATTTAAAAAAATGGTGGAGATTTTAAAAAAATGGTGGAGAGCTAAAAAAATGGTGGAGAGCAAAAATGGTGGAGATTTTTTTAAAAAAATGGTGGAGAGCAAAAATGGTGGAGATTTTAAAAAAATGGTGGAGATTTTAAAAAAATGGTGGAGATTTTTAAAAAAATGGTGGAGAGCTAAAAAAATATGGTGGAGATTTTTAAAAAAATGGGGTAGAGCTAAAAAAATGGTGGAGATTTTTTTAAAAAAATGGTGGAGATTTTAAAAAAATGGTGGAGAGCAAAAAATGGTGGAGATTTTTAAAAAAATGGTGGAGAGCTAAAAAAATGGTGGAGATTTTTAAAAAAATGGTGGAGAGCTAAAAAAATGGTGGAGATTTTAAAAAAATGGTGGAGAGCTAAAAAAATGGTGGAGATTTTTAAAAAAATGGTGGAGAGCAAAAAAATGGTGGAGATTTTTTTAAAAAAATGGTGGAGAGCAAAAATGGTGGAGATTTTTTTAAAAAAATGGTGGAGAGCAAAAAAATGGTGGAGATTTTTAAAAAAATGGTGGAGATTTTAAAAAAATGGTGGAGATTTTAAAAAAATGGTGGAGAGCTAAAAAAATATGGTGGAGATTTTTAAAAAAATGGGGTAGAGCTAAAAAAATGGTGGAGATTTTTTTAAAAAAATGGTGGAGATTTTTAAAAAAATGGTGGAGAGCAAAAAAATGGTGGAGATTTTTAAAAAAATGGTGGAGAGCTAAAAAAATGGTGGAGATTTTTTTAAAAAAATGGTGGAGAGCTAAAAAATGGTGGAGATTTTTTTAAAAAAATGGTGGAGAGCTAAAAATGGTGGAGATTTTTTTAAAAAAATGGTGGAGATTTTTAAAAAAATGGTGGAGATTTTTAAAAAAATGGTGGAGATTTTTAAAAAAATGGTGGAGATTTTTAAAAAAATGGTGGAGATTTTTAAAAAAATGGTGGAGAGCTAAAAAAATGGTGGAGATTTTTAAAAAAATGGTGGAGATTTTAAAAAATGGTGAAGATGGTGTTCGAAGCGAATAAATAAGTTATTATTATTAAAAAAAAGGTCATCCGACTTCCGGAAATCGATTCTCGCAAAGAATACTAAACTCTCAAAAATCTTCATCAACTCCCATCAGAACGTGAAAATCAGAAAAAGTGCGACGCCGATCCACTGCTTGCTCCGTCCGCTTGCTCCATCCAAAAAGTCCTCCGACACGTAGAGATCCGTGTCCGCATCCTCCTCGTCGTACACCTTTTCCGCCTCTTTTCTCTCTTTTTGCGGCGGATCCGTCGTCGGATCCGGTTTGAGTGGACCAGGAGTTGGGGCCGGTTCGCGGGTAGAAGATCGAGTTGGAGTACGATCGTCCGTAGGCCTAATTGTTAGATTGGTTGGTGATGGAGGTGTGGAAGAGGGTGGATCTATGATCGGAGCCAAAGTCGTCACGATTTGCTCTCGTTTTTGAAGAATTCCCGCGTACTCGGCCAACACATCGTAATAACCTCGAATGTCGTAATAGTACGTATTGCTAGCCAAATCATTGAAACCGCCTGAACGACATTCGGTTCAAAAGTAGTCGTTTAATTTCGCACCGCCTACCAGACGCCATGATTCCGAAGACAGTCGTCTTGACATCCATTTTAACCATTGGACCTCCGCGATTTCCTGGCTCATAACTTTTCTCGATGAAAATCCATGGGGGATAGTAGCCGGTAAGCTGCAATTGAAATTCCGTCAATATCGTTCCTTTAAGACAGTGTATCTCGGCTACCTGCGGAGATATCAAAAAGTTGTCAACTAGTAAAATGCAGCCAATGTTTTAATGAACAATTTATCAATTGACAACTTTTTGATGTCTCTTCAGGCAGCTGAGATATATCGTCTTGAACAAGAGGAACCTTTGACATTTTATAGGTAATCATTCCATTCTCGTACTGTCCCTCCGGATATTGAATTCCGTACAAGTGAAGATCATCCGTCTCTTCCAGTTTCTCCTCTCCGACCAGACACGGAAACGCACCGCCGTAGGACGTTTCGAGTTCGACGAGCATCACAGCAGCCATCCGCTCATATTGCTCATTTTCAGTACAATATTTCAGGATCCAAGCCTGCCCAAATTATCACGTCAAAACTGGGCCCGCCAAATGACGTTTTGAAGCGTACCTGGCTTGGTGCCAACTCTCGCCGCGTACAATTCGCCGGGTTTTCCGGACACTCTCCCACACTGATCATCATGTTTTTCGTGTACTTCTCCGGCACCTCAAAACTGCCATCACACCCAGTGTCAGTGCTCATTTCGCGCCCGTCCATCGCCCATTTGCGCGCACTAGTCAGAATGGGTTGAGCCGAAGTGAGCACGTGCCGCTGGGAAACGATGCTCCCCGGCGAATCGTGGCTCGGCAGCTCATTGTGGTTGTCTGGAAGGGTTTCGAAAACGTTGGCTCTTTTTAACATGCGACTCACTAATGTTGTGCACTCTCACAAGCCACGAATCCTCGGGAATATTGATCGGTTTAGCGGCGTCGTTCACTTTGAAATCCTTGATTACGGCTGCAAATTGAATATCCGTTTCACGCATAAATGCTCCGAAATTCACAAAGTTTTCGCTTTCCACACGTCGCCAATCGTTCATTGTTCTCTTGAATCGTCAGTTTTCCGCACTCGATATTGCTAACAAGGATGACTATTGCTATTATCACGAGAATTCTCATTTTCGAAACACCGAACACTGATCGGATGACGTGGATCCGAAGAACGGATGACGTGGCGCGGGGACACGTACAAACAGTGCTTCACTGTCTCCCTCCCCAGCAGCTAAAATGCTAAATTGAGCGCCGCGTTAAAACGGAGTGTTGTTGAAATTTCTGGATTTTTTTCCGAAAACCCCGAAATTTCATCCAAAAATGAGAAAAATGAAGTAGAACAGAGAATTTCCGAATTGTTAATGACAGCTGTGACCTTAAATTAGCGTTTTGCCCACAAGAAAGCGCGCATTATTACACTTTTCTGCGAATTTCAGTCCGGCGCCTCAAAAACTGAAATTTCTCAGTCATTTTTGCATTTTATGGGCCGTCTCTGTGCTCAAAATGACCGCCTTTGTCTGCTGAACAATCGTGATTGAACTGTTTTTTGATTCTGTCAACTGTTTTTTATTTAAAAAAACTTTTTTTTTTAATTTTATTTTAAAAAACGAAATTACTCTTCGAATTTTCACCATTACACGAGCACTCTGTGATCATTTTGTAGCTATCGGTCATATGAACAAACGTGAGGCAAAAGCTTTGAAGGAAAAGTGTGCATAATCCCAAAAACTCGGGAAAACATCGTTTTCAGTTCAAAAACCGTGTCCCGTAAATCGACACTGAGAGCCGCACGCAAAAAAGCGCGCGCGAAAATTTTTTTTGAGTGCCAACAAGAAAGTGGAAATTTATTCCAGCACAAATGAAGCGAAAAGTATCAAAACTCCCATCAAAATTGCTGAATCAGCGTCGTCCGTTCTAGACGTGTTGGCAATTCGCAGAATCTCGGGTTCCGGCACGATTTCAATGTAGTCGTCGTCGGCCATGCTCACCTGTCTCTCATTCTCCTCCGCCGCAATGAGTCCGATCGAGACGGGCTCGCGCGCGCAAATGTGCTCGCTGACGCAGAAGCTCTTCATGTAACTCTGAATGTCGTGGAATCGATCCACGCGTTTCGGATCGCAGTTGGCCGAAGTGCCGACGCCGACGAGAATGTCCGTTCCGTCCGAGTGCTTTTTGACGAGCGGCGCGCCTCGGCCGTTCGCACACGAGATGCCCGTCGTGCAAATCACCGATTGCACTCGCGTTTTGCTGTGCGAACACGTGCGCACCTGAACAATTTGCACCAGACTTGCCAAATAACGGGCCGGGCCGAAAATCTGCTGGCCCGGCCCGGTCGGCCCGGCTCAAAAGGCGCGAATTCAAATTTTTTTGGGGAAATCTATTTTTTTCGTTTTTGCGGGGATCAAAATTTAAAAAAACTACGACACTCCGACATTACGGTCGCGCGCGCTCTTTAGCCATTTTTTTCCAACTTTCGGATTGCGGCGTGTAAACCATTGATTTGTTCGCCGTTTTTCTTTATACTGAATTTTTTTATAAAAAAATTTTTTTAATATAAAAAAAGAGAACTAAATTGTTTTTTTAATGCTCGATACTTGCAAAATTCGTTAGTTCTACGAAAAACAAACATTTCATTTAATCAATAATTCAAAATTTGGATTCCCGCTTTTTGAACTGGGCCGGAGTTTTGAAAATTTCGGCCCGGCCCGTGGCAACTCTGATTTGCACGATGATTTGTGCGCCTAGTTTGACAGTTTTCCGCCTACCGTCACATTTCTCTCTCCGATTTCTTTGAAAATCGTGCCCGCATTCATGTGCCGCCCCTCGCCGACCACTCCAAACCACTTCAACGTCTCGTTGCTCTTCACCACTGTCGAGACTGCAACAACAGCAAAAAAGTGGCCGGACGTTCGGAGCCTCGTACAGTCGTGTCTCTCTTACCCCTGGGCAGACAGATTTCGGGAACTCGTCGCCACGCGTGCTCCACCGAAATCATCGTCAGGAAGCCGTGTCGGGTGGCCTCTTTGCTCTTGTAGTGGATGCAGAATTGCAGGAGCCACACGGCGTCGACGGGCTCTCTCCACTGCTTCCACTGGTCCCAAACGATCGCCCCGGACAGTTTCAGCTTGAAATCTTCGCTGCTTGACGCGTCCGCGCAACGATCCGTGTTCACTGGCAGTTTTGTCGATTGGTAGTGCCAGCGTGAAGTGCCAGGTCTGAAAGTGATGGTGCCGGCGGCGCATCGGGCATGCGGCACTCACTCCCAATAGACGAACATGTGCGAAGAAGTGAGCAAGTGACGTCTCGAAATGAAAACGCCCGTCTGGAACTCGAGATTCTCCTCCACAAACGGAACCACTAAACTTTTCCGATAAGATATTGAAGCAGGCCCTCGACCTGGACTTTTAACCCACTTGCAATGATCCGATCGGCGCCAAACTTTGCAGAATTGTTGCACTTGGATTGAGGGCCATTGGGACCAAGTTTCAGCCTGATCCGATCGTCGGATCCCGAGATATGACCGATTTTTCCAAAAAAGCCCGGGCTTTCGGCCATTGATCCACATATCTCGGGACCAGATGATCCGATCGGGCTGAGACTTGGACCCAATGGCCCTCAATCCAAGTCCAACAATCCTGCAAAGTTTGGCGCCGATCGGATCATTGCAAGTGGTTTAAAGATCCAGGTCAAGGGCCGGTCAATTGCCGAGCCCTGAGCATATGTCTAACCAGAGTTGAGCGGAATAACTCAACGGAAGAACTCACGGAAGAATTTTTATCTTTTTTAGAAATTTTTTCATGAAATGTGATCAACTGACGAAATGTATAGCAAAGTGAACTGTGCTCATAGAAAAATAATTGTAAATTTAGCTTTTCATACAAAAAAATTATTCCTTCCCTCTTCCGTTAGCCCCCTTTTTCACGGAACAACTCGAATAACTTTTTTGTATGAAAAGCTAAATTTACAATTATTTTTCTATGAACAGAGTTCACTTTGCTATACATTTCATCAGTTGATCACATTCTATGAAAAAAATTTCTAAAAAAGATAAAAATTCTTCCGTTGAGTTCTTCCGCTCAACTCTGGTACATACCAGTTGAGGGCTCCGTTGACGGCTCCGTTGACGTTGAAAATGTCAAAGTACTGCTCATATCCACCGTGGTCCCATCAGTTGTACTGTCGCTAGTGGAATTTGAGACCATTGTAGTACTAGTACTAGTAGAGGTACTCGTAATGGTACTAGTACTAGTACTAGCACTGGTACTAGTACTGGTACTAGTAATAGTGCTAGTACTGTCAGTGTCGGTGGTACTAAACGTGGTACTTGTCGAGTCCGTGGAGCCGCTCGTCGAACTGTCAGTGCTTGTGCTCATTGTGCTCATGAAAGTGCTCGGAGCACGTGTGGTTGTCGGAAGTTTTGGGGAAATTCGTTTTATGTTCGCCGCCATTTCCTTCGTCATTATTTTGGCAATCCATAGTCGGCTGGCTGGAATTAACAATTTAAGACCTATCTTTAAAAGCCTCTATCTCTACAACCATCGATTGTAGCAAAAAGTTGCCAACTGAAAAGTTGTTGGAAATTTTGTTCTGAACAACTTTGTAATTGATCGTTTAGCAGCAAAATCACGTATTCTCAAGTTATACGCGTCGTTTTTCTCCTCAACAGTACTACTCAACAGTAGACGATCACTTACCGTCCGGATCGCCACAAGTGCCGAATCGAACTTCATTTTGCAATTCGGTCAGCACGTCCGGATTCGGATTGCCGCGAAAATCCGAAAATTGGCAGTTGACATGAGCGATGAGCAATTTCAGAATTATTCCGATGATTTTCATAACGTTTGAGAAATAATTTGTCAAAAAAAAAAGAGAAAGTCAGTAGACTCGTGTAGTTCACGCGGAGAATCCAATTGGCAGCGAATCGATCGAAATATTATTAATCGTGACCTCCAGAGAAAGACACTTGTCGGTGACGTGGAGCCAATGGTGAGGAGCCTCGAGGGAACGGAGAGAAAGTCAGTTCTAAAAGAGCAGAAAAGGTGCGGATACACAAACTGAAATTGAAAGCATGTCTTGTTGCGTCGACGCCGATCTCAACGATCTCGTCTTCTGCTGCTCCGGAAAGGTATGCGGGCGGGCCGAGGTTTGGGAAATCAGGCCACTGATTTCTAGGCCACGGCCATCTCGCTCTCCGTGATGTTCTTCATAACCGGCGGCGCGCTGGCCGGATCCATCATCTATCAAGCCGGCTCCTCAGAGTAAGTCCCCCCCCCGCCCCAACCATCGGGGACCAATAATAATATCATTGTGTAGACCGGAGGCTCACAACTACTATAATCTTCTGTTCATTCCGAGTACGTTTGTGAGTAGTTACTGGAAGTACAGTAACCGTGGGAACAACCCTCATTTCTGCAGATCCTGAGCACTATGGGCCTGTGTCTGTTGCTGGCGTTTCACAAGAAAATCGTGCTGTTCATCTGCATCCTCTGGCCGCTCATCGTCGCCGGACTCCCGGGATACTTTATCTACGAGACGTACGACAAGTATTACAAGCACCGAAAAGCGCTGACCGGCTCGGCGGCCGCGCACATCGCCAAGACGAACAGTGAGTGCGACCGTGGCCGCGTTTTCCCCCTCCCCCGTGGCCTAACTTTTGCTCCTCTTCCAGTCCTCATCTACATGCTGCCGATCTGCTCGGCGATCGCCGTTCTTCTCTCCGTCTACTGCATTCTCATGCTCTGCTGCCTTGCGTATGTCGTGCACGTCTTCGCGTTTTTCCTAGTTTCTCGTTTCAGATGCTGTGTTCGTGCGGAAGGCGGTCGCGATCGGGAGGATGTGTTCAGTTTGGAGTATGGTATGACCGACGAGACCGAATCGATGAACGGAGATGAAGAGGAACATGGACATGGACATGGACACCGCATTCGGTAGAAGCACACTGTCTCCCCTTCGGCGAAAAAAAATTTTCCCGCGCTTTTTTGCGTGCGGCTCTCAGTGTCGATTTACGGGAGACGGTTTTCCCGAGTTTTTCGGATTATGCACACTTTTCCATCAAAACTTTTGCCTCACGTTTGTTCATATGACCGATAGCTACAAAATGATCACAGAGTGCTCGTGTAAAAGTGAAAATTCGAAGAGTAATTTTGTTTTTTAAATTTGGCTTGAAAAAACGCGAACTTTCGAAAGTTTTGAGAAAACAGTTGACAGAATCAAAAAACAGTTGCCTCAAGATTGTTCAGCAGACAAATGCGGTCATTTTGAGCACAGAGACGGCCCATAAAATGCAAAAATGACTGAGAAATTTCAGTTTTTGAGGCGCCGGACTGAAATTCACAGAAAAATGAAAAAAATGCGCGCTTTCTTGTGGGCAAAACGCTAATTTAAGGTCACAGCTGTCATTAAAAATTCGGAAATTCTCTGTTTTCCTTCATTTTTCTCATTTTCGCATGAAATTTCGGGTTTTCGGAAAAAAATCCAGAAATTTCAACGACACTCCGTTTTAACGCGGCGCTCAATTTAGCATTTTAGCTGTTGGGGAGACAGTGAAGCACACTTTTTTTCGGACTTTTGCTAATAAAGTGCTTGTCTTAACAAACCAGTTTGTACGCCTACATTTCGAGCGCCAATGATAATTTCAGTGGTCAACTGAAACAAAGTTGGACATTTTGTTCCCAACAACTTGGCAGTTGACATTGACTAACAAGAAGCGGTAAAACAAAAACAAAGCGACATGTTTGCCCTCCTGTGCCACAGCATTGTTCCATTTCGTTATCGCTTCCACGTCACCCCCCGTTTAACCTTCACAAAACCGATCATTGCTGAATGCGTTTCAATCTCTTCGTTCTCGTGATAATAACAGTCATTCTTACCGGTGTCGATGGACAAAAACTGACGGATCAGGAGAATCGGGAGCGCGTCGAAAAGTGCGGAAAACAAGCGCTTCGTGAGTGATTGATTCGCATTCGATTTTCAATGTTCAGCTTGACAATTTTCAGCAAAACTAACCAATTTTGTTGTCGACGCCGCCGGCCAGCCAATCGATATTCCGAAGGACGGCTCGTGGCTCGTGCGAGTTCACAGTAAAAGTGAGCGCCATGGCAGAAGTCGGAGCATGAAGTGACGTGGATTATTTGTTCCAGAATCGGATAGTGTTCGGACTCGGGACTCGCCCGGAACTTTTATCTCGCCGAGACACGTGCTCACTTCGTCGCAACCAATGATTCAGCCGGAGACGGAAAAATATGGTCTCGATGGGCAAATGTTGAATAGGAGCTGTGTCGGAAAGTGAGTTCCGCATTCCGCATTCCGCATTCCGCATTCCGCATTCCTTCTCTTGCAGAGTCTATCAAGTGCCCGAGGAGTATGTGAAGAATCTGCAGATCACTAGTGGAGAGTGTGTCGAGGCTCAAAAATGTGAGAAGAGGCAGTTTGAGGCGAAAAAGGTTGGGACCGTATATCTCAGCTGCCGGTAGAAATATCAAAAAGTTGTCAATTGATAAATTATTCGTTAAGACATTGTCTGCATTTTACTAGTTGACCACGCTTTGATATCTCTACAAACAGCTGAGATACAATGCATTTCGCAGGCGTGGCTGTTCAAGACTTGCGGGAAATTTCAAATTTTCAAGTATTCCGCTCCGATGCTCATCGAGTTGAACGCCTCGACGAACGTTGGTTTTCCGTGTCTGGCGAGCAAAAATGTGACAAATGCGGCAATATTGCAAGCGTACGGAATGAAGTACACTAACGGATCATTTGACAAGGGACAGATCACGTACAAACGGGCACAGGTACTATCAAATTAATAATCTTGGCTCCGGTTCGCCGCCGCCGCAACGCGACCGCTTCGCAACTGAAAAGACCACGCCCCCCTTTCTGCAAGTGCCGCACATGCCATGTCAATTAATTATTTTTCTTGGAAAATACACAAATTAAGGTTGAGAATCTCGTTTAAATCGATCTGTTTGCAAAGATAATTCTCTAAAAACACTCGAAAGCAATTAATTTCCTTCAGGAGTAGCTTTAATTTGTGTATTTTCCAAGAAAAATAATTAATTGACATGGCATGTGCGGCACTTGCAGAAACGGGCGTGGTCTTTTCAGCTGCGAAGCGGTCGCGTTGCGGCGGCGGCAGGGAACCGGAGCCAAGATTATTAATTTGATAGTACCGAATTGCATGTTTTTTTTGTTGTTTCAGCTGATAGATTACGTCCGCGGCGAAATGGCATGGCTGGTGGTTGCTAAGCAGTTTGCGGAAGGCGACCGAGGGGGACCACTCGTGCACGAAACCGATGGCATCACTACACTTTTGGGAATTGCGAGCACCAGTAAGAGTGAATTTGTAGACGGAAGAAACGAGGCGGTTTTTTTTAGGCGGTTTCGACGAAGCCTACTTTGTTGATTTCTATTTTGACATTCGATTCTTTGAAGATGTCATCGAAGAGTTGGTGGGGATCCGACCGGCTCCGCCCCCTACGGCACTTCCCAAACCGGCTCCACCAACTCCCGAACCACTCAAACCGGATCCGACGACGGATCCGCCGCAAAAAGGCAGAAAAGAGGCGGAAAAGGTGTACGACGAGGAGGATGCGGACACGGATCTCTACGTGTCGGAGGACTTTTTGGATGGAGCAAGCGGACGGAGCAAGCAGTGGATCGGCGTCGCACTTTTTCTGATTTTCACGTTCTGATGGGGGGTTAATGAAGATTTGAGTTTAGTATTCTTTGCGAGAATCGATTTCCGGAAGTCGGAAGACTTTTTTCTATTTTCACGCAAAAAAAAAAAAGGGAAACAAGCAAAACATGATCGAGTCATTTCAGCGCTAGCCAGAGTTTTGTTAAAACATTTTTCGCTTCTCAAAAACTAGAAAAAAAAATGAGCAAATGGCTAACATTATTATCGAGACACAAAAATGGGTGAAAAATGAAGAGGAGAGAATTGAGCAATTTCGGGGGTGGAGGGGGGGATGGGGGAGGAAAGAGAAAATAACTTATGGTATTGGGGTACAGTAATCCTAGAAGAGTTACTGTCGTTTTTCTCGTTATATACAGCTACAAATTTCTGGAAAATCGGGGGAAATCGAGGCGGGAGAAGAGGCACTATTTTAAAGCAGTGAATCATCAACAATTGGAGAGAGAATCGCCGAGCAAATCAGATCTTTTTAGCAGCTCCCGCCACCGCCCAAAAGCGAAGGAGAAATGGTGAAATCGGTGGCGATGTGAAGTCCGTGTTCGATAATATGCACATCCGGATTGATGATTCCGATCGGAAGCGGAAGGTTCTGAGGGATCGAAATGGCGATTCCCTTCTGCAGTCCGTCGTTGGCCACCTACAATATTGGTAATTCACAGTCGGATCCGCACTGATCATCGCCCACCTTCTGCAACAATTCCTTTCCGAGATTTCCGAGGTTGTCGAGCGCGTCCTGTGGCAATCCCAGGGATCCGGTCCTGTCCGAGAGGTGCAACTGCGTGATCTCGGCCGTTCCCGACAGTCTTCCTCCGCCGATTCGCGCGGTTAGCACTACGGTGGATGCGATTGTGATCGTTCCCACTTTTGTGTTCGTCTGATCGATGTAGATGTCCGCGTCGGCGATCAGGTCCAACGTGACCATTCCTGAAGAACAATACAATATTGGTTTGGACTGGCGCTAGAGTTCTTCAGTCACCACTCCTTGGATCACTGTAGCACTTGGAAGTTAGCACAGACTGTTTGCTACAGTACATTTGGGAGCCGTCGGATTAAAAAGTGGTCAACTTTAAAAATGTTGAACACGTCTTGTTCATTGTTTTCGTAGTTGAAACCTTTACTGTGCAATCACTTTCAAAGCTACTATAGCTACTAGGAAGTTAGTATAGACGTTTCGCTATTTAGACCACTAGGGTCCGAAAACTAACCTCCTTTAGCGGCGGAAAGAATGACCGACGGCGCGCGGACGGTTCTGATCTGCACGGCGATCTTCTGATTCGGATACTTTTCCCTGACCGCCGGCAGAATGTCTCCGAAGCAGATGCCCAGATCGGCGAGTCCGGCGGTGTCCTCTTGTCGCCGGCGTCTCGAGTCCCTCTTGCTCTTCGTCGTGATCTTCGTCGTCTCGTTCGTCGATGCGACCACGTGTCGGCTCGGCCGCACACTCAGCACAATCGTCGCGTTCTGATGGATGCCGCGTCGCAGCCGATACTTTGCCTTCTCCTTCGCCAGCCGCCGTCTTCTGCGCGCCTCTTCCTCGTCCAACTCCACCTCGGTCGCCTCCAGATCGTCCTCGTCGTCCGAGCACGTCGTCTTCAGCAGCTCGCCGATCTTCGGCGTCTCTGGTCCGATTCGGAAGCTCAGGAACTGTTTGCGATGGAGCCAGTAGAAGAGCGAGTTGACAGTGTAGTCCGTGACGATGAACTCGGCCATCTGACCTCCGTAGTAGGGAAATTGGGTGGGGAACGCGCCGAACGGAGTTCCGCCTTGGCCGTACGGAGAGAACTCGCCGGTCAGATCGATCGTGTAGTCGTTGGAAGTGGCGTACGATTGGATGAATTGCAGCGACAGGTACAGATCGTTCAGTTTGGACATGTCAAGATGGGCGGCCACTTGTCTCAGGAACGAAGCCGGATCTTCGCCGGATCCACCGCCGGCGGCCGAGCATTTCGAGCAGTCTGGCGGTGGCTGCACGGCCACCGGACCAGCGGCGACAGTTGGCGGCGGAGGGTATCGGGGGTTGGCTCCGATGTTCGAGTACGTCGCGCCCGATGGATACTGAGCAATTCCGGCCGCTCGGATCGTCGCCGCGTACATTCGATGTCTTCCGACTCCTAGAGGCAGCACCACGTTCACACCCTGACTGTAATTTCCGCCGGCTCCCACTGCTCCTCGTGGATATCGGAGCGCTTGGAGTTGTTGGAGAGTTCGCACGGCGGCGGCTCTTCTGGCTCCCTCGGTGTAGGCGGTTGTGGGGATCTGAGGGGCCGGGGCGGCTCCTCCGATGTACGGGGTAGAGACGGCGGGGGCGACTTGCGTCGGTTGCGGATTGGTGGACGGGATGAAGGTGGCTGGTTTCGGGCACGTCGATGGGCACTGAAAATAGAAAAATAGGGATAACTCGGATGGGCTTCCCTCGCGCCACGGTCTCCAGAGCTGACAATATGGGCGTGGCCTCGGCCAAATGGCGTTTTCATGAATTGAGCAGGTTTTTTCTGATTTTTGTCGTCAAAGGCGATGAAAAATGATTGTTCGACATGAAAACACACTAATTCTCAGAATGAATGACGTTTTGGCACTCATTTTTCGCGGACTTTGCTTTATCGCCGATCGCCGCCCAAAAACTTCTCATTTTGCGCGTTCTTGACCGTTTTCCGGCAGAATTGGTTTTGCGAATGATAAATCACGTAAATACAAGCATTTTGAGCGCTCGAACCGCGAAAATTACCGTAAAGCAACTGAAATTCACGCAGTTTTAGCCAAAAACCTTCAAACGGATCAATGTGATTTGCGACTTGACCAAATTTAACGCTCTTGCGGTTAAAAAATTCGTAATAGCCTATATAATCGGTCTATCGAGAGACAAATGAGAAATTATCGATTTTTCGCGGCTAATCTGGCAAAGAACACAAAATTTGCTGTTAAAATTTGAATTTCGCGCCAATTTATCGCTCTATTGGGCGGCTCGCGAGACAGTGGCCTCGTCTATATTAGCCTGCTTTTTGAGCAACTTACAGATCCACCGGTCGCGCCGCCTCCTCCCAATCCGAGTGCTCCTCCGAACAACGAGATCATCTGCTGCAGCGCGATCGTCTGCGGCAGAGCTCCCAACTTCGAGTTGAGTTTCTCGTTGATGATGGTCGGCAGCTGCCCGCACACTTGCCCGGGTATCATCTGCCGCACTTGGTTCGAGATCTGACTCCTGAACTGACTGTTCACAATGTCTCCGACGAGGCCGCCGTTCTCGATGTACGCGTCGGCGTATCCGATCTGCATGTCGCACGAGAGGAGACGAACGTACGGTCCCCGAGCGCCTCTCTCGATCGCCAATTGCACTGTGATCGTCGCCTGATGGATGTTGAGTTGCACGATTCCGGAAAGGGCGATCGGAATGAGGACGACCACCTGACCGCCGAGGTTTCCAGTGACTCTGCAATTGTCATAGGATGAAAGACACTTGAAAGCTCGCAATGACAACTGAAAACGTACCCCAAGTCCACATTTTGCACTTGAAGAACGATTCTGTTTGGCGGAGCCGGATAAAGAACGACGCGTTGAGGACAACGGTAGCGGGACACGTACAGATTGTAGATGTTCACGCAGCCTTGCACCTGAAGAAGAAGAAGAAATGTTGGGCTCGTCAGAAACTACACTACACCTTTGAGAGTGGCCGAATCAAAAAGTTGTCAACTACAAAAATGATGCTCGTGTTTTGTGCTTTCGTTTTGTAGTTGACAACTTTTTTGTACAGGCTCTCGCAAAAGTGCTGCGGCTCTTCGGAAGTGTGGAGCACATATGAAATTTAGTTCCGACTTCCCCCGACACAGTCACAATCTCTCTCTGGTCCCTTGAATTCAACTACACAAAACGTGGCCTCCTCTTTTGCTGAATTGAGAAAAGAAAGCTTTTGGTGGGCGACCGAAGCGACAAAAGAAGGTCTTCTCATGTTGAGAACAAGTTCCGGCCGATCTCTGTGACCAAAGGGGATCGTTTCCCTTCGCGGCCCGACCTGTTACGTAATCTTATTGTGTCTCCCCCCCCCCTCCCACGTAAAAAGCTGTGAATTCCATTCGAATTGTGTACGAAAATGATTAGGTGATAACTGGAAACCACCATCGAATTTAGCGGCCGCGATTCCGGTTCTTTGGCACCTCGGTGGCCGAACTTTCCGCTCTGCTTTTTCTAGGCCACCACTCGAACTAACCATCGGGATGCACTGTGAGATCGGCGGAATGCGGGCCTTTTTGATTTCCGTGTTCAAGAGACCTCCGACCAGAGTGCTCGCGTACTGGAACGCTCTCGAATTGAGACGGGCCCGGATGCCCGGATATCCGCGTTGACCTTGCAGAAGGATCGGATTGAAGTCCGGTCTGGAAATGGGAATGAAAAATCGACATGTTTGCCCTGAAAACCGCCCAAAAACCTTACCCGGAGGCGAGGGAGCTTCCGCCGACGGATCCACCCTGAACACCGGCATATCCGCCCGATTCGACGGTGCCGATCAACAGGCAAACCTGCGAAATTTTGGGATTTTATGGAAAAACGGCAAAATTGAGCGTTACCGCAACTATCTGCAGCATCTGATGGCGGTTCCTGCTAGTCTGAAGGCACGCACCCGTCCTGAAACGGTTACGGTCGGGGTACGGTAGACTACGGTACTGGAAAAGTGAAAGCATAGAGAAATTGGAAAGTATTGACATGACAGTAGGATCGATTTCAAGAGGATTATTGTAGGCTTACAATACCATCTATTTAAAACGCTGTATATCAGCTGCCAGTAGAGATATCAAAAAATTGTCAACTAATGAAATGTGCAGAATTTCATAGCGAACAATTTACTAGTTGACAACTTATTCGTGACTTTACAGGCAGACGAGATATAATGTCTTGAATAGAAGGTGCATCGAGATGACCTTTACTGAAAAATAATGCATCTTCCCATGAACGAACGAAAAATGATAAAAAAACATAGTGTACTGCTGCTTGCTTTTTGTCGAATCGAATCGAATCGAATCGACCGAAAAAAAACCAGTCAGTTGTTCGTGATTGTGAAGAAGAACAGTGCTGAAATGAAGGGGGAAGAGAGGACAATAGAGCGAATCTCGAGACTGGCGAGAAGAAGAAGAAGGAGAAGAAGCTTCTGAAGGCGTCGGCGGTTACGTAAACAATCCAATTTCGGCAGGGCGAGAAAGTAGACAATAATACTCTTGAGAGTTTTTCAGTTTTAGGGGTTTTCGAGGAACATTTGGACAGATTTGGATGCCATTTATTCGAAGCCGTGTATCTCAGCCATCTGTACAGACATCAAAAAGTGGTCAACTGAGAAAATGTACAAAATGTATTAATGAACAATTTACTAGTTGACGTTGTTTTGATATCTTTACCAGGAACTGAGATATATCCTCTAGATGACCTAATTGGCTCAAAAGTCTCAAAGTTATGTTCAAGTTTTCCAAAGTCTTTATCTTAAGATCTAGTGATTATTTCAAAAAGTTCTCAACTAAAAAGGTACTGAAGATGTCATTCTGAATAACTTTGTAATTGAACGTTTTGTCTGAAAGCGCCTCCTACTCAAGTTATGAGCGGCTGTAGGAACAGCACAGTGTGCTCATCGATTTTTACGTTAACTCCTAGCGATTCTGTCTTAAAAACTGTGATTTGAGCGTCAAAGATTAAGAAAATGTCGCAATTCAAAGCTGCTATTATCCGTTTCCGTCTGCGTGAAATGACGCAATCACCCCTTTCGCCCCCCTTTCGATTTCATTTCATTTGCAACACAAAAATGGGCAGAAAACCGCAATTTTTAGTGGTGGGCCCAAAGCAGGTATTTTGGCAAAGAGGAAATTGATTGATGATCAGAAGAAGAAGGAGAAGAAGAAGAAGAAGAAGAAGAAGAAGGGGAAGAGGGACGAACGGCAGAAAGTGAAAAAGAGGAAACGATGGCATCCGACATTGTTTTCGATGACAGGCACCGCGGCAGCGGCAATCCGGAAGAGACGTTGCGGATGAAAAATGAGGAAACGCTTTCGCCAGAAGCGCCTGTTTACCCACACCAGTGTATGCACTACTTCTAGTACTGTAGTAGTTGGAGGTACGAAGGGGAGGGGATTATTCAAGGTAAATGGGATTTCCGAACAACTTTGTGTCGCGCTTCGTGTCTACACACGGTGACGTAACAAGGTTGCCCGGCGGTGGTCGGTGGTGACGAATATTGGGTGAAAAAACGAGTGAAAGTCTGGAAATTGACTTGGAGCTCAACTATTTGTGGGTTTCATGACTTTGCAACGTCATTGAATGCAATCGAGTACCAATCCTAACTATTAGTGATGAAATTGACGTGGCACTGAAAGTTCAGCTCACTAAACTGATGATGCGTTTCGGAAATCGTCAAAAACTCGTTTTTTTCAGACATGACGTGGCACAGGTATTTTAGAGCCGTAAATTAATGCACTTTTTGCGACGACTTTGGAAAACTGGTATTTTCTTTGAGTTTTGAACTGTTTCTCTAAACGTTCTATGGAAAATTGAATCTTCTAGGTGTCAGAAATGGGATTGGACGATTGAAGGTTCGGGGTAACCAGTCTGGGCATAAGAGATCAAAGGTCTAAGGTACGGTCACAATGGCAACACGACTAGAAACTAGAGAACGTTTCGGCAAAGCGATAATAGTTGGCAACAATGACATGTTGACACTTTTTGCAATGGATCAATGATAACAATAGTAATAATACTGGTAGAAGGCATCAGGTACTAGACGTTTTTAAATGAATAGTAGCGCAGCTTCATGAAAAAGGTAACAGACTGAACTATTTTTGTAGTGCGCTACTTCTAGACGTTGTATCTCAGCAGCCGGTGATGATATCAAAAAGTTGTCTACTAGAAAAATGTTCCACGAGACATTTTACACATTTTTCTAGTTGACAACATTGTGATATCTCTACAAGCAACTGGCAAAACGTCACGTCAAGATTTTGCGGGGCCAGCTCGGAAGTGGAAAAAATGGAAAGGGGTGCGTTATGATGGGCTAACAAATTGTGAACAACCGACACTGAAAAGTGCATAAACATTGTCCATTGCCAAGTCAAGAGAACAAGAAGATAAGAGGGATTGCGTAAGGGGTTCTCCCTGGACGGTCATGAAAAAGAAAAGACCTCTTGCGCAACATAAACATGCCGGCGATGGAAGAAGAAGAAGAAGAAGAAGAAGAAGAAGAAGGGAGAATCTGATATCATGTACAAGAAGAGAAGAAGAAGAAGAAGAAGAAGGGGATAAATGGCAACTAAGCGCTCGCCCCCCGTCAGAATGGTAGAAGGGGGAGGGAGAAGCTTGTCTGCATGTATGTATGTGTGTGAACTTGAGAATCTTCTCCTCTCTACTAGCGGATGGCATTGGGGGGAGGAGAGGAAGAGAGGAAAAGAAAGAGAGATACCGGTTTGGGCGAAGGGAAAAGGCACGGCTTCTGGTAGCGGCGCAACGTATTTGTACACGGGGACGGAACCTTGAAGATCAAGATTCTTGGCTGACTCACAGAGGTCAGAAGACACTGTGTAATAAGGGAAGGACTGAAGCTACGAAGCTTTCAGAATGCGAATGACTAATTACAATTCGGTTCTATGTCTTTGTTGTAGTGTCTGGTTTTCTAAAAGGTTAAAGGATGGTTTCTTGTCGACATGACGACGCAAACTTTCTTTAATTAATACGGATTCGGTTTGACAGTTACTAACACAGAATTTTGCAATAACCTGGCTCAAAATGCACATCCGCTCTCTGATTTTGCATCGTTCCGGACTCGAGGACAACAACAGTAATTCTGTGAATCTTCGCGATGACACACACACACGCCCTTTCCGAAAGTCTCTCTCCCGCCCACTCATTTCCGTTCATTTCCATCTTTTTCTCCCACTTTTTGTGCCGAAATTCAACGAGGAAAAGTGGTATGCGGGCGTCTGCCAACCAACCACGCCGATGATCAAGTGTGGTGTGTAGTCTGATCGGAACGCCGCCGAGCGCACCGCTTTTTGTGAGGTCTTCAAGAAATTGGCTGGATTTCAGTGAACGCTGGAAAATTAAGCGCTTTTTGCTAGATTTTCAGGCGATTTTTGTGATATTTTGGCTAGAAGAGCTGGAAATGCAAAAGGGTGCAACAATTTTCCAGTTGACAGCTCTCGAGATATAGTCGTCCAAAATTGGAGGACATTTTCTCATGGATCAATTGAAAAAGTTGAATCGAAGAGAAACCGCCCCGGAAACATGTCGGTCAGTCAAAATGAAGGTGTTGGAATTGAAAGACGGACACCTGTTACACTTATTTCCGGGAACCAGACCAGACTTTTTGGCGTTTCATTCGAAATCCCGGGTGTGTAGTCCGATTCCAGTCTTCCGTCTATGTCAATACAAACACCTTCAATTAAATGAATTCGGAGAAGAAGTAGAAGCTTCTTCTTCTTCTTCTTGATTACGCAAGGCCGGCGCGCGGCAACCGCGCGGTCGCATTACGAAAAAAAGGTGGAAAGCTGTTGGAACGGGTAATGCGACATGTGTACAGAACGGACAAATCTACAGATGGAATGGAATGGGCAGAAAATGAATGAGATTCGGTTTGGCGAGATGAGATGCGCGATGGCTAGCGGTTTCGCGCACAACTTGTCCATTTACCTGAGTGCTTCGCGACAGGCGGGACACTTTGCAAACGGGGGGCCGGGTTGCGAAACGCCATGTGAATGGATCGACGTGAAAGGAAATCAATCGGGGTGACTTTATCAAAGTCTTCGTCGACTGGCGGACGGAGAGAATCTGAAAAAATGGAAGGCGGAGAAGTATATTCTGTGCAACTACTCAGGTAAAATTTCAAACTTTTCTTAGCTATTTTCAAACTTTTCCAGGCGCCACCCAAGAAATTCTTGGAAAAGTTTGAGAATTTCTGGAAAAAGTCTGAGAATTTCTTGAAAAAGGCTTAGAAAAGTTTTTAGAGCTTCAGAAAGTTTGAAAAGGTCTTGGAAAAGTTTTTTGTCTTGAGAAAGTTTGAGAATGTCTTTAGAAGAGCCAAGAAAAGTTTGAAATTTTACCTGAGTAACCGCCTTTCCTTCGAGCACGCGTCTCGGTATTCGCGTCTTGGAAGCCGTTCTCGGAGTACTTTATCAAAGTCTTACAACGACCCATCTTCGTCGCATTCATCGACTGGCGGACGGAGAGAATCTGAAAAAATGGAGGGTGGAGAAGTATTTTCTGTCCAACTTACCGCCTTTCCTTCGAGCACGCGTCTCGGTATTCGCGGCGCCGTTGTGCAAAACGGCGAAATGTTCGTCGATACGCTGAAAATTTGCGCTTTGTAGAAGACAGCAGTGAAAACGAGTGAACAACGCAAAACAATTGGTAGCAGCTGTGTTGTTGGCAAAAATGGCGGGAAAAAACATTCGGATGGCCTAGGTTTCCACTTAGGCCACGGCCATTTCTGTCAAAATCCATTTCGAGGCGCTTGCTTCGGCAAAAATTAGAATTTTCACAAGAGGCCATTTTGATCGTTCAACGATTTTTCATTTAAAAATTGAGTCCGGCTTTAAAAACGTTTTATTAAAGTAAACGACACTTTTTTCAGAGTGACATGGAATTTCTTGGAAACCGTTCTCGAATGACTCTATCAAAACCGTACAACAACCAGAAAAAAGCGATTTTCCGTTCACATAACTCCCGCCGTGGAAAATGGACGTGATGCGTGGCAAACTGAAGAAATGGTAGAAGAAAATCAAGAATATTAGTTTGTCTTTTTTCGGTGGAAAAATGCGAAAATTGATCATTTTCTTCACGCTCTTATCGATTTCTCTATCGGATAAATTGAGTGCGTCGCTGGACGAAAAACGAGCCGAAATATGCGGAAGACGTCGGTTTTTTTTCGGATAAACTTTCACAAATTTCCTCTATTTTCAGCGCTCAAACCCCACAAAGCACCATGGGCGGTGCGCGTCATCGATAATGTGAATGTGTATTATTCGGCGATTCTGATTTCACAACGACACGTGATAACGGTCCCTTACCAAGTTATGCATTCCAAGAACGGCACTCAGAACAAAATATGGATATGGTCGGATGGGAAGGAAGTGAACTTTGAGAAATGCAAAGACAAGTAAGATTTGATGCCACTTTTTTTCCTAAATGTTCTGCACGTCTTCAAAGTGATACACAGACAATTTCAGTGTGATGGAACTGCCGAAAGCGATGCTTAAAAGACTAGTGGGATCGCTGAGCACGTGCAAAGACCCGGACGTGTGCGGCACCTCAATCGAGCGCAAGATCCGTGCGGGGTGGTACATTGGAAGTTGCGAGCCGGGCCTGCATCCGTTCGGATTCCTCCTCCTCGAGATGACGTCGAACGTGGCCGACGACCCGTACTTTGTGCCCGCCTGTCTGCCGGCCGACAAGACGGTCCCATCGGAAAGCGGAACCGCCGAACTGCACGCGACCGCCGACCCGACCGATGGTCACAAACCGGCACTCATAAAGGCCGTGCCGGTCAAACTGATCAAGTGTCCCCACTGGAAGTTTGACAGTCAAATCTGTGCGAACGTCACCGTCTGCAACGGAGACCCGGGTGGTGGTATCGTCAAGAAAATCGACGGAGCGGATACAGTGATCGGCATTCTGCTCGATCATCCGGGAGAATGTAAAGCCGACACCGCAGGCATCGTCTCCATGGCATACTTTAAGGATAAACTGTGCGAACTCGCCGGCATTTGCAAAGCGTGAGTGGGCGGAGCTGATTGGGGAGATGATTCTTTCGAGGGTTTCAGGAAGATTAACGTAGAATCGAATGGCGGAGGGAGCACGATCAAAGTGCCATTAATCTCTGTGATTGCTCTCATGATGATGTTCTGAATGAAGTTTTTTCGCCGAAAGTTCCCGTCAGTTTTTGTATGTTTTGAGCGCCAGAACAGTGATCGCAATTGGTCGCATCTTGGGAAGAAATAAAGAGGAGCATAGTGTGAATCCGAAACAAGTACAGCCCGTTTTTATTAAGAAGAGACAAAAAGTGCAGTAACGAGAAGAGTCTGATCGCTCGCTTTACATCATTTTTTTGTGTCGTGGTGACATGTTTTCGAGTGGAAGTGTCGTTTCATCAAGACACGTGACTGTGAAACCATAAAACCGTATTTCAGCAATGGTTCAGAATAGCGGAAACCTCATACTACACAACCGGATTCCTCATTTCGTCGCGTCACGCAATTGGTGATTGGAGTTCTGTTCTCTCGGACAAGCGCCAGCGGACAGGACAAAATGGAAGTGCCTGAAAATGTCGTCGACGCCATCCAAATCGGTCCGTGCGGCGGCGACTATGACATCCAGTCCATGGTCAAAAACGGCAGGAAAGCGACGTAATTGGGAAGTTGCGATTCGGCGCTGCGGAGCTAGAAACGTCAGCGAAAGGTGGAACGCCTCTCTCGAAGACTGTTGATGCGAAGGCGTACGCGGTTGCATCTCTGCTTTTCGGTACCCGGACGCTCAATATTCGTACATTTGATCGTGACGTTTCAGGGGCAAATGCGACGACAGCAAAGAAATGATGAGACAGGTGTCGATCGGCGATTTCTACGAGGACATTTGCGAGCTGACGGGGATCTGTGAACCGATACCGAAACCGGCGCCGCAGAAGAATCCGGAGGAGAGCAAGAAGTCGGCTGGTGGTGGAGGAGGAAGAGGCGATAAAGAGCAGAAGGAGGCTGGAAGTGGGGAGAGGGAAGCGGCGAATTCGACGGTCGACGGAGCGATCGGATCGGGTCTTCATGTGACAGCCATCACTCTTCACGTTACTGCACTTTTCGTCTCTTCTCACTGTCTCCCCTTCGGCGAAAAAAATTTTCGCGTGCTTTCTGCGTGCGGCTCTCAGTGTCGATTTACGGGAGACGGTTTTTCAACTGAAAACACTGTTTTCCCGAGTTTTTGGGATTATGCACACTTTTCCTTCAAAACTTTTGCCTCACGTTTGTTTATATGACCGATAGCTACAAAATGATCACAGAGTGCTCGTGTAAAAGTGAAAATTCGAAGAGTAATTTCGTTTTTTAAAATTTGGCTTGAAAAAACAAACTTTCGGAATTTTTGAGAAAACAGTTGACAGAATCAAAAAACAGTTGCCTCACGATTGTTCTGCAGACAAATCCGGTCATTTTGAGCACCCATTAAATTCAAAAATTACTGAGAATTTTCAGTTTTCGAGGATCCGGGCTGAAATTCACAGAAAAGTGCAATAATGCGCGCTTTCTTGTGGGCAAAACGCTAATTTAAGGTCACAGCTTCAATTAACAATTCGGAAATTCTCTGTTTTACTTTATTTTTCTCATTTTCAAATGAAATTTCGGGGTTTAGGAAAAAAATCCAGAAATTTCATACCTGCTTTTGTTTTCAAGGACACTCCGTTTTAACGCGGCGCTCAATTTAGCAATAGCTGTTGAGGAGACAGTGCTTCTGAATAGAAACGTGTTATACTTGTTTCGGATTCACACTATGCTCCTCTTTATTTCTTTCCAAGATGCGACCAATTGCGATCACTGTTCTGGCGCTCATCGCTAATTCGATATATTGTCGAAAACTAACCGATTCGGAAAACGTTGACAGACTTGAAACGTGCGGAAGACAGCAACCAGGTGAGACTTTTGGAGTTGCGGTGTTTGCGTACTTTACATCAGATGCGACGACAACTCCCTGGATGGCCTCGATTCACTTCGAAGTGCTCGGCACCGGGTCGGCGTTCGTCAGCGCAAGTGTCGTGTCGAAGAGACACGTGCTCACCGACAGTTCGCTCGTTTTCAATTGGGATCCCAACATGGACGGCTCCTTCCTCCACTATTTCGACAGATCCGCAGCGAATTTGAGCGCTTGTGAGAATTCGTGAGTTCAAAAGACGAGTTGGGAGCGGAGAAAAGTTGTTTTTCAGAACGATGCAAATCCCGGATCGAATTGTCAAGAGCTGGACGATCACCGTCTTCTCCGAGCAGAAATTCCACGGCCGGAACGCGTCACGGGCGGTTTACATCGGAAACTGCATGCGGAACTTGCCGAGCTTCGGTCTGATTCTGATCGAGACCGAGCTCGAAATCGATGCGAGCACCGCTGTTCCGATTTGTGTTCCGCGTGCGTTACACAACGTTAGTCTGTTCGAAACAAGCGTTTTTTTTCTTTTTTCAGATAAGTCAATAGCATTCCTGAACGAAACTGTCGAGTATTTCGGATTGGAAAGCACAAAGCACTACCCGCGTCAGAATTGGAGTGAAAGCATCAAAGTGAACACTGTGAAAGCTGTTGTAAGTTTGCAAACATCGAAATATGTACTAACAAGCAGAGTTGAGCGGAAGAACTCAACGGAAGAAGACGGAAGAATTTTTATCTTTTTTTGAAATTTTTTTCATGAAATGTGATCAACTGACGAAATGTAAAGCAAAGTGAACTGTGCTCATAGAAAAATAATTGTAAATTTAGCTTTTTATACAAAAAAGTTATTCGAGTTGTTCCGTGAAAAAAGGAGGGCTAACGGAAGACGGAACGAATAACTTTTTTGTATGAAAAGCTAAATTTACAATTATTTTTCTATGAGCACAGTTCACTTTGCTATACATTTCGTCAGTTGATCACATTTCATGAAAAAATTTTCTAAAAAAGATAAAAATTCTTCCGTTGAGTTATTCCACTCAACTCTGCTAACTAGGCGCTTTCAGATCAAGAAATGTGAAGTTGATAAGTGGTTCAACGACATTTCGGTTTGTATCTCAAACCAAGAGTGCTTGAACGATCTGGGCGGTCCGTTTGTGAAGCGAATCGATGGAGTCGCCCATGCTCTCGCTGTTTCTCATTATTGTGAGTCGGGCTACTGCGCTCTAATGCAAAAAAAACATTGATGGAATTGTTGCAGCATTCTGCCAGAATTCAACCGACGAATGGATTGACAGACAGCTGTCAGTGGAAGCATTTTCTTCGGAAATTTGCGCATTTTCGGGCGTGTGTCCATATCAGGTGCCTCCGATTTCGGGCCCACTGGAAACATCTTCGAGCACGACGGAAGTTGGAGAAGAAGCAGAAGAAGAAGGAGAAGAAAAGGAACATGATCAGGTTCTAAATCAAGTGGAAGTGGAGTATTACGATGAGACGTCGGCGGGAAGGAAATGGATCGGAATTGAGACACTTGTGATTCTGATCGTGTCTCTTTTTGACAGCATAACTCGAGAATAAAGCATTTTGAGAGAAAATGATCAATTATAAATTTGTAGAGCACAAAATTTGCAACAACTTTTCAGCTGACACCTTTTTCGAACAATCATTGGTGCGCCCTTCCGATCTATGATTTCTGGCATCCGAGCATCAAGAAATACGTGCGGGCAAAGAGACGAGTATCCTGTGATCCTGACCTCAAACCGTACACATTTCTCGAAAATCGAACATGGAGGATCGTTGAGGAGAGGAGAGGGACCAACGTTCGGCAAGGTAAATGATAATGAGTTTTTTTTTTTAAATATAGCATTCCTATTCGCGATTCGCAGACAACAAATGTTTCCGGACCAGCTAGAACCGCGCTTTTAGATTAGAACGATTAGAACAAAAGTGTAGAAAGGGGGCGTGGCCTAATCTGAGACGCTTTTTCTGAAAATTGCCGCAATTTCAGCACTTTTCCGATATTTTTGTGTGTTTGATATCGACGAAAGAAGAGACATTAAAGAGAGAAAACATTGAAATTTTCGTGAAAACGCCGCGTTCGAGGCGTTTTTGGCATATTTCGCAATTCGGGAATTTTCATACCGGCCGATGTGGATAGTTTTGAGACGAAGTGAGTGTCGGAAGTGATTAAGCACGTTAATACAAGTATTTTAAGCGTTCAAACGGCAAAAAGTATCGGCGAATGACTGAAATTCGCGCATTTTCAGCAAAAAAATTAAAATCGATTCAATTGATTCATTTCAAAATGAAACGTGCTCGTTTTAAGCTCAAAAAGTGCGCGATGATTAGTTTAACAAAATTATGCAATTACATCGTCGAAATCGTACAAAATTTTGGTAATTTTTGACGAAAAACATGAAAAATGTGGTTAAATGTCAAAATTCGCGCCAAAAATGGTGCTAAAACGGTGCACGCTAGGCCCCACGCCCCTTTCTACGTTTTTGGTCGCCGTGGCGCGCTTTTCTTGTCAGTCCAACTCTCTGGATTTCTAGGCGTTTGTCACAGGCTTGCAAATCGTCTCAACCCCCAACTTTCAAATTGGGTTTGCTGTCAACCTCTTCTACCTTTCAAACCTGGACGCAACCCAATTTCCCCAACCTAAGCACCGTCGCCACACACTCATCTCTCGTTCGTTTGATCTCTCCCGACCGTGGTCGGCACTCTTTCGGTCCCTGCTCGCTCCCCTCTTTTATTCGTCATCGTTTGTACAATACGTTGGCCTCAAAAAGGAGGAAAAAGAACAATGCCGAATGTTTTGGCTAGCCGCCGACATATATGCGCTTGTTTTGTGACAGAAGCTGAGACACAGACTGTGAGAACGGCGAGGAATGGGAATGTATGTAACAAATCGGAAGGTACCGCATAGATCTTGTAACTTACCGACCATGTACCCTTATTGGAATTGGGATTTGGACGCTTGCATCGTGGAGCGGTTAGGGCAGAAGAGTTCAGTGAAACTGGACGTTCAGGTTCTGCAAGTCTTAAAAGCAAGCATCATTTATAGGTTCCCTGATAGTAAGCTCACTGTCTCGCCAACAGCTAATGCTAAATTGAGGGCCGCGTTAAAACGGAGTGTCGTTGAAATTTCTGGATTTTTTTTTCCGAAAACCCGAAATTTCATCCGAAAATGAGAAAAATAAAGTAGAACAGAGAATTTCCGAATTGTTAACGACAGCTGTGACCTAAAATTAACGTTTTGCCCACAAGAAAGCGCGCATTATTGCACTTTTCTGTGAATTTCAGTCCGGCGCCTCAAAAACTGAAATTTCTAAGTCATTTTTGCATTTTATGGGCCGTCTCTTGGCTCAAAACGACCGCATTTGTCTGCTGAACAATCTTGAGGCAACTGTTTTTTGATTCTGTCAACTGTTTTCTCAAAACTTGCGTTTTTTAAAGCTAAATTTAAAAAACGAAATTACTCTTCGAATTTTCATTTTTACACGAGCACTCTGTGTGATCATTTTGTAGCTATCGGTCATATGAACAAACGTGAGGCAAAAGTTTTGAAGGAAAACTGTGTATAATACCAAAAACTCGGGAAAACAGTGTTTTCAGTTGAAAACCCGTCTCCCGTAAATCGACACTGAGAGCCGCACGCAAAAAAGCGCGCGAAATTTTTTTTCGCCGAACGGGAGACAGTTAATGCCTTCAGTCTGATCTGGAAGTGAAGTGCCTTGTCTACAAATCGTTTTGCTCTTTGGATCGCCACATTTTCTCCAAAGTTTCTAAAAGCAGAGGTGAAGGTCGCCCCCCATTTCCATTTCGATTCAAATGCTGACCACACGGCGCCTCGCTTTCCCATTAGCACTTGCACTTTCGCACTCCATAACCCAAGATCGTTAGCGCGTTTTTTTTTTGTGAATGAGTGAAAGAGTGAATGGCAGTTCGAAAGAGCGATAATAGTGGAAAAAGGGGGCAGGTGCGGAATTTGAATGAAATGCGAAAGTTTACGGTATTCTATTATAGCATCGGAATCTAGCTTCTGGAATTATGTTGTACACGTTCAAGCCAATATATCGCAGCTGTCTTTGAAGATATAAAAACGTTGTCAATTGATAAAATGTACAAAATTTCCTAGCGAACATTTTCAGTAGTTATGGGGTTATTCAGGCTGTGAAAAAATGATTGTTTTCCGTGTTTTTTTACGTCAAAAAATTCAATTCAGCGATGTAAAAAAACAAAAAAAACGGAAAACAAACAAACGCTGAATAGCCCCATTAACAATTTTTTTAAATCTCTATCAGTAGCTGAAACCCCCCAAATCGCACAAGTGATCATACTAATTCGCTTTCCCCGCGAAACTTCTCCATCCCTATGTCAGTTCAAAACCAGAACCTTCCTCTTCTTCTTCTTCTTCTTCTTCTTCTTCCTCCGATCGGGGTCATTCCCGAGACTTTCTCCTCTTCCTCGCATGTTTCTGGTGGATTAATTCATGATGATCCGACGAGAACCAATTGAACGTTGGGGGGAGAAAGAAAGAGGAAGAAAACAGGCGTGTCAAGTGTTTCTCTTTCTTTGAAGCGAAACGGATCGAATTATGATCGATCTTCTAATTCTAATACAATCCTGATCGTTGTGATCCGCGAGAGCTCTTCTCTTCACGAGAATGAAGAATTATAGTGTTTGTGATCTCCTGAAACTCCTGGAACACGGCGGGACCAAGAGTGTAGAAAGGGGGCGTGGCCTAATCTGAGACGCGTTTTCTGAAAATTGCCGCAATTCCAGCACTTTTTCGATGATTTTGTGTTTGATATCGACGAAAGAAGAGACATTAAAGAGAGAAAACATTGAAATGTTCGTGAAAACGCCGCGTTTGAGACGTTTTTGGCATATTTCGCAATTCGGGAATTTTCATACCGGCCGATGTGGATAGTTTTGAGACGAAGTGAGTGTCGGAAGTGATTAAGCACGTTAATACAAGTATTTTAAGCGTTGAAACGGCAAAAAGTGTCGGCGAATGACTGAAATTCGCGCATTTTCAGCACAAAACTTGAAAATCGCATCAATTGATTCATTTCTGAATGAAACCTGCTCGTTTTAAGCAGACTTGCCAAATCCCGGGCCGGAAGTTAGACCTCAAAAAAATATGCAAAAAAAAATATGAAGGAAGAGGAAAACGCGTGCGGCAAAATTGCTAAAATGGCGTGCCAGAGTTGCAATCAATCGCTCCGCCCACTCTTGAGAAAATTTTCGTAATTTTTGTGAAAATTTTGCGACTTTAAACAGCAATTTCTATTTTTTAACAGGTTTTTATGCTATAACATTGCCTTTTTCGTCTTTTTTTTTCTATTTCTGCTGGTTTTTACAATGAATCTTCGAAATTGAAGCAAAGCGAATTTTTAGGTGCATCCTCCCGGATAATTTCCAATTTTGGCCCGGCCCGGCCCGGCCTGTTGCAAGTCTGGTTTTAAGCTCAAAAAGTGCGCGATGATTAGCTTAACAAAGTTATGCAATTACATCGTCTCAATCGTACAAAATTTGGGTAATTTTTGACGAAAAACATGAAAAATGGGGATAAATGTCGAATTTCGCGCCAAAATAGTGATAAACCTTGCACGCTAGGCCCCACGCCCTTTTCTACGTTTTTGGTCGCCGTGAATTGAATATGAATATTGGCTAGGTTTACACCATGGCTCAAACTAGTCCCAAATGGAACTGATCTCCTAGCCTCCTGGCGCCTTGTGTTCTATTTTAGATGCTACAGTAATTCTGCAAGGTCCATCGCCATACATATGGTGCATTCCTCTTTGATTCATGACCCCATCTCCTCGCCGTCCCCCCCCATCAGAAGTTTGTATAAAAACGGGGTGAAAAGTGTCTGGGACGCCTGTTGTCCGTCTCTCTCTCTTTCTTTCCGACGGTGCACATCACAGCCGCACCATCATAAAATATTACACCCCTTGCTTCCTTTCTTCCCTCTCTTCCTCTCTCTCTCTCTCTCTGTTTCTCTTCACGGGCGGTATCCTGTCGTGTCCGCCCGTCTCCCCGCTATTTCGTCGTTGTGCACAGCAGCAGCAGCAGCCGCCCGCTCTGAGCAGGAGCCCGCCGGCCGATCGGACGGCTCTTCTTTGACGTGGCAACGATCGGCCCCGACCGGAGGAACTGGTGTGCTCAGCACACACACACACACACAGGAGCAGAAGAAGAGCGCAGAAAAAACGGATGGCGGATGGGGAGAAAAGCCGAGACGCATTGAGACAATTGCTCAAGAACAGTGTATCGGCTATTTTCCGCATTTCATGTTCACAGGAGCCTAGACGCTTTTTCACACTGAAAACATTTGAAGGGCTTGAAGATTGTAGAACATTCTGGAGCAAAAATTGTCCGTACCAAAAAGCGTCTGAAAGTCTGAAATCACTAGATTCTTTGAGGTTTCCACGGGTGATCTGGACAATTCAATCCCCAGGTTTTGTTTTAAGAAACTACTGAAGAGCGCTGACACAGAAAAACATTAGATTGGTCCAAGAAGCCTTCTAGAAACAGTTTTTTTTTTTAAATTGTAATGCAGAGGATCCTTTAACGCTGTAAAAAAGCCTGGAACCTTCTAAAAGTGTTTATGCATACGGTACCAGCTCATTTCAAGAATAAGAATCCATTGCAATGAAACTTTGGTACTGGCAAAGGTGTTTCGGACATGAGGATGTTCTAGAAGCTTCATTTCTAGTCTGGCACCCATTCTTTCAGTTCACGAGTTGCTTCATACTTTCTAATTGAATTTTGGGCCTAGCACTCCTGAAACAACGTTTTGAAGAACACTCACCTGCCTCATAGTTTCAGTTTGAAAATAGTTCGCCGTCATCTTGTGAAAGATGGGAGGGACACACCGTTCTACATACTTCTTTACATTCCATAGCTATGTAGATGATAGTATGGGCATGCATAGAAGTATGCAGCTCGGCACGGCGCAGAGGAGCAGTACTGTAGTCGAATAGTGGTTGAATAGTAGCGATTGGGGGGCTGGTTTTCTGTCAAAAGGCGCTATTGCATTGGTGCTAGACGCTTTAAGAAGGTTCCGTTGCAAAAAGAAGGCTTCCGAAACGATGCCTATGGTTCTGAGAGTCTGGCACGGCGAACAATTTGTTCTTCTCGAAACGACGAAGAGGGTGCGGTAGGAGGAGTTGACCTAAGGTGCGCTGAGCAAATATTTCTGTGCACACACACTCACAGTACACACACTCTCTTCTTCTTCTTCTTCTTTCTCTTCTTTCTTCGCTTTTCTAAGCCTAAATATATTTAAAAAGAGCGACAGAGAGAGGGAGAGGGAGAGGGAGAGAGAGAGAGAGAAGGAGAAGTTTGGGTGAGCGTCGGTCGGTCGGTCCGACTGGTTGAGTGAAGTGTTGGTGGTGTCCACCGGGCACCTCGTCCCAGGCTCCGCCCCTTTCTATCCACACCAAGCTCCGCCCACTTTTTCTCTTTCTTTCTTTCTAGAGAGAGAGAGAGAGAGAGAGAAGAAGAAGGAGGAGGCGTTGGGGGTGTACAGTGGAGAGTAGGAAAGAGAGAAAGAGAGATGAGAAGTGAGGACTACTGTAATAGAGTTGGGGGTCCGGGCGAGAAAGAGAGAGATGTTCGAATGAAATGGGATATTATCCAGCCCACACACACACACACACACGAGCGCTGGAGCAAAAAGTGCAAAATAAAAGTGTGTAAAGTTCAAGAATCCGCAAGGAACTTTGGGACGCGAAAAGCGGGAAAGTGAAAGGTTCGGTGGGAAACGCCTGTAATAACAATAATAGCTGCCGGAATGTGTACCGGTTTTACAGTCAAAAAACAACGAAAACGTTTCAGCCTACGAATGTGTCATTCTGATGTACGCATATACATTCAGAGTAGCAATTGACGTTCGGCTGAAAAAAATTTAAATTCTTGTCGGAGGGGGGGGGGGGGTCTAGTCTAGAGTTGAGCGGAAATGGAATTTTGAAATCCGGAAGACGGAACAAAAAAAATCGTCAATGCAGAACCTTTTTCTCCGGTTTTTTTTAATAACTAAAGCAACAAAAATTGCCCGTGGAAATTCGCGTTCTTCGGGGCTAGTAAATGGCTTCTGAAAAGCGATTACTTTTTTACGGTAAGAAGAAAAAATCCCGGAAGACGGAAAACGGAATTCCGCTCAACACTGGTCTAGACTGGCATACTTTGAGATTGTCTTCTCACAAAACGGACAAATAGGATCAGTCTAGAGCTCCATGCTCTGAAATTATGATAGGAAAGTTGCTTTCCTTTTGCAGTTTCTCTTGCCCAACCTATTAGATACTCAACTAGACCGGCTTCTATGCCCTTGGCGGCCTAGACCTATTTCCCAGACTTGCAACGGGCCGGGCCGGGCCGGGCCGGGCCAAAATTGGAAATTTTCCGGCCCGGGAGGATGCACCTAAAAATTCAAAGCGAACTAGAACTTCGAAACGAACATAATTTTATAGACTTAAAATTTTATAGACTTAAAAAGGCAATGTTATAGCATAAAAACCTGTTAAAAAATAGAAATTGCTGTTTAAAGTCGCAAAATTTTCACAAAAATTACGAAAATTTTCTCAAGAGTGGGCGGAGCGATTGATTGCAACTCTGGCACGCCATTTTAGCAATTTTGCCGCACGCGTTTTCCTCTTCCTTCATATTTTTTTTTGCATATTTTTTTTGAGGTCTAGCTTCCGGGCCGGCCCGGGATTTGGCAAGTCTGCTATTTCCAGGCTTTCTAGGCCATCATCTCAAGTTTCGTGATCGTTGATGCGAAGTGAGAAAGAAGAGATGAACGCCCTCTCGCCCGCAATCGATTCTCTCCGCTTCCGAACGTGTTTTCCCCTTCCGTGCTCTGATTTCTTTCGCGTCTCGGCGGGAGCTTCTCTTTCTCCCGGGGGCGCTTTCTCTCTCGCTCTCACTCTTTGAAGAATCTGTGAACTTTCACTCTCTCTCTCTCTCTCTCTCTCTCTTTCTTCGTGGAGGAGTGGTGGCACTCGAGAAGGAGCAGAAGAGAGAGAGAGAGAGGGAGAAAGAGGTGTAATAGGAAAAGAGAGAGAGAAAGAGCTCCTTCTCTCTCTCTCTTATTTTACAGTCCTCCCACACTGTGGAGACGCAGATCCTGCCGAGACGAGAGAGAATGCGATCCGAGGCGAGTGCCGACAACAAGGTTCTTGGCGGGAAAGAGCCCGTTGAGCAGGAAGCAAGAAGGAGTTTTTTGCAGGAGAGGGAGAAGAAGAAGGCGAAGACGAAGTGTGGGAGGATGGGGGTGTCTGGGCAGATTAGAAAGTTGTGGGCTTTCGAGGAGCACAAGGACACAACCATCCGGGCACTTTTTCGAGCTATAACAAGAGTTGGTGTGAACATTTGCGATGGAAAAACGGGGAAACGTTAAAAGCCAACGGAGATATTGTTGATTTGAAGAAATACGTCTTTTTGGAAACCGCAAAAAATGTTCGTGAACTTTCCCTCCATTTCCCCCCAAAAAAACCCCCGATTAACTCTCATTCCTACTATTATTATTTGTTTCCGATCTCTCGAATTCATTGAAAAAGCCTGAAATATGACGGGTTGTACCAATTGGAGGTAATTTCTAGTTGTCTTACTGTTTTCAGATGGCCTCCAATTTTTGCAGTCCTCTAATCAGTGAATGCGAGACGTTCATCGCCGCGTCCGCGAGTTTCGATCGATTTTTGAAGAAGGCGGACGGAGCGAAAAAATCGACAGATTCCGAAGATGACGTGGCGCCCAAATCCATCATTTTCCAGGCCGGAACTCCCGTCGATCGGACGCAGTGTGAGGGAAAATCTGAAAATGATACGCTGTGGAATCCCTGGACTTTTGACCCACTTGCCATGATCCGATCGGGTCCGAACATTATTACAGGCTTCTTGGACTCGGATGGAAGTTGCAAGTGGCTCAAAAGCCTGGGCCGGCCTTTTGCCCCGCTCTGTTGATTCTGAACGAGTTCCAGCTCTGGAAGATTTGCGGATTTTCGTCGAAAACCTGGACAAATCGTCGACGAGTCGCAAAAAGATTAGGAAAATGAAGTGGAGAAGGCAGGGCACGTGTCTCGGAATGATCACTCAGAAACAGGCCGAAAAGGTTGGCAACTTTTCGCGAAAATTACTGACAAAACACTGTTTCAAAAATCTCTAATACCGCGTCCAATGTCTCGGAAAAACCGTAAAAACCGCAGATTTTTCTGTCCAAAGTCGGCCGAAATTTGCGTGAAAAACGGGGTGTGCACAGCTCAATGAGTGTAACCGTACCCCTAAAACTACGGTATTTTTTGAAAATTTGTTAATTTCTTGAGGTTATTTGAAAATATTCAAATTTCTTGCGCAAATTTTCAAAAAATACCGTAGTTTTAGGGGTACGGTTACACTCATTGAGCTGTGCGCACCCCCGTTTTTCACGCAAATTTCGGCCGACTTTGGACAGAAAAACCTGCGGTTTTTACGGTTTTTCCGAGACATTGGACGCGGCATAAATGCTCGGAAAACGACCAAGAGTACAGTGATTTCTAACCTGTGATGTTACGTGTCTATTTGACTTTGTGCCTCCAAGATATCCACCCGATCCGATTCTGATCCAACAATTGCGTCAATCCAAATATCGAATGACCCCCCCCCCCCTCTCGAACCGAATAACTATTGCGCAAGTTTCTGAGAGAGTAAACTGATCTTATAAGAGAATTTACTCTCAAAATTTGAATTGTAAGTTCTGAAGACCGTGTATAGAATTGAAAAGAAAAACCAATTTGTTTTGTTAACTACCGTAATCTTCGGGGGCTTTTCTTGGAAAAAGAGTCAATTGGTCACAAAGAGAAGAGTGTTGGTTCAGAACAAATTTGCATAGTTGTTGAGATCAGAAGGGAAAGGTCAATAAATGTAGAGGAAACAAGAAGAAGAAGGAGAAGAAGAAGGAGAAGGAGAGGACTAATAAGGACAAGAAGAACGAGTATTTTCAGCAGGATAATACTTATTGGAGAGGGATAATTTTGCGAACATTTTTGTGATTTTTTGAAACTGAAATTGTGAAAATGTTTGAATCGATTCGAAGCGGCTAATCCGCAGAGCAATTTTCGCGTTAAGCTTGCGACAATTTCGTGCTGCGCCTTTAAACAGCTACCGTAATCTTCGCACTTGTGAGTCTAGAATAGCATACGAAATTTGCGAATTCCTGAACGATTTTTGCACTCAAATAGCGAAAATACAATGGAATTCGATAGGAAAAATGTTTTTTTAGTCTAGACCTCATTTTGTGTCCTTTTTGTTCATTCCGGAATGATTTTCATGTCGGCGAAATTAAAAATGAATGTAAATAGTCAATTTCGTATGCGTCTTGTCGTTTGAGCGCTCAAAAGACGCGCAATCGGCTCTTTTCGACAACTCAAAAATCATTTTTGCAGGAAGTGCGTGGCCGTGGCCAATTTGTGACCTACTACCGTATTCCGGACGCTTTCCACCCTCAAATGGGCATTCCGATCGACTGCTCCGTCACTCTTCAGCTCGTCATTTGCTATCTCGACACTCGTCACTGTTACAGGTGCTTTTTCCGAAAGAAATCACAATTGCTCTTTTCAAACGACGTTTTATTGGCTCAGTAATTCTATGGCGTGCTCGCAAAAAGATGTTAATTATAAACGCGCTAAAAGTGACAAATTGAAAACTTGGCCTAGAAACCGATGGAGTTTTCTAGGCCATGTCCGTCAAAATGCCTGTTTTTTTCAGACTTGCCAAATTACGGGCCGGGCCGGGCCGAAAATTTGCTGGCCCGGCCCGGTCGGCCCGGCTCAAAAGGCGCGAATTCAAATTTTTGGGGGAAATCTATTTTTTCGTTTTTTTTTGCGGGGTTCAAAATTAAAACTTTTGCTTTGATGCCAATAAAAACTATTTTTGAGAACTACATTTCTTTTTTATGCTCGATACTTGCAAAATTCGTTAGTTCTACGAAAAACAAACATTTTATTTAATCAATAGTTCAAAATTTGGATTCCCGCTTTTTGAACCGGGCCGACCGGGCCGGGCCGGGCCGGGCCAGAGTTTTGAAAATTTCGGCCCGGCCCGGCGCGTGGCAACTCTGGTTTTTTTCGCAGTCACTATCCAATCAACAAGATCACTTCGCCGTCGGCTCAAATTTTCTACCAACTCGGTTTTTCGGACGGTCAAAAGTGCGCGAATGAGCCGATTTTTTTCACCATCAAAAATTTGATCAAGCACTATACGTTAGTCGTTTTTCGCGAATATTCTCGAGATTTTCTCACTGTTTTCAGTCAATTCGGCTACGTCGATTCGTTCACTTCTGCCGGCGGAATTCGCGTCGAAATTTTTCCGAAATAAACATTTTGTTTTGCTTTCTTTTAACAGAACATCGATATAAATTTGGGTCAAGAACATTGGTTCGGTCAATTTTTCGCTCTAAAACATGCTGTAATTCATTACATTTTTGAGAATAAATCAGGGCAAAAAATGATGGAAAACAAGAGAAAAAGCACCCGTTCAGGTAACAAAAAGAAACGAGGAACAGAAAAACAGAACTAGCCTATGAAAAATGGGGAAAAAATGGGGAACAATCTATGGAAATACGTGGGAAAGATCTGGTGGAAACAGTCTATTTTTAATCGATATTAGACGGCGAGAGGGCTCTCCTGCATGTGCACTTCCAAAAGTTTCCACGCAGTCGCCGGATTGTACTCTTCGACGTCGCGGCAAAGCACCCACACATGGCCGATTTTTTTCGGATTCTCCTGAAAAATAAGAAAATGCATTGGAAAACAGTGTTTGCTATAATTTGAATTAATCTTTTTCCTCTGGGCCCTGGCCTATAGACTTTTCCCCGGCTTCCGGAAGTTTCGATGAGAGAGTGGTCCCATAATGGCCAAATGTGTGAATAAACGAAAAAAGAAGAGAGAAATAGTGTGTGATACGCGGATTGCCATAGCTACCGTAATACGGTTCAATCGATGAGGTTACTGTAGGTACAGTACTCCTAAGACTCTTCATATTCATCCACTGCAGTTTGACATGGATTCTAAAAAAAAAGGGGGCGTACCGCATCTCCTTCGACCACTTTTCCCTCTGCATTTTTCGTCACGTTGATCATGTAGGCCTGGAAGGAAATGATGAGCACGGGGCCCTGCTCCATCATTTTGCCCGTTAACATTTCCACCCGGTGAATGTCGATGATTCGCGAGTCTTTTGTGCTAAAATGCATCTTTTGGTACTCTTTTACCACTGTCGCCATTTGAGTGTACGCCTGCAAAATTTAGGAGGTGTTTAGTCCGGCTTATTAAAAAAAATTTGTTCACTCACTCTCTCGTGACACCAGGATTGAAGAACTTCGAGATCGAATCGAATAAATGCTTCCAGAATATTGGGAATAATCTGAAAACAACTCTAACAATTCTAAAAACCCCTGAAAAATCGATACCTTGGTCTCGCAGAATTTCAGCCATTCTTGTTTGTCGAAATTCGCATCGATTTTATGAATTTCCGTCAAAACTTCCGAAAGTTCGCTTTGGCCAGCTGGAAAATGTGGGGAAATTCAGAAAAAATAAGGGGGCAAATTGCATACAAAACACGGATCCGATTTTTTCGGTGACTCCTCTCATCAGCCGCACCGCCACGTTGTCCGACTCTTCGTATTTGATTTTCCAGTCGAGCAGCTCTGCAAAAAAATTTTTTGTAAAGGAAAAAGTGTTTTTCCCTCATTTTCTCTGCCACTTTTAGTCAAAATGCAAAAAAATTCAAAATGTTCCCCTAAAAACGAACTGTGATAATATGCATTCGATTCGGAGAAATTCTTCCATCCCGAGTACCATTTCGAGTCTTTGTGCAGTGTCACATCTGTTGCCGAGCTGCAATTGAAAAATTTGTCGAAAAAGTTAAACGAAAAACGCGTACTCATTGGCCTCAACGACGCGATCCTTTTCCAAATCGAATCCGTCAGTTCGTTTTGTCAACGTTTCTGGAAACAGTTATTTGTTCTAATTTGAGAAAAAGAAATCAGCAAGATCTGTAAGAGACCTCTTCGTTTCGCAACGTGATGTGCCACAACCGCTGGGACATATTTTTGAGAGAAATGTGCCAATTTTATGGCATAACGGTTGCATTCCGTTACACTGGCGAAACGTATCGGTTGCCAAGCTTGTTTCACAGTGGCGAAACGTAACGGTTGAGAAAAATCACGTTGAAAACTGTGCCGCTTTCGCGCGACGCCCATCTTTGATTTGGAAACTTTTTTTTTTAATCAGGCCTGTGCTTGAAGCAGAGAAAAAATCTGGGGGGCAAGAGAAATACTGTCTACCGTTTGCGCCTCTCTGTTCTACCGCGCAAATGGTATTTCCCTCGCCCCCAGATTTTTTGTCATCGTTTTCTCAGGCAACGGGAAGCAGATCGCTTGCCCAGGCCTGTTAAAAAAGCAAGGCAAAATTCAAATTTACCCGGTCTGCTGTACATTCGGACGTCGGCAATATTGTCAATCTCGTCTTTTACCGTTTTCATCGACTAAAGATTTTTCTTCAATTTCTTTATGACAAGAACATTGTATTTTATTACCGTAGAAACATGCTTGTACACTTCGGTATCTCCGACCTTCTCCGCCACTTTTTCCACGTTTTCGGCCGCTTTTCGGGCCTGTTTCAGTGCTTCCGCGCCCGCTTCCGTCATCTTCCTTCCGGCTTCCGTTTTTTGAATCTCGTGCACCATCTGCAATTTTTTCTGGCTAAAAAATTAATAAAAAATCCCAAAAATGTTCTAGAGCATTCCTCACTTTCTTCATGTGATCACTGAGCTCCTCAATCTTCTGTTTGACGACTTCCGACGATTTCAGAGTCTCTTTTTCGACGAGCTCCTGCAAAAATTCATTTTGCTCAACATTTCCTCCAAAAATCGTCCTTTTACTCACAAATTTTTTGCGAGCGTCTTTCAGCGCGTCCGACTCGTTCAGCTCTTGCATTCGGGCTTTCAGCTGCTGTTGGTGCTCCTAAAAATTAAAAATATAGCTTTTTCAGTCAAAAAATTGATTTCTCGTTTTCCAACCTGCAAGTCCTTGTTTTTCTGCATCTCATCCCGCACATTATCTAACAAATTGTTCAAGAATCCTCGTTTCGGCGCCGGATTGCTATATTCTGCAATTTTTCTGTGAATTTTGAGCAAAACTTTCGAAAACAAAACCTCTGAAAGTGAGTGAAACTGGCTGAAATTGTAGTCGAACGCGAGTTAACCGTAATCCATTCCCACAAACTCGTGACAACATCTGAAAGCAGTGCAAAAGTGGAAAATTGCAAAAATCCAATGAAAAACGTCAAAAAAGCCGTCCAAAATTTTGGTACGACACTCCGAAATTCCGCCGATAACATGATGCAATTCGCGTCAAAAATGTTCAAAAAATCACAAAAATATAGGAACTTCAGACCAAAAATCGCTAGAAAACTTGACAATTCCCTAAATATCATCACATTCATTGCTATTTACACATCTTAGCTCAAGGAAAATCGGAAAAGAAGGGAAAATTCGATAAAGAGCACTTTCCACCAGAATTTTCGGGGATGTTTGGGTGTATTGGGGGCGACTAAAGCTACTAATTTACCAATTTTACCAGTGGTGGATTGGGGAACTTGAAAACATTGAGGAAAATGCGAAAAAAGTGGGAAAAGGGGAACTGAAAAGGGAAATGGGTTAGGAATGGAAGGATTGTGATGAAAATTCGAGAGACATGTAAAAACAATTATTAATCCATTGCTCCCGGCTCGTATTTCGCCCACGGATTGTCGTCGAGGAACTTTTCAATGACCTGGAATTAAAAATTAGAAAAATCTATAAAAAGTTGTCGAACCTCCTTGAGCGCATAATTCGGGGTAATCTCGTTTTCGGTCAACGGCTTTCGCGTCACCGGGTCGAAATGTCCGATTCGGCGCAAGTGCTGCACAATTTCCTCGCGGTCGTACGTGATCCCGGACGGCACGATCACCGGCTCTTTCATCAGCTCTAATGTGATCTTTCCGCACAAAACTTCCGGAATCTCACGATTTTGACGCTTTTCTTGGGTCTGCAATTTTTCAAGTGATTTTTTAGCTTTAAAATGCTGAATTTATTAACCACCGCAGTGAGCTCGGCGAGCCGTTTCTTGGCCATTTCGACGCGTGCCAGGGCTTCTGGGTTGTTCGCACTCTCCGCGCGGTCCCTCTCGATCAGACTCTCCATGTACGTGTGGAACTCGACGTCCTGGATTATTCTGCGCGACTCTTCCTCCTCGAATTTCTGGTGGCGTGCGCGTTTCAACGCGTTTTCAATGTCTGTCGCGTTCTGGAAATTTTAGGATTTTTAGAGATTTTAGGACTTTGAAAGTAATGTTTTCTCTCACCGTAATCACTGAATTGTGATACAGTGCTTTTGAAAGACAGCTGATGGCCTCGTTGAACTTTTTGCTTTTCAAAAACACGCTTCCCAGGAAGTAGAGTGGCTGAAATGGTTACTTTTTCAATTTTTTATAAAACATTGATTATCTCCGTACTTTCACTTCATTGGGGCTCAATTCCAGAGCCCGTTTGCAATCCTCTTCTGTCATTTTCAAGTTGTTCATCTGGAAAAATCATTTTTCACTAAAAAAATTAGGATGTTTCAAATTCCAACCTGATAATAGCACATGGCACGATTCTGATAATATTTAGGCTGCGGGTCCATTTTTATTGCTTTCGCATAGTGCTCAATGGCGTCATCATAACTAAAGAATGTTGTGTTTCGTGGAAAAATTAAATTTTTCGCAGGAATTACCGCTTATTCATGTAGCACTTTTTCCCATTATTATTGTGCAATTCAGCCGCAGAGGACATGGCTGAAAATGGTTCTAAATGGCGAAAAACGTGACTGAAAATCGATAGAAAGCTACGGTTAAAGCTGAGAAATTGAGCGTCAGATGTGGTGCCGAGTACGCAATGTTCGCGTCGCAGTGTTTACAGACGCAGCAGCGTTTCAGTTGAAGACTGCAACTTTTCCGGGAGAGAAACGCTGAAATGCTTAGTTTTTGAAACGAAAATTATTAATTTTTCAGACGTCTCGGGTATGGTCGCGACTAGAAAATCGTTTGGCGCCCCTCAAAACCTGCCAAACGAGCCGCGAAAACGGAAAAGTCTCGAAACTCCGTGCGGATATCGCAAAATCTATCCGGATTTGACGGCAACGGCCAGTTTCGCGTCGACGACGTTTGAGCAGACTTCTGAAGTGCAAGAGGACGAGGAAGAGTACGAAACGGACCGCGAGGGCTCGTTCGACACGTCGCGCAGCTTCGAAACGCCCGAATCCGATGAAAAAAAGGCGGCGTGGATGTACGGATTGGCTGCTTTTGCGATTTTGATGGCAATTTTAATAGGAATAATAGGAAAAAACAGCGGAAAGGTAGAATTTGTCAACATCCTATTTAAAAATTAATTAGTTTGTCTTCCAGACCGACACCGACTACGAAGCGTACATAAAATCGGTTCGCTCAGTGATTTTCACCCAATTTCCGGATGCTTCCGCTGAGAATCGAGCACTTTTGCGTTTAATCGGTCAAAAAGTGTTTCTGGAGCCCGACAATCACGCGCCGCTCGTCATTTTGGTCGGCGGAAAGCAGGCGAGACAGTTCTCCGAGGCAATTAGTCAAATTGTGGCGAGGTGGGACCGAAAATAGGAAAAAAAAATGAAAATCGTGTTTTAGCACTAATTCCGGTGAGAAATATCGAAAAAATCGGACAATTCGTGTGGAAGCTGGCACAAATCGCGCGGATTTCCATAAACAATTAAAAGAAGGTTGGTAGCAAGTTATTTTACCCTACAAATTAAATTTTCAGTCCTCGACGCTTCTCCGACGTCGCAGACCGTTTTTCCGCACACTGCCGTCGTTCTGGACGTGGATTTGCTGCAATGGGACGCCGTTCTGGTGCTCCACGCGTTCGCCGACCACGAAAAGTACCCGGTGCCCAAAACTGTGCTCTTTTTGACCGTTTCCGAGCGGGAACCGTCCGACATTGAGAATTGTGATGACAGAATGGTCGGGTAAGTAGGCAATGATTTGTTAGCATTTTTTGCTCTATTTTTTTGCAGTTTTCTAACGCGTCAATGGATCGAAAACGGCGGCTCTTCGGACAATATTCCGCCAATTATCGCACGAATTTCCTATTTCCTTTGTGTCTAATTTAAATGTTTTCAACTTTCCCCCCACAATTTTCACACCACAAAAACGGGTTGTTACGATTGAGATTTCAGGGATTCTTCCGCACTTTTTATCCCTAAAAATAAGATACTTGCAAACGGGCCGGCACGGGCCAACTCGATTCAAAATCAATGTTGTGCGTGGAACGACACATCAGATGGTGGATCTCCTTGCGAGCCGACCTAGAATGGGGTTTTTGCCGGCCCGCGTCACAATACCTATTCTAAAATCGGCCCGCATGTAGTCACATTTGTAGAACTCACCGGGATCTACAATCTGGTGTGTTGTTCTACGCACAACATTTATTTAAACGGCTTGGAACGGGGTGGTCCCGTCTCGTGGAAGTATTGCATGGAATGGGAGCCATTTATGTTTCCCCCCATCTCGTGGTCCCCTTCGGCCGCCTCGCAACTCTCTGGATACCTGTTTAAGCGAGTTAGCAGCCGGCCCGTTTGCAAGTAGGAAAAATAATGAATTGTTCAAATGTTTCTTTTTCGCCGATTCTTGCACATTTCATGTTTTGCTCGAGTTTTTGTCGCTCCTACTGTACTCTTTCATCAACTTTTAATGCCGTTTCTCTAGAATCATTTCAGAAAATGTCGAGTGGCCGGAATAAACCGGCAGCAATTTATCAGAAAAATCAGGGAGCGTCACGATTCGAAGTGCTCCGAGAAATTGCTCATTTTGAGCAAGAATTGAGCACTTTTGAAGGTTTCTTTCAATTGTCTTGGCATAGAGCTGTTTTTAAAAGATTCTGAAACGTTCAGACAGTGCTCTTTCGACGCAAGTGAACGAAAAGAAGAAAAAGGGCAGAAAATGGTGGCCATCGTTCCTTTCGTTCCCAATTCCCCACCGGATCTACGAGGTAATCGATAGTTTTGTGAAACAAAAGCTGTTTGGAACAGTGATTTCTTCACAATTGTTTTCTAGATCGAATCGACGGCCATTCGTGCATTTTCGCCCGAAAAATTTGCGTTTTTCATGGAAAAGCAGGCGCATGTGAAGGAAGACGAAGAAGAAGAGGGACAGGTGGAAAAAGTGGAAGAACCGACGGAAAATGCGGGAAGAAATCGAAAAAGAAATAAAAATAAGGAGGAAAAGAGCGAAATGGCGTCTCCGCAGCCGCCGATAAGGGAGGAGAATGAGGAGAAAACGGCGGAAACGGAGGAAAAAGACAATGAGGAGTGGAAGATGCAGGAGTGCTTCGTTTTCTGCCTCAAACAGCTCTTTTTCTCGCGAATTTGGATATTTATCCTCCAGTTAATCGCCTCGTTCTGGGCCGGAAACCGATTCAGAACCGACGCGTTCTACTTGGCCGAAACTATTGTTTGTACGCTTTTTTCTTTTAATGGAAAAGTGGAAATTCTTTAAAAAAAAATTGCTGTCAAGTTTTATTCAGCAACAAACGTACGGTTTCTGCTCTACTGCACTTGGGGAACCGTAAACCGTCGCACGCAACCCTCGGAATTTTACTGAACTATTTCTTTGGAAAATTTGTCATTTTATTGAAAACGAAAATTCATGGAACTCCCCTCCCCGCCCACATTGATTTTAAGTCATTTTTGTCGTCGAAATACACGGTCTATTAATTTCTATTATTTCAGCGGCCCATCAATCGCCGATGGGCGCCTTCATGCTCCGTTTCCTGTTTGCCGGTCTCCGTCGCTGGGACTCTCAGCACTTTTTGTTCATCGCCGACAATCACTACATTCTCGAACAGTCTCTCGCCTTTTTTCCCGGTTTTCCCGAGATTATCACGTGCGTTTCAGACAGATTTTATAGCCAAAAAGAAGCTGGAATTTTTGCCGAAATAAAAAAGAAAGTCTTTTCATTTCTCAATTTTTGTAAAACGATTTCAACTTTACACAATTATACTAGTGAATTTCAATAATTCGAAAAATGTATTTTTAATGGAACAGTATTTTTTTCCCGCTAATTTCAGTGTAATCTAGACGCGAATCACAAAAAAAAATCACGAATTCCAGAACTGATATAAAAATTTCTAGTGAAACTGTAAAGAAATGCTGTCGAATTTGCAGAGTAATCCGAACGGGAATCACGGAAGTGAGCGAGAACGGCGAGGCGGCGGACGTGATTCCGACGTGGCTGATCACGGGCGTGCTCGCCGTCGTCCTCAATTTCTTCTTCTTCATCTTCTCCGGAATCGTCCTCTTCCTCGTCACTTTCATGATCGGTCGCAGCGTCAAAAAGAGCCTATTGGCCACGTCGCTGTTCGCCTTCAATCCCGCCTCCATCTTCTTCTCAGCCGCCTATTCTGAATCGGTTTGTCCTTTTTTTTTAAAGATTATTAACAAAATTCAAAGCGAATGTTTCAATTTAGAAAGTTTTTTTCAATTCCACATTTTCACAGAAAAATACAGTTTCAGAAATACTAATAATCTCTCGCACTAATAATTTCCAGTTTTCAAAGCATTTTTTCCAGTTGATAAAAATTTCCACTTTTTGCAGATGTACTTTTGCCTCACACTCACCGGCTTCTCGATCATGGTCTTCTCGGCGCGCGCGTGCTCGCGGGCGGCCCGATACGGCGGCGCTCTCTTCGGCACCATCGTTTTCGGCCTCTCGCTCGTCGTCCGCTCCAACGGACTTTTGAATATTTTCTTCGCCGCCTGGTACTTTGCCGGCGCGTTCCTCTGGGAAATGGCGCCGCCGATCGGCGATCTGAAAGAGCCGGGAAAGCTGAAAAAGTTGGACGAATTTCTGGGAAAACATCAGAAAAATCGGCAGGACGAACAATTCCGGCACGGCGAGGCAAAGACGAAGAAGAGGGAGATCGAGCGGAGTCTGACGAGGCCGCGCAAGGTCTTCGTGCTCTCCGATCGCCGCTTCTCCCGCTGTTTCTACCTTTTTCTGGGCGTTCTCATCGCCTCCGTCTCCGTCTTTCTGTTCGTCTTCCCGTTCGGACTCATGTCGCACTCTGTCGTCGCCGAATTCTGCAATCCGACGCCGCCGCGCGCGAAAGCCGTACGCGACCTGAAGATGGCCACGAAAATGGACGACAGTGTGGTGACGATTGTGGAGGCGAGACGCGGAAAAGTCGATTGGTGCAAGTCAGTTTTTTTTTTTTGCGGCCCTGAAATTGGTTTTTCAAAACAGTATGCAGTGACTTAATCAGAAATGCTGTGAGAAGGTATTGAAAAAGTAGTGAAACAGTGATACAGTTTGAAATAGAATGCCGCGTTTTTGGAGTGGAAGGCTTTTAGAGCCGAGGTTTGTGCGAACAACATTTCAATATTGAATCAAGTGCAAAACAATTTTGAAACAGAAAAAAATCTTCTAGAGAAAGAGAAGGAGTTGACCTAAAATTCACTTAAAAATTGCATTGCAGACCTCCGAAAACGATGGCCGAATTCGTGTACGGTCTGGTGTTCCCGCCGTATTACAAAGTGGTGCAGGCGAAATATTGGGACGTCGGACTGTTCGGATATTGGCAATTTCGCAAAATTCCGTGCTTTTTGATGATGCTCCCGGCGGCTATTCTCACTATTATCGCCATTAAACACACGAAAGAAGACGTGGCGAAGAAGGGGTTCGTTTCAATTTTTTAAAGCAATTATCTTCAATCGAAAAAAGCACTAACGTATACTTTTGCAGCTGGACGAACATTTGGGTGCTGTTCGGCCGCACGGACCACCTCGTTCCGATGGCCATCCACTCGTCGATCGTCCTCTTCACCGCCGTTTTCATCATAAACGCCGAAGTCTTCACCCGATTGATATTCTCCTCGTCGCCGTTCCTCTACCTTTTCCTCGCCGATTATTTGGATGGCCTCACGCAGGGTGTACGTGTTTTGCGTGATCGGTCTATTGAGAACGTACGCCTCTGGCATGCGTATATTAAACATGCAATTTTTGTGATCGGTCTATCATGCGTCTATTGAAGAACCCGCACCGAGTTCTGAATAGACCGACCACGAATCACCTGCGCAGCAAAGCTTTCGAACCGGAGTAGTAAACATTTCTCTAAAACCGTAAACTTTTGATGTGATAAAAAAGGACAGGTAACGTACAAACTATTGTTTCATTTTGTGAGCTGTCGCGCGGCGTACGCACAGTCCTATTGTCAACCGTAACCGCCAAGCTCTGTCCCCCCACCGTTTCTAAAAATTGCCGATTTGGCGCCAGCGCTCAAAAAGAAACAATAGTAGGTCTTTTTATTGCCCGAAAAAGAACAAAATCGTTTGCATCATTTAAATTTTTTTGCAGGACACGCCGGGCAACCGTTTCTGGCACTACGAGCAGGCGGTCGGAATCCTTCCGTTTTTCGTGTTCAAAAGTGTGTGGAAAAGTGGATGGGCCGGCAAATCACTCTACATTTACCTCCTCGGATACTTTGTTTTCGGAACTATGGCTCACGCCGCCTGGCTTCCGTTCACCTAAATTTTTCGTTGTTTTTAGAATTGTCTAGAAATATTTCCCGCTATTTCTCCTATTTTCGCTTGAATTTATTGCTTTTCTCGCCATTGTGATCTTCTGTGCCCAGTTTGTGATTTTTCGGGTTTTCGTATTTGCAAAGAGCTTTTTTCTTCGATGGAAACGAGTAAGAATTGTGATTGATCCTCTTGTGTGCATTTATTTCTTTTCAATCGTACTCGGCGATTCACATTTTTTGTAATGTTTTTCTGCATTGTAAAAACTGTCGTTTTTAGGACCCAAAGAATGACGGAAGAAGTGAATATATTTCTGTCGAAGCTCGTCCTCCACGGCGAATCCATTTTGGCGGAAATCTTCCGATTATCCTCTTTTGTGCCCAAAGATTTTCGAAATCCGCAAAAATCGGCGAAATTTCGAAGCATCGTACAGTTGGATTTTAAGTATTTGAGCAAAACGGAACAGATTGAGAAGGAGCTCGAAAAGGATTTGGTAGGCGATTTATTGTTGCTAACAAAATGCTTGTCTCTAGAAATGTGAAAATGAGCTAATGAGTAGAGTTGTGGTATTACAAGAAAAATTCGATTTAAAAATTTAAAAATTTAAATTTAAATTCAAAACTTTAAAAACAATGTTTGAAACGGTATTTAAATAACGATCCAAAAAAATTGCAGCGTCTGCAAACACAATTCTACGCGACATTCGAGCCGGTGCTCATCGCTTTCGGACAACTTTTCACGTCAATCGCCGAATTCGTGCAAACGTTTACGAGTTATGCACAGGAAATTGCCGAGGAAGTGAAAAACGGACAGAGAATCGATGCGAGCAGGACCGCCGAACTAGAGGTTCCGTGTTTCGATGAATTTTATGAAAATCCCCATTTTCCAGACGTACTGCCTGTACATTTCCGGTCTTTTGCTCATTTACCTCGATTCCTACCTGCCCGGACCGATTCGAGAACGTATTTACGTGGCGATTTATCGAAAAAGTGATGTACGCGAAAATGCAGAATTTCTGGTGGACTTTTTGAAGGCAACAGGCGCCAATGACTGTATGATTAGGTGAGATTCTGGGAATTCAGCGGATGTAATTTTTCGTTGTTAAGTTCTGGCTCGGCGTAGCCTCAATAACCCCTTGTTTCGGAATAAACCTGTTTCGAAACACATCAAATACATAACATTTAACAAGAAATGCCTTATTTCGTAGAGTTCGATTTCGACCCACAAACAAATCACTGTTTCAAAATTTTTCACATTAGTTTAACAGGGGCGTAGAATTTTGCTGATTTTCCAGACGCCTGGAACTGCCGGAATCGTTCGTGCGTTCGTGTCTCGGCACAATCGAAGCATTCGAGGATTCCGCTCTAAAGATACCGAAAACCCAATTGATGTACGTCATTCTTCAGTTCGATCGACACACTCTCACCACGGATAACACGCGAATGACGAAGATTGTCAACTCGGTTTTTCGAGAAATTTGGGTACGTTTTTTATGGGAAGTTGTCTGGAATTCCCAGCCTGTAAAATAGGGTTTGTATGTATTAAAAAGTAAGAAACATTGACAAATAACAATGCTTTAGAAAGCTAGAATTTTCTGTAAATTGAACATTTGATTCGATTTCAAGATAAATGGTTCGATAAAAATAAAAAAAAACTAAAACACGACTTCAGACATGTTTAAAAAAACTTGCAGGTGCTCAACTTGGGCTTCGGAGTGATCGCCAATATTTTCGACGCGTGGTACCCGTACAAAGCCGCCTGGAACGCCCTGAACGCCACGTTGACGCCACAAGAATCGGCGGTGATTATGGAAAAACATTTGAGAATTATGAAGTCGGCCACTTTTCCGCAGGTCAGAAATGGTTTTCTTTAATTTTCAAAACTATCCGGAGAAAATCGATTATTGTTCACATTTCCTCTGACAAATCGTTTCTAATCTAACTAGCTAATTCTCGTTCTTTCTAACCGGACCTATTTAAATTGCTACCGATTTATAAATCTAGCTAGCTAATTTTGAAATCTAAACATAATCTAGCTAGGTTTGACCGAAATTTTAATCTAATTAGATAAATTTTGAATCTAATATCAGTGTTTTTGCAATCTAATTAGCTTCGCCAATCTAATTAGCAAATTTATCAGTCCAATTAGAAGAATTTGCAATCTAATCGCAGTAAATTAGCGTAAATTAGCTAGCTAGATTACAAACGATTTACATGAGTTATTGAAGCTGCACTGGGACTAGAACAAATAGCGAAAATGTTAGACGACTTATTTTGCTGAAACTGGAAACATTTTAGGCGCAAAAATGATTGGACATTGTCCTTGGTATGAAGCATCTCCAGGACAATTTTCAGCTCGATGGGATACTCTGTTCTGGAGATGCGGTCGCGTTTAGATTATCAATTTGGGCCCAAAATTGTCCTGGAGATATTTGACACCAAGGACAATGGCAAAATCATTTTTGGGTCCGATCGATCAACTGGAAGTAGGCCGGCAATTGCCCAGACTCTGAAAAATATTAAAAACAAGCCTGAGCCCCTCGCACGGTCCGCCGATGATCGAGTGGTAAACTCGGTGTTTGCAGACTTTTAAGCCAAAATTTGTGAAAGCACACAAACACCAAATGGACAAGAGCGGTGAATTGAAAGAGACCCGCACTTGGTTTCTTCCGGACCGTCTTTCTTTCTGCTGCAGACATTACAGACGCCTTCTGTGCTTCATTTTAAAAAAAGATGATTCACAGAGAAGTATTGATTTTCTCTGCAACTGTAACTGTAAAAACCGAAAAACGGACAAATGTTTTATCAGACACAAAACTGCGAGTTGTTTCATTCAATTGGCTCAATTATTTTTCGTATACCCCAGACGGTCCTTTTGTGCGTATTTCTTCGGGCGGAGACGCTGCAACACACATTGCTTCTTATTGTGGCCCAAAATATGTTTTTAAAAAAAACGTACAATAAAAGAGCAGACCAAATCCTCGGAGACGACCACGACGGCGGCCGCATTGTCGAATTGTCCACAGTAGAAAGGTGCCGAGAATACGGTGACGAGCCGTTTTTGACCGAAAAACTCGTAGCCGTCTTGCACGACCTATCAAGAAAATAGCAAATTAGAGACACGCTCGAGATGTTTTCTGACTTTTTTTCCGAAATTTTTTCGTAACCGCCAAGGCTGAAAAAGCTATTTCAGCCCGCTAATTTCTCATTCGATTCCGACAAAATGTCGATTTGCCAGCCAAATCGGCAATTTTGGCGGTTACGGTTGACCAAGCGGCGAGAAGAATGCGAGCAAATCAAAATTCTATAGATAAAACTAGTCTTCCCCTCCCCGTTGTTTGTCCTTCGAATTAGACTTGCCTGATGAGCCCTCACGACGAGGTCCACGTTGATATTGTTGAGTGTCTTCTTGAGTGCATCCGCGCCGAACACGTAGGAAACGCCCCGCTGATTGGGCGCGAATCCCTTGGTGCCCACCGCCGGATCACTCCACAAAATGTCGATTTCGATCGAGGTGTGGTCCGGCTGGTAGTTGGGACGACGGAAATTGCGCAACACGTTCAGCGATGTCAGCTGGGCACAATTGAAACATAGAGTTGAGTTGGGGGCCCGCAAAACGGTGGCAATCCCAAAGTTTTACGTCTGCCACTTTTTATTAGACCTCAACATAATGCTCACCTTGGGCGAGATGCCGCCGTGCATGCACAGAATCTTCTCTCCGACGAGCGCGGTCAACGGCATCGTGGCGAACGTGTTCTGAAACTCCTCCCACACGCGCATTCCCGACTTTGCGAATCGGCGGTAGCACTCGTCGTAGAACCCGTACACACGGTTGATCGCCGGACACTCATGGTTGCCACGCAGCAGAAACATGTGGAACGGGAAGAGGTTCTTGTAGGCGAACAGCAGCAGGACCGTCTCGAGTCCGTGCCGCCCGCGGTCCACATAATCGCCCAGGAACAGGTAGCTCGTGCGGTGCGGAAAGCCGACTTTGTCGAACAGGCGCAACAGGTCTGCACAAAATTCGTCGATTTTAAATATTCGGGTCGTGCATTATAGGGGCACCGGACCGAAAGGGCGCGCTGTTCGCAATTTGGCCGAATTTCTAGGCCGCGAAGTAATTTTCCACTGAAAATGTGGCCCGAACTTTTCAAACTCGGCCCCGAGGTCGCTCAATTTGCACTGCAAAAAGAGTTTCTCAACAGAGCGCCATTTCTGTGCGGTGGTGCCCCTATAATAGAGAAAATCTACCTCCAAATTGTCCGTGAATATCTCCGCAAATTTTGATGGGACCGTCAATTTCGAGCATACTCGGTTGCGACATGAAAATTGCCCTGAACAATTTATCGATTAGCTTTTCAGTGCAGAAGACAGGGCGATTCTACTTTGTGTTGTCCAAGAATTTGAGAATATCGTCGACCGAAACGAGCACACTCAGTCCGTATTCGCCTCCTTTTCCGCACTCGAGCACTTTTACGAGAATCGAGTAGGCCAGACGAGTCTGCAATTATTTGCGATAAAAATTGTCCAATTTTCATTATGAATACCACATCATTATCGATTCCTTGTTCGGATGGAGATTGTGTATAAGTACGGGCGCTTCTTTGGCTTTTCGTCACTGAAATTATTATGTTTTAACTTCTCAAATAGAACTCACATTGACGGCGTTGACTATTGTCAGAAGAATACACGGAAAGTTTACTGCAAAAGTCAAGAGTGGTTTTGGATTTTTCAATAAAAAAATGTGTACCTCTTACTTTTACCCTTCACATTCCTTGCCGAATTTTCTCGTTCCGATTTCTTCTCATGATCACATGTAGTTTGTTCTGAAATTGAAGTTACAGTACACGAGGCGATTATTGTTCATCTCAAACTCACTTTTACTATTTCCACCGCTTCCGAACGGCATTTTTCCGAATTTGTTGCACTTTTCGATATTTCGATATTCGATCGATGAAAAGTGAGAGTAAAAATTCGGGAGTCTTAGTGGATTTCCATGCTTTTTTTTCTTGTTCGACAATACCGGAAACTGGGCAACCCATTGAACGGACATTATCATTTTTGTAAAGTTTGTCACGCTTTTGAACGCTTTGTTTCGGAACGTGAAACGTTTTTTTGAGTGCTCAGTAGTGGAAATTGTTGTGTACTTGGGTTTCAAGCAACGGCGGAACAGAAATAATCATACACTTACCATAATGACCCCCCGCCGGCGGCACCACGGAATCTCCGATCGATAACCTGAAAATAAGCACGTCCACGAGTACCTCTTTCACAAAGATCGCCCCTCTGCCAGTGTGAAAATCAGAAAGCATTCTTATTAATAGAGCATACTCAAAAGAGACAGGGTCGGAATTAGAAAAACCAAAATGAAACATGGTTTTGTAAGCTGTGAAACTGTATTCGTGTTTTTTTTTCTTTGCTCCTTTCAGTCATTTTCAATAATTCAGTCACATTTGTAGATGATCACGGAGATGGTGGACTTTGAGACGCACCTCGCACAAATGTGCCTGCTCAACAAATCGCTGAAATGGCTCTTCCTGCACTCCCGCTCCGGCGCCCGCACCCGCCCGCTCAAGGACCGCCCGTCCGACGAGAAACTCTTCCAGTGGTTGTTAGATGTCTCGAGATGCGAAGTGCTTCTGCTGAATTTGTACACGAGCACCGCCGAGAACAGAGAAACGGCGGCGAGCGGCGCGAAAATGAAGATAACTGCACTGCTGCGGCAGTTGGGCGACTTTTTCGAACACGGATTCGTCAAAATGAGCGAGGCGCAGAAGGGTGAGCGCCGTTTTTGTTTGATTTTTCGCATGCTGAGCAGAGTTGAGCGGAATTCCGCCTTCCGTATTCCACTTTTCGCCGCTTTTTTCATTCCGCCTCCGCTTTCCGCCAAAAAATTTGAATTCCGTCTCCGCTTTCCGCCAAAAATTTTGAATTCCGCCTCCGCTTTCCGCCAAAAAATTTGAACTCCGCCTCCGCTTTCCGCCTTCCGCCAAAAAAAAAATGTATTCCGCCTCCGCTTTCCGCTTTCCGCCAAAAAAAAAAAATTTATTCCGCCTTCCGCCGTTTCAAAAAATCGATTCCGCTCAACTCTGATGCTGCGTCGACGTGTAGCCTGTTTAGCACAAATTCTTCAGCAATTCAGAATAAATTTTATGCTCTAGAAGAAATTACAATTCTATTGCAGTGAACTTTGTGAAATGGGTACGAAACCTCGAAGAAACGGTCGACAAGATTGATGGGAAAGAAGTGGAAGAGAGCAAAGAAACCGTCCAGCAGATTATTCGCAGGATCAAACAGGTTTCGGCGTTTCTCTTGTTACAATTAAAATTTCAATAATTTTGCAGGTGGGCGATCTGCTGGGACTTTCGGTGAACGTGACCCTGAAAGAGTGTCTCGGTTCCCTGGACTCGGAGCTCCGTGCTCTTTTCTCGGTCCTCTCCCTGTCCGACTCTGTCGTAATCGACGTCTACTCGAAGATGGAGGCCAACTATTTATGGCCGCTGCTCCAGGAAATGATCCCGCGCATCCAGCAGAACCTCGTCTCCACCTCCAACACCGACGTCGTCCGACAAATATTCACAAAACTGTCCATCTCCACGTGGATCCTCAAATTCAAACTTTCGCAATTCGCCGAGAAGGAACACGTCGCCAATCGGATAGTCAACACGTATTCGTATTCGCTCGAGAAACACTTGAGGACCGTGTTGCAGTCGGTCCCGCAGCACCTCTTCGGCATTATGTATCAGGTTGTGATGCCGGCGTTGGGCAAGAAGTTTCAGCCGTTTATCGAGAAGACTGAGGTAGGGATAGCGACTTTCGAAAACACCTTTTTTCAAAGTATAACGTGCAAAGGAAAGGACATCAAAGTTTGCGCCGGACAGAAAGGGCACGCTGTTAGCAATCTGGCCGAATTTCTAGGCCGCAAAGTTATTTTCCACTGAAAACGTGGCCTAACTTTTCAAACTCGGCCCCGAGGTCGCTCAATTTGCGCTGCAAAAAGAGTTTCTCAACAGAGCGCCATTTCTGTGCGGTGGTGCCCCTATAATAAGCCTAAACGTTTGTAACTTCCAAATGAAACTGTGTTAAAATTGCGAATGTTGCAGCTGCGCGAGCTGTCCGAATACATAACCTCCTCAAAATTGGTGGAAACGACATCGCTTATCGCGAACACGAGCATGGGAATATCGAGAATGATGCTCACCAAAGTCGGCACCGTTCAGATCAATCCCAAGGTACGTTCCTATCACAAAATTACAAAAACACATAACATTTCCTCATGAAATGCTGGCAAGCGAACTTCTTTTGAACTCTTTAGCGGAATCACACATGTTTTAGGAACTTCTGGAAGACGGAATGATTCGACAATTGTACAAAGAGATCAAAAAGTTGATGACGACTGCATCGGCGTTTAGTTCTATCGGTGAGCGTGTTTTTTCTCTCAAATATGAAACAAATTTTATCGATGACTGTGTAGCAGAGTTGAGCGGAAGAACACGGAAGAATTTTTATCTTTTTTAGAAAATTTTTTGATGGAATGTGATCAACTAACGAAATGTATAGCAAAGTGAACTGTGCTCATAGAAAAATAATTGTAAATTTAACTTTTCATACAAAAAAGTTATTCGTTCCGTCTTCCGTTAGCCCTCCTTTTTTCACGGAACAACTCGAATAACTTTTTTGTATGAAAAGCTAAATTTACAATTATTTTTCTATGATCAGAGTTCACTTTGCTATACATTTCGTCAGTTGATCACATTTCATGAAAACATTTTCTAAAAAAGATAAAAATTCATCCGTGTTCTTCCATCGAGTTCTTCCGCTCAACTCTGCTGTGTAGACCCCGGGAAGTTTGAAGAACATTTTATTTCCATTCATTAACGTTGGAATTTCAGTCTCACTTGCCTGTTAATACAATTTTACATTTTTCTTTTACTAAAACACAATTTTTTTCCCCAGTATTTAAAAACAAGCTTTTACTCTAATTTTTTTACAGAAAATATGCTAAAAACGTGCGAAAACGTGGAAACGATGCGTTCGGCGTTCTTCTACCTGTGCGACTACATGAATCTGGAGGGAGATCACATCTGGAACGTGGCCGTCGACGACTATTTCAGTCGGATTTCCGAAGAACGAGCGTTCGCCAAGAGCTCCGGCGATTTGGAGAGGAACGAGATGGTCGAACTGATTGTCAGGATTACGAATCCAAAAGTTTGTTCGGGGGAAAATTCAGTTTCTTTATATCGATTTTATGCGAATCTCATAAAATGTTGATTGGTCGTGAATACCTTCATAAACTTGAAAATAAACGTTTTTTTTACAGAGCAACACGATACGCGGAGAGTTCGATGAGTTGGAAAGATGTGAAAATGAGCCGAAACGTGCTCACTTTCGACGTTTTCGACAAAATCGAACAAATGGTTCCATTCCACGTGCTCACGAGCATCGAGACCAATTTGACGGTCGAATTGGAGAAAATGGTTGTCGGTGAGAAAGTGTGACACATTTTCGGGGTGGGACAAACTGAGATGTCATTGAAAACTCGATAAATCTTTGGTTATAAGTAAATGTTTTGAAACATGAACATTTTGAGATAAATTCGGAAAATTAGTACAGAAAAAGGAAATAGTAGTTTAGATGCAGACGAAGCAGTATGAAATCAACTTTGTCCTAAAAATAATATATTTTTCAGACTACACATCGTCGGCGCGTAAGCTCGGAGTCTCGTTCAACCTCCAAAATGCGGTCGGCCACGATTCGGTCCGTTCCTATTTTTCCAGTTCGAATTATGAAAAACTGGTGAAGACGATCCAACCGCAATCCGTCGCATTGGCCACGCTTCTCGCGCAGGTACGCATTTTTTTAATGAGTGAAAAATCTGAAACAGTGAACATTATTTTCAATTACAGATTGGTCAGTTTATATTGCTGATTCGAACTATCGGAAACTCGAAAAGGACGGCCAATTTGATGAAGGAGGACAGTATGCAAAAGGATCTCATCGAGATTAGCAGGTACCAGTAGAAACACAACTTTTACAAAAAAACAATTTGGAAAACAATCCCTAAAAACTTGCAGATCGCTGGCACGTGATCCGAAGGACCTTCCGGCCGAAATGGGCACAATTCTGAAGCTGATGATGCAATATTCGCTTTACAATCCGGAAAGAATGATATTCCGACTGAAAGACGAACCGTCGCCCGTATTCATGATCGCCCTCATTCAGTGCATTCTGCCCAAAATTGGAGGTAAATTTATATTTTAGGAAACATAGATATTAGTGACCTTGTTAATTATGATCAAAACTAACAAAGAGCAACAAGAAACTCGCACGAAACAGCCACATTTCGAAAAAGCTTTTTTTGCCAGTGACCTATAGAAATGCTTGCGAGTTTCTTGTTGCTCTTTGTTAGTTTTGGTCATAATGAACACATTCACTATGAAAATGGATAAGATGAATCAGCATTCCTCTGGCGGCACGCATCTGAAGTTTCAACGAAAGCTTGGAGAGCGCGCTGCCGTTCGGTTCATGTAGGAACTGCGTTTGAGCGCTTTGGTCGTGTTTCTCCATAACTCGAAGAGCATAATTCGTAGAGAATAATTATCAACTGCAAAGTTAATAAGCATAACATTTCCTCCAACTTTCCAGTTGGCCACTTCTTCCTGCAATTGTTTTCTCTTGAGATACAGGCTGCTGAAAAGAATAGTTCTAAATCTTGTTGTATCTCGAAATCTAGTACAGAATGAATAATTGATGAAAAAATTGTGCATAGTTTCCCTGTTGACAACCTGTTTGCACTCGTTTTTCTGCTCGTTTTTGTGATTCGACCCACTAACCATATCAACAGCCTGTATCTCAAGAACTAAACGTTGCAGGAAGAAATGATCAACTGAAAAGTTTGAGTAAATGTTATGCTCATTATCTTTGCAGTTGATGTTTATTCTCTTCGAATTATTCTCTTCCAGTTACGGGTTACGGAACATTTTCTGGGAAATGTCAATTTCTCAATCAGTTCAGCCAACTAGCTTACTATTAGCAACAAAAAGAAATGTTTATAATTGCAGACCCGTACTTTGTGTGCGCCCGGCAGCTGGAAATGGGCATCCGATTCGTGCTCCGCCAATCGCGGCTCCTTCCGTACTTCCTTCCGATCATTCAGGACCAATTGCCGCAATGCAGCCGTCCGAAGAAGAGAATCAGCGACGTGGAACAATTTTTGAGACAATTGACGCTTCATTTAAAGTGAACTACGCTTTTTAACACTTCTTCCCATTCTTCTGTGATTTTTTGCCTCATTGTTGTGTCCAGTTTGCAGACAAATTTTATTTAATGGACCAGGATACCCTGTGGCCTAGAAAACTCCTAGGTCATGAGATGTTCTCCGGTTTTTTTGCATTCGCTACAATCTTCAGACGTTGCCACGCATTCACACAAATTAGCAGCTTGTCAAAGTGCAAGAGTGTCGCATTATCAGCGGGGAAGAGTTCTCACACCTGAATTTTCTCGGCCACTGTTCCGTTTTCAGGAATTTCTGAGAGTTGGGACTCGGATAGTTTGGCAATTCAGACAGACACATCAAATTCAGTTGTTGCATGGTAGAAAAGTTTGATTTTGAAACGTTTTTATTTGTCTATTCAAACTTTCAAATGGCAAGAAGCACCGCGGGACGAGTAGGACAAGTATTATTGATCAAGAAATGGGCAAAAAAATGGCGAAATTGAGAGAAAACATAACATTTTTCAGGCAGAAGAAGCGCGACGAGAAGCGGAGTAATTGTGCGGCGACGGGTAGTCGGGGTCTGAAAAGAAATTGTTTTGAACATTTTTTTTTGTTGAAATTTTGCGTAACTGACCAATCATTCCGGCCTGAATGAGCGAAGAGCGTCGTTCCTTGAGCCGCGCGTAGGACTGTTCGTAGTGAATGAGTCGGACGACCAAATACGAGCAATAGAAGATGATAACGGTCAGAAAGAGCATGGCGAACACGAAAAGAACGAGTCGAAGGGCCATGTTCGGCTCGTCGTGCGCGTACTTTCCGCCCTTCTTCCACGACTGGTGCACCGACGGCGGATGCTGCGATTTGGTGGACGCGAACACGGTGGAGACGCCGAAGACGGTGAGGAAGAGAGTGGTGAGGCCGCGCGCCAGGAGCGACGGGTAGATGAGCTGATGCGCGTGCTTCTGCACTCCGATGATCAGCATGACGCACGTGAGCGCGAAGAAGAGCATCAGACCGACGAGACACACTTCGAACGCCGTCAGCTCCTGCAATACTTGATCGTCAGTTCGGACAGCCTCTCAACTTTTGTGCCAATCGTAAGTTGACGACTCGTTTCCCTCCAAACTCATTCCGTTTCAAGACGTTTCATTCTCGTGACATTTTCAGCCGCGTCCATTCAAAATTGATATGAAACGTCTTCGACAGAGTTGAGCGGAAGAACTCAACGGAAGAACACGGAAGAATTGATTTTTTTTCCGTTTTTTTTCGTTTTTTACGTCAAAAAACCCAATTCAAAACAAACATACGCTGAATAGCCCCATTATCTTTTTTAGAAAAATTTTTCATGGAATATGATCAACTGACGAAATGTATAGCAAAGTGAACTGTGCTCATAGAAAAACAATTGTAAATTTAACTTTTCATACAAAAAAGTTATTCGTTCCGTCTTCCGTTAGCCCTCCTTTTTTCACGCAACAACTCGAATAACTTTCTTGTATGAAAAGCCAAATTTACAATAATTTTTCTATGAGCACAGTTCACTTTGCTATACATTTCGTCAGTTGATCACATTTTATGAAAAAATTTTCTAAAAAAGATAAAAATTCTTCCGTGTTCTTCCGTTGAGTTTTTCCGCGCAACTCTGGTCTTCGATATCGAACTTCACTTGTAAGAACTGAGTTTGGTAGGGCGCAATCTTATTTTTTTGGGCGGTACTTCACTAGACTATGTCTCCGTGTCCTCAATGTTTTTTTCGACAGTAGTTTTCATCTGCTCTCCGATCACTGAACTTGACCGGAGCATAAACGAAGCACCTGCCGCCCATCCCTTCAACATTCCACTCGTTTCACTCTGATTTCTGATCCCCCATACTTTTTGTTTAATACATATTATCATCTTTCTCATCATTTCAACTCACTTCTGGTTTCTGATGAATTATGTTGTACATTGTGATGGTTCCGGTGATGACGCAGAACGCGAACTCGACAGACGCCAGCAGACGCATTCCTTAACACAAAACGAATTATCTCCTCTGTCGGTGGAGATATCAAAAAATTGTCAAATGATGAATTGTTTATTAGAAAATCGTGCATCTTTTATCAGTTGACCACTTTTTGATATCTCTACAAATAGCGGAGATACGCCGGTTTCAATTAACGGTATTTCTGTGTTACCTGACGGAAGAGAGCAGCAACAGCACTGCCATTTGATCGAATGCGGGTCGAAATCCATTTTATGTTCTCTGAAAAATGAAAACATTTTGCAGAGCGTGAAGAAGGAAGGGCTCAAAGAGAGCAAACAAGAAAACGTATTGAAAATGATGCCCTGAAGGGACGGGTAGCAGTTATGAATCATTGGCAAAAAAAAAGAACAATTTTCATCAAAAACAATATCTTTGCAAGTGTTTTCCTCCAATTTTTTGTTCAGACACCAAACAATAACACGAAAAGAACGAGCGAACACGGCCTTGTTTTGTTTTGAACAATAATTCGCAGAGACTGCCGTCAAAAACAGACGAAAATAGAGGAAGCATTCCATTATTTTTTGGTGTTTTTTGAAATCTCATTTCGCCTACTACTGAAATTGGAGAGATCAGTTGGGGGGAGATTATGCACAAATGAATAATATTGACTTGTGTCGAAAGACAAAGTTAGTCTTACAAATTTGGCGGCCAGAATAGGCGAAACAACGCGCCTGACGTTTTTAAAAGTCGGGTGCAGGCGGCCGGCGGAAGGCGTGATAACGTTATGCGGCTGAGATAAAAAAGTGTCCGGCGGCCTGTTGACGGAGATAAAATGAAGACTAAAACTTCATCGCTAGTCAAGTACTGGTGACGGAATGAATAAGGTTTCATGACACCTTCTTGTCCACAAAGAAGGCGCCGTTATCACGCCTTCCGTCCGCCTTCGTCTTCTTGTGATGGACCTATTCAGCCGAGTATTTTACTGGTTTTTTACGCAAAAAACCCTATTCAAATGTTTTTCCTCATTTGAGTAGGGTTTTTTTGCGTAAAAAACCAGTAAAATACTTGGCTGAATTGGTCCATAAAAAGGCGACAGTTCGCGAATTCATCGAATTTCGCCTATTCTGCCAGCAGAGTTGAGCGGAAATGGAATTTTGAAATCCGGAAGACGGCAGACGGCAGACGGAAGAAAATTTTTTTTACGGAACACGGAAAACGGAAGACGGAAGAAAATTTTTCTCACGGAAGACGGAAGACGGAAGACGGAACAAAAAAATCGTCAATGCAGAACCTTTTTTTCCGGTTTTTTTTAAATAACTAAAGCAACAAAAATTTTGGATCTGGGTCACTGCCCGTGGAAATTCGCGTTCTTCGGGGCTAGTAAATGGCTTCTGAAAAGCAATTACTCTTTTACGGTAAGAAGAAAAAATTCCGGAAGACGGCAGACGGCAGACGGAAAAAAAAAATTTTTACGGAAGACGGAAGACGGAACAAAAAAATCCACGGAAGATGGAAGACGGAAGACGGCGGACGGAATTCCGCTCAACTCTGTCTGCCAGCACAAAAGTTCGAAACACGGTGATTTTTTTCTCGGGGTGCAGTGGATAGAGGAAGAAAGTTCGGCCGTCGTTTCGTAAACTGTCGGCTGTTGATTTCGCCGGCCGGCGCCGCGCTCTCTTTTTCCGCGCGCCAAAACTTCTGATGCGTGCTGTTCGAAAAATACGGAGTCACACACAAACAATTTGAAACTTTAGCAATTTCGTGCCGGACTTTCACTTGAGCTCTCAATGTGAGCCCAAAAAAGAGGAAAAGAGGGGCGTGGGCGGAAAAGAGCAACAAAAAAAAAGAAGAAAAAAGAAAAGGAAAATGAACTCTTTTCTTGGCTTCCGTCCAACTTTTGGCACATACACACATACGAGCGAGAGAGACACGGAGAAGAAACCTTATGAATATTTCATATGCGAAAAAGAACGAAATGACCCACTTTTTTCTTACTTTTGTTGCAAAAATATGGGTGACTCGGGAAGAAAACGCCATTTTTTCAGCGTATACTATAGTTCAAAGAAACAAAGTGATAAACGGTGACAAACAAAGATAATGGAACGCGTGTTGTTTGGGGGGCGCGGCTAACAGAGATGACAAGTAGTACTTGACAAGACATGAAAACAAAAAAGAGTACTTTGGCGGCCAACTGGAAAGCCATTCAAATCCAGACGGATTTATGGGATTGGTGAGTGAGTGTTCACACAGCTTTGACATTCTATTTTCAGGTACTTTTTCGCATTCACAAAGAATTATTGCGCTGGTGGTGGTCAAAGTCGATATCGGAAAATAGTTCATAACTCGAAAACTAAACTAGTTTGAAAAATTTGATCAACTACAAAGTTATTCATGACATAATTTGGGTTAAATTTCCAGTTGAACACTTTTTGAACGGATGCCTAGCTCTTGAGATACAGCGCATAGAAGTCGAGCAAAAAAGTATTTATCGATTTTCTGCTTCAACATTTCTCATTAGAATCTCGATTTCTACATAACTTTAACTATCGGTAAGCGAATTTTGGTCTGAGAGAAAAAAAAGTGAAAAGTTACGACAAGACATGCGCCTCGAGGAGTTATTAGTGATCGTGAGAAAGAGAATGGATCACATGACTGACCGGCGCTGAGAATATGAGAATGAGCAACACGAGCAGCTCTTTGATGTTCGAGTCTCACTTTTGACAACTCATACGAGGATATTGGGACAAGTTGCAAACACGGAAAATGTAATCAAACTTTGAAAAACCCAGTAAAGTGACGTTCTGAAACCGTAATCATGGTCTCCAGAGCTGACAATATGGGCGTGGCCTCGGCGGCCAAATGGCGTTTTCATGAATTGAGCAGGTTTTCTCTGATTTTTGCGGTCAAAGGCGATGAAAAATTATTGTTCGACATGAAAACACACTAATTCTCACAGAATTAATGACGTTTTGGCGCTCATTTTTCGCGGACTTTGCTTTTTCGCCTTCGCCGCCCAAAAACTTCTCATTTGGCGCTTTCTTGACCGTTTTCAGACAGAATTGGTTTTAAGAATGATAAATCACGTAAATACAAGCATTTTGAGCGCTCGAACAGCGAAAATCAACGAAAAGAAACTGAAATTCACGCAGTTTTAGCCAAAAACCTTCAAACGGATAAATGTTATTTGCGACTTGACCAATTTAACGCTCTTGCGCTAAAAAAATTCGCAATAGCCTATACAATCGGTGTATCGAGAGACAAATGAGAAATTATCGATTTTTCGTGGCTAATCTGGCAAAAAACACAAATTTCGCGCCAATGTATCGTTCTATTGGGCGGGGCGCACTTGCGCCCATTGTCAGCTCTGGAGAGCGTGTGTATTATTATATTAGTGAATAAGTGAAACTTGGTAAATTATTTGTGAACTTTCTGAAACACTAAAAAAGTTTGTGGCTTTCGCAAAGTCTTCTTGCTAATTTCAGTTGTTCGAATTCGGAAAGTTTGAAGAATAGTTGTTTTGTGGCTTCTGTCAAACTGACGACCAGAGTTGCGCGGAAGAACTCAACGGAAGAACACGGAAGAATTTTTATCTTTTTTAGAAATTTTTTTCAGGAAATGTGATCAACTGACGAAATGTATAGCAAAGTGAACTCTGCTCATAGAAAAAGAATTGTAAATTTAGCTTTTCATACAAAAAAGTGATTCCTTCCGTCTTCCGTTAGCCTTCCTTTTTTCACGGAACAACTCGAATAACTTTTTTGTATGAAAAGCCAAATTTGCAATTATTTTTCTATGAGCACAGTTTACTTTGCTATACATTTCGTCAGTTGATCACATTTCATGAAACAATTTTCTAAAAAAGATAAAAATTCTTCCGTTGAGTTCTTCCGCTCAACTCGTCACTGACGACATTGATCCATATTTGCAAGGGGCTCAATCGGGCCACTTTTCTTCTATTACTTCTAGGTACTTAGCCCAACTAAAGCCGCTGTTCTGTCATTCATAAAAAATGACTCGATTGTAATAGTATCATTGAGATATCAGTGAGGCAAAACGTAATGGAATGGCTAGACGAGAAGATGAATTGATTGAGAGAAAAGAGTCGGGAGCTTCATTCCTTTCTCTCTCTCTCTTTCGAATGAATGAATGAATGTCACCGGACATGTAATAGCAGGTGGGTGTCCGGCCGATTCATTTCGAGCGAAGAGAATGAGTGGGAGAAGAAGAAGAAAAAGAAGAAGAAGAAGAAAAGGAAGAAGAAGCGAGAGGGATGAGGTGCCAGTTGTTGTTCGTTTGGCAAATGAATGCTCTTTGGAGTGATGGTCATGGGATGGGATGGAATGAGAATTTTGGGCCCGAACTTTGAGAATATCAACATGACTTCTGCACTGGGGCTCACAAATTTCATGGGCCGGTCCTTGGAAGATCATATGCACCTCGGCCCCGCTTTTCATACCTCTGCTGTTCTGATAAAAGTATAATTGTATTGTGCTCTTCAAAATGACCCAGGTTAGTGGGGTTTTTGGTGACGAGAAACCGAAAGGTAATTGCTGGAAAAGGGATAGAGCAAAACACGCTCCAATCCCTTCCAGGTTCAAAGTCGACAAGCCAAAAGATCTGGCATTGTGTTCTTCCCAGAGAATTCCTCCTAAAAAGGCAAGATCGTGGCAAGAAAAAGGCAAGATCGTGGCAAGATCGTAAAGACACAAGTCCTAACAAGGTACCCAACTAGAAAACACGACAATAGTTAGGTGCTGAGACCGCCCCAGGATCGCCCTTACCGCTTCACAAATTTTACTCCCCTGTAGCATTGAAGTCGCACAGAGCTACTTGAGATGGAGAATTTAAAACTAAAAACCTTGCTCCTTCTTCTGCAGCTCCTCCAATCGAATAGAGTGGACTTTCCCCTTTCGCTCCTCAAAAAATGTTGGTAAATTGAGTTTACGACACACTTTTCTGTTTACTTCCTCGCCAAAAACGGCTAGAAAAGTGGGGGGATGAGATGAATGTGCACACGGATGTAGGCTATGTATAAATATATATATATAAATATATATATATATATACCTTATGTGAATTATTTATGGGCAATGGAAGAGAAGGAGGAGGAGGAGGAGAATGTAGACGGGTGCGTCAGAAATGGAGATGGATTTGCTGAAAGGGATCCTGGAACTGTGTTAACTTTGAATGCCACAACGCATTCTCAATATTATCTAGTAAGAGAAACAGGTCTAAATACCTATAAGTTCACAATGAACCAGAGTTGAGCGGAAATGGAATTTTGAAATCCGGAAGACGGAAGACGGAAGAAAATTTTTTTACGGAACGCGGAAAACGGAAGACGGAATAAAACTGTTTTACGGAACGCGGAAAACGGAAGACGGAACAAAAAAAACGTCAATGCAAAACCTTTTTCTCCGGTTTTTTTTTTTTTGGAAAAAATAACTAAGCAACAAAAATTCTGGATCTAGGTCAGTGCCCGTAGAAATTCGCGTTCTTCGGGGCTAGTAAATGGCTTCTGAAAAGCTATTATTACTCTTTTACGGTAAGAAGAAAAAATCCCGGAAGACGGAAGACGGAAGACGGAAGACGGAAGAAAACCTTTTTCCCGGAAGACGGAAGACGGAAGAAAACCTTTTTCCCGGAAGACGGAAGACGGAAGAAAAAAATCCACGGAAGACGGAAGACGGAAGACGGAATTCCGCTCAACACTGCAATGAACGTTTATTCGAAAGCAAGAGAGAGAGAGAGAAACAAGTAAATAATGAAAAGAAAAGACAGTCCGCGAAATCTTCCTCCATTCCTTTCTTCTTTGATCCACTCGAAATCCTTCTCATCGTACATGACTTCAGGAATTCGACGGACTTTCTTCGACTTCTTGGTCATTCTCCGTTTCGGACCATTTGTGATCGGCTTTCGAGAAGAAGTCTTTGTGGTCCCGAGTTCAGGTTCAGATTTAGAGATCGTTGTTCCGTTAGTGATGGGAGCCAAAGTTGAGGTGGATGCTTCGGAAATCGAGGATGGTTCATCAGAACTCGTCAGTGTTTCAGTTGAAGATGAAAGAAAAGTGGGCAACTCTGAGGACGTTGTCGTGGAGCGATTTGTTGTGGTAGACGTGGCAGAAGACGTGGCAGAAGAAGTGGCAGAAGACGTGGCAGAAGACGTGGCAGAAGACGTGGCAGAAGACGTGGCAGAAGACGTGGCAGAAGACGTGGCAGAAGACGTGGCAGAAGATGTCAATATCAAAAGTGCTAGCACCAGCGATGTCTTCATGACGGAGCAATGAGTTGGCAAAAGAAAAAAAAAGAGCCCAGAAACATGTGTGAACTAGGATGAGTTCAGTTCAGTTCAGTAGAATGCACAAATTTAATGAGTTTAGAATCAAAAAGTCTACGCGACGACCTTCTTGGCAACAAGCTTCCGGAACACTCTGCGGTGCTTGCGGACGGCGACGGAACGCGACGGGCACGGGCAGTAGCTCCCGAGTTTCCTGGCTGTCCTGGCGCTCCGGCTGGTCCCTGTGGTCCTGCTCGTCCTGGTCCTCCGCCGACGGCGTTTTGTCCTGGGGCATCGGCTGGCCCGGGAGCTCCCGGGGTTCCTGGAGCTCCGGTGGGTCCTTCGGTATTAGCACGAACTTCCGCGTCGGAGGCAGTGGCGTGGCGATAAACTGCGAACGATTAACGCTTTATTCACTCAGTCGGACAATACTACAAAACGGTTCAAGCGGAGCAGACTCCCGAGTGTTTGCAGATGCGCGGCATGTAATTCCAGAGAGCCATGTGTCTCGACGGCGTCGTTTTGTCGCCCCAAGCAGTCATGTGGATGCCGAACGCGGCGACTCGTCCGTCGGGAGTGACTCCGGTCAACGGACCTCCGTAATCAAACGTTGTGAGACCTCCGCTCGTGCAAATTTCATCGGGATGCTCGCAAATGCCCACCTAAGAACAGTGTTCCATAAACTACCCAATTACTCTTATCATCTTACCGAAACTTTCGCCTGTTTTCTGTTCTCACTCCATGCAATGGGTCCATGCGCTCGGAGCACACTTCCCGGCTCCAGCTGATCATCGTAGAGAAGCGATTCTTCGGTCGGCGTGCAGACTGGAGTCATCGGCACATTCGAAGCAAACTCGACGAGCACGATGCCCCATGGACCTTTCGTAGCGTCGCAGAGTCCGAAGTAGGTGGCTTTCACCACTTTCGCTTGCTTTCGCTTGTCGCCCACCAGGTACCGTACACTAATTAAAAGTCCCGTCTTTGTCACGTCCATCTCGCCGTTCCGACACTCTTCCGCTGGTTTCATCGGTTCGCCGTCGCGCAGATTCAGCCATTTCCAATCTTTGAAGACGGACAGCACGTGGATGACGGCGTGACGAGGGGAGATGAGGGTTCCAGTCATCGCCATCGTCTGCGGTCCGTAGGTGATGTCGAGAGCCCACGGAATCTTGACCGTCCTGTACATTCCCTCGACAATCTTCCGTTGCGATGTCTTGGGCAGAACTCCACAGCTGGCGATTCGTTTCGCGTTCTCATCTCGGGATAGCTTCTCGGCGTCAATCGCAAGGAAGCTGACGGCCAAGAGAAGAAGAAGAAGGAGCACGATGGCCTTGCTCATTTTCAGTCGAAACCGATGGGGCATTTCGCTTGCCAGCTCCATTAAATAGACCCGTATCTAATCAGTTAGCTGATTAGACAAAGCCCAAACCTTTTCGGTTCACGTGATTAACCTGCCGGACGTGTGAGGGTCAATGTGGATCCGAGAAACACCTTTTTTTTGTTGTTTTTCCGTCTCTTTCTCGCAATACAATGAATCTTGTCGCATGGATACTTGTGCTCCTCCTCCAGCCACACTGATGTTCGTCAGTCTGTCACTTTTTTTCAGGTCTTTGCATCCCATCAACTTGTAAGGACACTCACTTAAACCGCCTTCTTCTTCTCGTCAAAGAGTACGTGTTCAATCAGACGATCCACGTGGAATCGATCTATTGTGCCGACGGAACGGACGACGAATGGAGTGTCAAAAAGATTTCTCTTTTCTGCTTTACACGGTCTCCAGAGCTTACAATGGGCGCAAATGCGCCCCGCCCAATAGAGCGATACATTGGCGCGAAATTCTAATTTTAACAGCAAAATTTGTGTTTTTTGCCAGATCAGCCACGAAAAATCGATAATTTCTCATTTGTCTCTCGATAGACAGATTGTATAGGTCATTACGAATTTTTTAAGGGCAGGAGCGTCAAATTTGGTCAAGTCGCAAATCACATTCATCCGTTTGAAGGTTTTTGGCTAAAACTGCGTAAATTTCAGTTGCTTTTCGGTAATTTTTGCTGTTCGAGCGCTCAAAATGCTTGTATTTACGTGATTTATCATTCTCAAAACCAATTCTGCCGGAAAACGGTCAAGAAAGCGCAAAATGAGAAGTGCGGTTTTTAGGCGGCGAAGGCGAAAAAGCAAAGTCGGCGAAAAATGCGCCAAAACGTCATTAATTCTGTGAGAATTAGTGTGTTTTCATGTCGAACAATCATTTTTTATCGCCGTTGACCACAAAAATCAGAGAAAACCTGCTCAATTCATGAAAACGCCATTTGGCCGATGCGACGCCCATATTGCATAGTTGCCACGGGCCGGGCCGGGCCGAAATTTCCAAAACTCCGGCCCGGCCCGGCCCGGTCGGCCCGGTTCAAAAAGCGGGAATTCAAAATTTGAATTATTGATCGCATGAAGCCATTTTTTGTAGAATTAGGGGTTTTTTGCAAGCATCGAACATTGAAAAGCAAATGTATTTCTCATAAAAAATTCATAATAGCAAAAAAACAAAGAAGAAACACTAAGACTTTAGTTCGAAAATTTTTTTGTAATAACGAAAAAAAAAATTTCCGCGAAAATTTGAATTCCCGCCTTTTGAACCGGGCCGGCACTTTACCGGCCCGAAATCTGGCAAGTCTGCCATATTGTCAGCTGTGGAGACCGTGCGTGGCGATAAACTGCGAACGATTAACGCTTTATTCACTCAGTCGGACAATACTAGAAAACGGTTCAAGCGGAGCAGACTCCCGAGTGTTTGCAGATGCGCGGCATGTAATTCCAGAGGGCCATGTGTCTCGACGGCGTCGTTTTGTCGCTCCAAGCAGTCATGTGGATGCCGAACGCGGCGACTCGTCCGTCAGGAGTGACTCCGGTCAACGGACCTCCGTAATCAGGCAAAGTGCGACCTCCGCTCGTGCAAATTTCATCCGGATGCTCGCAAATGCCCACCTAAACGATAATCATACGCAGCAGAGTTGCGCGGAAGAACTCAACGGAAGAATTTTTATCTTTTTTAGAAAATTTTTTGATGGAATGTGATCAACTGACGAAATGTATAGCAAAGTGACCTCTGCTCATAGAAAAAAAATTGTAAATTTAACTTTTCATACAAAAAAGTTATTCCTTCCGCCGTCCGTTAGCCCTCCTTTTTTCACAACTCGAATAACTTTTTTGTATGATAAGCTAAATTTACAATTATTTTTCTATGAGCACAGTTCACTTTGCTATACATTTCGTCAGTTGATCACATTTCTTGAAAAAATTTTCTAAAAAAGATAAAAATTCTTCCGTGTTCTTCAGTTAGGTTCTTCCGCTCAACTCTGATACGCAGGTGAAAACTTTTACCAGAAGCTTGACAATTATCTTACCGTAACTTTCGCCTGTTGTCTGTTCTCACTCCATGCAATGGGTCCATGCGATCGGAGCACACTTCCCGGCTCCAGCTGATCATCGTAGAGAAGCGATTCTTCGGTCGGCGTGCAGACTGGAGTCATCGGCACATTCGAAGCAAACTCGACGAGCACGATGCCCCATGGATCTTTCGTGGGGTCACAATGTCCAAAGTACGTCGCCTTCACCACTTTCGATCTCCGCCGCTGCCCGTTCATCATGTAATGGACACGAGAAAACAGTCCGACCGTCGTCACGTCCATCTCGCCGTTCCGACACTCGTCCGCTGGTTTCATCGGTTTCCCGTCGCGCAGATTCAGCCATTTCCAATCTTTGAAGACGGCCAGCTCGTGGATGACGGCGTGACGCGAGGAGATGAGGGTTCCGCTCAACATCCAGTCGTGTGGTACGTAGCGGATTTCGAGCGCCCACGGAATCTTGACCGTTCTGTACATTCCCTCGACAATCTTCCGTTGCGATGTCTTGGGCAGAACTCCACAGCTGGCGATTCGTTTCGCGTTCTCATCTCGGGATAGCTTCTCGGCGTCAATCGCAAAGAAGCTGACGGCCAAGAGAAGAAGAAGAAGGAGCACGATGGCTTTGCTCATTTTCAGTCGAAACCGATGGGGCATTTCGCTTGCCAGCTCCATTAAATAGACCCGTATCTAATCAGTTAGCTGATTAGACAAAGCCCAAACCTTTTCGGTTCACGTTATTAACCTGCCGCACGTGGGAGGGTCAATGTGGATCCGAGAAACACCTTTTTTTTTGTTGTTTTTCCGTCTCTTTCTCGCAATACAATGAATCTTGTCGCATGGATACTTGTGCTCCTCCTCCTCCTCCTCCAGCCACACATTCATGGATCGCTTCTCGAGAACACCGAAACGATTCTCATGAGGTTTCTAGAAAACGAGACGAGTTTCGACGCGTTCGTCAACAAATTCAAAATCTCCGACGGTACGTACGTTGGGTGTGTGCACATTCGTTTCGATTTTTCCAAAACATCCAGAAGACAACCTCTGTCTGAGCTCGCTTCAAAACGTGGGAAGCGTGGCGGCGAACTTTCTCGCCAACTGCACTCTGACCGACGAGAAGTGCACGGAACCGAATTGGGCAGTCCGTCTTCTCGACGCGCTGCCCACGAAACCGCCCGGACTCTCGCGAAAAGGACCGTTCTTCTTTATTGGCGACTTTGAGGTTTGCAAGGATTTGTGGACGGTCGACGAGATGCAAGTGCACTATTGTACGGTCAAGGGGATGGTGCAGGTGGGCGGCGGGCAGAGGATGTCGCCGATCAGCGCAGGTTAGTCTCGCATCTTTGATGATGTTCGCCAGTCTGTCACTCTTTTTCAGGTCTTTGCATCCCATCAACTTGTAAGGACACTCACTTGAACCGCCTTCTTCTTCTCGTCAAAGAGTACGTGTTCAATCAGACGATCCACGTGGAATCGATCTATTGTGCCGACGGAACGGACGACGAATGGAGTGTCAAAAAGGTTTTTATTTTGTGCTTTATGAATCTACAACCTATTGAACAGTGAGGAGAAGCCGATTGACAATACTGAAAATTACAATTTCAGCCATACGTCCTGTTCGTCTTCTTCTCCATTCTCGCACTTTTGGTCGTCGGCACACTTGTGGAGAAGATGAATCGAGAAGGCGTGATCCGGAGAAGTCGGACGAAGATGAGAAGGTTGATGAACAGGAGTAAGTCTTTCCATAAACATCACCACAACGCACGGCGGGACCAAAAACGTAGAAAGGGGCGTGCACGGTTTATCACCATTGTGGCGCGAAATTCGAAATTTAACCCCATTTTTCATGTTTTTCGTCAATAATTACCCAAATTTTGTACGATTTCGACGATGTAATTGCATAATTTTGTTAAGCTAATCATCGCGCACTTTTTGAGCTTAAAACGAGCAGGTTTCATTCAGAAATGAATCAATTGAATCGATTTTCAAGTTTTGTGTTGAAAATGCGCGAATTTCAGTCATTCGCCGAGACTTTTTGTCGTTTGAACGCTTAAAATACTCGAATTAACGTGCTTCATCACTTCCGACACTCACTTCGTCTCAAAATTATCCAGATCGGGCGGTATGAAAATTCCGAAATTGCGGCGGCGATTGGCCGCGGAGAGCGTATTGCGAAATATGCCAAAAACGTCTCAAACGCGGCGTTTTCACGAAAATTTCAATGTTTTTTCTCTTTAATGTCATCTTTCGTCGATATCAAACACAAAAATATCGGAAAAGTGCTGGAATTGCGGCAATTCGCGCATTTTCAGCACAAAACTTGAAAATCGATTAAATTGATTCATTTCTGAATGAAACCTGCTCGTTTTAAGCTCAAAAAGTGCGCGATGATTAACGTTTAACAAAGTTATGCAATTATACCGTATAATTTATACGTCGTCGAAACCCGTACAAAATTTGGGTAATTTTTGACGAAAAACATGTGAAAAATGGGGTTAAATTTCGAATTTCGCGCAAAAATGGTGATACACGACCCTTTCTACAAACCGACCGTTTACAGAGTCGTTCTCCCCGACGCGCTCCGAATCGCCGTGCGCGAACCGTTCAGACCGAACCTCCTGCGGCCAGGACACTGAGGACGACTCGTCGGTGGCCAACTCGTCGCTCCGTCGCTCATTTGCCCCGTCCATCGCGCTCACCTACCGTAACCTCTCGTCGATCTTCGTCTCCAACTCGCTTCTCGTCGACATTCTCGCGGCGTTCTCGGTCCGCTCCTCGCTGAACCACCTCTTCCGCAACTCGACGCGCGAAGTGAAACTAGTGAACTTGTTGCGAGTCACCAGCTCCTTCTGGGTCATCTTCTCGCACACGTGTCTCTTCTCGCTGCACTTCACCGACACGGTGCGGAGTGTCGCCGAGAATCGGGGAAAGAGTGCGCGCGGATGGAAGAGCTTCATGATGAACTCCTCGTTGGCCGTCGACACGTTCCTGTTTCTGTCGGCGTGTGTCGCCAGTTACTCGACGCGGAAACGACTGCTTTTCAGGTACAGGCCAGAGTTGAGCGGAAGAACTCACGGAAGAATTTTTATCTTTTTTAGAAAATTTTTTCATGGAATGTGATCAACTGACGAAATGTATAACAAAGTGAACTGTGCTCATAGAAAAATAATTGTAAATTTAGCGTTTCATACAAAAAAGTTATTCGAGTTGTTCCGTGAAAAAAGGAGGGCTAACGGAAGACGGAAGGAATAACTTTTTTGTATGAAAAGCTAAATTTACAAATATTTTTCTATGAGCAGAGTTCACTTGCTTGCTCACATTTCATGAAAAAATTTTCTAAAAAATATAAAAATTCTTCCGTGTTCTTTCGTTGAGTTCTTCCGCTCAACTCCGGTACAGGCCCTGGAAAATGTCGTAATTTTTCCTTTTTTGTTGCCTTTCAGAGGCTCCGACTCCTTCTCGATCCGTCGATTCTTGTCTCTTCTCGGCCACCGCTGCTTCCGTCTCTTGCCTGCCCTCTGTCTCTATCTCACGTTCATCGGTGTTGTCTACAATCATCTGGCTGATGGTCCCTTCTGGAACACTAACGGTACGTCTCTCGGAGGGGAAACTTGTGACCTCAAGCACGTGTCTCTTAGGAATGTTCGGCACGGACTGCAACGCGTCGACCCTCTGGCCGCACTTCTCCTTCCTCGCCAACTTCTTCCCGTCGACGTGTGTTCCGTGGCTCTGGTACATTTCGCTGGATTTCCAACTCTACCTCCTCCTCCTCCCACTTCTCTTCTTCTTCCTCTCGAAATTCCGTTTCGGATGGCTACCCGTCGTCTTTTTGTGCTTCACCTCGTTGACGTACAGGAGTTTGGCCTACGCCTGGTACACGTGAGTCGGAAGTTTGAGTCTGTAACGGGAAAATTGACAATGTTCAGATTGCCGGCGAACATGTTCGTCGAAATGTTGTCGGGAAAGTTTGAGAAGGCCGAAATGTCGTTTAGACTGTTGTACACGTCGCCGGTGTCTAGAGCTCCACCGTTTTTGATAGGTATGTACATGCCCTGCCAAACTATAGAATTCTACTAAACATCGCGCGCACTGTCTCGCCAACAGCTAATGCTAAATTGAGCGCCGCGTTAAAACGGAGTGTCGTTGAAATTTCTGGATTTTTTTTCCGAAAACCCGAAATTTCATCCGAAAATGAGAAAAATGAAGTAAAGCAGAAAATTTCCGAATTGTTAATGACAGCTGTGACAAAAAAATAAATAAATTCGCGTTTTGCCCACACGAAAGCGCGCATTATTACACTTTTCTGTGAATTTCAGTCCGTGTCCTCAAAAACTGAAATTTCTTAGCCATTTTTGCATTTTATGAGCCGTCTCTGTGCTCAAAATGACCGCCTTTGTCTGCTGAACAATCGTGAGGCAACTGTTTTTCGATTCTGTCAACTGTTTTCTCAAAACTTCCGAAAGTTCGCGTTTTCTCAAGCCAAATTTAAAAAACGAAATTATTCTTCGAATTTTCACTTTTACACGAGCACTCTGCGATCATTTTTTAGCTATCGGTCATATGAACAAATGTGAGGCAAAAGTTTTGAAGGAAAAGTGTGCATAATCCGCAAAACTCGGGAAAACATCGTTTTCAGTTGAAAAAACGTATCCCGTAAATCGACACTGAGAGCCGCGCGAAAATTTTTTTTCGCCGAAGGGGGAGACAGTGTGCATCGATATAATTTCAGGAATCCTAACCGGCTGGTACATTTGCCAGCCGCGTTTCTTCGGTTCAATCCGTTCGTCCGTCTCTATCGCCCTCAAACTGCTCGCCATCGCCCTTTTGATATTCTCGCTCTTCGGACCCTTCTCCTCCTCGGACTATCTGATCTACCCGCACGCGGTCATCCATCGGACCGTCTGGGCCCTCGGATTGGCCATTCTCGTCACGATGGCTCAGATCGGTCACAACTTTGGCGTCTTCAAAGTGTTCAGCGGACGTCGTCTCGTCGTTTTGTCAAGGTTTGCAAGTTTTCGGGCTTCAGTACTTTTGAGAGTGGTCGTACGCAAAAGTTGTCAACTAGAAAATTCAAGTGCTAGGTGTGAAGTTTTCACCCAAAAAATTTTTGGAACTAGAGCACTTTTTAAAACTGTGAGGTGTCCATGCAAAATTGACAATTTTTAAAACTTTTTTTCAATCGATTTGCAGACTCTCATTCGGAGTGTACTTGTCGCATGAGCCGATTCTCTTGTATTATTTGAACACTCTGCGCCAACCGATGTCGCCCTCCTCGTTCGCCGATTTCTTCTTCATCGCCCTCTCCGTCTACATTCTCTCGCTCGCCTGTGCATTCTTCATCGCCATCGCCGTCGGTACGTCGTTTCAATTTGCAATATTCATTCAGTTCACCAACGTTAAAAAGTTCAGAAGTGCCTCTTTTGACGCTCGAACGAAAAATCTTCATGACAATCCGAAAAGCGGGCGGAGAAGTGGTCAAAGAGCGAATGGAACGGCACGTTTCGTTTGGCGACACTGAAATTGAGTGGGTTTTGTCTCGTTTCCCTAGAGAAAATCACTTTTTAGGACATTTGAAAAGACGGAAGACGATGCGATGGATCCACACGAGAAAACGAGACAATGGATCGAGAAAGAGAAGCTCAACTTGATTGCCGAGGAAGTGCACAGCCCGTCGAAAATTGAGGAAAACGCGAAAACATCGACAGAATGCTAAATTTGATGAAGATTTACAAAATTGCTTGCTCTCGCGCGGGCTCGAACCGCCGGCCTTTTGTGTTTTCGGCATGAGAGTTTGGCGGCCAAAAATCGGGCAGGGGCTCCGCTTGCTCGGTATTCCGGGTACTTCTGGTATTCAGCTGGTATTTTAACCCCTGTCGGACTTGGTCAAAACTTGGTCAATTGTCACTCCGAGCAATTCGAAACGACCAACTTTGAATTCATCGAGCAAGCGGAGAGCCGTGGTCGAAAAAACCTGTCAGATCGGAAACGAGTTCAGCGCTTCAACGCAGATCGAAGTCAGCCGTTCGGCGAGGATTTCAAGCGAAAAACTCGGATGGGCTGCGAAGTTCCAGACGAGGAAGCGGATTCTTTTTCGATTTGATTACACTCGATCGATCACAACATTTTCATGCACTTGTACAACACCCGGAAACTCACACGCTCATTTTTGCCAGTTCGCCCGCGCTTCATCGTCGCCGGTTGTCCGTTTATCCGCGCGCCTCGCCCTCATTTCACCCGCCACGCTGTCTCCCGTTCGGCGAAAAAAATTTTCGCGCGCTTTTTTGCGTGCGGCTCTCAGTGTCGATTTACGGGAGACGGTTTTTCAACTGAAAACGATGTTTTCCCGAGTTTTTGAGATTGTGCACAGTTTTGCTTCAAAACTTTTGCCTCACATTTGTTCATATTATAGCCTATATATAATTTATAATTTATAGGGGCACCGGATAGAAAGGGCGCGCTGTTCGCAATCTGGCAGAATTTCTAGGCCGCGAAGTAATTTTCCACTGAAAACGTGGCCTAACTTTTCAAACTCGGCCCCGAGGTGGCTCAATTTGCACTGCAAAAAGAGTTTCTCAACAGAGCGCCATTTCTGTGCGGTGCCCCTATAATATGACTGATAGCTACAAAATGATCACACAGAGTGCTCGTGTAAAAGTGAAAGTTCGAAGAGTAATTTCGTTTTTTAAAATTGGCTTGAGAAAACGCGAACTTTCGAAAGTTTCGAGAAAACAGTTGACAGAATCGAAAAACAGTTGCCTCACGATTGTTCAGCAGACAAAGGCGGTCATTTTGAGCACAGAGACGGCCCATAAAATGCAAAAATGACTGAGAAATTTCAGTTTTTGAGGATCCGGACTGAAATTCACAGAAAAGTGTAATAATGCGCGCTTTCTTGTAGACAAAACGCTAATTTAAGGTCACAGCTGTCATCAAAAATTCGGAAATTCTCTGTTTTACTTCATTTTTCTCATTTTCGGTTGAAATTTCGGGTTTTCGGAGAAAAAATCCAGAAATTTCAGACCTTCTTTTGTTTTCAACGACACTCCGTTTTAACGCGGCGTTCAATTTAGCATTAGCTGTTGGGGAGACAGTGCACCACAAGATCGAAAACAGAAATGTTATCAAAAACTGTTGAAGAAATGCATTTTCATTTTGTTAAAAAAAGTGCAAGCTGTCAGTGCTCCGAAACGTTGAAACAGTGTAGTTTTCCGTGCGCATCCCCCAATTTCTAACTAGTTGGTCGCCAATCGGTTCCGTCCTCTTCTCCAATCAACCAGAAATTGGCGAAAGACCGGCACACGGTTCTTTGTGGTTTTGGCAAGTGAAACGGTGATGAGTCAATCGGCGGAAGATGCGCTGATTCGATTACAGTGCCAAGTTTGACGAAACGCTGCAATTTTCTCATGTGACTTTCGAATTGAGCGGCTAAATTCCAACTTGATGACTCGGAAATTGATTCTGGAACAAAGAACAAGTCTACTTGGATAGACATTTTTATTCATAAAGTGTTATTAATCTGGAAGCATGCTCAATTTATAGCGAAATTCTAAAAGAAAGGCAGTTGTTTGGGGGGTGGTCAAAATGCGAACATGGAAATTATGAAAACGTTGGGGGCGAGAAAAATGCGAAGAGTTGGGAGAAAACCCGATTTATTTTGGGGGCTGGGAATGGGTGTGAGCTTTTTGGATGAAACGGAAAGTTATCGATTGATTGGCTGCTTAAGCACGTCCGTAATACGGCCAATACGCGTACGGATTGTATCCCATCGTCGCCACTTGCTGATCTTTCGATGGGACCGCCTGAGCCTCGAGAGCGACTCGCTTCGCGTTCTTGTTCGCCTGCAATAATTGGATTATAGTTGTTCGCATTTTCACACACTTTTCGGGTCTAAACATGATCAGGCTTGGGCAAATTTCCAGGCTTTTTGAGGTCTGGACTTTTGCGCCACTTGTAATAATCGGATCGGGCCCAAACTTTGCAGGCTTTTTGGAATTGGATTGAAGTACGTCGGGTCCAAGTTTCAGATCGATCGGATCATCCGGTCCCGAGAAATGTGAGGCCAAAAAGGCATATCCGGGGGCCGGAGAATCGGATGGGTCTAAATCTTGAATCCGAAATACTACCGCCATTTTTTTCCAGATTTTTCTTGCAAAATTCTCCATCATCGGAGAGAATTTAGCTAATATTTCGGAAAGACTTTAATGAAACCACTTTCCTATCGTAGAGCTGTTTTCGTTTTCACTTTTCTTGAAACCGACAATATTTTCTCAATTTTCAAGTCTTCAACCCAATCGGATATTATCAATTTCCCCCCGGGAATGCAATCTCGGTTATCGATAATAAAATGTCTCAAGTATTTAGGTTAACCCGCTCCATATCAATTGATAAATATCTTTCTCTATGTGTGTGTGTGTCGTCCGTTTTATTCGCAAACGGTTTCATTCCATTTGATACGTTAGTGACCTTTATGGGATCGGACAATATCTGTCGGAGAGAGAAGGAGAAGAAGAAGAAGAAGATATTATCGGGTTCTGATAAAAGTTTCATAGCTTCTACTCTATTCGGACCGACTCTATGGTAGAACAAGGATGAAAGGAATGGGTTGAATCTTCAGCCGCTTTTTCTTTATTTCAGAGTCTTCCCGCGGTACCGTCTAGTACGTGTAGAGTTTGAGGATTGAAAGAAATCAGTGGGATTGATGTCTATTTTGGTGGCTAACAATTTGACTAAAAACTTTGTATTTAAATGTGAGCGAGATTAAATTGGTTTTGTGTCGTTAGTCAGATCTAAAGATTATTCTCTTACTTCATTTCCCCCAGTCTTTTCTCAAATCATTTCCCAGGTCGCCCTTCAGATCTCTCGACAACAAAAACAACAATATTGGAAAGGGGCAACGAGACGAAATCACAAAAAAAAACCGGTTTTGCCCCCGTTTACTTCTTTCGAATCAACTACAATAGAACTATCATCAATCCTATTATTCCATTTTCGTCCATAGGCTGCTGCAGTGCATTAAAAAAATACATTTTTGCGGCGCGCTACACACACACACTGTCTCTAGCAATTTGCGTGAAAATTGGATAGACCGGTTACTTTTTGTTGCTGTGAATTATTGTTATTACACGCGCCGAGAGATCAGTTCGGCATGGATGGGTACAAATGTACGCGAACGACAATAAATATCGATTGATTTCGGGTTTCAAGAGGATGTTTGGACACTTATTTAAAAAGTGACATATTTTTAAAATAAAGGTCAAAGAGACGACGAGAAGTGCACGCGGATATCGATTTTTCGGATAATTCTGTCCGAGTTCCGATTCGACATTGCATTTTCTTAAAAATAGGCAAAAAATGACCCCCCGAACAGTGATTTTCTGTGACTTTCTCATCGGGAACGGAAAAATGAATGTCAAGAGACTGCACTCATTCACTTTTCGAATGCGGAGGGTCATAAGGTGGAATCGGCGGACGGAAGAGTGTCGAAAAGAAAAAGAAATGGGCACAGATTACGAGAGGAGATAAATAAACGAATAAACGACAGTATCGGGGAGAGAAAAACGGAAAAAAATGCAGAGATTTTTCTCGGATTTTTATCGATTTTACTAAGTTTTCTGTGAAATTTTAACGATTTTCTGTGCATTTCTGTTCTTTTACAGTTTGTTTTCAAAAAAAGGCATAGAAAGAAAGTGAATATTGAATAAAAAGCGTACCTTTTTGGCGTTCAAGCACGCCGAGCACGAGGCGATGCACATCGGAAGGGCCAGAACGAGCGAGACGACGGCGGCGGCGATGACGGCGAACGCGGCGATTGTGGCCCACATTCGGATGCGGATCTGAAAACACAAAATTCTTTTTTTTTTCTCATTAAAATTCCCTGTTTGACAATGTTTTCACTGTCAATTTAGCGCTTTTTAGATGCAGTGAGGAGAAGAGAGGGAGAAAGTTCGGCCCTCGTCCCGTGAACTGTCGGCTGCTGATTTCGCCGGCCGGCGGCAGTTCTAATGCGTGCTGTTCGCAGAATACTTCTTCATTTTTTCTAATTTTTTGGGAATAAGTTAATTATAATTGAAAGTCGCAAGCAGCAACAAGAAACTCGCAGAAATGTCTAGGGGTCACTGGCAAAACAGCTTTTTTTCGAGGTATGACTGTTCGTGCGTGCTTTTTGTGTCTCTTTGTAAGTCTTCATCATAATGAACTCATTCCCAAAAAATCGAGTGAAATGAGTCGGTATTCGTTCGACGGCACGCATCTAAAGTCTCGGAACAGGCCGGGCGGCGTGCTCTCCTTTTCTGTGCGCCAAAACTTGAAGTGCGCGCTTTCGGAAGAGTTCTGAGTCATTTTTGCTAATTTTTCTGACAATGCGTTTATTATGATCATAAAAACTTACAAGGAGACACAAAACGCTCACACGAGCTGAATCTCAGAAATTCATGCGAGTTTTTTGTTGCGCTTCACGGAACCCCAGCCTTCCAATAAAAAATTCCCTTGGCGCAATTCAGGTGCGCTAAACAAGGCGCGTAACGCGTAATTTCGGAACGTCGTTGTAGAGTTTCTCATTTCAATTTTCCCTTTTTTTGCATTATTCCCATCTTTTCAGAACCAATCAGTGTCAAAACTTATGATAATGATTAGAAATGAATAAAAAATAAAATTTTAACTGCTTCCTCATCAATTTCGAAACGTTTTATGTGAAAATGACAGAATTTTTTTCCTGTTGGAATCGAAAATTTGCCTCAATTATCTCAATTCTGTATATTTTTCGACGGTTGAGCGCTTAAAAGATGCGCAATAAACTCCTTGTTGACTGGACGGTTCGAATGCTAGTGTCCGAACTCGATTCGGCAAATGATCGTTAAAACTCCGTTTTTTCAGTAGTTTTCGACAAAGCCCTCAATTTGGTCAATTCTGAACGAATCTGCTCCGTTTCGCGCTTAAATCGATGCTTTTACCTCACACAATCGCCCCACGGTTCGCAAAGAACAAAATTTAAGTGTTTATTAAGAGAAAAACGAAAGAATTCTGGGTTTCAATTGAAAAAAGAAACTCCGAGCCGACGGTGGATGCAAGCGCGCCCCATTGACAACTTGCTTGCGCATTGGAATGCTGGGGTTCCGTGCGCTTTGCTAGTCTTGATCGCAAAAAGGCTCGGCGCCCTGGCCTAACAGGCGTGGCCTTTCTTGTTCAGCCGGCGGGCTTGGCGGAGACCATATCGATCGGACCCACGTTTTCTTAGGCTTTTTAGACTTGTGCTGAAGTATTTTGGGTCCAAATTTCAAATCGATCGATATATCTTATAAAAACAGCCGCAAAAAGTTTGCACTTTTTCCCATTTTCAACGGTTTCAAGCAAATTTCGAAAGCATTCCATTTTTTCTTGTCGACTCGAATGCAATCGTGTTCTTTCTAATTCTAAATGCCACGCCCATCGCTCAATTCGGCGCACTCACTCCGCATCTCAAGTTGCATGCCGGTTGTTGATCCTTTGGCACGTTGCCAAAAATGTTGTTCACGCACTTTCCGGTGGTGAAAAGCGAGAAGTAGACCTGAAAAAGAAACCGGTTTGCGGCCGGCCGACACACCGTTTTTACCTCTTCGCACTCGTCCTCACAACGCGCCTTCGACTCGTCGTTCGCCGACGAAAAGTACCTAAAAATATAGATTGGAGGGTTTTCGATTGGAAATTATGTCGCTAAGAATTCAGATTGATCCGATTTGTCCCATATTATACCGAATCGATACGCCCATGACACAAAATAAATTTTATAATGCGGCTATTCAGCGTACGTTTGTTTTCCGTTTTTTTTTGTTTTTTTACATCGCTGAATTGGGTTTTTTGACGTAAAAAAACGAAAAAAAACGGAAAAAAAAATATTTTTTTCACACCCCATAAAATTCTGCTACTTCCGCTCGTATTGCATTCCCGAAAACCCGTGAAAACTGTTGTCGAGTAATTTTAAACGTATTTGGGGTTATTCGCAAGGGTGTGGTCGTTTCCCGATCTTCTCGTCGAAATAAACGAATAAAAACGTCTCGATTATCATCAATTTTAGGCGAAAATCCCTCTCTGCGGCATTGAGAATGTCTCACCCGGGCGCGCACGTGCAAATCTGTCCGTTGAAGAGTTGATTGACTGCGCACGCCTGCTGCGCCTCTTGCCCCGAAACGAGCATGACGACGGAGAAGAGGACGGCGGCGAGCACGACCGAAACGGACATTTTGACGGCTCTGCAATTGATTCGAGTTGAGATTCGGTTGAAAACTTGCGCGAAAAATCAGAGGAACAAGTTTGAACTTTGAAGAGTCTTTCCTAAAAAATTTATTTTTTTTTTTAAATTTATTTATTTATTTTTTTTCAAGCCTAACCAATCTAACCAATATCTCATGCTTCAAACCGTCTAAAACTTTGAAAAAAAACCAAACAATATTATCTAACCACCTAAAAATGCAATAGAAAGATAATCTTAACTGCTACAGCACTACTCAAGAAAAGAAGAAAAAGAAGAAGAAGGGGACAGTCCATGTACAGACTGGTGACCCATCAAACGGAAGAAGAAGAAGAAGAAGAAGAAGAAGAAGGCAACAAGAAGAAGAAGAAGAAGAAGAGGAAGAAGAAGAAGGAGATAGGTAGAAATGTATGTAATACAGATAGGGGGGATGGTGGAAGTTGCCGCATTTGGAGAGTGAAAGAGAAAGAGAACAAGTGGGCGGAGCGTCGTCTCGCTATTGTTGGTGAACGAGACGCGAGGTATGCAACAACAAATTTCTGATTTGATTTGATAAATATTTGGAATTCGGAATTCCACCCACAATTCCGGATTCTTGACAAAGATGGATGATGTATAGGAAGAAATCGTGGTGATGATGATATCTGAGAGAATGAGAAGGATGTTGATGATAATGCGGATGATGATGGGAATTCGCAATGACAACACACGACGAGAAAGCGACCATTTCGATGAAGTCTTGGGAGAGACCATCGTTTTAGGCCCGGGATTCGAAATGTGTGCACGTTTTTTTGGGGGCAAGAACATTTTTTTTTTCTTGGTATAAGGCGAGTGACAATTTTCTTAAAGTCTAGAGCAAAAATGAGCAATGGATTATTCCAGACTTGCAACGGGCCGGGCCGGGCCAAAATTGGAAATTTTCCGGCCCGGCCCGGCCCGGGAGGATGCACCTAAAAATTCAAAGCGAACTAGAACTTCGAAACGAACATAATTTTATAGACTTAAAATTGCAACAAATCAGTCAATCGTCGTTTTGCTTCAATTTCGAAGATTCATTGTAAAAACCAGCAGAAATAGAAAAAAAAGACGAAAAAGGCAATGTTGTAGCATAAAAACCTGTTAAAAAATAGAAATTGCTGTTTAAAGTCGCAAAATTTTCACAAAAATTACGAAAATTTTCACAAAAATTACGAAAATTTTCTCAAGAGTGGGCGGAGCGATTGATTGCAACTCTGGCACGCCATTTTAGCAATTTTGCCGCACGCGTTTTCCTCTTCCTTCATATTTTTTTTGCATATTTTTTTGAGGTCTAACTTCCGGGCCGACCGGGCCGGGCCGGGCCGACGATTTGCTGGCCCGGCCCGAGATTTGGCAAGTCTGGATTATTCGAACTCACCGTGAAATTTACTTTCGAAACATATTGGACAGTGTAATAGAAGGACTCATTCAACACGATCTCGGCTGTCTGTAGAGATATCAAAGTGTGGTCAACTAATAAAATGTTCATTGAGACATTTTGTACATTTTATCAGTTGACCACATTTTGATATCTATACAGGCGTTCGAGTTACATCGTTTTGAATGAACGGTCTTATTCAGGCTAGTTCAGGTTTGATTACTATGAAATGATTCGTCAGGTATGTTGGTCATACAAAATCCACCTTGCCTATCAAATTCTGGGTGAGAATAATTATTTTAACGAGGCTCAAACTTCTTCTTCGTCTTGCCCAACATTGCTGGTTTCCATTTTTGATGATGAAAAAACGTTTTGCATCCGAACAAAGACGTCCGTCCTTTTGTCCATTTGATAAAAAAAAAACAAATGGAAAAAAAAGGTTAGAAAGGAATGTGTAATAAAATGATCAGGTTGGCCGGGAAGAACGAGAAACGAAAAACGGTGTAACAAATGGAAGGGAACGGGGAAAAAAAGAGGACAAAGGAACCAAAAATGGGGAAAGTTGAAAGGGGGACGGTAATCAGAATTCAATAATATCAGCAGAGTCCAATCCACTGTGAACATTTTAATCAAAACAACGAATAGACAAATCTGCTCGAATTCATTAAAGTCAACAGTCGAAAAATCCATCAATTTTGGCGAGATAACAACAAAAAAGAAGAAGAAGAAGAAGAAGAAGTCAACAACAATTATGATATCAGGAGAAAAATGGGTTTTCTGAAAATTCGGGCGGTACAGAGGAGAAGTTAAGCGAATTTGGGCGAACATTGTCAGTATTGCGAAGAAATATGGGCAAAAAATCAGGACGACTGCTGTGAGCTTAAAAAGAGTCGAAAAGCGAGTAGGACACGAATGGACTGGTCGCCGGCGGCCAGAAGCGTCGCCTGCGCCTTGAGGAAGCGTCCGAGCTGAGCTTTGTCGGCCGCCGGCATGTACATCTCCTCCACCTCCTGCGTCTGCTGCTTCTTCGTCGCCTCGTCCAGCTCCGCTTGCGTCCGGATATTGTCGATGATCATGTGCATCGTCGCGTCCTTCTCGAGCAGCGCCCGGTTCTCCGTCCGTTCGTGGCGCTGCCGGAGGATCAGGTTGCGGATCAGTTTGCACGTGTACTCCACCAGTCCACGGACCGTTCGCGGCAGATCCACGTAGTAGAGGTAGAAGGTCCGCGCCGGTTGGAAGTCGTTGCTACGGCCCACTGGCTGCAAACAATTTTACTCAAAACTCTCTAATTTTTCCCCCGAAAAAGGGCGCGTACCTTGGTGAAGACGTATCCCTCCTCGACGAGAGCGTAGAGCATCTCCCTCGCCTCCTTGCCGCTCATCATGCTCATTTTCTCGACCTGTTCCTCGTCCAGGAAGTAACGGCTCTCGAGCAGACGCATCACTCGGATCGCCCGTACCTCGAACTGCTCCCGGATCAGCGACTCGCAGTGGTGCCGGCAGATTTGACGCATCGCCCGTTGGATATCTGTAGAATTGGGACATTTCTCTCTCTCTCCACTCTGACGCAAGAGTGGATCCCGGAAGACCGCCGATGAGATGGAGTGATTCGTACGAAACATGGGGCACAAAATAATTTAGCTCTCCATTTTCACAGTTTTCTGTGTGAACTTTTTCAAAGAATAAAAAAGGGGCGTACCGACAGTGAAGAGTCCTCCGTTCGACTCGCCCACTTTTCGGACGATGCCGTCCGATTCGTCAACGAGTATCTGACACGCCAATTCAATGTCCGGCTTCGACAGATTCAGTTGATTGTCTTTGACGAGCCGTTGCAGATCTGTCAACTGAAAAATAATGCATTTTAAAGTTTTTAACAAATTCAGACAGACAAAAAACTGACACTGGCCGTGATGCTGTCCATACTCAGCGGCTTGGCCCTCGTCTCGTTGATCTTGAACATGAGACTGGCGACGTTCTGCGTGATGTACTGTGTCCGATCGGCCCCTTCCTCTCCGTTCTCCTCCTTCCGCACGCCCGTTCCGCCGCCGATCAGGTAATCGATAATGAGTTCGTCGCGGAGGTAGGCCGAGAATCGGAGCCAGTTCAGCCGCCAGTACTGGCCCGCGTCCGCGTCCGCCGGTGCACTTTGCTTACGCTTTCGGGATGCTTCTGCAATTATTCATTTGTGGAAATTGTGAATTTTACCAACATTTCTAGAATTTGATACTAATTTAACAATTGGCTGTAACATTCGCCTTGGATGGCTTGAAATTCATTCCCCACCTATTTACAGCTGGAAAAACAGTACCTGGTTCCTTTTTGACCTCTTTTCCCATAATCTGCGTGGGCAACGTGAACGGATCGTACTTGGCGACGAATTGCGGACATCCGTGGGACTCGCCCTCCACGGCCGCGCATCGGATCACAAACTGCGAGCCGGCGAGCTGCTCGAACGAGTTGCGCACGTCGCTGAGCAGGGCGCTCTCGTCGGAGGCCTGCACGCGGCGGATCGTGTCGGAAAGCGAAAGACGGCCCTGCGAGAACAGCTCCACACAAATGGCCTCCGCCGACGGACCGTACAGGGTCTTTGCGATCAGGCACGCTCTGAAAGTACACGGAGATTCGAAGAAAGGCTGTCGAGACAAGCTCAGGGCTGGGATTTTCGAGGGCTTGTCTGCGTTTCAACTCTTGAACCACTTGCAATATTAGGATCGAAATAAAACTTTGCAGGCTTCTTGGACTTGGATCCAAGTTTCAGGCCGAGCCTGCAAAGTTTGGGTCCGAATATTGCAAGTAGATCAAAACTCTGGCAATTCGATATTAATCTAATTAGAAAGTTACTGATCTAAACGCGACCTAATTAGATTCGGCTGTTTTTTCTTGGCGCAATCGAGATTTGAGCCAACAAATGGTTGGCGTGATACTTGATTTGAGCACTTATTAATCTAACTAGAAGATGTATTAATCTAATTAGGTGTCATATCAATCTTATTAGGCCGCCATATAACTCGAGTAGACTTCGATTAGATTAATAACGAAATTCCAGAGAAGCCCAGGCCAATTGCCCATCCCTGCCTATACTAACCGTGGCGCCGAAATGACGTGTTGAATGTGTTGTTGGTCTGCCACGTACGTCGCCCGATTGTTCGTGTCCAGGTGGAAAGTGACGAATCCAAAGTTGATCAGAGTGGACAGCGACTTTTTGATCTACAATTTGGAGATTTGTTTAGAGGAAAAATACAGAAAAAAAACGCGGTTCCAAGGAAACTACAAAAGAGATTTTCAATGCGATTAGGAACAATAGTTCTTTTCAAATGGTTGTATCAAAATTCAGAAACTCTGTTTCTATCAGGAGTGGGGGCGAGAGAGAAGCGATTTGCGTGCGGAAAAGCAGAGACGCAGGCGCGAAATAATGTCTCAAAATACATTAATTGCTAATTCATAAGCTCACACAAATCAATGTATGTAGCAGGTCAACAATAATTTTTTCAATTTTTTAAAAATTACCAAGGTTGTGGAAACGTGTCCTTTGAGCTTGAGAATGATTGTGGGCAGTTGGCAGCTCTCCTTCAGCACCGTTTCCACCACTTTTCCGACGATCTGCAGAGCAATTTCAAAAATTGATTTTTAAAAAAACACAGAAACCGATTACCTTGCCGAAAATATCCTCAATAATGACGACGCACATTTGCGTCTCGTACTTTCCTCCGCCCATTTTTCACTACTGAAACAAAACTCGGATTCTTCTCTGAAAATTATTACGCAATTCTTGTACGTACGATAAAATACACAAATTTGGCCGGAAAACCAATCGATTTTACAGAGGAAAGGCACAGTAAAAATCAGCTCTTTTGAAAAACAAAAATCAACAAAAATTTCCGAGTAAATGAAGGATCAACAACAACAAAGATGGGTGTAAAAGAATTCCAAAAAAAAAAATCGGGAAAAATGGGGGAAAACGAGTGGATCACTGTCTTCTGCGAATCGCCCTCTTCCTGCCCTCCTTCTTTCCCTTCGCCGCCTTTTTTCGCTCTTTTTGCGATTTTTTGTGCCGTTTCGTAGTTGTGCCGGCTCCCGAAGACGCCGAGCGCTTTCTGAAAACAAAGAAACGCATAATGAGGGAAAATTCGGCTATGCTGCTTCTCAGGGGCGCTATTTTTAACTCGCTAGATTCTACTTAACACCCCCAAACTGCTATTTTAATGAAAAAGTATATTTTTAATAGAACTAGCCTTTTGAGAACGCTAGATTCTTGTCATTATTCCTATTAAATGACCAGGGAACCCGGCGAGTTTTGGTGTCTGTCTGAATTGCCTCTTATTGCCACATTTACGGACAGATGATAGACACATAAACTCCGAGGGTTCGCTGGTCCTTTTAGAAGAATCTTGAGTGGTATATGTCTGTTCGTTTACTTCTCCTCTTCTGTGCCTACCGATTCTTCTGCTGGGTGAGCGCGCGTCCGTCCTCGCCCCTCATCATGTAGTCTCCGAACGTGAGCAGATCGTCGAGCGTCTCCGCCTTTCCCAACTGCTCCGATCGCCTCTTCTGCTCCTTGTTCAGCCGAATTCGCGTGAAATTCTCCTCCTCGTATTTTTCGCGTTCCCGATCGTATTGGTACTTTTTCTCGCTCATCTCCTGCACAAAATTCAATGTTTTTTTCGGTTTCACAATTTTTTCACCTAAGCGTTAGGTGTTTTGCGATACACAAGCAATATAAAAAGAAGTTCTCAAAGTCAAATTCTGACTAAATTTCCTTGAATTCTCCAAATTGCGTTAAGTTGCATTGAATTTGAGTAGATTTTTTTCAAACAAATCTCGAATATTTACACGAATTTCCTCGGGCGCATCGCTGTACTGATTCTTGAGTTCCATGATGAGACTGCTCTGCATCGCCCGTCTTTTCGCCTTTTCCACTTGTTTCGACGGCGCTTCTTCTTCGTCTACAAACATTTCATAATTAAAGAAAAATGCAGTTTCAGAACCATTCGTTGTTGGGGTTTTTCAGGCCAATATACAGGCTACACTAAATTAACGAAAAAAAAAACAGGTACCTTCATATCGGACAGCCCGGATCCTGGGTGCCACGTACTTCTTGACCTCCTTCGTCGTTTTTCCCTCTTCGCCTTCGGATTCTCCGTTTTCTTCCTCATTTTCGCTTCCGTCCACGTCCATATTTTCGAGCCGAACTCTCAAATTTCCGCCTTTTCCGACTCCGTTTGATCCATTCGAATCGGCCGATTTACTCAATAATTTCTCAATTTGCGGCTTCATTTTGTCTTCGATCGGCTTCATTTTCTCGATAAACTGGAATTGAGGAATTCGGAGAATAGATTGATGGAAATTCAATTTGTTTCAAATTTTCCGCAAAAACTGACCACTCTATGCTTGAGAGCCCGTTTGACGGACGATTCCGTCACAATCGACTCTCCTTTCATCATTTTCGACATCAGAACCGTCAATTCGCCCAAATAGGCCGTCATTTCGTAGTTTTTGAGCTTCAGAAGTGATAGACCCTGCAAACAAATTGTTTTTGTTGTTTTTTCGCAAAGCTTCCTGAATTTTCCGCACTTCTTTGTCATTTTTCGTGTCCTCGAGCCGATCCGTCACTTTTTCGATGGCTTTCACCGCTTCGGCGGACGCCGTCTCCAGTTCGGCGACCAAATCGGCGAATCGTTCGCGATCCGCGTCCGACATCTGTAATTGTATCGATTTCTAGCCTGCCGACTGAAAAATGGTAGATAATTCAGGAAAAATAGATGGGCGAAAACCATAGATAATCGAGGAAAATGAAGAAGAACATTTGGTTTATTTGAGGAATGTTACAGGGATTCTACAGCATTTTCGATGGGGGAAAATGAGGAAAAAATCGATATCTAGCTGGCCGAGGCGGCCGGCGGCGGCGGGCCTCCACCGTCGTTGTTTCCGTCCTTGTTCGCATAGACCATGAACATTTCCTTCAGGAAAGTCAGCTCTTTGTTCAGTTGTTCCACCTGAAATTGAAAAATTGGGGAAAACCCGAGAAAAATCGGTGAAACCTTGCGTTCCAGCGCCTCGTTTTCCTTTTTCAGCTCGTCCACCTTCTCGGCAGTGTCATTCTCCTCTTGTCGCTTCTTTTGACGAGTTCTGAAAGTGAAAAATTGGAATTTTGGCAAACATCGATATTTCATCACTTACCGATTGACGGCCTCGTTGTTGCGGCGTCGTTTCGTCGAGTAGTCGTCGTCGTCGTCGTCGCGAGGCTCCGATTCCTGATTCCGCTTCCGATTTCCGCTCATGTTCGGCGAGAAAACGAAAGACGAGCAAGAAGACCACGAAGAAAATGAAGTGTCGATTTACGATAAACCCAGAGCGAAGGCGGAAGAACGGAGTGTCGTTGGATGGAGGGAAATTGAAAAAGCAAAGTTTTCAGCTGAAATTTCAGACATTTCTCGTGATGTTGCAGCACTTTGGAGAGAGAAGAACAAGAAAAACACATGTTTCAAAGTCACTATACAATTTATTATGACGTTTCAATTATTTACATACAAATTTACAAAGTAACAAGAAATCAAGCAATAAATACATTTAAAAAATGCCGTCCAACGGCCTAATTTAATTCAGCGTGAAGACGAGCACTCCAGGATTGTGCTCGTCTTGCCGCGCCGTCCACTTTCCCGGCCCCGCTTTCCCCGTACTCGCTGGGTACTCGCGGAGCAGCGCCATTTTGATGGCCGGGAGGTTCCTCGGCGAGTGATTCCCGCGTCCCGTCTCCATGCGGATCACTGCAAAACATTTCAATATTATTCGAATAATTGCGCACGCCAAACTAACCTCTGTGGACGGCCTTCCGAGCCGTGGCCTCCAGAATGGAGCGCACATAGCTCACGGCCCCGCACTTTGTCAACCCGTGCAGGTCAAAGTACGTGGCCGTGGCGTGGAACGTGGCGTTCCACTCGGCCACCGCCTCGCAGATCCGAGTCTCCACCTCGGATCTACGGCATTCGCTTGCCGCGAGACGTTCTCTCTGCAAGAATGCACGTTTTTTTGAAATGAAATGATTTCGGAAATTTTGAATTTTGAATTTTGGAATTTTTGAATTTTGAGAAAAATTTGTTTTTTTAATTTTTTTCTAAAAAAAGTTTTTAATTTTTTTCAAAAAAATCTCTGACGATTCGTTAGAAACTGCTTAAATGATTTCGGAAATTTCAATTTTGAATTTTGAAATTTCGAATTTTGAGAAAAAATTTGTTTTTTTAATTTTTTTCTAAAAAAAGTTTTTAATTTTTTTCAAAAAAATCTCTGACGATTCGTTAGAAACTGCTTAAATGATTTCGGAAATTTCAATTTTGAATTTTTGAAATTTCGAATTTTGAGATTGTTTTTTTAATTTTTTTCTAAAAAAATGTTTTTTTAAATTTTTTTCAAAAAAATCTCTGACGATTCGTTAGAAACTGCTTAAATGATTTCGGAAATTTCAATTTTGAATTTTGAAATTTCGAATTTTGAGAAAAATTGTTTTTTTAATTTTTTTCTAAAAAAATGTTTTTAAATTTTTTTCAAAAAAATCTCTGACGATTCGTTAGAAACTGCTTAAATGATTTCGGAAATTTCAATTTTGAATTTTGAAATTTGGAATTTTAAGAAAAATTGTTTTTTTAATTTTTTTCTAAAAAAATTTTTTTTTAATTTTTTTCAAAAAAATCTCTGACGATTCGTTAAAAAAATTGTTTTTTTAAAGCTGTCACAAAAGCTGCCCGAAATGTTTGAAATAGTTGAAAAAGAAACTCACGTGAAGTCCCTCTAGGCGCGCCCTGTACTGGGCCTTGCGCGTCTCGGCCATCCCTCCGGCGATCCGTGCCAGACCGCGGCGCGTCCGCTCCAAATTGTGGCCGTTCACCACAAATTCCGCTTTGATGGACTGCAGTTCCACGTGGTGGAACTCTTGTTGCAGTCTCATCAAAGCGTTTTGGTGCGCCTGACGAGAGCACATCTGCAAAACGCAATGGTTTGAGAGCAATGGTGAGGAAACGGACGGTGTACAATAATAATAGAGTTTCAGGGAATCTAGGGATCTAGAATCTGTGTTCAAGTAACGTCAATTTTGAGGAAAAGAGTAAGTGCAAAACTTGGTTTACTAGGGAATGACACGCACTTACCTTCGGCGCTTTTCGAATGGGACCTATATGATTCGAAAGAGAATTTCACGGAGAATCCGACGCTGCTCTCCATTTTTGAGAAAATCTGCCACATTTTCCTAGCAAATTCATCTTCGGCGACGTGTATCTCAAGAACCAGGCCGCCGTTGCAAAAGTGATCAACTAGTAAGTTTACGCAAATTATCTCGTGAATAATTTTGTAGTTGATTGTCTATTTTTAAAAAAATTAGTTTTCGAGTTATGAACTGTTTTCCTAGAGCGACAAGAAAAAAGTTAGTGGCCCAAGGTAAGTGCGAGCCATTCCCTAGTTAGGATTCTGGAATCGGTAAAAAAGGAGACAAAAATGTAAAAAAGTAAAAAAGCGAAATGACTAAATGTAAAACCATATTCCTTAAATACCCCCCTCCCCTCCCCGCCCCTTTGTCCCAAGTATGGTCTGGGAAATACGAAGGCGAAGGTAATGAGCACGGGGTATACGGTCGGCTCGTCTCTTCAACAACTCCGCCTCCAGCCCCTTTGACCGTGGCCACCGAAATTCGAGGAGAATCAAAGGGCACACATGTATCTGAACTGACCTCTACTTCGACTGTTACAGCCCGATCGGATCGTCTTTTGCGACATTTGAAGCATTGAACATTGCTGAAAGAAAAGACGGAAATCTCGCGGCCAGGGCTGGATCTTTGAACCACTTGCAATATTCCGATCAGGCCCAAACTTTGCAGGCTTCTCGGACATGGGTTGAAGCATACTCGGGCCAAGTTTCAGCCCGATCGGATCATCTGGTCCCGAGAAATTGGCCAAAAGCCCGGGATTTTTGGAAAAAATCGGTCATATCTCGGGACGCGACGATCCGATCGGGCTGAAAGTTGGTCCCAATGGCCCCCAATCCAAGTCGAACAATCCTGGAAAGTTTGGTGCCGATCGGAATATTGCAAGTGGTTCAAATGTCCAGGCAATTTTTGCCCATCTCTTCAAGAACCTCAAATTGCAGTTTCACACACACACTTTTACATCATTAGCATTTACGTGGCGATTAACTGAAAAGGTATAACTGTAAAAAGAGAAAAATTCAGAAAGTCCCCGTTCAAATTGCTCCTCGCTGCTCGAATTCTCTTCACATCGTCACGTGGATAAGTTCGGCTCTGGACAGTCGAAATGCGATTTTGTCTTTACAATGTTCACGTACGAAACGATCAACAAATTTATTCATTTGGCGAGCCACTGCAAAAGCGGCGGAACGGAGAGCATGTAGCCGTGATCATAAATATAAATGCGTTTGTCGTACGCGTTATAACTGATCATATTCGCGTTTTTGTACAAATTGATCCATTTGATGAGCGGTTGCGAGTAGGTGTTACGGTAGAAATCAAAGGCCGTCGCGATGTACGACGACTGCTCGGCGCCACTTTCGACCTGCAACGAGTACGGTAGGTGCCCAAGTACAGTAGCCCGTCAAACTGACCAGATAGATTGTGCCGCAGATGACGATGCCGTTCGAGACGTCCGTATGATTCACCAGCGTCAGATTGAACGTTTCGTAGATGGTCAAATTGTTGATGTCGACCTGTGCGCACGGATTACGGTAGGCTACGGTAGGAGGAATACCAGAGTTGAGCGGAACAACTCAACGGAAGAATTTTTATCTTTTTTAGAAAATTTTTTCATGAAATGTGATCAACTGACGAAATGTATAGCAAAGTGAACTCTGCTCATAGAAAAATAATAGTAAATTTAGCTTTTCATATAAAAAATTATTCGAGTTGTTCCGTGAAAAAAGGAGGGCTAACGGAAGACGGAAGGAATAACTTTTTTGTATGAAAAGCTAAATTTACAATTATTTTTCTATGAGCACAGTTCACTTTGCTATACGTTTCGTCAGTTGATCACATTCCATGAAAAAATTTTCTAAAAAAGATAAAAATTCTTCCGCTCAACTCTCTGGAGTACTGTACCTTCGCTACTGATAAGAAGTGCTCTTGCTGGTAGTGGAACATGACCCACAGGGCGTTTTCGTCGATTGCCAGGTCGAAATAGGTCATCGAGTTGTTGAAGAGGTACTGTAAAAAACCGTTTCAAGTAGCTCAAAACACCAGATTTTACGACAAATGACACCCACCTGATCGCCTCGATACGCGGCGTCCGGAATCTCGAACTGTGAATATTGTTTGGTGTTGAAGTCGAACTTTGAAATGATCGGATATCCGGCGCGCTGGTAGAACAAGGAGGCGTTGAAGATGACGTGGTTTGTGCCGTCGAAAATGTACGGTAGACGGTGACTGAAACGCGCGTTTTTAGTTGCTGGGGAAAAGGACAATATCTCGAATGGCCTGACACTTTGGCAACGTGCTCCCTTCGCATTTCCGCTTCGTTCCGGAATTCGATCAGTTCGTGGCCTTGGAAATGATTCATCACGTATCGTTTTCGGGCGTCCTGCAACGATCACATGTTGGCGGACCGGTCGGGAAAGACGGCAGAACTCACATCGCCGGTCGGCGGATAGGCGTCTCGCATCCAACTACCGTAGTAGGTGGTCGAGTGCGAATGGAACACCGGCTTCCCGACATTTTGAAGTCGACAATCTGCAAAACTGGTTGGGGGTGGCCGAACTTTTTCCTAGGCCACCGCCGGTCACTCACGAGCCGTGACGCCCTGAATATAGGCAACGGGCGTGGTGATCGTCGCCTCTGTCGCCTCTTCCAGCGTGTAGTTTTTCAGACAAATTTTCACACAACTCTCGACCTCACTGTAGTTGGTCAGAATCTGCAATACGCGGTGGCGGCGTTTGCGGACCGGATTTGATGAGAATTGCACGGTCTCCAGAGCTTGGCCTCGGCGGCCAAATGGCTTTTTAATGAATTGAGCAGGTTTTCTCTGATTTTTGTGGTCAACGGCGATAAAAAATGATTGTTCGACATGAAAACACACTAATTCTCACAGAATTTATGACGTTTTGGCGCTCATTTTTCGCGGACTTTGCTTTTTCGCCGATCGCCGCCCAAAAACTTCTCATTTTGCGCTTTCTTGACCGTTTTCAGACAGAATTGGTTTTGAGAATGATAAATCACGTAAATACGAGCATTTTGAGCGCTCGAACCGCAAAAATTACCGAAAAGCAACTGAAATTCACGCAGTTTTAGCCAAAAACCTTCAAACGGATGAATAAGATTTGCGACTTGACCAAATTTAACGCTCTTGCGCTTAAAAAATTCGTAATAGCCTATTTAATCGGTCTATCGAGAGAAAATTCAGAAATTATCGGTTTTTCGTGGCTAATCTGGCAAAAAACACAAATTTCGCTGTTAAAATTTGAATTTCGCGCCAATGTATCGCTCTATTGGGCGGGGCGCACTTGTCAGCTCTGGAGACCGTGTATTATTGGGGCACCGGACAGAAAGGGCGCGCTGTTCGCAATTTGGCCGAATTTCTAGGCCGCGAAGTAATTTTCCACTGAAAATGTGGCCTAACTTTTCAAACTCGGCCCCGAGGTCGCTCAATTTGCACTGCAAAAGGAGTTTCTCAACAGAGCGCCATTTCTGCGCGGTGCCCCTATAATAATTGGGATTTACCTGCTGAACTAGTCCGGGAATGGGTAGCTGCGTGACTGATGGCCAGGCGGTACTCGCGGCAGAGTCTTTGGGACACTCCAGGTTTTCGATCTGCAAACTGGGCATCAGATCTGACGACACAATGCAGAAACGCGTACCGTAGGACACTGCAATTGTCGCTCCACGAGCAGCTCGTCCCTGATCGGACACGACGAGCAATCGGCGTCGTTTCCAATGTTTCCGGGCGGTCCCATCGGTCCCGGATGCCCGGGCACTCCCATCAAACCCCTCCGACCGTGTGGTCCTGGTGGCCCAGACTTGCCGGGCGGTCCCACTGGCCCGGCGGCGCCCGGTTTGCCACGTAGATCCTCCTGATCGCTGCAATACTCGTGAATCTCTGTGCACTTTTGCATGAGCTCTCCGATTTTGACGGACGAAAGTGACGTCAGCCAGAGAGTGTCCGAAGTGGTGTTGCGCATCGGAATGAGCACGTCTCTTTTGATGCGCGGGCTAGCGGGACCGAGATGCGAACATTCGGCCTCTAGAGTCCAGATTCTACAAGTTCAATGGTTGTTTTGTTGAAATTTACACAAGAGGTTGTTGTTACCTGTAGTGAATGTGCGAAAACGCGACGACGGCGAGAACGGCGATTGCCACGTTGCAATAGTGTAATTTTTCGTCCATCTCGAGGGGGTTAGTATAGAGAAATTGAATGTTGGTGAGGCCTTTGGCGGGTAATTTGATACGAATCCAAAGTTTTTATAAACATTTTTGTGGCCGCCGGAATATTGTTGATTTCACTGGTTCGTAAGAACAGGTTTGGAGAATACCCTCGATTCAAACCGCTAAATCTCAACTCTCATTGAAGCTATCGAAAAAGTGTCAACTAATGAATTGTTCCTCAAGACATTTTGTACATTTCATCAGTTGACACCTTTTCCGTATCTTCACTGACAGTCGAGATACGGTGCGAAAACTATACGTGTTTTATAGGAAATCAATCATAACTCAACGGTTTCACTTTGTCATCGCATCTCTTCGTTGCGTAAATGAATTGTTTGTTTTGTTGGAAGAATACAATCGTTTCAATGATGCCGAAAAATCGTATTGTATACTCGTAGACGCACAAAAATTTAGTTTTGACCTACTAATGTACTTTTAGATCTACTGGTCTCAGATGTTTGTTTCGGTCCGATGTTGTTGTTGTTGTTTTGTTGTTGTTGTTGTTGAGACGACAACTCAACGCTTTCGCTGCTTTTCGCTGCTTTTTTTTTTGCTAGAAATTCGATTTTCCCGGCAAAATGGTGGATAGAAGGCGTTTCATGTTGGAGCAGAAGGCGTATCAGCAATCAACGGGTGAGCAGCACGAAAAGGACGGAATCGTGTTGGAGTTTTCCGAACAAACCAACACTGTTACCGTGAGTCTTTATGGGTTGACGAGCAAAAAATCGATAATTGGTTTTTGTAGGCATTCATCACATTTTTCGAAGGATCCCCGTATGCTAGTGGCACTTTTCAGGTGGAATTCGTACTTCCGGAAGAGTATCCGTTTAAATGGCCCAAGGTATTTATTTTCCAGTTTGTCTTTATGATAAACATTTTCTTATAGTTAGGCGAGTTGAAGCGTATGTGCTGCAAGTGCGCTCCATTGAAACTGTGCCAGCGCCAACACAAATCTCGAAAATTCGAATTTTATTTACGCGCATACGTTTCAGCACGCCACGACCTCCAGAGCTGACAATATAGGCAAAAAAAAAAGATAAATCACGTAAATACAAGCATTTTGAGCGCTCGAACCGCGAAAATTACTGAAAAGCGACTGAAATTCACGCAGTTTTAGCCAAAAACCTACAAACGGATAAATGTGATTTGCGACTTGACCAAATTTAACGCTCTTGCGCTTAAAAAATTCGTAATAGCCTATACAATCGGTTTATCGAGAGACAAATGAGAAATTATCGATTTTTCGTGGCTAATCTGGCAAAAAACACAAATTTTGCTGTCAAAATTTGAATTTCGCGCCAATGTATCGCTCTATTGGGCGGGGCGCACTTGCGCCCATTGTGTCAGCTCTGGAGACCGTGGCAGCGCCAACAGAAATCTCAAAAATTCGAATTTTATTTACGCGCATTTACGCTTCAGCGCGTCGTGTGTTTTTGTAAAAATTATCAGAAAATTATCGATAAATTTACAGATCAAAGTGCTGACGAGAATATGGCACCCGAAGGTGGCGCTGGACACTGGAGCCGTTTGCTGCCAATTTTCGAGTAGCGACTGGCAGCCCACCTGGACAATCCACAATCTCGCCTTCATGCTGAGGTCCTGGCTCTGCGACATGGAGACCGAGCAGCCGGTCGAGGCGAGAATCGCCAATCAGTACAAGGATCGGCCGTTTGTATTCGAGGTAGTATAGTTTTCTGCGCTATTTTCGAATTTATCGATTTTTCAGAGAACTGCAATGTTCTGGACGACAAAGTACGCGTGCGGAAGTGCGCCGCTCGACGAAGAGTATAACAATATTTTGGAAATTGCCATCGAGGCCGGATTTAGTGAGAATCAGGCGATCCGCGAGCTCAGCTGGAGCCACTGGCAGGAGACGGGTCTCACGACGAAGGAATGGCTCCACGAGGACATCTCACAAATGAATATCGATTGAATTCTCTCCACTTCTCCTGTTTTAATCGAATGATATTTTGTCTATAAGATGTGTAATATTCTCTAATTTATTCATTTTTCACTGATAACTCATTTTTCAACTGTAATATATCTGTCTGTAACTTGCCGAGACGCGTTTTTAGAAAACTTGCTATTTATGGGGCTTTCCGTTAGTTTAACATCGTTGAATTGAGTTTTTGACGTAAATTCCTCGTTAAATATCTATAAAAACAGACGCCTGATGAGGAAGACATATTGAACGTTTCGTAAAAACGCAACGTTCGAGACGTTTCTCGCGTATTTCGACGCCAAAAGTTGGGGATTACGATTCCGGTTGAACTGGACAGGTTTCAAATTCTCCCAATCCCGGACACTCGCCCGTTTTTAAGGGGGTTTTTGTGGGGAGCCCGGTTTTTCATTGGCTTTTCAGGTGCAAGCCGGACATTCGTCTGATTTCCCATTATAGAGATTTACGAGTGTTTCGCTAAAATTTCGATAGATCTCGTTTAAAATACGATTTTCAGGTTCAATCCGTGCTCAAAAAGCGCCCGGATTTGCTCGAAAGACCGTTTGTAGTCACACTCAACAAACACTTGCCTTCCCGTGCACTCCGAAGCAGAGAATGTGCATGAAAGCTTGCTTAAACTGTCCGCCGAGGAATCTAACGAGTCTTAGTGGCGCAGTGAGTCATGAACAATACCGTCGCGATTTAAATTGTTAGGAATTGCAGGTAATCCTGCAGCTCTCGGCAGTCTCGACGAAATGTTTTTTCTTGAGAACAATCGATAGTAATTTCCACTTCTACACACTTTTTTTTGTTTTTGACCTCCTGCCACATTTGATCTACTCGGGGGCATTATCTTCGCCTCCGATTCCTTTATGGCCGGCCTTCAGCTCAGTCTTTCTCTCTTTTTCGACAACCTTTGCTTAAATGAAGCCGCGCACATCGTCAAGAAGACTCTACCTCCGCGAGTGGGCAGACTACGAGAGGTTGCATCCGAGAGATCGCCGCAGGAACGGAATCGTGTTGAAATTTTCGAAAGTAACCACCACGGTCACTGTGAGTTTTTTTGTTAATCAGTTAACTTTTGACGACCAGAAAAATCGATAATTCGTTTGCAGGCATTCATCACATTCAACGAGGGATGCCCGTTCGATGGCGGCACTTTTGAATTCGTGTTCGACTTTCAGCGTGATTACGATCTCATTGGTCCCAAGGTATTTTTTCATGAGGCTAACTGTTGGCTCATCGCTATTGTCGCTCGGTGTTTGCAGACGTACGCAAACACCGGTGGATTGATAGCGGCGAAAAAAGAAAAAGAAAACGCCGTGACGTGGATTTCAGATCACACTGCGCACCAAAATGTGGCACCCGAGTGTGGACCAGACGGACGGATTTGTCTACTTCAACGGTAACTATTGGGCCGACAACTGGTCGATCTACGAATTCGCGCCCCGATTGAAATCCTGGATGTGTACACTAGATTACTCACGACTTGTGGAAATGGAAATCGTCGATCAGGCCATCAACCACCCCGAGTTGTTTGAGGTAATGGTTGAAAAGGGGGCGTGTCGTAGGTTCTCACAAATCCTCAGCACTATTTTTCTATGACATATCGTTCTAAAAAGACATTTGAACACGAAAACGCATATTTCGACGTCACAATTTCGGAATTTCCGTGTTGGCCGAACCGAACCGAACAGTTTTCAGACAAAACCAGTGTCGGAAAGCGTTCTGACTGCAAAAATGACTCAAAATGCGTGTATTTACGTGCTTTATCATTTCCGACACCACCCTTTGGCGCATTTTTCGCAGACTTTGCTTTTTGCCTTCGCCGCCTAAAAACCGCATTTCTAATTTTGCGCGTTCTTGACCGTCTTCAGACAGAATTGGTTTTGAGAATGATAAATCACGTAAATACAAGCATTTTGAGCGCTCGAACCGCGAAAATTACCGAAAAGCAACTGAAATTCACGCAGTTTTAGCCAAAATCCTTCAAACGGATAAATGTTATTTGCGACTTGACCAAATTTAACGCTCTTGCGCTTAAAAAATTCGTAATAGCCTATATAATCGGTCTATCGAGAGATAAATGAGAAATTATCGATTTTTCGTGGCTAATCTGGCAAAAACACACAAATTTGGCTGTTAAAATTTAAATTTCGCGCCAATGTATCGCTCTATTGGGCGGGGCGCACTTGCGCCCATTGTCAGCTCTAGAGACCGTGGACACTGATTTTGTTTGAAATTTGTTCAGTAGTTCGAATGACAATTCTGCGTTGAGCGCATGCGAAAGTTTCATCTGAAAGCGCGTCTTTGATGGAAAACACTGGACAATTTTCAGAAAACGGCTCGATTCTGGACGACAAAGTACGCGGGCGGAAGTGAGCCACTGGACGAGCAGTACGAGAAGTCGGTCCAGTATTTGATGGCGGCCGGATTCTCGGAGGAGAAGGCGACGCGAGAGCTGAGTCTGAACCAGTGGGTACTGAAGAAAAGCGTCTCGACGGAACTTATGACTGCTGGCCTCAAACTCGGTCTTTCCCCCTCGTCATCCATTCACAAACTCCCATAATCTCACTCGTTCTAAACGTATTTTTGTCTATAAGATGTATCCGTTAATTTGTAATTTCTCCCTAACGTTTGAATTAATATTTGTGACCGGCCGATTCGCGGTGTGTTGTACTTTTATCAGCCAATTTTGTCACATTTGTCACTTTTGTTCGAATCTCTCTCTCTCTACCGTCAATCCGTGAAAAAATATCAGGAAGAATTTGACGAAAACGACGAAGTTGTTCTGGTTTTCAACGAAGTTGCAGTGAGTTTCAACTCTTGATCGACCTTATGCCTTGAATTCAACGTAAATTGACTATTTTTCCAACTGGTAAACACATCTTCCTTTACACTTTTCGAGTTTTGGGGACCAGAAAGAATGGAGACAACTGTTCTTCTCGGTCACTCTTTTTACACTCGCTCGCCAACTCATCAACAACTTTCTTCTTCTTCTACTTCTTCTTCTTTTCCCATTTCCCTTCGAATATGTCGACTTTTCGTCTCGTCCTACTAATTTCCGTGGTCTTGCTGACCGTCTCCGCCGCCAGAAGAGAATGGAAGGTTGTGACGGAAAAGGCGAAACCGTTGTGCGGACTGTGTGTGAATATTGTCAAACAATTGGATGCGGTGCTCGAGCATGGAGGCGATATTGAAGCGGTTCGTTCTCGAAAAGTATAATATAGAACGAAAAGGATGCAAGTTTTGTTGGAAATCGGCAAAAGTTGGTCTCTGGAAACTGAAAAGTTGCAATTTTAACGAAAGCTCCAAGAAATAGAGTACTGTTTAGAAATAGGCTTATAACTTGAACAGGAGACATTTTCGGACAAAATTTCCAATTACAAAGTTAATCAGCATGGAATTTTGAGCAATTTGTCTGTTGACAACATTTTGAACTGATCACTAGATTTTGAGATATAGGTGTTTGAAAACTGAGACGTAACCGAGTCCAATGAACCCGATAAAATCGATATATGTCAGCTGTTTGAAGAGATATCAAAAAGTTGTCAACTAATGAAATACTCCTTACAACATTTTGCACATTTTGTCTGTTGACCACTTTTTCATATCTCCACTGACAGCCGAGATACATCGATTTGAATGTAGCCAATTTCAGGCGGTTGACAAGTTCTGCAAAGAGGACGTTCCGTCTTTCATGGTGGACATGTGCGAGAAAGTGATCGAGAAGAATCTGGAGTTTATCATCGAAAAACTGAAGGACCACGAGGCGGCCGACAAAATTTGCACCGATATTTTCTTGTGTCGTAGTGCTCCGAAGGCTCATTATTACTTGGAAGTGCAATAAATGAACATTTTATTATTATAATTATCGAGATCGGATCACAGAGCGAATGGTTCGGTTGATTATCAAGAATGAAAGGCACGGATTGGGATTGGGATTGGGGTGTAAACGAGCGGAAAGTGACAATATCAGACCCAATAGTGATTGGTCGGTTGTGTTTGGGCGACTTGATCGAAAAGACGCATCGGCGGAGGGGTGTCCGAGGCGATTCCGGCGTAGTCCAACGAGGAGACGTTTTGTTGGGGGCGACGGACGTTTGTGGGAGGTTTGTTGCGGCCAGAGGACTTCTGCAATCGGATAATATTCGAAAGAGCACGGAGACACCAAACTTGACGAGCAACCCGTTGACTGCGAACTTTGAACGCGGACTGTAGGGCTCGAAGACGTTGTGTGTGTCTCAAATTTTTTTCTCCGAATTTTCACATCTAGTAGTGCATTTTTGTATCTGACAACTTTTTTGTACGACCACTCCTAAGATTACTGTAGCTTTTGGAAGTTACAATAGCTTCGGGTGCGCTTGAAAGTGGTCGTGGAGAAAAGTTGTCAAGAGATCAAATAAAGTACTAGATGTGAAGATTTCACAAAACAATTTCTAGACTAATAGGCGCCAGAATACTCGTCTTGAAAAGTGCGCAAGCACCAAACTCTACCGTACCTCCGGCCTTGGCGGTTTGCTGAACGACTGCATAGTCATGCGATCCTCGGCCTGCCGCACCGACGCGAACACCGTGGTGCCGAGCAGATCGGGTGGCTTCTCCTGCTCCTCCAAACTGTCCGTCGGCGAGGGCGGCAGACGTGTGGGCGTGTCCAATTTCGTGCTCACCGGCGCCCGACGCGTGTCCTTCTTCTTCTTCTTCTTCTTTCCGTCTCCGCACCTCCGACAGATGAGCACGAACAGCGTGGCGGCGACGATTGCTCCGAGAATCACCGCCGGCAGACTGTTCTCGCCGAATATCGACAGCTTTTTCGCGTTGCCACCCGCCGAATTGAGTACGCCTTGGTCCGCAGCGTTCGTCACGTCGTAGGCTTCCATATCGGCTCGGAGGACGGTGATTGCGAGCGTGAAACGGGCGGGCTGAACATTGTCGGCACGGACTTCGAGATGCACACTCTCGTGCACTTCTTCCTCGCTGCTGAACGCCTTGTAGTAGACGATTCCCTTTTGAATATCGGTGTAGGTGAAGTAGTACGTGGAGTAGTTGGTGTTCGGATCGAACGTCAGACGACCGAATTTGAGCGGCGAAGTGAGAAAGAAACGTGGCGACGAGTTCTGAATGATTTCGAAACGGTTATCGTCGTCGTGTCAACAGCTGTCAAACTCACCAACAGCGCAGACGCGTTGATCTGCGACGTCGTCAACGGCGTCGCCGTGTCCGCCTCGACAATCACCGGCTGCACAGAGATGAGAGCCCGAACGCGCAGCTCCGAACTATTCCGAAGTACATCTCTTGAGTCGTTCTCGACGAGAAACTCGAACTTGTCCTGGTAGGAGTGCATGTTTAGCTGCGCGTACAGCACGCGTCCCTCGTCGACGTCCCTCTGCGTGAACTCTTTCGCCTCTTTCTCGCCAGCCACCCAATAGAACGTCCCGTTCTCGGGTCCCTCTGTGATTTTGTACTTGAGACTGCTCCGATTGCCCATCGAGAATGCTCCAAGATGCTCCGAGTTGAGCACGACGTACGTCTTGCCCTGCGGATACCAGATTGTCGAGTGATTCTTGAGCATCAGGTCCAGCGGCCGAATGTCGATTATCAGAGTGCGCGTGTGTCCCTCAATGTCAAGGACGATGACGTCGTGCCACGTGGCGACGGGCTGATGACGGTTGGCAGTGTGCCAGACGGAAATCTTGCCGTCCGTCACCTCTTGCTGCGAAAAGTGATCGACTTCTTCGTCGCCGCGACGGATCGTCACTCCGGCGCCGCCCCGCTGTTGGATCCGATAAATGATCGATTGTGGAGGGACCGTCTTGTGGCGGGTCATGAGGAGATCGGCGAGCAGCGGAGTGGAGCCCGAGTTGAGGACGCTCACCGAGGAGGGGAACAGCACCACCTGCAAGTTTGAAAAGTTGAATTCTAGAACTATCGTGGCTCATGAAAGTCTGAGAGCTTTTCAACGCACTTGAAGCTATCCTAACTTTCAAGACCTACACTACTCTCGGGAGTGGTTTTTCAGAAAAGTTGTCAACTACAAAAATGACGTACGAAACATGTGTTCTATTTTTGCAGTTGACAACTTTTTTCAACAACCACATTTGAGAGTACTGTAGCTAGCCTGGAAGTGAGAACACTTTTTACAACAAGCAAAGCTATCCTAACTTTTAGTCCATTTTCCGAGAGCTCTGACCGACGCACCTGAACATCCGGATCCGGTGGATTCTTGATCTGAATGTCCACCGAAACGCGTATCCTACTCGCCCGTCTCGTCGACTCCCTCGCCGCGTATACATGGAAAATGAGCGAGTCCGTGAGCGAGTCAGTGGCCTGAAAAAAATGCGTTTCTCATATTGACAACGTCTTGACGCCGCTTCTACCGTATGCCTGTAGACCAAATGAAACGCGCTGCGAAGTTCGGTCCACGACACCCGCTTCCGATCGTTGTCGAGCCATTCCAGAGTGCCGGCGCGTGGTTCCGTGCCGATTTCGATCATTACTATCTGAAAATAGAAGAGTTTAGACTGTTATCGATAAGCGACGCCGTCATATGATGAGACTATTTTGCCACTTTTAAAGATGCACTTCAATTCAGACTAGCCTACAGTATCTTCGGGCTTCCTGACGTTTCGAAACCGAAACGTGGTTCACGTGAAGGCGTGGTTTGACGGTAAACTGAACTTTCCAAAGAGTTCATTCTTTCGCTGCCTCAATCATTAATAATTGCTCATAAATCTTTCGGCATCATGATTGAATTCCACAAATCTGTGGTAAGTACAAAAAAAAATGTCTTTCGAGACACGCTCTCCAGAGCTGACAATGGGCGCAAGTGCGCCCCGCCGAATAGAGCAATACATTGGCGCGAAATTTAAATTTTAACAGCAAAATTTGTGTGTTTTTTGCCGGATTAGCCACGAAAAATCGATAATTTCTTATTTGTCTCTCGATAGACCGATTGTTTAGGCTATTACGAATTTTTTAAGCGCAAGAGCGTTAAATTTGGTCAAGTCGCAAATCACATTTATCCGTTTGAAGGTTTTTGGCTAAAACTGCGTGAATTTCAGTTGCTATTCGGTAGTTTTCGCGGTTCGAGTGCTCAAAATGCTCGTATTTACGTGATTTATCATTCTCAAAACCAATTCTGTCTGAAAACGGTCAAGAAAGCGCAAAATGAGAAGTACGATTTTTAGGCGGCGATCGGCGGCGAAGGCGAAAAAGCAAAGTCCGCGAAAAATTCGCTAAAATGTCATGAACTCTGAGAATTAGTGTGTTTTCATGTCGGACAATCATTTTTCATCGCCGTTGACCGCAAAACTCAGAGAAAACTTGCTCAATTCATGAAAACGCCCATATTGTCAGCTCTGGAGACCGTGGCGCGCGAGAGTATACCTTCAAATTCCCGAAACATTCAGACGTACAAGCCATCGCCGCCGAATGTTGTGAACCGCGTGGACTTCAAACTAGAAGTGACGCCCGACACATTTGTGATTCCCAAAAAGGGATTGGAAGTGACGATCAAAAACGTTTCCGCTCAAAAACAGTTTGTCTACGCGCACATGTGCTCGCTTCGCTACACGATCGAAGACGGCATTCAGAAGGAGTGGGACTACCCGCACTACATGAATGGAAAAGAGTTGCAGCCGGGCGAATCGATGACAGTGCTCTTCTGGGACGTCGGCTACGACAAGCACCGCGGATACTACACGTGCACACACGAGCAAGAGGAGGGCGATATTATTGTGTGGCACACAACCATCAAAATGTACGGCTGCTCGAAGAACGGACGCTACGATGTTCGACGCGAAGAGGACGCGAAGACGTTTCTGAAGCGGTTCGACAGCGGCGAGTACGGATTTCGCGAGTACAAAGTGGCGAACGATAGTCGCAGTTATCAGCGGCTGAAGGAAACGTACAAACGAGTGAACGCGTACGCTAAGGAGTACAAACACCCGTACGATGAGATGGAATTTTACGAGTTGGTGGCCGACTTTCAAAAGTACAAAAAGAAAAGGGAGAAGGAGGAGGGAAGAGGAGGCGGCGGGTGTGCAGTGATGTGAATCGAACTTGAGAGGAGACTGATAGTAATAAAGAATGTTGTTTGAACGATCTGATGTACTTAAAGGACCAGGGAATGCTCCGAGTTTATGTGTCTGACTGAATTGCCCCTTATTGCCACATTCACCGTCCGAGCCCCAACTTTCAGAAATAGCTGTGAATGGAACAGTGGCCGTGGCCCAGAAAACTTCTAGGCCATGTGATCTTTTTCGGATTTTTTTTGGCGTTCGGCACGATCTTCATACGTTGCAGAAAATTCACACAAATCAGCATCCATAAAATGAAACGTTTCGCATTCCCTACTCATTTTTTTTAAAGTTCCGCCAGTAAGTCGCATGTTTCCCGTCAATCAAGTGACCTTCCGATGCTTTGTTTCAGCCGGAGGAGAAACCGTAAACCTCCGGCGCCAGATGGGTCTCAATCCGGACAAGATCGAGATCAAGTCGAAAGGAACGCTCGACATTGAGATCGGCAACAATTCGAGTGATCAAGGTGTAGCTCGTCTCGATGCGATTCCGGATTCGCTACCCGACTACTGACTTCAGTCGATCCACGTGGAGATCTACGATCACGGTTATGAAAGAAGCGCGTTATCTCACACCGTAGCTGTCCCAGTGATCCCCAAAAAGGCAAAGTGTACGGAAGTGTGAATCCGATGAGGTGCGCGTACAAACGGCTGAAGAACAAGCGATTCGAAGCGTTGAAGAAGCATCACGTGAAGTGATGTCAGCGGTACGCAGAAGTCTACGATCCGCCGCCAGAGACTGGTGCATCGTCCCCCTGAGAACTCGATTGAACTTGTCGTTGGTTGCGAAACGTCGGCGCTCCATTTTGATTGAATAAAGATGCGTATTGAAAGTGTTTTGTAACAAGCGTAGTAAATCTGTAGGCAGACACCAGAGTTGAGCGGAAATGGAATTTTGAAATCCGGAAGACGGCAGACGGAAGACGGAACAAAAAAATCATCAATGCAGAACCTTTTTCTCCGGTTTTTTTTTTGAAAAAAATAACTAAAGCAACAAAAATGCTGGATTTGGGTCACTGCCCGTGGAAATTCGCGTTCTTCGGGGCTAGTAAATGGCTTCTGAAAAACCATTACTCTTTTACGGTAAGAAGAAAAAATCCCGGAAGACGGAAGAACACTTTTTCCCGGAAGACGGAAGACGGAATTCCGCTCAACACTGCCAGACAGACTTGCCAAATTACGGGCCGGCCCGGTCGGCCCGGCTCAAAAGGCGCGAATTCAAATTTTTGGAGGAAATCTATTTTTTCGTTTTTTTTTGCGGGGATCAAAATTTAAAAAAAAAACTACGACACTCCGAAATTACTATTTTTGAGAACTACATTTCTTTTTTATGCTCGATACTTGCAAAATTCGTTAGTTCTACGAAAAACAAACATTTTATTTAATCAATAGTTCAAAATTTGGATTCCCGCTTTTTGAACCGGGCCGGGCCGGGCCGGAGTTTTGAAAATTTCGGCCCGGCCCGGCCCGTGGCAACTCTGCTGCCAGACAACATAACTACGCGCTCATGTTCTCATTCCGTGTACCACAAAACCGAAATTTCCCGGCTCTCTCAAACTCCGTTCCACGTACCTCTTTATCGACGGCGTCCGCGAGAGCCGACACGTCAAGATGCGATTGGTTGAAGCAAGTGGAACCGCCACGCGAGACCACCAACGCACGGGTCGAGATGAACTTGGCGAGCACTTTATCGGAAAGCGCCGCGTAGGTCGTCGTGATACGGAACCTAGAAATTAGTTTTAGGATTATCAAGTAGGTACGTAGGTAGGTAGGCAGGCACTTCTCATTGGTATTCAAAAACTGTGCCGAGTTGTTTTTGTGGACTCGGAACGAGAACGAATCCCGTCGGCTCCACTCGTTCTGATCGGAAAAACCGATTGTCGAGTAGACGACTTGACGGCGGTTTATCTGGAAGACAAGAGCGCTCTAGTCACAGTACCTACGCAGTACCCGTCGCCTACCTGAGTCTGTGTGAATACCGTATTCTTGATGCCGTCGACCAGCACCTCTCCGAATCGCGGCTCTTTCAGAATCGTGAACACAATTTCGTCGGGTCGAGTGCCCGGCATGTTGGCCCTCAAAAGTTCGGTTCCGATGACGGTGGCCGCGGAGGGCGAGGCGACGAGTCGGCCGTTCGCCTCAAGAATGTTCGACGGCGAGGAGAGTTCGGTGGAGAACCATTCGGGACCGATCTGTGCACAGGAGTTGTTCATTCAAACCGATATATCTCAGCGGGTTGAAGAGATATCAAAAAGTTGTCGACTAGTGAATTGTTCATTAACAAATTTTGTACCTTTTCTCAGTTGACCACTTTTTGATATCTCTACCGGTAGCTCGTACCTTGTGCTTTCCATCGGACACATGGAACGAGAATCCGCCAAACGGGTTACTGTGATTGGTGGCCAAAAATGCGACGTTCGATTGGTCAATGTCGAATTGGGTAAAGTTGAAGATGACCTCTTCCATGTGACCCGCCTGCAACTACCGTAATCCTACAGTACCGCAGTCTAGAGTACGGTACCTTGACAACTCTTCCATTGGATGGCTGCGCAATCGAGTAGGTGATCGAGTTGGTCGGCGTGTCGGCGTCCTGCAACAAAACAAAAGTACTGTGGGTACTGTAGGGTTACTGTAGGCACCTCCACATCCAAATGACTATTCGTGATCAGCGCCTTGTTGCCGCTCACTCGTAGCACCTCATTTCTGGTCAGTATTGGGCCTAAATCAGACGCTTCCGTGTCAAGACCCGAAAAATGTAACTCTACCTTTCTCATTGATCCGCGTAACCGTAATCTGCATCAAATGGGTTCCGGTGCACTGGTCCTGGATACAGGCACGCACTCCGATACTGTCGTTCCCCTGCGATCCGTCCGACACGAACCACACTTGACCGTTTTCAATCATTCGAGTGGTGAATGTGGCTGGAACAAGGTAATCTAGGCAATCTATTGTAGCCTCAGACAGAGTGAAACTACAATATCGAGAACATGTAGGAGAGGTTACTGTAGGGTACTGTAGAGATTACGGTGGTAACAAGAACTCCAGCTCTTTTCGTTTATTCAAGACGCTATATCTCAGTTGTCTGTAGAGATATCAAAAAGTGGTCAACTGATAAAATGTGTAAAATCTCTTAGTGAACACTTTATCAGTTGACAACTTTTTGATAGCTCCACATGTAACCGAGATACATTGTATTGAATAAGCGGCACTCACCAATGCTCGAAATGCTCGTCACATTGTGCACATTGTCCGTGGTGATCCATCCGGACGTGGGCGGCGAGACTACCGTAATCACGGCCTCCTCATTCTCGCTCGTAGTCACTCTCAACAAGTTGGCCGTGATCGGAGCACGTCCGCCACCGGGCACCGAGAACAAATTCGTCGAAATTGTGATCTAGAAGAACTCGGAGGCGTATTGTAGACGTGTGGTACGGTAGGTTTTTACATTTCTCTGGAAGACGTCAATATCCAATTTGAGGTTGAAACTCAAATTTCGATTAATAAATTGGACTTGGAATTCGATGGAGTCGTTCGAATGATCGGCGTTGTTGTGCACGTATTGGACACTTCCCGCTGCCACGTCACGATCCGTAAAACGAGAAACTCGAGAGGAGAATGATTTTTCTTTAAACAAGAACAAGTGGTTCGGATTACTGTGGCGACACATACCGTAATCCAGGGACAAGTAGCCAAAGGCGGGATGCTTGACGACTTGGTAGATGATCGGCGGTTCCGCCTCGATCATCGCAACTTCCAGAAGGTTCTTGTCGATCAGAACCGCTCCGCCGACGGGCACTCGAAGCATTCGGTGCTGTTGGTAGGTGAACGAGCCGAGAGTGTTCTCGCAACGCACGCGGAGCTGTGATGAACATTTCAGGTAGGTAGACTTCGAAAGGCTACTGTAGCTCTTAGCTAGAATCAGCTAGAAGCTCATGCGCCTCAGCTTTCAAGAACTACAGTATGCTCTCAAAGTTGATCACACCAATTTCACTCACCATCACTTCTAGAACCCGATCCGCGACCGCCACTTTCATCCTCTCTACCGTATCGCCGTCGGGGACCGCATACCAAACCGACTCCGTTTCAATGTCTCTTTGGCTGAACTTTTGCGCCGTTCTCCGAGTGCTGCCAACCGAGAATCGTGTGGAATTGCTCGAGTAGACGATATCTTCGCGTCGGACGTCGAGGTTGGTGCGTACGGTCAGGTTGTTCGAGGAGAGTCGGATGGTCTGCGGGAAGTGTGCGCCGCAAATCATCACAATTTCCGCGTTCTCGATCCAAACATCCGGTTTCGCGGCCAGCACGTGCATCTTTCCGTCGACGCGGTGAGCACCGTCCGATACCGTATACCTAAAATACGCAATTTTGCGTGTACAGTACGCCAGCCGACCGACCAACCCAATATAGAACTCTCCGTGATGTCCCAGGTGGCGGATCATCACTTTTCCCTCGTCAATATCGTGTTGGGTGAACGAGGTGAGCGGGAGGTACGGGGATACGGTAGACAGGATCGCCGCGTCCTTGTTTTGGGTGAAATCGAAGAGAAGGGCCGACGAGTCGACGTCCGCGTCGATCCACGGAAGCAGGAACGGGTGGAGCACGCGTTCGCCACGTTCGACCATCTGGAATGAGGAGGGGGTTACGGTCGGAAGTACGCAAACACCGTGAAGCCTAGTAGAGTTGAGCGGAAGAACTCAACGGAAGAATTTTTATCTTTTCTAGAAAATTTTTTCATAAAATGTGATCAACTGACAAAATGTACAGCAAAATGAGCTCTGCTCATAGAAAAATAATTGTAAATTTAGCTTTTCATACAAAAAAGTTATTCCTTCCGTCTTCCGTCAGCCCTCCTTTTTTCACGGAAAAACTCGAATAACTTTTTTGTATGAAAAGCTAAATTTACAATTTTTTTTCTATGAGCACAGTTCATTTTGCTATACATTTCGTCAGTTGATCAAATTTCATGAAAAAATTTTCTAAAAAAGATAAAAATTCTTCCGTGAGTTCTTCCGCTCAACTCTGAAGCCTAGCAACTCACATAAACGGTGACATTCTGCGCCAACTCGGGCGCGTTGTCGTTGAGCAGAATGATCGAGAAGCTGAGCGTCAACGGTACTTGTCTCATCGGATTCTGGCGCGAAATGGCCAAAAGTCTGCACTCGTCGGCGCGTGTCTCATCGCCCGAATGCGAGTACGAGAGACGGTGTTTTGAGATGTCGTCACTCGAAAAATTCGAATCTTTCTTCAGAATTTCCCGGCTGTTCAGTCGGATTTGACCGTGGAGCGTCGGGTTGACGACGCGGAAGATGAAGTTGGAGTCGTCGGGAGTGGAGAGCGAGAGGAAGTCGGCGGTTATCTGCGAGACAGGGTTACGGTAGATCCGGAAGAGCGCAAGCACTCACCGACGCGGTCTCTCCCTCCTTCACGACTATCGTCTTGTTCACAAGTCGTATCGACGATTCCTTGGGAACGTACACAATCTGTCACAAAATGGATTCGTGTGAGCAACCGTACTTTGGCCTACATCAAATCTCAATAATGGCGATGAGACGGCCGGTGAGACGACTCGAAACACGAAAAAGTCGTTGACGATCGAATATTGTTGGTAGTGAAGTTTGTAGCTGATGATCCCTTCGTCAATGTCCTAAACGTTACTGCGTCGTGCTACCATAAAAGTACCGTACCTGTTGAGTGAAATTCGAAGAGACACCGATTCGTCTCTGTTTGCCGGCCGACAACTTGCGCGACAGTGTGCCCAATTTCGGCGGTTCGTCAATGTGATAGAGCAAATTGTGCGCCGAAAAACTTTTGGGAAACGTCCACGAAAAGAGGTTTTGACGGCTGATCGATTGCGTTTCGGAGCCGTTCAGGACGAACGGTTCGCGCGTGAACACTTTGATGTTCATCGGAATGAAATCGATGCGGAACACGTGAACCATCGAGGCGAACTCGCCGGCTTCCACCTGAAATTGAAATTGAAATTGAAATTGGAAGGTGGATGGGTGGATAATTGCTAGAGATCTCAATACGATTGAAGTAAGTAAAGTCAGTCGAAAACCCGCAAATCTCGCCGATTTTGCAGTCCAAAGTCGGCAGAAATTTGCGGGAAATCCGGGGTGCGCACAGCTGAACGAGTGTTACCGTACACCATAAAACTACGGTATTTTTTGAAAATTTACCCAAGAAGAAATTTGAAAAATTGCAAATATTCTCGAGAAATTTAAATTTTTTCAAAAATACCCGTTGAAAATTTACCCAAGAAATTTGAAAAATTGCAAATATTCTCGAGAAATTAAAATTTTTTCAAGAAATACCGTTGAAAATTTATCCAAGAAATTTGAAAAATTGTAAATATTCTCGAGAAATTTAACTTTTTTTCAAATAATACCGTAGTTTTATGGTATACGGTAACACTCGTTCAGCTGTGCGCTCCCCGAAATTTCTGCCGACTTTGGACTGCAAAATCCGCGAGTTTTGCGGGGGTTTCCGAGACTTTGGACGCCGCATAATAAGGCCAGCCCTACCTGGAAGCTGAACATGTCACTTGGCGACGAGCTCTGACTGGTGTGCCTGAATCGAACTTGCTCCTCGTTCACTTGCGTCTGCGTGAACGTCGTGCACATTGAGAACGTGTCGTCCGTCTCGCCGAGACACTCGACGACTCCGGTGTCGGGCATGTCCACAATACGATAGGACACAATCATGTCCTTGATGGAAGCGACGAATGAGAGATTTCGGTTTGTGATGAGAGCACTCGAGTGATGGAGCAACTTGAGACCAGTGTTACTTTCCAGCTTCACATCCACCCTCGTGCTTTGCGTTTCGAGAAGCACCACCCCACTTCTGGCCTCTCCGTCTCTCGCGATCAGTCTACAACTCGGACATTTCCGATTTTCGCAACAATCTCTGTCTGTCAGACCCACCTGATCCTTCCGTGTCCCTGCTCGGTTCCCTCGTCCACCAGCGAAACCATCTCCTCGATCAGTTGTTTGTGGCTGAACTCTTGCACTTTCTGTCCGTGCACTTCCGCGTGCACTCCACTCGATTCGACCACCTGCACGCGCACCTTCTCGGGCCGATCGTCCGCATCCGTGAGCACCAGGATCTCATTTGTGAGCACTCGACTTCCCTTCGACGCTATCAACAGTTTGTCGTCTTTCGATCGTTTCACAAGCTCCGGCGGGTCGTTGACTGCGTTGATTTTGAAGCGGAGAGTGTAGGTTTTCGATTCGGCCGGCACCAGATCTTTGTGCTTCACTGCGAACTCGATCTGGAATGGAATGGATTGAAATGGAACGTTTTGAGACACTTCTATCGTCTAACGAAACGCTTGAAGCATAAAAAGTCAGCAGAACAGAACGTGCGTCTTTCGTACCTGAAACGACAACCGATCCTGCCGCGTCTCAGTGCCATCGTGCTTGTAAATGACCCGTCTCGCGAGCAACTGTGCATAGGTAAACGAGCTGGTCACCACTTCGTCTATCCGGATTTCTCCATGCTTTGCGCTTTCCACAATCTGAAGCTAGACTTACTTAGGTTTAGTGATTCTTAATTCTTAGTCTACTCGGTGTTTGGTTCTTCAAAACCCAAGTTGTTTGAAACGTTGCGTACCGTGAAGAATATGTCGGTGTGTGAGACGTTGACATCCTGACTGCTCGGCATAAAGTACACGTTCATCCACTGCAACGGCATCGATCCTCCCTCGTTCAATTCGACCGGCTCCGCCACGTAAATCGGTCCTTTTTCCGGGTTTTTCGCCGCATTTTTCGAGTCAATCCTGCAAACGTCACCCCTCTAGCGGATGTTTTGGTCACACAAACAACTCGGCGTCCACTTTGTCACCCAATAAATCCCCCCCCCTCCTCCCCGGTTGAATGTGCCAATTTTATCGCGGCCGCAAACTATCAAATTCCCTCCCATATCCCATTTTTTCTCGCCGTCTCCTCGATTTCGCGCTCTTATTTTTGATTCCACCACCAGGACCCGGGTTTAAACCATCGAGAAAGTGTCGAATGTCTCGAGACGCAGACGGATAATAGTTGGAAGAGCGAAAGGCGGCGGCGGCGAGAGAAAGAGAAATTGCTTCAAGATGTTGGTGGAGAAGAAGCTGGTGCCGAAGCCCAATGATTGAGTGCAAACGAGACCGCCCATTATTCATGGTTTCCAATGATAACGGCCGCGACACACGTGTCCGCATTCCTAGGCCACGTGCGCCGAAAAACTCGGCCACCCAATCGGCTGCTCGCTTCGGCGCCTTCCTCTCGCCGCCCGCCGCCTCAACATAACCCTTGCTTTCCCTCTGCGCCGGACGGCTGAGTGGTCTAGTGGTATGATTCTCGCTTAGGGTGCGAGAGGTCCCGGGATCGATCCCCGGCTCAGCCCACTTATTTTTTGCGCGTCTTCTCACCCGCATATCCGTTGCGTTAGAATCGTCTCCGATTGGGTTATGTCGAAAATGCAGCCTTTGAGGCGAGTCTCGTCGATTGAGAGTCCTGAAAAGCGGACTAATTGGCGTTGAAGTGTAATTTTAAAACTAGAACTAAAAATTTTACACAACACATAAACACATGCTCTCTCTCCCCATAAAGTTTTGAAATAAAGGCGCACTAGGGGGAAGGAAGGCTTCAAGTGCAAGTATAAACATCAAAGAAACATGTGGCCGACGTTTCGCAACCATGATCGGTTGCAAAGAGTCCTGTTCTTCTCAAATTCCAGTATTTCCCTTTTTTTCAACATGTGTTCGGAGCCACTGGTAACCTGATATCTACATTTCCCTTCCTCTTTTTCACCCCCTCAATTTCCTATTTCTCAAAGGTTCTGCGGTGTGCATTCCGGCTCAAAGCACCCAAACAAAAAAAGAGCACTTTATTTCTTTCATCTTGATGCTCCGAATGCTCCGAAAGGCACCGGAAATGAGCAAAAAAGTACTGGAATGGGCAGAAAAGAGAGACGCCGCTTTTTTGGGATGCATTTTCGTGTTCTCGTACAATATATTTTCGCGTTTTCTTTTGCGCCGACCATAATAAACAATTGATGGATGGACTCATTCACAATTCAAAAGAGGGAGAGAGGATGACATGGACAACATTTCGACAATCATTGTTTTACTTTTTTTGTTGACAAACCTCGTGAATACAGGCTTTTTGAGCGCTCGAACAGCAAAAATGAGCAGAAAACGACTGAAATTCGCGCAGCTTAAATAATTCGTTGAGAAATTATCGATTTTCTGTAACTAATTTGGCAAAAAAAAACACGAAGATTGCCGTTAAGACTTGAATTTCGCGCCAAAACGTCGCTTTATTCGGCGGGCGCACTTGCGCCCACTACATTAGCTCTAGAGACCGAAACAGTTCAATGTTACAACTGCAATCTCCAGTTTTTCGATTTTTTGGACTATTTGCGAGATTTAGACGACGTCAACGACGCTTTTTTCCGGATTTTCATAAAAAGACTCACCAATATTGGGTGCCGAGCACAGCGTGGGCGAATAAACGAGCGAATTGGCGTGCGGGCTCTGAAAGTGCAGCGAAATGTGCGAAATGCATTTCAGCGAGAACGAGGTCGTCTCATTTTCGGTGATCTTCGAGACGGGGATCGAGTCGGCGAAGATGTGGCCGTCGCGGAACGATATTGTCAAATTCTTCGACGGGGTGCTCAGCACGATTGGGGTCGGCGTTCCGAAGTTGGCGATTTGGAGGTCGAAGGTGAGCGGCGAGGTGATTAACGAGATGAGCGCCAGAAACGCCATCCGAACATTTGTGCTGGTGGTGGTGGTGAAGAAGAAGAAGAAGAAGAAGGAGAAGGAGTCAGACACAATAGGCTCCGCCCACTTTCTGAGAGCTCAGAGCCGTCGGCAAGAAAGAAGGGAACAACTGACACATAGTACATCATAACGCTCTCGCTCTCTTGGACGAGAAGGAGAAGGAAGAGCCGAGAGGTTAGGGGGGTCTGACTGATGATGATGATGATGATGATGATGGAAGGAGGAGGAGAAAGATTCGATTTATTAACAGGTGCAGGGATTGCAAGAAACACCGAGGTACCAAAAAAGAGTTTCGTCTCGATGCGTTAGAACGGAGTGTCGTTGAAAACAAAAGTAGGTCTGGATTTTCGGCGAAAATTGATTCGATTTTTTTTCACAAGAAAACGCACATTTTTGCATTTTTTTTTCTGGGAACTCCAGTCTTGATTGATAGCCGAAACCTCGAAACTGAAGTTTCTAAGTGATTTTTGTCTTTTATGGGCCGTCTCCGTGCTCAAAATGACCGCCTATGTCTGCTGAACAGACGTGAGACAAATGTTTTTTTCTATGATCGATGCCCGACATCTGAAACTCGAGAAAGCGCAGAAGAATTGAAGAACACACTTGGAATCTTCTCGTTGAGATCTTCCCAAAACGTCTCTCTTCAACTTTCGTAGGATTTGCAAAATGATCGGGCTGAGCCGGGGATCGATCCCGGGACCTCTCGCACCCTAAGCGAGAATCATACCACTAGACCACTCAGCCACCGAAAAGAGATTCTGGTTGTGTTTTTCACGTTTGCTCTCATTTCCCAACAACAACAGTTCCGAAAAGATAAACGTTGTGTTCCGTTTTACTTGTGGCCGAGAAGAAAAAGTGAGTGTTTCTAGGCCGCCGTTAAAACCTGTAGGTAATGTTCCAAGGCTACCGTAGCCTGATCATGTTTTCACAACAAAACTTTGAAAGCAAAGTGGCCACTCAATTACAACTACAAATTAGTCGTTTGCAGTTTCTGGAAAATTCTTAGCCGCAATCCAACGCATTGTCCTCCAGAAAAGTGTGGGCGACGAAGCGAAGAATCGAAAGAAACATGGCAATTAGGGGGGCCAACGACGGACTGTCTGGATTGGAAATGGACAAATTGAGACGGTGGATCCGGGAACACACACTCTCTCTCTCTCTCTCTCTTTTTCACTCTTTTCACAACTCAATTTACCGGATTTTTTTTTGTTGTATTCATTCTCAATAAACATTTTTCCCACATTTCCAGCCGAGTTCGTCTCCGAAACCGATGATGAAACTCCATGCAATCCACCTATTTTTCATCGCCATTTCCACTTTTACTCTTTTCATTTTCATCGCCCTCTCCTATTTTTACGCTGAAATTGCGCATTTGCACCGAAGTGCCGAGAGTGCGCTCCAAGATTTCGAGGTAGTCAAATGACATGAAAAATTGAATAAAAGTGGAAATTTTCAGAACTTCGAAAGATTATCGTGGAATGATTTGCAAGTGCTCATGATTTCGTGGAATACCCGAGAAAAGAGGTGAGTGCAAAAAATTTGAACTTTTATGTAGAAGGCTTATCCAGATGGGTAAAAATGAAAAAAAATCGATTTTCACTCTGCTAAATGAAAAAAAAACCCGTAATTTTTGCAGGAAAGCGCGTAAAAAGTCGCGGCGTTCTTCCTCGGCGGTCCCATTGGCGCCTTCACGACCGTCAATCCGTCCGCCCGAGTGCCCATCGGGCGCACCAGGCCTTCCGGGTCGTCCGGGCCTCGACGGAGAGCCCGGAGTGGACGGTGTGCCCGGAAAAGACTGGCTTTTTATGGAACTGCTGAGCGAATCGTGCACACAATGCCCGGCCGGCCCTCCCGGAGAACCCGGAATGGACGGCTCCGAGGGAATTCGGGGACCGCCTGGAAGTTTAGGCCCGCCGGGTCCAAACGGGGAAAACGGGGCGATGGGCGAAGTGGGTCCGGCTGGGCAGGAAGGACCACCCGGGGAAGTCGGAGAGGACGGAATCGATGGAATGGCGGGGCTGGTGACGATGAAAATAATGAATAGCCGGGGTACGAAAGGATCTGTCGGCGCTCCGGGTCTTCAGGGCCAGCCTGGAATGACCGGGATTACCGACAAAGGTGGGGGAGAAAGAATTAAGGAAAACTATGCGAAATTGCAGCAATCATTGGATCTCCTGGAATCCAGGGAGCGCCCGGAAAATCTGGAGCCAGTGGAAAACCAGGAACTGATGGAAATGTAAGCACATCGCTTTTAGCCGCAGAAAATTAAAATTATTCTTCATTTTTAGATTGGAATTCCCGGCGAGCCAGGGGTCGACGCGACATACTGTCCATGCCCGAACAGATCGTTCGAAGTTCAACGGATGGTTCCACCCGCCGCCGAAAAGAAGTACTCGTACGACTATTACGAGTTTGAGGCGGCGAAGAGAAAGAAAAAGTCGATACTCAAAAACCGAATAAGATTCTTGATTTGAACGAAACATTCTGCTTCTCAATTGCTGACCTCCAAAAAATACGCAAATAGTGGAAGATTTTTATTTTCTACCACAAAATTAACAACGAAAATAAATTATCAACGAATAATTTACTTTCCTCCTTTCGGCTTCGAGTGCTCCTCGACAACGAGGTTGTTAAGGTTGAATCCCTGAAAGAACGAGGATTTGGTGTTCAATTGCTGAGTTTGGAACAGCCTCGACGTTCCGAACCGAAAATCCGAGAGCGGCACAGGAGCTGCTGACGCAACCCCCGGTGCTCCCGGATCTTAAAATGACCGAAAAGTTAAACTCACAGCAGCCTTAAGCATTTCGCTGGTGTCCGAATCGACCTTGAGGGAGGCGAGTTGGGATGGATCGACGGCGGAGACATCTGGCATGTAATTGTCTCTGCGCTCGCGCTCTTCCTCCTGGAGCTTGATCGAGATGCCTCTGACCGGTCCTCTCTCGATACGTCTCATCAAGTGGGTGATGTATCTGGAAAAAAGTATTCAAAAACAATTTTTCAATAAAAATGTACCCGGCGATCTTGTTTCTGAGCGGCTTGCTTCCAATGATGGCCACCTCGTCACAGACGCGCTTGTTGTTGTGAAAGTCGTTGGTCATTCGAGTGTAGTACTTCTCGATGAGCACTCGGGAAGCCTTCTTGACGGTTTTGGTACGAACGCGACTCATTTTTATCCAAGGTTTCTGTAATAAAGGATTCTAGATCAGTTCTAGCCACAGGAAGAGAGAGAGATAAATGGACAGAAGAGAAACGAGAGAGCGTGCAAAAATGGGGAAGAAAAGAACATTACAGAAAATATGAAATAAAATTAAGAACGAGCAATAAAAAGTGTGAGGGCGGTAATTTAGAGATTCAGAAGAATTTGTTGAGACGCGACGATTTCGGAAATCAGCGAGAAAACCGCGGAATGATTACAAAATCGTTTAAAAACTGAAAAAAAAACTGAAGAAACATCGGGAATTCTGGAAGCAAAGTAAGGATATGGAAACAAAAACGGATCGATCAGAACAGAAAAAGCCAAAAACTGATGAAAAGACAAGAAATTCAAATGCGTATAAAATAAGATAGAAATCTACAGTAATATTCGACGAAAAGGAACAAAATTCAAGAAAATCTAGAAAAGCGACATACTGTGACAAATTCTAGACATAATGGGGAGGAAACTTGCGCAAAATACGCTGAAAATCAACGAAAATTCACTACATTTAATTTTTTCGCGACAAAAATTGGAAAAAAGGAAAATCGGGAAGAAGACAGACAAAATTTGGGCCAAAAGCGAGCAAAATGAGCGAGAATTTCCGAAAATTGCGGTAGCGATGCAGATCGTGGCGAGACCCAATGGCGCAGGAGGAGCACGCGCCTTTAATTGTTTTAGTGGGACTTCAAATTTGAGTTTCGCTTTTTCTAGAAAATGAGGGAGCTCAAAATGAAGTGAATTTTATGATTTGAACAACTTGACACACGCTGAGAATAAATAATTTAAAAAAAAAATGTTTTTTTTTGCTTTCACAATTTTTCAGATGAGAATCGGTAATGTTGCAAATGCGCTCCATTCAGAATAGCGCGTTTTAGAGAGAATTTCAAAATTTAAGAAGAATGGGCTGAAATCGTGCGATTTTCAGCCAAAAAGCTGAAATTGAAAAAAAGTTTAAAAAGAGGTTTTGTAGGTCATTTTTTTAGAATTCATCTAATATTGTCTCGTTTCAATAAAATTGTAATTTTTTTCATTCTCTTTTCTCAAAAAGCAGAGCAAAACGAATCGGACTCCACACGGCGAAAGTCCAAGGCAGACAGCAACAAAAATAGCAAGAAAATAAGCAAAGAAGTCGTAATTCCGTGAAAAGTGAGTATTTTTAGTGAAACAGCTGAGATTTTCTGATTCGAAGATCTTTGTGCAAAAAAATTAGAAATTCCCGGAAGAGCGCACTTGCAAACGAGAGTTTTTAGAAATTGAAGGAAGTGAACCGTTTCTGATAAACATTAAGACAGAATTACACGTTTTTAAAGGAAATGCGATGGGAACTAAGAATTTGAACGGAAAATTGCAAAATTCAACATTCAAGCATGTATTTTCTCGATTTTTTTCAGAATGCCAAGTCGAAGGGAAAGTGAAGTTGAAAGATCGACCTATCTGAACAACGAATCGAGAGGGATTCAATTTTTTTCTCGAAAAACTGCATCTATCACTTAATTTCGCATATTGGCTGCCAGAATCGATTGTTTTTAACCTGAAATAAATCTTATTGAACTGAAAATTTTGGTTTTTCAAGTGTTTTGTTAGTTCAGACTTTGTTGTAGATCCTACTAGATCAGACAAACTTTCGCATATTTCTGAGTGGAATTTTAAGAGGATGACAAGTGGATTGAGCGCATTTTCAGATGGCTGACAATGAGATCATCAATCGCCGACCAAGTGGGGCATCCGCCGCTGGAGACAGCCCGGTGGCCATCGCCATGGAGCATGTCGCACCGGAGCCCACTCCATCTCCAGAGCCAGAGCCGGAGCCAGAGAAGATCAGCTTGAGGAGCGCTGAAAAAACAAAGGACATGCACCAGGTCTGCGTGTCGATTACCCGGAAGAAGCTGGAGGAGCTGCTCAACGAGAAGAAGATCCGGTATTTTATACCGGAGGAAAAGGAGGTCTCATGGACGGATCTCGGATTGGCGATCATAGCTCTGTTCGTTGACGCCGTGGCAAGTCTCGGAATCCTGAGCAAATTCTCGAAGATGGCCGTTTCAGTCTTCGTTCTCTTGCTCGAACAAGAATGAACTTTCCACAGTCTGCCTCGGTAGAAAAAAAACACAATTTTTTAAAATTATCTTGAACCATGTTTCAGCAATCCAGTTGCGCATTTTTTGCCGAATTCAGTGAGAATTGTCGGCAAAATTCATGTTATTGGTCATATTCGGAGTGCACAAAATCTATAGCAATAATTTACGCAGCCTCGTCTCAATCAAACATGTCTAAGAAATTCTTAAGAAATTCGCGTTAGAGCGCACTTGAACACAGGAAATCGTTCGAAATATATCAAATTCCACTGTTTTTCAGAAAAAATAAAACCGAAATACACGTATTCGATGGAAATTCACGAGAATTGCACAAAACAAACACATTTCTACAGGATGGGTCAAAGAAAAAGAAAAGAAATGCTCCGAAGATAACGAAGATCCAATATCGTCGCAATCCGCGAATAATCGAGCATCCGAAAAGTGAACAGATCCTTTCCAATTCCTGTCCTTCTTGTAGAGACTGCGCAACCCCTGAGCTCTCAAGCGTCCAGGAAGTGAGCAGTAAATCCGGGTCCTCTTCCATACTCAAACGTTTGCCAAAGTCTCATTCCGGGAACAAGCGTGAAACGTTTCGCCTTCTTCACTGCCTGTCTCTCTCCGTAATGAAGGAAGACGGCGAGCAGGAGGAAATATGTTAAAAAGTTCTGAAAAGAGGAGGTACGGTCTCCAGAGCTGACAATGGGCGCATTTGCTTCAATTAGATTGCAAAATCTTCTAATTAGATTGAAAAATCTTCTAATTAGATTGCAAAATCTTCTAATTAGATCGAAAACTCTTCTAATTATTATAGGGGCACTGCACAGAAATGGCGCTCTGTTGAGAAACTCTTTTTGCAGTGCAAATTGAGCGACCTCGGGGCCGAGTTTGAAAAGTTAGGCCACGTTTTCAGTGGAAAATTACTTCGCGGCCTAGAAATTCTGCCAGATTGCGAACAGCGCGCCCTTTCTGTCCGGTGCCACTATAATAGATTGCAATCGAGTTTCCAGAGATTGGCGCGAAATTAAAATTTTAACAGCAAAATTTGTGTTTTTTTTGCCAGATTAGCCACGAAAAATCGATAATTTCTCATTTGTCTCTCGATACACCGATTGTATAGGCTATTACGAATTTTTTAAGCGCAAGAGCGTCAAATTTGGTCAAGTCGCAAATCACATTTATCCGTTTGAATGTTTTTGGCTAAAAATGCGTGAATTTCAGTTGCTTTTCGGTAGTTTTCGCGTTTCGAGCGCTCAAGATGCTTGTATTTACGTGATTTATCATTCTCAAAACCAATTCTGTTTGAAAACGGTCAAGAAAGCGCAAAATGAGAAGTGCGGTTTTTAGGCGGCGAAGGCGAAAAAGCGAAATCCGCGAAATCCGCGAAAAATGAGCGCCAAAACGTCATTAATTCTGTGATAATTAGTGTGTTTTCATGCCGAACAATCATTTTTGATCGCCGTTGACCACAAAAATCAGAGAAAACCTGCTCAATTCATTAAAACGCCATTTGGCCGAGGCCACGCCCATATTGTCAGCTCTCGAGACCGTGGCGCGAGGGAAAAACCGAAAGTGAAGAAGAACAGTATTCACTTACAGCGTATGTCTCAATGAAATGACACGTGGTGAGGTATATTGGAATCAGAATGTGCAATTCCAATGTACGGGGGTCCAGTGGGTTCTGCAGGTCGAGGACTCCGTTCGACAGAATATGGCAGAACGATGAACAGATGTAGACAATGTGCGAGGAGAAGATGAGTGCGAGAGATCCCTGAGAGCATGTGAACAGTCAAAAAGAAGTGTTCGCTGAACTCACTTACATAATACTCTTCTCGTTGATAAAGTACACAAGCCAGAGTCAGACAGGAAAGCGACAAAATCTGTCCGTCCATGGCTAACAATGCAAACTGTTTTGTTTGAATCGGCGGATAATAGTCATAAAAGTAAAAGCATGCAGACATCAGCGACATAAATAATACTAAATCTATGAAAGCAAGCCCCCTGTAATAATCGTAAGGAATTGGTGCTATTCCGGGGAAAAAGAAGGAGAGCAGCAAGGCGAAATAGCGCGAGACGTACATTCGATCGATCGAATGAGCGAGGTCGCGTACAGGATCGTCTGTCCTAGTGTGAAAGAGAGAAAGAGCAGCTGTTTTTGTGGGGTGGCCGAGGAATTACTAGGCCGTACCAAAAAGCAAAAAAGGCAGAAAAACTGATTTATTCGATCAACTCCACCAATCAACAATATTAGTTTGTTTTTTTTTCATAACAATCAGCGGGACTCGTTTACTTTCCCTTGTTCTTTCCTTGGTCCTCAACGGTCACGTTGGCCAGGTTGAATCCCTGCAAAGAGTCGAGTTACGAGGATTTTCTTCTATTTAAATTGTTCGGTAACGCCTCGACATACCGAACTATGGTCGATCCGAGAGCGGCACAGGAGCTGCTGACGCAACCCCCGGTGCTCCCGGATCTTAAAATGAGCGAAAAGTGAAACTTACGGCAGCCTTGAGCATGTCATTGGTGTCCGAATCGACCTTGATCGAGATGAGCTGGGATGGATCGACAGTCGAGACCTCCGGCATGTAGTTGTCTCTGCGCTCGCGCTCCTCCTCCTGCAGCTTGATCGAGATGCCTCTGACCGGTCCTCTCTCGATACGTCTCATCAAGTGGGTGATGTATCTGAAAGACTACCGAGATGAGTTTGTTGTTTAGCAGCGCGCAAATTATTTCTTTCGGCAAGTGCTCGTCAGCTGGGACTCTGTTCGTCTTCTATTTCAGACTTTCAATCAGTTGATGCTACAAAAAAGCAGTCTAACTAGGTCTTTCAAGGGTACACTTCAATTATAGATACCTGGGAACCCGATTATAAGGTCTAACAATCATTAATTATTAAATGCTGGATTTAGGACGCTCTAACAAGTAAGCGAGGGCAGTTATTTTCCGATTTTTCGGAATACCTCCAATTATGCGCTAGAAACTCGGTAACTTTCGATAAAATACAATTTTGTCAAAGACCCTTTCACGTTCTTACCCGGCGATCTTGTTTCTGAGCGGCTTGCTTCCAATGATGGCCACCTCGTCACAGACGCGCTTGTTGTTGTGGAAGTCGTTGGTCATGCGAGTGTAGTACTTCTCGATGAGCACTCGGGAAGCCTTCTTGACAGTCTTGGTACGAACGCGACTCATTTTGAGCGGACAGTGATGATACCGAAGTTCTGCAAAGAGAAAGGTTGTAGAAGATAAAATGGAGCGTATTTTTCGTAATGTTCGGAAAGGAAACGATCAATACGAAAACGACACATTTTCTCATTTCAAAAATACCAAAAATCTAGGTAAACTTCAGCAAGCAAAAAAGAATTAAAGGGAGTTGAACACGCGTACGGTCGCACTCGCGCCCCGTGTGTCTCCGGTTTCCGTGCGAGACCCACACAAATAAATGCGTGCGCCTTTAAACACACTCTCGCTCTCTGCGCTCTCTCTCTTTCCGTTTGTCCGGCGGCGGTCGCCTAGAATATCAGTTTGACTTGAACTCGGTCTCGCACTACTGCATTTTTCGAAATGCTCAAATTGACCGTGCTGTGCCCTTAAATTACCGTATTTTTAAATAGATAGTTCAGCGAAAATTCAACTGAGAATCACAAAAACCCATCCAAATCATCGCTCTCATTTTATAAAGTGGGTAAATAAATTTGAAAAAGAGGGAATCCGGCTCGGGAATGATACAAGTTGTTCGGGGGGCTACTTAACATTATTGTTATAACAATACAAAAAAAGCAGAACGCTTCAAAAGAACACAAAAAAGTCAAATAAATTAGGCGTCGTGGTATCGGCTGTAGAGTGCCTGACGTGTCTTTTCTTTGTGGCTCGCCTCCACTCCGTGACGCATTTTCGAGCCGGCCGCCCCCAATCCGGCGCCCTGGACGAATCGTTCCGCTTGGATCGGGTTCACTATTCCTGTAGACAAAATATTTTAGGATAAAGGGTCTTGAGCAGAGTTGAGCGGAAGAACTCAACGGAAGAACACGAAAGAATTTTTATCTTTTTTAGAAAATTTTCTCATGAAATGTGATCAACTGACGAAATGTATAGCAAAGTGAACTGTGCTCATAGAAAAATAATTGTAAATTTAGCTTTACATACAAAAAAGTTATTCGAGTTGTTCCGTGAAAAAAGGAGGGCTAACGGAAGACGGAAGGAATAACTTTTTTGCATGAAAAGTTACATTTACAATTATTTTTCTATGAGCAGAGTTCACTTTGCTATACATTTCGTCAGTTGATCACATCCCATGAAAAAATTTTCTAAAAAAGATAAAAATTCTTCCGTGTTCTTCCGCGCAACTCTGGTCTTGAGGCGATATCGTTCTTTGTCAAACACTGAGAATCTACATTTCAAAACTCGAATCCGCGTACCCTGTGCGTGTTTTCCGACTCCCTGTCCCTCTTTCCAGCCCATGCTCTTGAGCAGTCGGTTTCCAATGTTCGAGTCGTCCAACGGCCGTTTCGACGCCTCCTCGCTCTCCTTTCGCATCGTCTCCTCGTTGCGCGCGGATCCGGCTCCGGAAGTGGTGCCGCCCATCACATCGAACGCGTACCCGGTGGAGTCGATTCCGAACTGCCGCCTCCGCTCTTTCGCCCGGTCTCTGTACACAATCTTCGGCAGTTCCGGCTCTTTTTCCTCTTCTTCTCGCAGCCGCAGCGCCGTTTCTCGGCCCCACTCGGCACGTTTCGCCTCCAGATTCGTCTGAATTTTTAAGATTACATTTTTCAAAGAGACACATTTGATCGGCAAACGCACCCGATGCAATTCGCTTTTCTCCACGTGTTTTCTGAGCACTTCGACGTCTCCGAATGCCCGTTTGCACAGCATGCAAGTCTTTTTGGCCTCGTCGTACAGCGCCCGTTCCATCGATTCTCTCAATTCCAGCAGATTCGGTTTACGCGGCGCCATCGGGCTCGAATTCGAATGAGCCGATGACGTGGCATTGAGGGAAGACGTCGACGGACGGTAACTTTCTTCCGCCGCCGCCTCTTCTTCGTCGTCTTCGTCCGCCGAGAGGGCTGATGGTCCCAGTTTTCGGTGTTTTTCTGCAAACACTTTCTTTCCAATTCTCTGCACTTGCAATATCGCTCACCCTGCTGGAATACGTTCTTTAACTCGACCACTCCCTTCGTTTCCTTCGTTTTCAGCGAAATCTGCACTTTCTTCTTGTCCTTCTCCTGCTTTTTCGCCCATTTTGCCATGTCCTTCGCCAGATCGGCCGCACTTTTCGGCCCCTCCTCCTCTGTTTTCTTGCCTTTCTCTTCCGTTGCCTCTTCCGTTTTCGCCGCTGTTTCCACCGGGAAGTACGTCTGGAAGGTGAGGTCCCACGTCGACCAGCACGCCGATTCGTTGTTAAAGTAGTAGCCGGTGGTCGAGTCGTAGCAGAACTTTGTGATCGGATCCACGTAGTAGCCGACGTTCGGATCGTGCACAAACGTCAGCGGGTTCGGCGGCACTGCAAATTAACCGTTTTTCTAGAATATTTTTAAAGGCGTGATAAGTAACATTCAAGCATTTTTAGGAAATTCAAACAAATTCGACTCGTTTTCCTGCAAGACCTACAATATCTGGGGAGTGTTCCTTTGGGCGTCTGCACGACTCCAATCACTCCGTTCTGGTGTTCCGGCTGGATAACTGGGGGCGGGGCGTTCAAATTTGGCGGCGGCACCGAGAAATTCGACGGGATAATAGTGGCGGCGGTAGGTGCGGACGTCGCTTGCTGGTTCGGATGGGCCATCTGAAAAGAATTTTTCGAAGAACGGTGTACAAGGTGCTTACCAGCTGTCCAACGTGATGACTGGCCTGACGGACCGCATTCGCCTTCGAAATGGCGGCGGCGGCGATTTCAGCTCCAGTTACTGAAAAGGTGAATAATATCGATTGAAAATGGTTCACTATTGGCCAAATAGACTCACAATTTCCCTGCGGCGCCTGTTCGCGTACGGGTCCGGCCGTCAGCATCGTCATTTGTTGCTGAATGAGACGAGTCATCGAGTCGCGGCACCACGAGACTTGCACTGAAATCAATCGATATCGATTTCATATTTTTGCTGTGGAAATACGGGAAACTTTAAGCTAAAAGTGACTCAAAAATTTAGAGTCAAAATTCACCGTTTCACTGTTCTAATTCAAAAAATAGGTATTCGTGCGAGATTGCTCATTTTTATTCCGAGGCAATTGTGTGATCTACGGGGTCTCGTTTTGCAGCGCCAAACAATTTCGCCCACTCACCGTCCTTGTTCTTAATGCGAATCGGTGCTTTGTAGGTCAAATTGAGGAGCATCAGCGCCTCGTCGGCGCTTTTCATTTGCAAATACGCAAAACGTTTCGATTCGGACAACTGCAAATAATTTCAGATTTTTTAAAGTGTCAAAAAATAAGGGGGGGGGGGGGAAAAAAAAGGGACCTTGATCATGGAAATGGAGCTGAGACAGACGAGGGTCGAAAGTCCGTCAAAGATGGCGCTGTTCGTGATTCCGTCCGGAAGGCCGCGGATTAAAAGTGCTGAAAATCACAAAAATTATATTATTCCCAGCTTCTAAGAGAAAAAGAACTGACTATCACAGGGTGTCATTCCGACCATATGTGCGCCCAATCGCTCCAATTCCATCGATTGATCCTTGGAAATTTCGCATTTGAAACATGTGCTTCGTTTCACAAAATTGTTCATTGAGCACTGCAAACAAAAAGACATTTCAGGAAAAATCAGCACGCACAACAAAAAAAGAAGCAATTTGGTGAAAAGAGTGCTTACGTGAGCACAAATCCAGTCGTCTCCCTTATTCCCCATATTGTTCACCGAATCGCCTTTCGCGTATTCCACCGCCAGAGTCCGACCGTCGTCCAGTGTCAGCCAGCCCTGCAAATGTCAAACATTTCCGTTTCTTTCGAGTTTACGATATTTTTTGGCTTAAAAAAATTTCAGTTTCAAAAAATGGTTTAGGGGGTTCGAACACATTCTAATTTTATTTACACAGGTCCGCTCTCACTAAAAACTTATTTCAGCGATTTGTTGGTTTTTTTTCAAATTCATTCTCGCACAGGGCTAGGCAAAAGGCCGGCCCAGACCATTTTTCGGCCCAAAATCTCGTACCTGAAAGTCGGCCATCCACCGTTCGGCGGTCGACTGATCCGAGAATTCGACGAACGCAAAAGTGCGCGGTTGTTTCGTCAAACGGTCGAATTTGGTCATTGTGCGCACGTCCTGCGGCAGATATCCGCATTTTCCCAGTGCAAATGTGATCTGCAGAGGGGGGGGGACAAAATTGGGTTCAATTTCGAAAATGCAAATGAAAACGAAGCTCAAACTCACTTTGGTATTGTCCACGTCGGCGGGCATGTTCAAAATCGCCAATTTGTTCGTCGGAATTCCGGGATTCCAATCCGAATATCGATCCGTTTGGTTGCGACGGAACGACGAGTTTCGGTCCTAAAAGAGACACTGTTTTACTCAGAAAAGTTGCATTTTTTTTTTGGCATTTTATTTGACAACGCTGGGAACCTTTCGATTGAAGGCACCAACCACATCGATCTGAAATTTTGAGAAATTTTGAAAATGGCTTTTTCGATTACAACCCTCTCATTGCAATCTGATTTTGTATGAAAAAATGAGAAGTAGGCTCGATGTTAGCATTAGAAGTGTCAAAGACAAAAAGTTGTATGAAAATATTTTGAAACAGAGAAAATCCCGGAATTCTTTACAAAAGTGCAACAGAGCGCATATTCCCCTCTTTTGATTTTCCGTACTGACCCTATCCCTGCTGCTGCTTCTGGAACGTCGTCGTCTCGAATATCTCGAAGAGGACGTGGCAGAGGAAGAAGCGTTTTTCTGGTTGCTCGGCGGCGATCGGCTGCTCCGCTCGTGACTCCGATCTACAATCTCATCGAGAATTAGTTTTTTTCGGGCGCGGCAAAAGCAAAGGCATCTCCAGGGACAGAGAATGACTGATTGCGAGAGGACCTCTTCTCCGTCGGCTGCTCCGATCCTCCTCCTTCCGCCGATCCCGACTACTTCCACGCCTTCTGCCCGAAGATTCCCGCCCGCGGCTCCTGCTTCTGCTCCGCGAACGGCGCGCCCACGACGGGGAACGGGAGCGGCGACGCTCCGAAGAGCGCGCGGCGTTTACTGTAGACGAGTTCGTGGCATTTGGAGCGGTGAATGACGGTGGAGGCAGGGCGAAATCCGGGTAGACGGCCGTCGGCGGTTGATGATATTGTTGGTGTTGGAGCACTCCCATTTGCCTGCATTTTTACATGATATTTCAGGGAACGTTTTTTTAAAGCATTTTCGTTGATTGATTCAGGTAATAAGCAGAGAAGCATAGTACAAAAAAACAAACTAATTTGGAACTCAGGATTTGTTGCAAGACTTTTCGAGAATTCAAATTTCATGACTTCAGGTCCGTTCGTCTCAGTTTCCCAGTTTCCCTTACTCTTTCTCCTCATTGTTCAGCCGCTGGATCTGTTGCTGAGTCTCGGCCAAACGGGCTTGTATATCAGCCAGTTGATTGGTTCCAGACGATCCGTAGACGAGCGAATTGGCCGCCTGTCGGGAGGAACACAACTTTAGACAGACATTATCGATCGATCGATGGATCAAAAGTTCGCCCCCGCAAAACAAACCCGCTGCTCCTCGTATTGCTTGTAATAGTCGGCCATTTGACGTTGATGCTCGCGAGGCTCATATCTTTCCTGGAATTTGAGACGACATTTTGCGGAAAGACCACAATTCTAGCCCTCTTCACTCGGTTTTTCATTTGAAACCACAATTTTTCAAGCATTTCATCGCCTATTACCTCGCCTTGAACCCTTTTTCCGTCTTCATCTGCGTTGTACACAAAAGGCATCATTTTCTGTCGGGGTAGAGGGTTTTCTCTATAAAATTGCACATTTTTACGGTGAAATTTGATGCGAATAACTTCAAACAACCATTTATTGACATAAAATCAAGAGAAATCGCGAAAAATCCGAACGAAAACCTGCAAAACTGACGCGAGAAATGTGGTCGATAAACGTTTGATTTCTCGGGCGATTGCATTTAAAGACGCACGCGATTAGCACGTGTGACGGGTCTCGCACGGAAGAGACGATTGTGTGTCGATTTACGGGACGAACAATTTCACCATTGTTCAGGCTAAAAATCTCGATTTTCGACGGATTTTTTCAGTCTTTGTTCGTAAAAATTTTAAATTATTTATTTTCAACGATAAAATCACACTGCTCCATCATCATATCGATCCGAAATGACCCGTCCATAGAGTGGCTGAAAAAATTTTAGAAACTCATTTTCCCTCGAAAAAACGTACTTTGATGCGTAGAACTTCGATAAAAGAGACCAAAATAACGATAAAAATGGAAAAAGCGACGACGACCATGTTGGAAAGGTGCTGCTCAGCCACTTTGACTTCTTTTCGTTCCTCCGCACCTTTCTGTACTATTCGTTACGCTACAAATTCAGATTTCGACGTACCAAAAGACGGAAAAATTTCAAATTGTTGCACAGCGGCTCGTGACAACACCACGCCTTTGTGTGATCGAAGATTTTAATTCCCAGACCGTCCTGAACAACTTTTTGCAAAAAAACATTCATTTTGCACAAAATTCACCATATCATCGAAATATTCACGTCTTTTTCGTGTCGGAGTGCACAAAAAATTATGCTGCCAATCGGATGCGTTCATGCATCCGCTGTACAACATTCCGTTGATCAATTCCGTTCTGCAGGCCTAAAATCAAAAATGTCATTGAATTTTGTTCAAATTCCAAAATGTTTACATCATAAAAACTGGAAACTTCACTTCCGTAGCACTTTTCAACGTCAAATTTCACGCTTCCATTAAATATTGACTGAAAATCGTGCTGAACACTGAAGCACTCGAAAATTCTCTGAAAATTTGCATTTTGTCATAAGACTGGGTTTTCCCCACATATTCTCTCCATCCGTGCGAAAAGGTGGACAAATTGATGAGCAAAAGTGTGAAAAGCATCATTTTCAGGGGAAAATAATTATTTTTCCTCATAGTCCTCATTCTTCCGCGAGAAGTTCACGATTTTTGAGAAATTCTAGTTTTTTTTTTAGTAAAATTCGGATGAAGGATCCCGACCGTCTCAACCGAATTCTGCAAGATCAACCTTACATTGAAGGGTGAATTTTTTGCACATTTTTTGAGTTCTTGCATGAAAATGTGTGATTTTGATGTGTTTGTGGTGCACAATTTGTCTAGACCTTTTTGGAATTCTTTAAAGATTCGAAAACCCGTCTGCGGCCGATTTCACAGCAAAATCTGCGATTTCGTTGAGCGATTTGAGGGGAAGAGAGCATTTGGAACGCTGGTTTCATCATTTGGACACTTTTGAGTGAGATTTTTATTATCCAAACAAAAAACTTTTTCTCCCTGTTTTCCGCTGAAAAACTCAATTTTCGATCATTTCCGCGAAATGTCAATTTTTGTGCAGAATGAGCGCCGAAACAGCCGTCCTTTCGACCGAAAACCTTCCGCAACAGATTTTGGACTTTTTGGGCACCGCCGACGAGTTCAATTCAATCCAATTGGCTCAGAAATGGAGTATCGACCATCAGAAGCTGATCGGAGGAATCAAGAGCATTCTGACCAACGACGGAGTATGTTGTGGGCTGAATTTGTGAAAAACGTTCGCAAAAATCGCGTAAATTTGCAGGTGCTCGCGACAAAAGACGTGTCGGAGAAGCGCTTCGAGCTGACGGGCGAGGGAATTCAGATGGCCGACGAGGGATCGCACGAGTTCCGCGTCTACGAATTCATCGGAGACGACGGCGTCGCACAGGCCGATGTCATGGTGATTTTTTGAATTTTTTGAATATTTTTGGAAGGACAAGAAAACTGGCGAAAAAATGTTCAAATTCTCAATATAACGGAAATTTTTTACATTTGTTTTTAATGGACGCATGATTTTTCAAAAAACAACTTCATGTTTTAAAAAGGAACTCCGAGAAGGGAATAAAATGGTTACAACAAAAATTCATTAAATCCAACTTTCTCGTAAAAAAGTGTTGATTTCTCAGAAGCAACCGTTCGGAAAGATCGGAGTGGCGAAGGCGATGGCCGCCAAATGGGTCCAAATGGACAAATCGACGGGAAAAGTGAAGCGACAGGCCGGAGAAGTGGTGGATACGGTCAGGAAACAGCTGGAAGCCATCCGGATCGGGACAGAAATCGGCGATAAAGAAAAGGCCGAATTGAAGAAGAGGAAACTGATTAGCGAAGTGTTAGTTTTTTTTTTAAATAAAATAACAGAAAAAAAGGTTTTTTTTGTTAGAGAAATTAGAAGTTTTCGGGGTTGGACAATTGGCTGGCCCTTGCCCTAGACTTTTGACCCACTTGCAATAATCCGATTGGACCCAAACTTTGCAAGCTTCTTGAACTTGAATTGAAGTATATTGGGACCGAGTTCCAGCTTGATCGCAAAATTTACTGTCGAGATATAATGAAGTCCGGGCTTCCGATCAGTTTAGGCCAATGATCCACATATCTCGAAGCCGGATAATCCGATCGGGTTGAAACCGTAACCCGAAATACTTCAATCCAAGTCCAAGAAGCCTGCAAGGTTTGGGTCCGATCGGATTATTGCAAGTGGGTAAAACAAAACGAATTCATTCATATTTTTACAAACCTCGACCCATTTTGCGAGTCCCTGATGGTAGGCGAAGATCTCCATGCTCGGTTCGGTGTACGGATTGTAGGTGGGCTTGAAGCGGAGGTTCGTGATGCCCAATTTCTTGAAGAACTCCGTGAAGACGCCGATCAGATGGGCCAGACTGAGGTTCTTTTCGGCGATCACGCCCTCCACCTGGTGGAATTCGGCCAAATGCGTCGCGTCGAGCGTCTCGTTCGACGGCCGGAATCCCTAAAGAAAATACATTTTTGCTCATTTTGCGAAGAAGAGCTCAATGTCCAAAAATCAGAAAAAAAAAGTGGTGCGATCAGTCGTTACCCCAAAACAACTTCAAAAATGTGCGTCACACCGAGAGAGTTGGCTCCGAATCCACGGAACCGCTTCCATCGGCACGACGCAATTCCATTTTCCCGAGTCGGAAACCGTCACAGCCACGTAGGTTGATCCGGGGCAAAGACCGGGCGAGAGATGAGAAGAGAGACGACAGCGAAGACGGCCGCGGCCACACAACCGACTGCGCTACACGTGCAACACCAGACAGCGGGGACAGAGGGCCTAGACTTGAGGGCGCGCGCGGGAGGAAATGAACGCAACGGGAAAGGGCTGGAAATTTCCAGGTGTCTTTCGATTGGAAATACTACAATTTCGTTTATATTTTTCTGTAAAATTCGTTACCTCCTGCGCCAACTGATAGAGCTGGCGGGCGGAGACGGCGGTCGTGTGCGTCCGCAGCACGTTCTTCTGCGCCTCCTCGAGTTTCCAGTCGTAGTTGTAGCCGGCCGATCCGTAGCCGCCCTTCGAGTGCACCGTCTTCACGCGTTCCAGATAGTCCTCCGGGAATTTCGTGCTCACCGCCGGGTCTGAATGGGGAAACATGTCATTTTAGCGGGACCGGGGCGAGTTTGCGATTCAATCGGAGAAAACGAAACACCGCTTTTCTCACAATATCCCTCTCGACGAACCGGAAACGAAGAAAGTGTCGTGGGCGTCGCGGGCGGGATGCTGTTGCGGCTGGAAAAGGGCGTCAAAGTTCCAGAAGGACGACTCAACGTATCGATTCGTGGCCATTTCGGAGAATCCCATCGAGAAGAAGATCTGCCGGAACTCGGAACGCACTTTCATCAGCGGATGGAGGTGTCCGCTCGCGGGAACCACGCCCAACGACTCGAAATTTTTGGGGCAATTGGCTGGCCCTTGCCCTAGACTTTTGACCCACTTGCAATAATCCGATTGGACCCAAACTTTGCAAGCTTCTTGAACTTGAATTGAAGTATATTGGGACCGAGTTCCAGCCTGATCGGAAAATTTACTGTCGAGATATAATGAAGTCCGGGCTTCCGATCAGTTTAGGCCAGTGATCGAAGCCGGATAATCCGATCGGGTTGAAACCGTAACCCGAAATACTTCAATCCAAGTCCAAGAAGCCTGCAAAGTTTGGGCCCGATCGGAATATTACAAATGGGTCAAAAGTCCAGCGCAATTGTCCAGCTCTGCAAAAAACTACTAAAATTGAACACGTTTCCAGTCACTAAAAAAGTAAAACAGTTGGAATTCACTTTAAAAATGTTACACTGTTACGACACCTTTAAAAATAGAGTAATTTCAGGAACATCAAGGGACTTTTGGTGTCGAAAGGCTCCTCGTTCACCACCACTCTCGCCAAACAAGAGGCCGATTTGACGCCCGAAATGATTGCTTCGTACGCTTTTCTTTGAAAAACAATTACTCGATTCAGAATTCAATAGCATAGTTCTTGCAGAAGTTTTTCTGATTTTTCAGTGAACCGAATTTTTTTAAAAACATTTCCTCGGAAAGCCTTCAATAACAACGAAAAAACATGGTGTAAACATTAAAAAAAAAGTGGAAAAAAGTGGAATTGAGTAAAATATTTTTCGCGAAACGTAATTTTTGTGAGTTTTGCAGTGGATCGTGGAAAGAGAAGCAGTTCAAAAAGTACAATTTCGAGTCGTTGGGCGTGGTTCCCGCGAGCGGACACCTCCATCCGCTGATGAAAGTGCGTTCCGAGTTCCGGCAGATCTTCTTCTCGATGGGATTCTCCGAAATGGCCACGAATCGATACGTCGAGTCGTCCTTCTGGAACTTTGACGCCCTTTTCCAGCCGCAACAGCATCCCGCCCGCGACGCCCACGACACTTTCTTCGTTTCCGGTTCGTCGAGAGGGATATTGTGAGAAAAGCGGTGTTTCGTTTTCTCCGATTGAATCGCAAACTCGCCCCGGTCCCGCTAAAATGACATGTTTCCCCATTCAGACCCGGCGGTGAGCACGAAATTCCCGGAGGACTACCTGGAACGCGTGAAGACGGTGCACTCGAAGGGCGGCTACGGATCGGCCGGCTACAACTACGACTGGAAACTCGAGGAGGCGCAGAAGAACGTGCTGCGGACGCACACGACCGCCGTCTCCGCCCGCCAGCTCTATCAGTTGGCGCAGGAGGTAACGAATTTTACAGAAAAAAAATGAACGAAATTGTAGTATTTCCAATCGAAAAACACCTGGAAATTTCCAGCCCTTTCCCGTTGCGTTCATTTCCTCCCGCGCGCGCCCTCAAGTCTAGGCCCTCTGTCCCCGCTGTCTGGTGTTGCACGTGTAGCGCAGTCGGTTGTGTGGCCGCGGCCGTCTCCGCTGTCGTCTCTCTTCTCATCTCTCGCCCGGTCTGTGCCTCGGATCAACCTACGTGGCTGTGACGGTTTCCGGATCGGGAAAATGGAATTGCGTCGTACCGATGGAAGCGGTTCCGGAGCCAACTCTCTCGGTGTGACGCACATTTTTGAAATTGTTTTGGGGTGATCGCACCACTTTTTTTCTGATTCTTGGACATTGAGCTCTTCTTCGCAAAATGAGCAAAAATGTATTTTCTTTAGGGATTCCGGCCGTCGAAGTTGTTCTCAATCGACCGCGTGTTCCGTAACGAGACGCTCGACGCGACGCATTTGGCCGAATTCCACCAGGTGGAGGGCGTGATCGCCGAAAAGAACCTCAGTCTGGCCCATCTGATCGGCGTCTTCACGGAGTTCTTCAAGAAATTGGGCATCACGAACCTCCGCTTCAAGCCCACCTACAATCCGTACACCGAGCCGAGCATGGAGATCTTCGCCTACCATCAGGGACTCGCAAAATGGGTCGAGGTTTGTAAAAATATGAATGAATTCATTTTTTTTGACCCACTTGCAAAAATCCGATCGAGCCCAAACTTTGCAGGCTTCTTGGACTTGGATTGAAGTATGTTGGGTCCGAGTTTCAGACCGATCGGATCATCCGGTCCCGAGATATGTAGATCAGAGGCCGAAAGCCCGGGCCAAGGCAAAAATCGGCAAATGATACACATAGCTCGGGACCAGATGATCCGATCGGGCTGAAACTTTGACCCAATATACTTCAATCCAAGTCTAACAATTCTGCAAAATTTGGGTCCAATCGGAATATTGCAAGTGGTTCAAAAGTCCAGGAAAAGGGCCGGCTAATTGCCGAGCCCTGGCTCAAATTGAAAAATGATACTCTTTTCTTTTGTTTGCCAAACAAAAATAAATTGCAGATTGGAAATTCGGGAATGTTCCGTCCGGAAATGCTGCTTCCGATGGGCCTGCCGGCCGACGTCAACGTGGCCGGATACGGACTGTCTCTGGAGAGACCGACGATGATCAAGTACGGAATCAACAATATTCGCGACCTTTTCGGCAGCAAAATCGACCTCGAAGTGGTCTACAACACGCCCATTTGCAGACTCGACAAATGAGTGATTTGTTTGAAATTGTTTCCGGTTTTCATATCGATTACACTGCTTTCTCTTGTTTTTTTCCCCCTAAATTATCTGAATTTTTTTCTTTGAAAAATTGTTGCTTTTTTTAATGCCCCCAGCCCTTGTTATAGTAGAAAAATTGGAGAAGAATTCAATAAAATGGTTTATCATTTCTTTTGAAAATGCGTTTTTAAGGTTCTTTTGGCCGAAATTCTATTTTTTACAGTTTCAAAGTGTTTTATGCAGTGAAGTAAAAAAAAAAGCTATTCCTACTGTCAAAAGAGTGCGAAGTTTTACAATATTTATTTTCAAAACTACTTTTTCAGCGCAAAGAAAAATGACGAGTAGACTGGCGCGTCTCTGGCAGCCCGGAAACCCGCAACGACGCGTTTTTCTGCCCGATTTCTGGGTGGCCGTCGTCGAATCGCCGAGCGTCGGCCGAAATAAGTTGCCGCGGAACTGCGTCAAATTCGAGGTGATTTTGCGACGATGCTAAAAAATGGAAACAATGAATTTCAGGTGGATCCGCGAATGTCGCGACACGACATCCGCGAATATCTGTCGAAAATCTACGAATTGCCGGTGAGAGACGTGCGGACGGAAGTGCAAATGGGCGATATTATGTGGAACTCGAAGCACGATTATCAGTACAGAAAGGCGATGTGGAAGGACGAGGACAAGAAGTTCGCCTACGTATTTATGTCCAAAGGTACCAAAGGATCCGCGGACAAATTATTGCTTTCTGTTCAATTCAAATAACCGTAAAATATTGCAGATTTCGATTTCACGTACCCGAAAATGTTCCAACAACTGGAAGAGGACCTCGAATTGGTGAAGGCGATGAAGCAGCAGGACGAGCTGAAGGACAAGCTCAACGAGAAATACGCGAACCGAAACCGCCGTGTCGGACAGTTTTTGGCCGCCTAAACGCTCTCTTTTTGCTCATTTCTACGCCCATTTCCCCTCTGTTTTTCTCTTAAGTTTTGTTGTACATTTTTTTGCGATTTTTCCTTGATTTTTTTTTAGAAAATTAGCGCTTGTTTTTAGATGAACAATAACAAATTACGTTGTCTGGAATGTTTCCTCGATTGTTCTGTCGTTTTTGAACGGTACAAACTATTTTCTTGGATTTTTTTGCAGGGCTGGACAAATTTCGGCCCGGGCTTTTTGAGGCCTGGACTTTTGGCCCACTTGCAATATTCCGAACGTGCCCAAGCTTTGCAGGCTTGTTAGAATTGGATTAAAGTGTATTCGGTCCAAGTTTCAGCCCGATCGGATTATCCGATCCGGAGATATACTGGTTTGAGACCTCAATCCAATTCTAACAAGCCTGCAATGTTTGGGCCCGATCAATTCATTGCAAGTGGGCCAAACGTCCAGGCCGCGAAAAAAAACCTATTTTTCGACCTTTGTCCCCCTCGCTAACGGATGATAATGACGTCACTGTTCGAGGTACTTTGTACCTTGCCCTCCTCCGTCTTGTCTGTAGCCTCCGTGTTCACGTTCTTGTAGTCTTCTCCATCTCTCTCTCCGTCTCGTTATCTTTGGAATATTCGAAGGAAAACGTTTACGCCACTTTTATCAACGAAATTCCCGAATAATATTTTCACTCGAAAGCCGGCCAATTTACTGCCTAACTTTTCTTTCAGCATTAAAAGTGTCGAAGGTGAATTTTTTTCTTTGAAACACTGCGGCTCGGCTGAAAAAACTTGACCAAATGACACCGGACTCGGACCCAAAAGTCCTTATACCTCCAAGATATTGAGAACATTTCATGGTGTTGTTAGCTTCAAAATGAAGGGTACTTTCATGGGTCAGTGTGATGCCTCTCCCATTTAGTACTGGGAACGATTGATGATTTCTATGATTTCCAACATCTTTTTTTCATGCTTTTCATCACTGTTCCTCACAAATTCAGCTACACACACACTGCCGAATTCGCGACTTTTTAGGACTTGACATAACATTATACAAAATTGACCCCTGAGGTTTTTTGACATTCTGAATCGAACTGCATTGGCCGATTTTCATTAAAATTCCCCGTTCAGCACCATGGTATACACAACAGTTTCTCATTAATTATTACACAGCTTCTTGAAACTGCAATTATTTTTTAAATTGTTAAAGTGTCGAGCAATTGCAAATTTTCACTCTTTCAAATATTGTTTTTCGCCACACCTCGAGCATTAGCGGAACGTTTTATGTTCGAGGATATACTTTTTAAAAAATTCTCTGAAAATGTGGATTATCATGATTATTATAGCTTATAGACCTGAACATTTTAGAAATTTGTGATGATTATTGATCTTTTCTTCATTTTTGGCGCCAAGATTGAAATTGAATTTTTCTAACTTATCTGCCAGCATTTAAAAATAAAAATAGAAATCAAAAACTGGGCCAGCCCGCCCATCTTTTCTCTCTTTTACTTCTCCGCCACTCTCTCTCAATTTTCCGCACTCTCTCGCGCTGATCAGTGTACGAAAACAATCAACTGGCGGTGTTCTTCTTTCCTTCTTCTTCTCTGTATCAGTCGTTACTTTTTACACACAATATTATATTAGTTGTGTTTGATTTTCCGGTTTTTCCTTTGGAAGAAAATGTGCAATTTTTCAAATTTACGCGTGTAGCCTTTTACACGTGGAATTCATTGAGAATTTGCCGCACAAAAACTCGCAAATTCTTTATTTTCCGTGTTGCAGGGTCATCCCCAAACCGAAAACAGTTGTCCTCCACAAAAAGAGCGACAAAAAAGAAGCGGTTGGTTTTTTTTGTTTGGGAATTTTCTAGCATTCATCGAAATTTGCAGGAAATGTTGTCGCGTCTCGTGCACAATTCGTCATTGACACTCCGAACGAACGTCTCGTTCCGTCTCTTCTCGCACTCGAAACCAGCCATGACCAGTGAGTTGAAAAACGGGAAAAAAATAGGAAAAATCAGCTCGAATTGTGAAAAAATATTCGACAATTTAACCATTTTCCTCGTGGGAAAAAAGCGAATTACTCGTGTTGCAGGCACTCTGCGCGTGGAGAAGCAGGGAGAGGTGGCGGTGGTCAAGATTGACCTGCCGAACACAAAGGAGAATGTGCTCAACAAGGCTCTGTCGGCCGACATGAGGGCCACTTTTGATAAGGTTCGTTTAGGCGGAAAATGGACCCGAGTATTGGCAAAATGCTTCTGCTTTTTGATCGAATCGATGTTGTATTTTAGCTGCAAGCCGACGAAAGTGTCAAATCGATTGTGGTGATGTCGGGCAAGCCGAACAGTTTCGTGGCGGGCGCCGACATTCAGATGCTCAAGGCGGAGAAGTCGGCGGCCGGAATCGAGGCGCTCTCGCGCGACGGACAGGAGCAGTTCTTCCGGATCGAGAAGAGCCAGAAGCCGGTGGTGGCGGCGATTATGGGCAGTTGCATGGGCGGCGGACTCGAGCTGGCACTCGCATGCCACTACCGAATTGCGGTGAACGACAAGAAGACGCAGTTGGCACTGCCCGAGGTGATGCTCGGATTGCTGCCCGGAGCAGGCGGCACGCAGAGACTCACCAAACTCGCCTCCGTTCAGAATGTGCTCGATTTGACGTTGACTGGTGAGAACAAGAACTCGAAAGGGGCTCGCGAGGTTTATCGTTTGAAAATAGAGAATTGAAAGCTTTTAAGCTCTCATCTGGCCTCATTTTGCACTAATTTTGGTAGTTTCTAACCCGGGAAACGTTTTGAACACGAAAGTGATGGTAGTTGGAACCTTCAAGTGTTGCAGGCAAGAAGATCAAGGCGGACAAGGCGAAAAAGATTGGGATCGTAGACCAGGTGATCCAACCGCTCGGCGACGGACTCGCCCCTTCGGCAGAGAGCACGCACAAGTACCTGGAGGAGGTGGCGGTGAATGCGGCACGCGAGTTGACGAGCGGCAAACTGAAGATCAACCGAAACAAGAAGGGCATCGTGGAGAAGGTGACGCAGGCGGTCATGACCAACTCGCTGTTCCTCGACAACGTCGTCCTGAAGATGGCGCGACAGAAGCTGATGAAACTGACGGCCGGCAACTATCCGGCGCCACTTCGCATTCTCGACGTCGTCCGCACCGCCTATGTCGACCCGAAGAAGGGATATGAGGCAGAGGCGAAGGTAGCCGACAGATTTTTTGCTTTTTTTCTAATATCTCTTCTCGTTTTTAGGCGTTCGGAGAGCTCTCGCAGACGTTCCAATCGAAGGCGCTCATTGGACTTTTCGACGGATCGACAGACGCGAAAAAGAACAAGTATGGTCAGGGGCGGCCGGTCAATGAGATCGCAGTCGTCGGCGCCGGACTGATGGGAGCCGGAATCGCGAACGTGACGATCGACAAGGGCGTGCGGACGGTGCTGTTGGATGCGAACGCGGCCGGACTCGAGAGGGGACAGAATCAGATTGCGACGCATTTGAACGGACAGGTGAAGAGGCGCAAGATCAACAAGTTGGAGAAGGAGAGGTACAATTTTCACTTTTCTTAAAATTGCCCTTTGTCGGCCCATTTTCCCTCCAGAAATCTATTACCTCTCGAATACTGTCCATTTGCCCAGAATCTACAACCACCTCGTGCCGACTGTGAACTACGCGGCGATGAAGAACGCGGACGTTGTGATCGAGGCGGTTTTCGAGGACCTGCCACTGAAGCACAAGGTGATCAAGCAGATCGAATCGGTCGTCGGACCGAACACGATTATCGCCTCGAACACGTCCGCCCTGCCGATCAAGGACATTGCCGCCGCATCGGCTAGACCCGATAAGGTACGGTTTTTTTTGGTTAATTTCTTTATTTTTGTAAACTTTCCTGAACTCTGCTCGTTCAGGTGATCGGAATGCACTATTTCTCGCCGGTGGAGAAGATGCAGCTGCTGGAGATCATCACGCACGACGGAACTTCGAAAGAAACGCTGGCGACGGCGGCGCAACTCGGTCTGAAGCAGGGCAAACTGGTGGTCGTCGTCAAGGACTGCCCCGGCTTTTTCGTCGTCCGTTGCCTCGGTCCGATGATGTCGGAAGTGGTGCGACTGCTGCAGGAGGGCGTCGATCCGGCCGAGCTGGACAAACTGACGACGAAGTTTGGGTTCCCGGTCGGAGCGGCGACGTTGGCCGACGAAGTGGGACTCGACGTGGCTGAACACGTGGCACAGTTCCTCGGAAAGGCGTTGGGACCGCGGGTGCGCGGAGGATCGGCCGATCTGCTGTCGGAACTGGTGAATGCGGGACACAAGGGACGCAAGACGGGCAAGGGCATCTTTGTGTACGGCGACGGAAAGAAGGGCTCGAAGAAGGTGAACGAGGAGGCGACGAAGCTGCTGCAGAAGTACAAACTCGCCCCGATTGCCGCTGTGTACGTTTTGACGGTTTTCATTAGAAAATGCAAATCTTTGAGGGTTTTTCCTGCAAAATTTGCATATAACCAATGTTTTTGAATGTTCTTGTTCCCTGCCGCCCAATGCCCGATTTGCAGCTCTTCGCCGGAAGACCGTCAGCTGCGTCTCGTGTCTCGCTTCGTCAACGAGGCGCTGTTGTGCCTCGAAGAAGGAGTGCTCGCATCGCCGTCGGACGGAGATATCGCCTCGGTGTTCGGCATTGGATTCCCGCCCTTCTGGGGAGGTCCGTTCCGATTCGTCGACCTGTACGGCGCCGAAAAGCTGGTGACGTCGATGGAGAAGTACGCGGGCGCCTACGAAGCGGCGCAGTTCACGCCGTGCCAGCTGCTCAAGGACCACGCGAAGGGCGGAAAGAAGTTCTACAACTGAAGAGTCCCTGATCGCGCCCAAAAAAGTGTGTATTTGTACTCTATGTGCCTATAAAATTTGATGTTTCACCTCCTCTTTTTTTTGTAAATTTTCTCTCTTTTAGTTAGAATCAGATTTGACCCCCGTATTTATTTATTCCTCTTTTGATATTGGTAGAGCATTTTTACGAGTTTTTTGTTTGTTTCTTTTTGTAAAATGTCCCTTTTGATCTTGAATGAAAATCTCGAATTTATTCTTTATTCATCATTGTAAGCAGTTTAACGCAAATATTCACAGACAACAATTACCAGGGGGGGATTTAGAATACCTGGAACGAGCTTCAGCTTCAATTATTTTTGCACTCTTTTCCTGCAGGAATATGACATAAATGCGAACGATTTCTCACCAAAAACGGGATGTTGAACGCTGAAAATTGTTTTATAGATATTTGCTGTAATATATGGGTACCGTTTATTCAAAACAATATATATCTCAGGTGCCCTTGAAGTTATGAAAAAGTAGCCAACTGACAAATTGCTTATTAACATACAAAAGAGATGACGCACGCTTTGACAGAGACTCTGCTCGATCTGTAACGTCATCTGTCGTCAAATTTTGCCACCGATCGTTTCATTCTTCGTGAAATTAAAACGTTTTCAATGTGTTCTAGACGCTGGAGTACGTCGTCACCCCACACTTCTTCGTTTCCTCGTCTATTTTCACAAGGTCGCTCTTTTCTCTGTTCTGCCCATTAGCTGCATTCTCATTTCCTTTTCCCTTTGTTTTTCCACGCTGACAGCAGCCATTTGAAGCATACATAGAAGTCTCAGGACCCATCCATCTGACACTTTTCTAGAGAAAAATTAATCTTCAAAAGCCTTCCGCCCGCATATCACCGTGGGAGAATTGAGATGAAAAGGAGATACCAATCAAACTGATTTTCCCAGAGATTACCCGTAGATATATGCAATTTTTGTGGTTTTTTAAAATTTTTAAAATTTTTAAAAAATTTTTTTTCCATTTTTTAAAATTTTTTTTTCCACAATTTTTTCCACAGCCTGAATAACCCCATAAGTAAAGTCGGTCAGCATAAGGCCGGGTCCAAAGTCTCGGAAACCCCACAAATCTCGCGGATTTTGCAGTCCAAAGTCGGCAGAAATTTGCGGGAAATCCGGAGTGCGCACAGCTGAACGAGTGTTACCGTACACCATAAAACTACGGTATTTTTTGAAAAAATTTAAATTTCTCGAGAATATTTGCAATTTTTCAAATTTCTTGCGTAAATTTTCAACGGTATTTTTTGAAAAAATTTAAATTTCTCGAGAATATTTGCAATTTTTCAAATTTCTTGGCTAAATTTTCATTTTTTTTTTCATTTCTATTTTTCATGCTATCGACAAATTTGCCGTTTCTAGGAGCAAACTGCTGCTTTTATGCCGAACTCTTACCGAAAATTACCCAAAGAGGTCGGTGGGCCAAGCGAGCCTGAAAGCCTGAAGACGGGGGCGGGCTTGTGTTGTACACACAAGGTCGAAATGTGTTTCTAAAAATTGTTCATATTCGAAAAAGAGAAAGGAGGAAAAAAAGAGACATGAAGCCAACATACAAAGGGGGGGGAGAAATAAATACAAATTATAGCTCGATTTTTTCGTGAAAATAGAGGGCATTTTTCTGCGGGGGGGGTCTCGACACGAGAAACAAAAAGGCCAAGAGAATACGATTATGACTGGTGAATATTTTTAAGGCAATCTAATTTTAAGAGTGAAATAAGTGAAAATGCGGAATTATTCGTCCAATTTGCCGTCCTCGTCCAAAAACGAGCCCATCGCGCCCAGATATCCTTCGTGTTTCAGGTACAGCGCCTCGATTTCGCCCTAAAAATGCAAACATTTTCAATACATTTTTTTAAAAGTGAACATTCGTGTACCTTGCTCCAATAATTGATGGCGAACGAGAGAGTTCGCATTGTGATCGGATCCTGACGAATAAAGTAGCCGCCGAAATATATCCTCTTGAGATTGTAGCGCGTTCCGTACAAATAGGCCATCTGAACTCGTACATTTTGCATTTTTCAGCGAAAATTAAGAGATTCTACTCGATTTCGATGAAGCACAGCTCTCATTCAGACATATTTCAGAAAAGTCTCACCTGTCCAATATTGTTGCTGACCATGAGCAGCAGTGATTTTGCAATGTCTTCCGGTTTGTGCGTTTGTGTTTTTGGCGTTTCTCCGAATCGATTACACTGAAAAAAAAGAGGGAAATTTGACATTTTCTGACGTTTCCAATTACGAACCTTGGCCATGGATCCGGCGATCAAGTCGCCCTTGAGATTGAGTTCATCGTAGGATCCTCCGTAAATGTCGCACACGAGCTTGTCCACGTTTCGGTGATCTCCGCGATTCGCCATCTCGAGCAGCTCGTCAAAGTCTGCAAATTGTAATTACAGCTTTTTTTTTGTGGAACCTGGCTACCGGATTAAATTTAACTTTCAAATTTCATTCCGAAAAATTGAACATTTTGTGGAGAAAGGCAGCAAAATCACTTGAATTTTGAATTTTAGTGTGCTCGACACATTGAAAGTCGAAATAATGGAAACTCTGTGAAACGGTACTGATAGAACTGATTGGGAAACGGGAAATTTTTCAGTTTTTACAAAAACTCTGAGGCGAAGAATCTCTGTAAAGAATTTGAGGAGCAGAAAATTAATGAAAAAGTTTTTGACACAAGAGGATTACGATACATAATGCTCAGCAATTTTAACGCAACAATTTGCAAGTTCTGGGAAACGGTCATTTTTAAACCATTCAAAAGTGTTCAGTTCTTTGCGAAAAACGCTAAATTCTCGGCTGTTTTTATTGCCTTTTTGTGTAGACGATGAAAAAAAACACTGACTGACTATGCGGAAATGTATGAGAAATGCGTGAACGAACTAGAATTAGTGGTGTGCATAAGAATAATGCGATTCCATAAAAAAAAAGTCTCTCTTTCTCTCTAAATCCCCTTAAACTTGCTCAAACGGCGTCGAAACTCACTCCTGGCGGGAGTCAACAGACTGCCCAGTCCCATGAACGTTCCTCCGCCCATCGAACTTCCGCCCACGCGTTCGTAGCTCGTCTGCGAGTCCACCTTCAGAATGCTGATTCCCGTGCCGATATTGACCAGCAGGAACGGGTAGATGAGGTCGGCGGCGATCGGACGGTATTGGAATCTGTAAATGCACTTTCTTTTGTTGAGCAAAATTCCAGTAAACTGGCGGCCGTACTTGTTGCGTCCGATGGCGTCGTGGTGATATGTGAAGCTCTCGTCGACGTTGGTGCTCAAAAGGAAGTTGACTCCGAAGATGAGCGACCGCATTTCGTCGGTCCTTTGCAGTCGGACCCCGAGTTCTTTCATTATGATCTCCGAATATTTGTACGATCCGCCGCCCGTGCAGTGGATTACGTCGCCGTGCTGACGGTCCGTCCACACCTGCCAATACGCTGATATTTTTGCATTTTTTCAGTGTTACTTCTATTCGAAAACTATGCTCAAACTGTGCACTTTTACTAAATCAACCGAATAAACGAAATTTGAAAATTTGAAACCAGAAAGAACGGGGTTTAGTTAACAACACAGAATGCTGTAATAATACCACTTGTGAACTAGGCAAAAAATTTTTTGGAAAAATTAGAAACAGAAAACATTGTGAAAATAAATGTTCAATAGATTTACCTCTTTCAGAAAATTGATGAATCGATCGAGATCGGTGAATTTCTTAAAGTTGACGAGTACTCGTTTTCCGTCCTCGTACGCGTACTTTCGAGTGTTTCCGTTCAGCGATTCTTCCGGCAATTCTTCGTCCATCACTGACGAGTAGACCACTTTTATAAGGGTTCCGCCTGAACAATTCAATTTCGTGCTTTCAGAGAATACAGTGATTTTGCCCTGAAAAACTCGACTTACCGATATCGACGGCCACTCTGCTCGTCTTCCGGAACTTCTCGAAAGTGTCGCTGGCGGGCAATATCACATACGGCGTTTTCGGCGCTTTTTGGGCCTGTCGTGGCGGGGCAGAGGTGGGCGGCGCCTGAGCATTCGGAGCATTCGACGCGGCGTCCGGAGTTGCCGATCCGACCCGCGGAGACACGCTCCCCGTCGCCGAGTCTACTCGTCTGCAACGCTGTTTCTTACGGTTTTCGAGCCAAAATTATGATTTTTATTTTCTTGGGCACATTCAAAAAAAAAGGAGAGGGCGGCTTTCATTTGAAGAATACCAATTTTTTAAACAAAAAAGCCCCTCCTACTTTGCACTGTTCAATTTTCCGTGACACTCACTTTAACTTCGACGACAACAGTAGCTCGTCCATGACCGGATTCTCTGTGCTCTCTGCGGCTCTCTAAAAATTTCACAATTTCCATGAATACACTACGACTATTATTTCTATCGATTTTCCCCCTCAAACCTTCTGTTTCAGCACGAGAATTTTGCGAATTTTCGGCGGTGTTCTCCGCAAATTCGGCGGACTGCCACGTGGCGAGATGCGCCGAGAAGCGGTGACGTGTCCCATTCTCTATTTTCGTGTCGAGACCCGAAAAAGTATCAACGTATAGATGCAGACTATACACATTCAAGAGAAAAAAGTGACAACGAAAAAAAAACGAGAGAAACATTCATCGGAATTTCAAGAACAAATGGGACAAATGGCATTTTGTGTAGAAGAAGAGTTATCAGTGAGTGTGAGGGGAAAGGCAGAAAAAACGGGGGCGGCGCCTATTTTATCAGCAATTTTTGGGTGAACTTTGATAATAAACAAAACTTTGCAGATGGGAACAGTGCGATTTTGACGGGCAAAAGGGCAAGTGTTCTTGTGATGGAAACGGATATTTCTTGTGCTGATCGGGTACATCACTGATCACACTGATTTTTGGCAAAGTTTCAAAACATTTTTGTAAGCCACGTTCACAAATGTTCGCCGTGCATTATGACGCGTCAACTCTATATTGTCGTCTTGTGTGTGAGTTGTGTCAATGATCGAATGACTCTAATCTTCTTATCACGAAATCAGTGATCAGCGAACAGGAATCGACTCGAAAAACGGGTCAGATTGCACCGGGGACAAGTGAATCGGCACCGATGATGCTGCTGATGCTGCGAGCGCACTAAACTTTAAGGATTTCCAAAAAATGTTCGAAAAAATTTTGAAACCGGCAAAAAAGTTTGGCGAAAATAGACGAAAGAACACATATTTATGAATACTAAAAACATTTGCGGTTTCAGAGAAAATTCAAAAAATCTGGAAATTGTTTTAAAGCAACGACATCTTCAGTTCGCCTCAAAAAAATTTGATTTCATCGCTTTTTACGGCAATAGAAGTGCAGAAATTCCAGATTTTCATAGAAAAAAAAGCGTCCAAAAGCCGTTTCCGGGGGTGAACCGCCAATATTTCGGTGTCGCTTAAATAAGTGGCGTCCGTCAATACGCAAACATATTATTAACGTTTTTTCTCTCTCTCTCTCTCTTTCTTTTTCCGTTGATAACCGTGTGCAAATGGGCCGATCGTACGATGTTTGAAAGTGGCGGACGGAGCACGTGGAGCACGTGAATCGACGGTAAAACAGAGACGAAATGGGTGCTCTGTGATTGCGGCCGGGGGGACATTTTCCCGTTTTCAGCTCAGAAAATGAGCACATTTCGATTGAAATTCGAATCGTTCTGTGCTTTTCTGCAATTTTTGACTAAACCCACTGATAACTCTTCTAAGCACAACAAATTTGGAAGGGGGGGTTTGGGGCGGGGTAAAACAACAAAAAAATGAATAAAAATGCGGACAGACAACAACAAAACGCGAATAAATTCTACAAAGTGTCTAACATGTGAAAATTAGCAACAAACAACTGAAAACTTCTCTCTCATCGTCTGAATTCTCTGCGGAACGGGTCCGCTCCAGGGGACGGACGTCTTCCGCCGACGAAAAGTCCGCGCACGTTCACTCCGATCAGTCCGGGCGGCGATTGCGAACGAGAAGACGTGCGGCGGTGGAAGAACGGCGGAGTGCTGCAAAAATGACCGATTTTAGAAGAAGAACATCATCAGAGAGTTAGAGGCGAAATTCAATATTCTAAAAAGACAAGGTTTAATTAAAGTTACCTAGTCAAAGTTGATGCCAATTTCCAAAAAAATGCCTTGGACCCTTGACCGTCACCAGTCCATGCCAATTTCCAAAAAATGCCTTGTAACCTTGGACCGTCATGATCACTTTTTTGAAACAACAAATAACATCCATGAAAACGCAATCCGTTTCAAAAGTATAGGGCCACCCCGAAAATTGAATATATCGTCTTTCCCGAACAAAATACAAACACAGGACCTTAAAAATCGAAATCAGCATCACAAATAACCCCCGGGAAACAATTTTGAGAGTTGTGTATAGGATAGTTGGGGAATGGTGCTGAAATGTCTGAAAATGTTGCAACTGCAAGCGTTTCATAAGTATAGAGCCACCCCTGAAAACACTCTGGAAGCCTTTTAAACTGATAAACATGATCTTGAATGGGGTTTTTTGCACCTTCAGGATGTCCAAAAAGTCTTTATAAAATCATGTGCAATGACCCCGACGCCACCTAGGGCCACTCTCCCGGGTTTAGCCTAATGTTCTGTGTGAAGCTCGGGAGTGGAGCCGGGGGACTCCGATGATCTCAAATGAGTCAAATCTTGTTTGAAACAAGTTTTTTGAGCATTTTCAAGTCAATTTTGTTAAAGCATGTCGAATCTCTAGCACGTGATATCAGATTTTGGCCAAAATGAAACCAGGCCCAACAAGGATCAGACTGGCTTGAGCGTCAAACTCCAGGCTGTCATTGCACACTTATGGAACTTCATAAGGTTTGAAACATGACATGTTTGAGTTTGGTGTCAATCGGATCAGTTTCAACCGAATTATGAGCTCCTGATTGTTGAAGTGAAGAAAACCAATTTTTGCCAAAAATCTGATATCACGTGCTAGAGATTCGACATGCTTTAACAAAATTGACTTGAAAATGCTCAAAAAACTTGTTTCAAACAAGATTTGACTCATTTGAGATCATCGGAGTCCCCCGGCTCCACTCCGGAGCTTCACACAGAACATTAGGCTAAACCCGGGAGAGTGGACCTAGGTGGCGTTGCACATGATTTCAAAACAACTTTTTGGACATCCTAAAAGTGCAAAAAACCCTATTCAAGATCACGTTTATCAGTTTAAGAGGATTCCAGGGTGTTTTCAGGGGTGGCCCTATACTTATGAAACGCTTGCAGTTGCAACATTTTCAGATATTTCAGCACCATTCCCCATCTATGCTATACGCAACTCTCAAAATTGTTTCCCGGGGGTTATTTGTGATGCTGATTTCGATTTTCAAGGTCTTGGAGTGGTATTTTGTTTGGGAAAGACGATATATTCAATTTTAGGGGTGGCTCTATACTTTTGAAACTGACTGTACGATGGACCATAGGAAATGCGAAAAACTAATGAACCACACTTTTTTGAAACAGTAATCAAAAATTCCAAATGTTTCAATGCAAAAAAAGAGAAGAGAATGTGTGTGTGTGTTCTCTCGAATCGGATCCCGATTTGGGGCAAAAACGGAAAGAAAAGATGCCGTGACTGTTTTCGGAGACACGCATTGCCAACGAGAAAAACGGGAAAAACAAAGGGAGAGGACGATCGGAATCGGCGATAATCAACGTTCCGCGCACACCATCTTCATTCTCAATCGGAAGCAGTTTTGCAAACATTACTCGGTATTCGAGATGAAGTTTGAGTTAAAGGAAGGGAGGGTCTAACTGGATTTGCCTCAAAATGCCTCTTTAGGAAAATGAACCACAAGACTACAACTCAAAACTCCATTTCCGGTCCAGAAACCGTGCAAGAATAAGAATAATAATAATGGAGTATGAAACACTTCTTTTCTCCTCCTCCACAATAACATGATTATCAACACAAACAGCACTGTTGTTTTGTAAAATGCATTTAGCGTGGGCGTCACCGAGCATAGACTGTTGTAGGCTACGAAAAGGAGGACGACGGAAGTGCTCAAGAGAAAAGAGAGCCTACGGATCGTTTGAATTCTTCGAATTTCCAGACGCATCGGAAAATGTCTATTAAAAATTGAGCTCAAGTTGGAATTCTCTTGCAACTAATTTGCATGACTCCATCCAAAAAATCAATAAAACCGCATTGTTTTTGACGCAGAAAACAGAGAGTACAAGCGATTATGACGAGTAGATCAACTGAATTGGAGGTCTTCAAAACAAGTTCAAACATTAAAAAAATGATCACTTTTGTGTTTTCCTATAGTAATCCTAGCGATTCTTGTATTGTAAACAGTAGGAAAATGATAGTGATGAATTGATAAAACGATGATAACACCTAATACCAAAAAGTATTGTGTAGTTTGTACTATGATACTGTTGTTCTCCGTTTTTTGTTCTTTTTACCAAAAAAAAAAATAAGGCGAACCTGTGGTCATTTGCGGGCGGGAAACTTCTTCGATTACCGGCGGTCGGAGGTGGAATGACCGAAGGCGGATTGCTGAGAAACGGCGGAATGATGGGCGGACGAAATGCACTTGTGGATGAGTTGGAGTAGCGAACGACGAAGAGCGAACTCGGCGGAGACAGCGGGCGGGGCAGGAACGGTGACGTCATCGGGCTCGGACGGACGGCGCCACGTGGTCGCCATGAAGTGTCGCCATGTCGGATGCAGAATTGGGCTGCAAATTGGAACACTCAATTCTAGAATTGTACCAGCTTGGCCCGAACTTTTGACCCACTTGCCATAATCCGATCGGACCCAGACTTTGCAGGCTTCTTGGACTTGGATTGAAGTACATTGGGACCAAGTTTCAGACCGATCCTATCATCCGGTCCCGAGATTCGTGGATTATTGGCCAAAATCGGCTCTCAAGCACTATATCTCGACAGTAAATAATCCGATCGGGCTGAAACTCGGTCCGAGCATACTTCAATCCAAGTCCAACAAGCCTGCAAAGTTTGGGTCCGATCGCATTACTGCAAGTGGGTCAAAAGTCCAGGGCAATTGCCCAGGTCTGCAAAAAACTACTAAAGAGAAATGACATGCACAATTTCACAATTGTTATATGTTTTCAAACGAATTTGCAAAAAAATCATGCGACCCATGCAATGTTCAGCATAAAAACGTCCTTGAATTGCGTACCGAGTGGCGTCGTCTCCTTTCCGTGCGTTCCCTCGATTCCTCCGTTTTCCGCCTCGTTCTGCTCCTGTTTCACGTGCAAAATGGGCCCCTTTTCATGCGTTTCGTGCTCTTTTTCTCCTTCTTCTTCTCCTTTTTCTTTTTCTTCTTCTTCTTCCACTGCTTCCCTTTTCACTATTAAATCTAACCTCGACATATCCAAATCGATATGGGATCTGAGCCCACGCGTGTGCTGAGACATCAACGAAACTGGCCGTCCAATCTGCAAAATTTCCCATAGAAATTAGCTGGTATTGGGAAGGAAATTGAAGGCCTGGGCTAGGCGCTTCCTAATGGATACGCATTGTGAAAAGACCATTCGCTTATTGAATGGCTACTGGCTGCATGCACACACCTGCTCATTTTGAAACGGAAAAGGTTAATAACTCATAATTTAGAGATGTTCATTCTTTCTCGTTTCTTCTTTTCCCGTAAGTACTACACAAACGGGGAACGAAGACATCTTGAACAATTCAAGCAAACTAACAAGACAGTTAGAGTCTAGGACGTCAGCGGGGACTGGCCGGGATTTTAAGATGCGCTACACATCCCGAGGGAAAGTTCCCTTCAGACTCACTCAATCGCCATGAAGCCCGAAGACCTGAAGGCAAATCAAGAACCACCAGCCTTTATACTTTCATACATAATCGCCTCCCTGTAATATCGAGAAAAATAGAAGGGCATTTCAATGTGAATCCACACCTAGAAGGGGACCTATTCCCACGCTTAGCACCCTAAAAGCAGAGGTATTACCTAAAAACATGAACGCCCAGAAGCATAGAAACTGTTCTTCATGGTCCGCAGCAAACGCTCTCGATCCTATACTTTTTTATTCGAAAATTGACGTGATGGGGGCCGATTCTGGAATCTGATCATACCACAATCTCCCCCTGGACTCACCTTGGACTCCAGTATCACCCCCCGTCATAACTGTTGGGGCGAGATTGTGGTATCATCAGAACTCAGCATTTACTCTGGAAACTCGATTGCAATCTAATAAGAAAAAGCGCTATTTCGTAATCTAATCAGATTTAATTGAAGTTCCAGTAAAATCGTGTTAGATTACACCATATTTTTCCTGAATTGCAATCTAATTAGAAAAATTGCAGTGATTGCAATCTAATTAGAAGATTTTGCAATCTAATTGAAGAGTTCGTGTTAGATTGCAAAGTTTTCTAATTAGATTGCGATCGAGTTCCCAGACACAACGTGACAATTATTGAAATTCCCAGTGAATTTACTATATTTTCGGGAAAAAACTGTAATTTTTTCAATCTCCAGTTGGATAAGTTTCGGAGTTTTAAAGAGTAAAATTTATTAGGCGAGCGGATAATATCACAAGAATTTCCAGAGGAATTGTCAATTTTTTTTGTTGGACAAAAATGGAATCACAGAATTTTTAATAGAGATGCACAAAGTGTTAATAGTTGGGGTATTGGATGACAAAAGCACCCACCGTTTGCGTGGGCGGAACGATCGGAGCCGTGATCGCCGAGAGGACCGGCTGCAGGCCCATCATGGGCAGCGGCGCCACGTGGCAATTCGGCGGCGGCACGTGCATCGGCGGCAGTGGGAGCAGTTGTGGGGGCGGGCGGGAGACGTCCGGTCCCACGGAGAGCGGTAGACGGGACTGCGCCACCAGCTGCTTCACGTTCTCCTCGAGTTGCGCGTCTGCAAGTAAACGGTCAATTTGGTTGGAACTGCATGAATTGCGGTTTTTTTTAAAAGTACTTCTAGTCGTCTAGCCTAAAATAGAACTTATGAGCGTATTGAAATTCAAATAGACCAACTACCAATATTGCCTATTGAACACTATAGTTTTGACAGCTATAGGTCGTGAAACTGCAACAAATTTTTGTTTCAATCAAGAATCACTCACATCTGTATCCGAGTCGCTCCTTCAGCACCGGTTTCACGTCCTCGAACACCCTCTTCGCGGCCAGTCCCTCTTCTCCGCGGTACGAGTCCATCATGCTGAAATTAATTGTAAAAATCCTGTGGAAATTCTCTCAAAACTCACTCAATCTGTCGCTTTCGTTTGTTCAACAGATTCTCCGAGGCCGTCTCCAGAAACATGGCGTGCGCGATCGCCGAACGAAGCTCCTTGTCGTCGACCGTCAAGAATCGCTGCAAAAATCAAATTAAACATTTTTTTTCCATCCCGCCCGAAAAACGTACGTTCTGGTCGCGTATGAGTCCGCACGCATGGTTTTTCCACGTGTTGTAATCGATGCTCTTCGGATCGGTTTTCCGTTCGACTCGCGTCATTTTCGCTTGTTTCGGCTGCAAAATTTTGGGTAAATTATAGAGAAAAAGCACACATTTTTCTACGGAACAACACGTATAAAAATTGAAGAAAAAACGTACGGAATCGACGATTCCGTCCTCTTCTTGGTCAGAAGCGTGCGACATTGTGTGATTCTGCAATCTACAGCGTTTTCCGATAAAATCGATAATGTCCTAAGATAATAAAGCTACATTTTCACTCGATTTTAACACAGAAAAGGGGATAAACTGCAATTTTTGCAAAACAAAAAATGGCGAGAGAGTAGCAGCGCAGAGAAACGGAGAAAACAAAAGTGAATTTGCGGAGAACGCAGAGAAAATGTGGGGGGAAAAAGAGGAAGAGAAAGAAGAAATGAGCACAGAACACGGGACTGTAGTGAGCGGGAGCGGACACAAAGAAGAAAAAGAAGAAGAAGAGGATAGAGTTGTAAATGGGCGGGGCCGAAGTTATCCGTCTATTTATCGATTTTTGACGTCCACCGGCTAGGCGAAGACGCATTCAAATTTCCCGCCGTTTTTGCAATTGACTGAGTAGCGACTCAGTCGTCTTCTTCAATTCGAAAGCAGCACATTTTTTGCAATAAGGAAGGCTACGGAGACTAAAACTTTATCGCTAGTCATGACGGAATGAATAATTTTTCAAGACACCTTCTTGGCCACAGAGAAGGCGCCTTTTTACCTCAGACGCTATCACGCCTTCACTTTCAGGCCGGCGGCCCCCGACTTTCACATTTCGCTGAGAAATGATACTTTTGAAACAGTACCTCAGTTTTCAATTTCCAAATAAATAATTGACTAGAACCATTGTCAACTGAATCTCCCGATATCAACAAGAACACATTCTTTTTCGTTCCTTTATTTATTTCCGAAATATATATTGGTGAGAATGGGGGGTAAAAAAGCGGGAAAAGGTCGAGAAGTTTCGCTCGAAAAATCTCAAAAGCAGTTTCAGAGCCAAAAAGCTCATTTGATGAGCTTGAAAGCGCCGAAATTTGGTGTGAAAGAAGAAAAAGCAAAAGATAATCGCAAAAATCGAAACAAGCGTCGGGCGGGGCGGAATTTTAGAAATTGTGACAAAATAGGAAGAGAGAAAACAAGATCTGAGTAAAAATAGACAAAATTTGACGAGAACTTGCGAAAAATTATTAATTTTTGGTTGGCCGCGGGGCACTTAATTAACAGAGCCGGAAAAAGCCTTATTAGGGGGGAAAAGTGCCAAAAAGTGGGAGGGGGATGGATAAAACAGAGAGTGGGAAGGAGAAAAATTTAAATTTTTCAAACAATTGATTGCTGCTGCCCGGCCGACAGCCAATTCGGAACGAGGAACAGACGATGCCGAGTGTTGAGCTGAAAAATTGAAAGAATTGGTATTTTTAATGGTATTCTATGGTATTTCTAAATGTAATCTTTTCCTCTAATATTGCACTTTTGTGGCGGGACCTAGAAAAAACCTAAACATCCCCCAGAGTCCCCCAGACTCTTCTCTCATCGTAATCAAGCAGACGATGCCAATTTCCATGAAATTGCACAATTAAAACGACGCCGTCGAACCCTTCCGTTTCCCATTAAATTTCATCTGTCCCCGTCCGGCTATTTCGGACCAGAAATTGATGACCAATTACGTCAAAAACTGCTCGACAGCGAGCTGCTTCTCTCCATCGTGACCGGATAATATAAACAATTATTGTCCGTCATCACTCTCAAGGTCCCTGTCCTTTCTTTCTTTGTCTTTCGGATCGAATATAAACAGTTTTCGTGTCTGGCCCCCAGACACCCCCATTCCCACTCAGATTACTTGGGTCGTGAAGAAGGGGGAAGGGAGTTGACCTGTATGACGGTGGCGTTGTCGACCACCGCCGAAATAGTACGCGGCGGTCGGAGAGACGACAGACAGGGTCACCCCCGCACACGGAAAGAAAAGAGTCAAGGTCCTCACTGGCCTACGACGAAATGCGAACGAACGAGGAATAATCTGATCCTTCCACGCCTATTTGAGGTCCAACGAAATTGGAGAGAGAACGATTCGGAGGAGGTGAAAAAAAACCGCAGAAGGAATTTGAAGGGCGTTATGCGAGTGTTGAGGTTACCGAGAACGGATTACACTCCAAGAAGGTGTCATTAGAGAAGCGGAAGGTTCTAATCGAAACGACTGAGCTTCATTTAGTTATTTGTGATGTCGTTTCCGACCACAAATCAGGGGAACGACTAATATAAGAGATTTTCGAGTAGAAAGGCTTGAAAACCCTATATACTCCAAGAAAAATTTGCCTAATTGAAAGCTCTGAAGCTCCTATCATCACTATAACTTACAAAAGCACCTACTTTTGACCTCAGACAACTACAGGAGTTGAACGAACTCTAAAAAGTGTGTTAAAGCTCTAGAAACGTTTTGGCATCTTTAGAGCCTCCATAACTTCCAATTTCCCTCTACTTTATCCCTTTCCCTTTGATGATGTTGATGATGATGGCCATGAAAGAAAAAAAGTAGCTCTAGCCAAACTCATTGTCATTCTCATCGTGGTCCAAGGTCTCGCGTCCCACTGGCACCCCTCTAATTATCCCTTTTCGGCCGGCGCGTCTGCTCACTGACCCGTCCCTCCTAATTACTTTTTCGCTCATTTCCCTCATCTTTAGGTTTCGACCCTGGAACCTCCGAGCCAACTCGCAAAATCAAACACTCGGTTTTGAAGAGCCCCACATGTGCTCGCGTCGTTGTACACCACTACTAAACGGTCCAAAACTGTTTTGACCAAACAAGGAACGGGCCGCCCGCCCGTTTATGCACAAACGCATAGCCGGCTCAAATCCGCTGCTCAAACACTACTTACCTCAAAGAGCACAAATTCCTTTGCGATCGTACTCGGGACCGAAGAGGCGGCGCGTCGTTTCGAAAATATCGTCGGATAAGTTTGGAATGGGAGAGGAGGGGTAAACGTTGCAGAAGAGATGAGATACCGGAACGACGGAGTTTGGAGAGAGAGAGAGACGAAAAGAGACGGATTTGAGTGGATAAATAGTTGAAGAGGACTAGAGTGGTGACGTGGCGCAAAAATGCGGTCCTCTAGTTGGCGGCGACGGCGGCCGGGGCCGTGGTCTCCTTCTTCACGGCCAGCGGCTCGTCGACAGTCTCTCCGGCATCCTCCTTTGCTGCTTCTCCCTCGGCGGCTCCCGCGCCCTCCTCCTTTGGCTCCTCGACGGCGGTCGATGCCTGACGGTTTCTCTGCAAAAATTATTTGTATGAAAAGGGATTTTTGAAGGAAAAGCAATTGATAGAAATCAAAACTTGAACAAATTTAGACTAGTTTGAGAAATGAACCGCTGGACTTAAACAATGTGTGTTTACATTGAAGCTTTGCTAATCTTCTCAAGTTTTTCTAGTTTCTATGGATTCAATGAATTTGTTAGCTATTTCTATCGCAAAAAACACGTTTTTACACCATTTCCGCCGGCCAAACTCACTCTGAAGAATCCGAGAATGGTGTTGAGGAGTCCGCTCTTGACGACAGTGTTCGCGAGCTGCACGATAGTGTCGACGTTGAAGCCCTCCTTGTCGAACTTGTCCTTGGCCTGCACTCCGAGCTGCCAGAGCGTCTGGAAGACAGCCGAGTAGCCGGCCTTTCCCTTTTCGAGCAGATCCTCGGCCGAGATCGGCGCCGTCTCCGAGCCGAGAGCCTGCTGAGCCCACGCGCCGAACGAGTCGATGTTCTTCTTCTGCACTTCTTTCTGGGCGGCCGCGTCGGCGTTCTCCTCGGCGGTAGCGACCTCAACGGCTCCTGGCTGCAAATTTAAGCGGTTTACAGTTCGAAACGTGTTCGTAGTTCTCTAGTTTTCTACATTTTCGAATTTGGAAATTTGTTGATTTCTAGTCCAAATCCCTAGAACATTAAAATTTCATCGAAATTTCACCTCCGTTCCTGATATCTTATCACTTTCCCCCGAATTTTGGAATTTTCGGAGTGACTAATTGATCTAGACACCTTTCCGACCTATTTTATATCACTTATCACCTCGTATCATCATCATCACTACCCCAAATCTTTTATGCGACAAACCTGAAGCGCGTTGGCGAGTTTGACGAGAACGTCGCCGTCCTTGAAGAATCCGAGGAACTGGTTGCGAGTCGTCGCCTGGTCCTTTCCTGGAATCGCCTTGCGCTCCGACTCCTCGGCGATGGCCGTCTTCTGGACCCAGTCGATCACTTGGTAGTTGGCCTAAAAATCGACATTACTCTTTGCTCAAATTTGCTCATTTCCCGAGAAAAAACTGGTCATTTTGAACTTTTCAAAGCTGGAAAGTTCCCCCAAAAGTCTCCAAGGACTCGTTCTAATCAATCTGTTCCCAATTTTTGTTCGCTCTTTGCACAGCTTGTTCGCGTTGCAAACATTTGTCTCCATCAATTGCACATCAGCGTTTTTTTCGTCTCGACAAACTTTTGGGCGACGCTTTGGCGTCGAAAAATGGATGAACCCATTGCAGATGCAAACACACGCACTTGGCCGCGCCAGCAAATGAGCCAAGAGTCTCGCTCATTTGGCTCTGCACCAGAAACAGAAACAGAAGAGCGTTTGCAACACAAGAGTGGTCCCCGAGGGATTGCGCTCTCCGGAAAGGGCTCTTGCTCTCGATTGGGTTGGTTCTCGTTCCCCTCAACAGTTGATCCTTTTCACAATTGATTCTTGAAGTCATCTAGAATCTGGAGTTCAGATAACCTTCCAGAAGCTTTCCGGTACCGCGCAAATGGTAATTCTCTCCCCCCCCAGATTTTTTCTCTGCTTCAATCGCTAATCCGCCCAGGCCTGGTCCATAGACACTTCTCACGTTCCTATGGTCTTAAACCGGAGTTACCGAACAAATGCCGTCCTGAGTGTAACTTTTTCCGACCGATTCTCGATTCGATATCGGAGAAGACATCGTCGAGGAAAAAAGAGTTGCGCAACCGATTGCGCGCACCTCGTCAGCTACATTGTAACATTGTACAGGGAAACAGTCTCTCTTTTCAATCCGTTTTTGCGCGCGCGGATTGGCACAGCTGCCCTTTTACAGAGTGCCGACACACTCGCACACACACACAATCGGGCCGGTACGATCAAACAGAGATGGGTGGCCTCGTCCGACTCGTCCGCTCCGTACCGCAACGATCAAATAGCAGACGAGATCGGATACACCACCTAATGAACTATTAGTAGTTGTACACTTACTACTACTACTAATAGTACTATGTATAATATCCAAGAGGTGCTAAAAAAAGTTGGGCATGTTTGGATTGCTATCCAATTTCCTGCTGATGAATGCGTATTTACACTTTCAGAAGTGCACATTCGACTGGAAGCGAATCGAAATTAGACGACTATTCAAAAATTGGACTTTGGAACAGCAGCGACAACGTGACTTTGTATAGTTGAGCTTCTCGCCATAAAGCTTGATGAGCTGCGAATGGACTATACGAGTCATTTGCAGAGAGAGTGAGAAAGGGTAATGAGCCAAAGTGTTCATCGCGGGTTTTGAGGGCTCAGAGACGGCTCAAAAAGCTTGGATCATAGGAATTATCCGAATTTGGAAGTCTGGATGACAATTTCAGTTTCTTTTAGCCCCAAAATCTCAGAAAGGACCTCAGAAGACTAGAAATAGCTTCAGAAATGCGAAAAAAGATCCACAAGATCTCAAATAGCTTCAGCAGTTCAGAAAGATCTGGAAAAGTAGTTTCAAATCATAATTTCTCCGAATTTTCGAAAATCTCATCAGAAATATCTTCAAAAGCTCGATAAGCGCTGAACTTGAACTCCGAAAGAAAATTACAATTTCCGACGCGTTTCGACTTAGAAAAAAGCTCAAAGAACGTCAAAAAAGACGCCGATTTCAAACCCGGATAATCCGTTAATTTCCTCTCCACACCCTATTTCCGTTGGGGTACAAAATGAGGGTGAGCGAGCGGAAACAGCTGTTCCCACCCAAAATCACACCACCATCTGCCGCTTCCCAATATTGTGCTTTTCCCCAAATTGCCTACCTTGTGAACAGCCTGCGGAATTTGCTGAGCAATCCATCCGAGCACGTCCTCCTTCGGATCCTTGGGCGCCTCGGGCTCTTTCGGCTGCGCCGGCTCCGCGTCACGGTGCTTTCCCCAGCGCTTGTTGAAGGTGAAGCGACGCGCGACGCCGCCCGACTTCTTCTTCTCTTCGGCCGGAGCAGCCTGGGCTTCTCCCTCAGCCGGAGCTTCTCCCTCGGCCTTCGGAGCCTCCTCGACGGCTTCCGGAGCAGCAGCAGCCGGGGTTTCGGTCGGTGGCTCGGTGGTCGGAGCGGCCGGAGCAACCTCCTGAGCCGTGACGGCGACGACCTCCTCAATAGTCTTTGTGGCAACTTCGTCCGACATTCTTGTGGATGATTGGTGGGTTCGAGTGAACGGGGTTAGTGAGAAACTGCAAAAAAGAATGGTTTTACTAATTTTCAACGGAAAACAAAGCGATAGAAAAATTGCGAAATTTGTTGCAGAAAAAGATAGAGGGCAAAGTCAACCCAATTACGAGAGCGGTAATCGAATCGAGAGCCGGAGCACGCACACACACACACATTTTGGTAGGCAAAAGACAACGAGAAGGAGAAGCCGAAATGAGATGGGCTCGTCGGAGCACACACTAATTGCCTCCGAGCCCCCATCTCTTCAGCGCTCCAGCTCTACACAAAGCTCATTTTCTATTCTAGAACCGTCTTTTCGAAAATGGGCCAGAAAATCGATGGTGACCCACGTCTGGTCAGCAGACGAACACTACAATATTGGTGACGTGGCAGGGGCGGGAGTCATAGATTCTGGGAAAGAGCAAATAAAAGAGAGAAACCGCTTTTGTAGACTTGGAAAATGTCTTTGCTAGGTGAAAAGAAGGAGTTTCAGGATCTCAGAAGTTTCTAAAAGACTTCGGGACAGCAAAAATAGTTCTAAAAGACCCTGGAAGACCAAATTTAGAGTCAGAAAGGTACAGAAGATTCAAAAAAGTTCTAGAACGTTCCAGAAGACTCCAGAAGACATATCGTCAAAAGACTCTAGAAAACATCTAACGATCTCACAACTTCTAGAACCTCTCAGAAAACCAGTTTTTGGGCCAAAAATAAATTCAAAGACATCGGGAGGTGGTCATTCAATCTCCATTCATAATAATAATAGCAATCAGGTGTCGGGGAAAGAGAGAGAGAGGGAGAGAGAGGGAGCACATTTACCATTTTGTGAATGGAATGTCATTCGATCCCTTTTACCGTCCTTCTCCGGACGGACGCCTATTTGCTCTCAGCGCCCCCCGAATTTCGACCATTTTCACTGAATCAGAAAATCGACACAAAACACGCAGACAGAATGAGTCAAAAAGCCAGTAGCTGGTATGAGTCAGTGTGAAACGAAAATTTCGAAATCTCGCGATTAGACGATTTCGAAATCGAACAAAGGGGGCGTAGCTTGCTGGAGAGTCGTGAAACGAGAGGGGAAAACCCGAAAAGCTTAAGGGACGACGAGAAGAGGACGACGAAAATGAATGAATATGAGAGCAGGCACAAGGAGGGGACACACAATTGGGTCACCACCACCAACTGCACCAAATGATACACACACACACACACACACATTGGGGGCCTCCACACAGCCAACGAGAGAGCGGCAAATGTGTCCGTCCGTCCGTCCGTCCGCCTCGGCCGACCGACCGACCGAACAAAAGTGGGCGGAGCCTGGCGAAAGGGCCGCCCCTCTTCTGCTGGCTGCGTGTGTTTGCGTGTGTGCACGGGATGGAAAAATTGCTTCTGGAACTGTGCCAGGAAGAACGACAGATTTTAGGGCAGATATTCCAAAAAATTATAGCAAGACCACTAGTTAACCGAACTTTTTCAGATTTGAATTCTGGAATAAACTAGAAATCGAATCATTCTTCGGCAAATCTAGGCTTCTTAGAATATTGTACACCCGAAAATCGGATAGAATGACGAGCAGTCTCAAAAGACGCGGATCTGAGAGGTTGAAGGGTCTAGTTGTCAATGGTAACCGACCGGAAAGCTCCGGGGGATTGTATCGATTGACGTTCGACAAAAATTTTACCTAAAACTGGAATTCCCCGGCCCTGAACTAAGATTTAACGGCCGATTGTGGTAAATCAGGAAAACTCTAAAATTTCTTCTAAAAATGTGACATTTTTTAACGAAATCGCCGTTTTTATAGGGAAAATGAGATGCGAAGTGAGTCACGAATGCATAATTTCATGGGAAAGTCGAGCTGGAAAATTTTTGCGAAAAAACGCGTTTCTCCTCTAAAAACGTTACTTTGTTGAGAACAATTCGAAAAACTCGTGCCGATGAGGGTAAATAGAGAAAAAGGTATCGGTCACCTGAAGGTTACCGTCTTCCGCTTGTTTTCCGCCGCTTCCACATGATTTTCGCGCGTATTTACCTAAAAAATTTTTCGAAAAGTCGGCGAAACTTTCTAATTTCCGACTGTTTTTCGGTGCCTTGAGGTCATGTGCGAACGTATTCTGCGAAAGACACAAAAAATGGGCGAGTGCGGAGCCGTAAACAAGAACAAGGGCGGAAAGTCGTAATAACCTGTTAGAATGGGTGAAAACCTGGCGGAAATGAGCGAAAACAACGGAATTTCCGCGGCATTATTCATCGTGTTGACACCGCCCGAATTGAGTTTTGACGAAAAAAGCTAGAAAAAGCGAGTAAAATGCGCTGCGAAAAAGGAAAATGGGCGGAAAATTAGGATGAGCAAATTGAAACTGAGATTTTGGCGCGCGGGTACGGTAGGCGGTTCACCGCGCGCGTTTGCACAGTTTCTCGGCGACCGTAACCCGCGCGAAAATAAATGCGAAGCCAATGAATTTTTCGGCGGTACCGTGGGCAAAAAGTGGCGGAACGAGCCCAAAACTCATCTATCATCGGTTATCAGTAGTGTACAAGTTCAAACAGAACGCCAAACGCATGGGAATGCGCCGATAATAGCGTATAATTGGAGGTGGGTGAGTCAGCGGCGCGAATGTGATAAAGGACGTGCTCACCCACGCACACACATCAATTAGACAAGTGTAATAGTGATATTACACCACAGATATGACCTTATAAACTCGAAAAAACTGTTTTGTTGCAAAAAATAGTGTTCTGGTGAGACGGAAATGAAAAGCCATTATTTTTGTGGCCCCCGGAGGAGAGGAAATTGGAAATTTTTCAATGCAGGAGAAGCGTCCGCTGTCAACAATCGGTTACACTCTATTTTTAGGACAAAAAAATTTCTAAAAATATGAATAAAAAATAAAAAATTTCTAGACGATTTCAAGAAGCTAACAAGCCCACGCAAAATCGATTTTTGCAAAAAGTGAAGGTGAAAAAGTGCAAAAGCACTTTATCTTTTCTTTCATTTCAAATCAAGCTGGACCGAAAAGTGTCATGCATTCGGAATTGGCGGGCTTGGGCCGACTAGGAACCTTGAATTACTGGCTGGAGGAACAATAGTGCATTGAAGGTGCAAAGCAGAGTTGAGCGGGAATGGATTTTGAAATCCGGAAGACGGAAGAAAATTTTTTTTACGGAACACGGAAAACGGAAGACGGAACAAAAAATCGTCAATGCAGAACCTTTTTCTCCGGTTTTTGAAAAACTAAACCAACAAAAATTTTGGATCTGGGTCACTACCCGTGGAAATTCGCGTTCTTCGGGGCTAGTAAATGGCTTTTGAAAAGCTATTACTCTTTTACGGTCTGAAGAAAAAATCTCGGAAGACGGAAGACGGAAGACGGAAGAAAAAAAATCCACGGAAGACGGAACAAAAAATCCACGGAAGACGGTGCAAAAAATTCCACGGAAGACGGAACAAAAAAATCCACGGGAGACGGAAGACGGAAGACGGAATTCCGCTCAACACTGGTGCAAAGGTTTCAAAAAAGTCTGAGAGAGTCACATATCTAGGCGGCAACGGCGTCAACTAGAAAAGTCGAGTAGCAAACAGATCGCCTCGGCAGACGGAAGACGGAACAGAAAAATCCACGGAAGACGGAAGACGGAAGACGGAATTCTGCTCAACACTGGTATCAACTAGAAAAGTCGAGTAGCAAACAGATCGCCTCGAGACGCATATTGTAGTAACCATGCAGGGCGTGAAGACAAAAGAAGAAGAAGAAGACGTTGTCTCGAGTCCTCACCGCGCACATTCCCATCAGAAGAACCCTCGCCTTGTGAAGGGGGAGGGGGTCAGTGTCCGAAGGGGTCATTCGTCCCGTCCCCCGTGTCTCCCCCCGTGCCCACACTCTTTCTCTGGAGTCAATGTGGTGTGTCCTCCTCCTCCTCCTACTGCACCACCACAATTATCTTCTGCAGCCGACAGATGGTCGGGTGTCTTGGTTTTACAAAGAGAAAGATCGGTATCTATATGGAGTGGGGCGTGGTGACTAAAAGATCGAAATGGACGATAATCGAATTGTGGTAAGGAATTTCTTGGATGGATTGTGTGTGTGTGTGTGTGTGTGCACACATGCACCATGTGGCCACGTGTCGCACTTGACCTTGGCGAGAGCATGGTCCTCCTCCTCCTCCTCCTTGTCAGTGTATACACTCGCAATATGGATGGACATGGAAATGTACAGAATGTATGTGCATAAATATGATATGTACACTCTAGTTTTGTTGTTGTTTTTTTTTCGCCTCATGTGATCGTCGAAAAATGTGCAAAATAAACGAATTTCGGTGCGATGAATACGGATCGGAATGCATTAGCTAATGAGTTTTCGGAGGCGAATCCAAAATGTTTTGGTGTGTATGAGCCTAAACAATTTAGAATCCCTCTCACAATACTTTGCTCAACTCAACTGATTTGGGACCTCAACGGTTTTCGCTTCAGACACAAGAATGGACAGGTTTTCGAAAAAAATGATCAACTACAAAGTTGTTAAGCACAAAATTTGCAACAACTTTGCAGTTGACCACTTTTTGAAATAATCATCCAATCTCGAGATATGAGCGCCCCCCGATCCTTATAAAAACATTGGCGAAAGTGAGTGAGTAGGGATGAAATTAGAATGGAATGGAATGGAATGAAAGTGTGCGCCCTCGTTTTTGATGACAATTATACCTCCCGCCGCTTCGAAAAGGTGTCAATGTCGCGCGAATTGATGACACGCGCCGGGCAGGTTGGATGCGAAATTGAGGGCGATCATCCACACTTTTCAGGAGTGGTAATGGATAACACTTTGAGTTCAACTATTATCCGGTCGAAATCTGGAGCGCTTCCATATTCTTTTTCGAAACAATGTGCAGAATGGAGACTAAAAGCCACATTCCTCCCGTTTCACACCCCCGCGAGACTTTTTGCAAAAAAAACTATTTTTAGCTCTTAAAACCTTTCGAATCTTTCCCTCAAACATTCTGTTATAACGAGGTTCTCCATGGGCAAAAAAGTCCAATGAAGAGAAGAGAAAGAGAAAGAGAAAGTGTGAAAACGGACAATATTTGTGAATGTGTACATGTTGTTCACACCGTCTTATTCGAATGAAAAAGTGGGCGAAAACGATGGGAACCGTGACGACGAAAACCGGACGCAATGAGATCGGTTGTGAGGCGAAAAGTGAGCGGGAGGCGCTGAAGATGAGAAAACAGAATTATTTTGAGTGAAGCTAACGACATTTTTGGGCCCAGCATTCCAATGCGCTAGCGAGTTGTCAATGGGGCGCGCTTGCATCCACCGTCGACTCGGAGTTTCTTTTTTCAATTGAAAACCGGAATTCTTTCGTTTTTCTCTTAATAAACGCTCAAATTTTGTTCTTTGAGTTAAAAGCATCGATTTAAGCGCGAAACGGAGCAGATTCGTTCAGAATTGACCAAATTGAGGGATTTTATCGAAAACTACTTTTAAAAAACGGATTTTTAACGATTATTTGCGCCGAATCGAGTTCGGACACTGGCATTCGAACCGTCCAGTCAACAAGGAGTTTATTGCGCATCTTTTAAGCGCTCAACCGTCGAAAAATATACAGAATTGAGATAATTGAGGCAAATTTTCGATTCAAAAAGGAAAAAAATTCTGTAATTTTTACATAAAACGTTTCGAAATTGATGACGAAGCAGTTAAAATTTCATTTTTTATTCATTTCTAATCATTATCATAAGTTTTCACACTGATTGGTTCTGAAAAGATGGGGATAATGCAAAAAAAAGGGAAAATTGAAATGAGGAACTCTACAACGACGCTCCGGAATTACGAGTTACGCGCCTTGTTTAGCGCACGTGAATTGCGCCAAGGGAATTTTTTATTGGAAGGCATTTTTTCGTCATTATTTTTTAACGAGTCGTAAGCCTTCAAAATCCCGAAAAATGAATCTCGTTGCTGCGACCCCAGTACTAAATTTTCTAGCAAGTTCCTCTTCGGCGACCTGTATCTCAAGAACCAGGCCGCCGTTGCAAAAGTGGTCAACAAGTAAGTTAACGCAAATTATCTCGTGAATAACTTTGTAGTTGATTGTCTATTTTTAAAAAAATTACTTTTCGAGTTATGAACGGTTTTCCCAGAGCGACAAAAAAAATGCTTGTACTGGGGTCAGAGCGACGCGAAGGCTTACGACTCGTTAAAAAAATAATGACTAAAAATTGCTAAATTGATATCCAGAAATTGTTATAAAATATTGCAAAAAACTGGAATTTCAGATGCGATTTTCTCGCATTCTGCGCTCAATACCATTTCAAAATTTCACAAAAACGTTTGTTTTCTCAAAAGTAAACTGCTGGCGCTCGTCATCACTGTAAAGCATACCACACGACACTTTAGCGACTCTTTACAAAAACCACAACTATCACACAAGTTAGTTCGGTTAACGAGCTCGTTGAGTGGGTACTTTTATTGAGAAAATGATTCGCCTAGCTATATGACCATTGTCATCAGTTGTAATGACATTAAGAGTGGGGGGTTTAGTGGTGGCTAGTGCTCTAAAACTGAAGAGTTCCGAGCGGGTTGTAACAACTTTTTTCAATAGTAAAGGCTAGGTTCTTCTGGACCTGTCTCTAGATGTCTCTGTCTTTTGGACCGGGCCCTAAAAGCCGGAATTTGTTAGCTACACCCCATGCAATGACCATTTTTTCCTCCGTTCCTCACTCCCTTCATCCATTCCCATTCCATTAGTCACTTTCCTAGTGGTCACTCACTTTTCGCGTCCTCGACTCGACTCTTTGCAGTGTAATTTCTTCAAACAACACCTGGTGACTCATCCGGAAAGGGTCCGGCCGAGTGTAACACTCACGAAAGTACAGAAATGACACACACACGTTACCGATATTTATAAGGTTCGGGGTTGTTTAGGCCTGTTTTCAAAATGAGATATCTCAGCGGTTTGTGGAGTTATCAAAAAGTGGTCAACTGATAAAATGTGTAAAATCTCTTAACGAACAATTTATTAGTTGACAATTTTTTGATATTTCTACCGGCAGCTGAGATATATCGATTTGAATATTGCATACGGTAAATTTTAGTGACGAACAGAAAATGTGTAGCGTGGTACGCAATTAGTTCAAACACCATCACAACAAGCCTATGATAACCGTATTTACCCGCGCGACGGCTCTTTTCGGCAAATTTACGATGAAAAGGGAATTAGCGGATGATAAGAGAGTGATAACGGAAATGGGAAACGGTACAAGTACAATCACATAATGATCATGTGAAAGGGGACCGAGAGACGTGATATTGATATCAATTGACAAGTTGACAACCCGCAATTGTCATCCACAGAAGTGATTATAGTTAATATTCGGAAGTGTACAATATCTGTTGCCATCCATTTACCAGTTCCTCTATTATCCGTCGATTCAGGGCCGCAGCACGGAAGGAAAGTACTTTTTGATGGTTGATGGAATGTGAATGGGCTGTACGCGAACGATTATATCCGGAATTCCACTTGTTGGCAGCCATTTCGGGACCGAAATGTGCTCTTTCCGTTCGAGAATAAATGAGTGCGTCGTCCGTCTTTTCGCCCATTTTTCACCACGTGAAAAATGCGGTCGTTCCGTTCGGAAACACGGCCATAAATCTTGGAGGGGCCCTAAAAGTGACCAAACATTTCGCAACTTCTTCCCTCTCTTTTTGCACAAAAATGATGAAAAAGTGAAGAGGCTCTCGCTCTCTTTCTCGTCGTTCTTTGCACACATTCTGCTCCTCCTCCTCATCAAAATGTGCTCCGAAATGGAAATGAGCGAGAAGAGCCGCGCAGAAAATTAATGGGAAAGAGCAGCGGCGAAACGGCGAAAATTGGAAGAAGGCGAGGGACTGGAAATTGAAAAGCGTTTTTGGCTGCAGAATTTTTGAGCGCCAAAAAGAGAAGGAGGCTATGAATAAAATGAATAAAAAAAATGATAAAAAATGAAATAAATTTGCAAATAAATAAACATGGAAAAGGGGGCTAGTTTTACGAGTGTAACCGGCTACATTTATAGACAGAAAAACGTAAAATTTGCAGGGACCAAATATAAGAAAAATGGAGACTTTCCCACTTTTCCAGGAAGACGGAACAAAAAATCGTCAATGCAGAGCTTTTTTCTCCGGTTTTTTTTTTTTGAAAAAGATAGACGCCTCTTGTGTTGTATATATAAGAAAGATTTATTCCACAATTGAACAAAATTCGAGAAACTTTTGGAATCAGAAAAGTTTAAATTAACACAAATTATGAAACGGTAAAGTGTATGATATCACAGTACATCAACACACAGTTTAACTGAATTTTTAAAGTACTTCAAGTGAAACAGAAAATTTCCGCGCAATTTTGTTTCCTATTTTTCACGTGAATCACGTGAAATTCTAATAACTTATCAGAATCACTTTTCGCGATATTATTATTATTTTAACAGAGCACTTCTGCCAGTTTTGTGTCGCTCTAAATGACTACAAACAGAAATACAGAGTGAGATTGATATTTTTGGGAAAAATGATTCCGAAAATTGCCTTTCAGAACAAAATCAAATTCAAGACCACTCATGGAACCGTCATCGTCTGCCTGCTCGGAAGCGTATGCTTTTTTGATTTTTAAGCCGAAATTTTTGTGTCAATGCTCACGATTCGACGAAAATTTGAGCAAAAACGCAGCGAGTAATTGGCAATTTTAGATAATCTTCGAAAATTAATGGGGTTATTCAGGCTGTGAAAAAAATGATTGTTTTCCGTTTTTTTACGTCAAAAAATCCAATTCAGCGATGTAAAAAACGAAAAAAACATAAAACAAACATACGCTGAATAGCCCCGTAAAGCGGAAAATTTATGAAAAATCATAGAAAACTGTTCAGAGAAACAAATCCGCGACACCGAAAAGCCAACAAGATAATCGAAAAATTTATGGAGAAGAAGATGGGAGGCGCGCCGCCGGAAACGCACGCGGACCTCCGCAAACAGTCCGTCTTCAATTTTTACGAACAGCCGCGCAAAAAAGAGCACAAACACGGATGCTTCAAGCGATTCGTGAAAAAAGCGAAAAGTGCGTGGACGTAAAAATTGAACAGCAATAATTTTGGCCATTTTACCAATTTTCTGCACAGAATATCGTACTCTGATCGCATCGCTCATTCTGGCGCTTTACGTGGCCATCGGAGCGGCGGTGTTCATGTGGGTGGAGAGCACATCACACGAAAATGTGCGTTTTATCATCAGTGGAGCGCATTTGCTCAGCGACTATTTATTCAAACCAATTTCAGGTCGAGCAATACGGAAAAGACATTCGGGAAAAGGCGGCGAATCTGTACGAGAGTCTCGATCTGGCGATGAATCCGAAATGTGGACCAATCATTCACAACATGCCAATCGAATCGAACGAGTGTTTGCTGAAACTGTACAACGAGATGTACGCAATTCATGCGCCGAAACAGAACATCAACGGATATATGGATGCGCTCGTCTACGTGCTCACAATGATCACCACAATTGGTAAGGCATCGGTTTTTACTCGCAAATGCACAGCTTTCCCCAATTTTACTGCAAAAAACAGCGTTTATCGATTTTATCGCCAAAAACACCGAAAATCATAGCAAAAAAGGTGCAAAAATACTTCTTTTCAGGCTACGGGCACCTGATTTGCTACACGATGACCGGAAAACTGGTCACAATATTTTACGGAATAATCGGAATCGCCCTGGTCCTTTATGTGCTCCGAAATAACGGAAAACTGGCGTTGAGATGCTGCAATTGGATGCTGAAATTATCGACGTTTTGTTTTCAACTTTGGTACACTTTTTTGAATTTTTGCGAGAATTGAGAGAAAAGTGAAACTGTAATTTTGTCTTTTCAGCACTACGCGTCCGTGCAAAATGACGGTGTTCAAGGCGGCCATCCTTTTGATCGTTTTCTGGACGATCGGCGGTCTCGGCATTGCCGCCTTTGAGAATTTCGTCTTTTTCGACGCCATCTACTTTTCGTTTGTCACTTTTTCGACAATCGGATTCGGGGATTTTGTGCCGAACAGCAACGCCTCTGTCGCCATCATTTTCACGTTGCACTTTATCGATTTGTCGCTTCTCTCGATGGTATTCGCGCTGGTTCATGTGAGTTTTCAAAAGAGGCGATGTTTGGTACGTAGAAACTTGCAGGAGTCGATGGAGAGCAATTTCATGGAAGTGCTCGAGCTGCTCGACGAAGGATATCGGCGACATACGACTATGATGAACACGGCCACTATGAATCTGAATCTTCCGTCGCCGGCGCAATCGAACGTGAATTTGAAAACGGCGAGGGAAAAGTCGAAGGAACGATGAGATTGATGTTTAAAAGAGTATTGTCCATTACTCCTATCACACCACGTTGTTTGTTGTTTTCTCGAACACATTGAGCCGTGGGAGCAAGGTTCTGTTTGTCCAATTACTCACACCTCGCTTCCTTCTCTTTGACATTATTCACAAATTTCAATCATTCTTCTCTATAGACCTAATGACGTCTTTTCCGACCACGCTAGCCGAATACTACAACACGACGTACTCGAAATGCGCCCAAATGTTCGGACTAATCGACTCGCCCGAGTTCCTGTCAATCGGATCAAAGTCGCTGGCGCTCGTGATCATTCCGATCAACTTGTTCGGATTTCTGTGCATTCTGTGTCGGACGCCCAAGTACATGAAGGGATTCAAGTGGCATCTGATGCACTTGCACTTTTGGTAAGCATGAAATCGTGTTGTCATCGCAACGTTTGATGTTTTCTTTAGGTTTCTAATGCTGACTACGTGCTACACGCTCCTAGCCACCACGTATGCATTCTATCCGGCTCAAGTCAGATGCTCCGTCGGTTTTCTTAGTCATCTGAGAATATCGTCAGAGTATCAGTTCATACTCATCACTTTTGTGTACATTGGCCTCTCTACTTCTATTATCATGCTCTTCGAGAACCGACATAAACACTTGGTTCCGCCTACGGACATATTCTACCGTATCCATGACACTCATCGAATTGTACTAGGGGTCTTGAACTTTTGCCTGGGAAGCACTACCTATCTGCCAACTCTTGTGACTACGGTACTTGCCACGGATCGGCAACAACGTCAAGAACAGCTAAAGTTAGCCTATCTCGCAGTCGTCCCCTGCCCCACGGCACTCTTCTTTGATCCATGTTCCGTCGCCTACGATACATCTAGAACTATCTGGAGCATAATGGCGAATGTCTGCAGCGGAATCACCAGTACTCAGTTGCTATTTTTCATTGTTCATAGTGTCTGGTACCTGAGGAAATTTCGAAAGATGGATAACTTTTCCGAGCGAACAAAACACATGCAGAAGGCGTTTTTCGTGGCGTCGCTGGTTCAAGTGACCGCTCCGATTTGTGTGATCGCGGGTCCGCTGATGATGCTAACGTATATCATGACTACCGGACGGTACCAACAAGGTGAGTATGGACCCACACAGACACCCCCCAAACAATAGCGTTTCAGGCCTGATCAACGTGTGCATCCTGGCCATTCCCGCCCATAGTCTCTTCTCCACAGCCGCTCTCCTCTACTTCATCGCCCCCTATCGAAAATTCGTCAAACGTCTTCTGAGAATCGAGGAGGAGTCGAACACGCGAATGAACATGGTGTCTAGTGTGAATTTATGATAAACAACGTTTCAATCAATACTTTTTATTCATTCATCAAATCTTCATAAAATCTCTGGTGTCTAGTGTGAATTTATGATAATTTTGTCAATAAATTGTCAGCGAAAATGTGACGACGAAAGTTGTGAGGAGGTCACGGTCTCCAGAGCTGACAATATTGGCGTGGCCTCGGCCAAATGACGTTTTCATGAATTGAGCAGGTTTTCTCTGATTTTTGTGGTCAACGGCGATGAAAAATGATTGTTCGACATGAAAACACACTAATTCTCACAGAATTTATGACGTTTTGGCGCCCATTTTTCGTGGACTTTGCTTTTTCGCCTTCGCCGCCCAAAAACTTCTCATTTTGCGCTTTCCTGACCGTTTTCAGACAGAATTGGTTTTGAGAATGATAAATCACGTAAATACAAACATTTTGAGCGCTCGAACCGCGAAAATTACCGAAAAGCAACTGAAATTCACGCAGTTTTAGCCAAAAACCTTCAAACGGATAAATGTGGTTTGCGACTTGACCAAATTTGACGCTCTTGCGCTTAAAAAATTCGTAATGGCCTATACAATCGGTCTATCGAGAGACAAATGAGAAATTATCGATTTTTCGTGGCTAATCTGGTAAAAAACACAAATTTGGCTGTTAAAATTTGAATTTCGCGCCAATGTATCGCTCTATTGGGCGGGGCGCACTTGCGCTCATTGTCAGCTCTGGAGACCGTGAGGTGAGATTGAAAATCAGTAAAATCATCCGGCGACCTCGTTTTGTGAAGTCGTCTCCAGTGTAGAATGAGACAGTCACACTGAGCCGTCTCAAAGAACCACACTTTTGACATCAGTCACACATTTTTTTTCTGTGGTTCTTTGACGTCGTCTTACTACATTAGCTCGTTATTCTCGCACACCTCACCGCCCATCAACTTGTTTCTCTGAACATGAGCCGTTTCACATTTCAACTATTGTCAGCCTTTGTCTAGCATGTCTGTTCCGACCACGCTAACTGAATACTACAACACGACGTACTCGAAATGCGCCCAAATGTTCGGACTAATCGACTCGCCCGAGTTCCTGTCAATCGGATCAAAGTCGCTGGCGCTCGTGATCATTCCGATCAACTTGTTCGGATTTCTGTGCATTCTGTGTCGGACGCCCAAGTACATGAAGGGATTCAAGTGGCATCTGATGCACTTGCACTTTTGGTAAGCATGAAATCGTGTTGTCATCGCAAAGTGTCATTTTTTGTCAGGTTTCTAATGCTATCCACGTGCTACACCCTGCTGACAACCACGTATACATTCTATCCGGCTCAAGTCAGATGCCCCATCGGCGTGCTTCGTCATCTGGGAATATCGTCGGAATATCAATTCGGCCTCACTAATTTTGCGTACATTGGTCTCGCTACTTCTATTATCATGCTCTTCGAGAACCGACATCAACACTTGGTACCGCCTACGGACATATTCTACCGTATCCATGACACTCATCGGGCTCTCCTGGGGCTCTTGAATTTTATCGTCGGAAGTGGTAACTATCTGCCGACTCTCGTGGCTACGGCACTTGCCACGGATCGGCAACAACGTCAAGAACAGCTAAAGTTGGCCTACCTCGCTTGGGTCCCCTGCCCCACGCCGCTCTACTTCAATTCTTGTGCCGTCGCCCTCGATCTGTCTGCAACTTTCTGGAACATTGTGGCCTTTATCGTCAAAACACTCATATTCTCCCAGATGGCCTTCTTCATCGCTCACAGTTTCTGGTATCTACGTAAATCGCGAAAGATGGACGCGTTTTCGGACAGGACAAAACGCATTCAGCAGGCGTTTTTCGGGGCGGCTCTCGCTCAAGTGGTCGCTCCGATTTGTGCGATCGCGGCTCCGCTGACGATATTCACGTACGTCACGGCTACCAAACAGTACTTGCCAGGTGAGTACGGCGACAAAATTGAACCTGAAACATGTGGAACCAATCGATACCAGGCCTCCACGGCGCGGCTTTTGCGACGTTCACCAAACGTTTAATCCTCAGTCTGTGCATTTTTGCACGCCGGTGTTGCTCCGCGTACAGTGCATTTTATGTTACGCGCAAAGTTCTTTTTTTTTAGTTGTTGATGAATTTTCTCCAAACGTTCATCTCTTTAAAGCGTTTTTCTCCACTTTCTAACTCAATTAGACCTTTTTACAGATTCCAGGTGAAGTAATACGCGAAGAGAAGTCGATGCGATGAAAAGAAACGCGTAAGTAAGTGAAAGTAAGGTTTTATTCAGAAAATGCACGATTTCTCGAAAAACGTGACTAGATTTTCTAATATTTCGGTTAAAAAACTTTACTTACATTTCTGAGAATATTTTGGAACCGAAAAGAAGTAGAGTGACAGCTCGCTTTCGCGGAAAACCCGATCGTTTGCCGGAAGACGGTGAAATTTAGTTGAAAATTTTTTTTTTTTGCTTCTACGAACTGTCACTCTACTTTTTTTGGTTCGAAAACATTCACAGTCATGTAAGTGAACTATTTAAACAAAAAAATTAGAAATCTAGAGACGTTTTTCGAGAAATCGTATATTTTCTAAATAAAACATTACTTTCATTTACTTACGCGTTTCTTTTCACCGCATCGACTTCTCTTCGTGTATTATTTCATCTGGAATCTGTAAAAAGGTCTAATTGAGATAGAAAGCAGAGAAAAACGCTTTAACGATATGAATATTTGGAGAAAATTCATCAACAAGTACGCAGAGCAACACCGGCGTGCAAAAATGCTTACCATTTGGCTGCGTATGTTGCGAAAGCCGCGCCGAGCCTCGTAGACCTTTCGTTTCAGGCCTGATCAACGTGTGCATCCTGGCCATTCCCGCCCATAGTCTCTTCTCCACAGCCGCTCTCCTCTACTTCATCGCTCCCTATCGAAAATTCGTCAAACGTCTTCTGAGAATGGAGGAGGAGTCGAACACGCGAATGAACATGGTGTCTAGTGTGAATTTATGATAAACAACGTTTCAATCAATACTTTTTATTCATTCATCAAATCTTCATAAAATCTCTGGACGGGACACTCAGAGTGTGGCGACGACGAGCAACACCAGAGACGCTCCTGAAAGTGCATTTTGTCGTAAGATGTGGTGCATCTCGCAACTCACCGAGTCCGTAGTGCGTGGCGTAGACCGAAGAAGTCGTCGATTCACCGGCAGCGTCGGTCGTAGCACCAGCAGCAGCAGCAGGAGCCTCAGTTGCGGCAGGCGCGGGATCCGGCGCCGCGGCGGTGGCGGCCGCCGTGGAACCAGCAGCAGCCGCCGGAGCCTCGGTCGTCGAGCTTTCGGCACGGACTTGTTGGTGCGCTCCGAAGAGGGCGAGAAGCGAGAAGGCGAGGAGGAGAATGGTCGTCTTGCGGATCATCGTTTATCCCAAGTCGGATCGACGGGCGCTTCTTGCTTCTATTCGGCTTTTTGAGTGGAAGATCCAAACTGTCTTTTCGGCAGCAGAGGTGCTCCTTTTGTAGGGATTTGTTATCAGGACTGGTCTATATTGATTACGGATATCAGTTTATCGTTGAAGCGCAATCTTATCAGGCGCAAGATTATCAGTTTTTCACGGAAAAATTCATACACTGGAGACCATGGTCACTCGAACTTTTGGATGGTCATGTGCGCCGCCGTCTATCCGCAGCAAACTTTTGACGAACGTTCGATAGGGAGTGATGAAGTAGAGGAGAGCGGCTGTGGAGAAGAGACTATGGGCGGGAATGGCCAGGATGCACACGTTGATCAGGCCTGAAACACTTTTGTTTATGGGGCTATTCAGCGTATGTTTTTTTTCCGTTTTTTTTTCGTTTTTTTTACATCGCTGAATTGGATTTTTTGACGTAAAAAAACGAAAAAAAAACGGAAAACAATCATTTTTTTTTACAGCCTGAATAACTCTATTATAGGGGCTACGGTCTCCAGAGCTGACAATATGGGCGTGGCCTCGGCGGCCAAATGGCGTTTTCATGAATTGAGCAGGTTTTCTCTGATTTTTGTCGTCAAAGGCGATGAAAAATGATTGTTCGACATGGAAACACACTAATTCCCACAGAATTTATGACGTTTTGGCGCGCTTTTCGAGGACTTTGCTTTTTCGCCTTCGCCGCCTTCGCCGCCTAAAAACCGCACTTCTCATTTTGCGCTTTCTTGACCGTTTTCAGAGAGAATTGGTTTTGAGAATGATAAATCACGTAAATACAAACATTTTGAGCGGTCGAACCGCGAAAATTACCGAAAAGCAACTGAAATTCACTCAGTTTTAGCCCAAAACCTTCAAGCGGATAAATGTGATTTGCGACGTGACCAAATTTAACGCTCTTGCGCTTAAACAATTCGTAATAGCCTATACAATCGGTCTATCGAGAGACAAATGAGAAATTATCGATTTTTCGTGGCTAATCTGGCAAAAAACACAAATTTTGCGCTGTTAAAATTTGAATTTCGCGCCAATGTATCGCTCTATTGGGCGGGGCGCACTTGCGCCCATTGTCAGCTCTGGAGACCGTGTAGGGGGGTACGTGTTGAAGCTCTCTCACCTTGCAAGTACTGTCCGCTAGCCATGACATAGCTGAGCACAGCCAACGGAGCCGCAATCACACAAATCGGAGCAGACACCTGAGCGAGAGCCGCCGTGAAAAACGCCTTCTGAAGCCGTTTCGTTCGGTCCGAGAAGGTGTTCATCTGCCGAGCCTTCCGTAGGTACCAGAAACTGTGAGCGATGAAAAATATCAATTGAACAACGGATGTCCAGTTGGCGGCCGCGGCCACCACGCTCCAGACATTTGTAGATGGGTCGTAGGCGACGGAACATGCATCGAAGTAGAGTTCTGTGGGGCAGGGGACCAGTTGGAGGTAGGCTAACTTTAGCTGTTCTTGACGATCTTCCGAGAGCACAAAGTGCATGAGCGCCGGCAGAAAGTTAGCGCTTCCCAAGAAAAAGTTCAAAACCCCTAGTACAATTCGATGAGTGTCACGGATATGATAAAAGATGTCCGTAGGCGGTACCAAGTGTTGATGTCGGTTCTCGAAGAGCATAATAACCGCAGAGACGATTCCTCCGTACACAAACTGAACGCTCATCACCTGATACTCGGACCGAATCCCGAGTGATCGGAACAACCCAACAGAGCACCTGACTTCAGCCGGATAAAAGCGATAGGGAGTGGTGAGGAGGGTGTAGCACGTGGTCAGCATTAGAAACCTAATATCAACGTTTGTTTCACAATAAATAAAGCAGAGTTGCCACGGGCCGGGCCGGGCCGAAATTTTCAAAACTCCGGCCCGGTTCAAAAAGCGGGAATCCAAATTTTGAACTATTGATGAAATAAAATGTTTGTTTTTCGTAGAACTAACGAATTTTGCAAGTATCGAGCATAAAAAAGAAATGTAGTTCTCAAAAATAGTTTTTATTGGCATGAAAGCAATTTTTAATTTTGATCCCTGCAAATTTTTTAATTTTGATCCCCGCAAAAAAACGAAAAAATAGATTTCCCCCAAAAATTTGAATTCGCGCCTTTTGAGCCGGGCCGACCGGGCCGGCCCGTAATTTGGCAAGTCTGAAATAAAGTAGGGCTCACGGCGACCAAAAGTGTAAAAAGGGGCGTGGCCTATTCTGAGACGCGTTTCTTGAAAATTGCCGCAATTCCAGCAGTTTTCCGATATTTTTGCGTTTTATATCGACGAAAGAAGACATTAAAGAGAGAAAATATTGAAATTTTCGTGAAAACGCCGCGTTTGAGACGTTTTTGGCATCATTCGCAATTCGGAATTTTCATACCGGCCGATGTGGATAGTTTTGAGACGAAATGAGTGTCGGAAGTGATTAAGCACGTTAATTCGAGTATTTTAAGCGTTCAAACGGCAAAAAGTATCGGCGAATGACTGAAATTCGCGCATTTTCAGCACAAAACTTGAAAATCGATTCAATTGATTCATTTCTGAATGAAACGTGCTCGTTTTAAGCTCAAAAAGTGCGCGGTGATTTGTTTAACAAAGTTATGCAATTACATCGTCGAAACCCGTACAAAATTTGGGTAATTTTTTACGAAAAACATGAAAAATGGGGTTAAATTTCGAATTTCGCGCCAAAATGGTGATAAAACGGTGCACGCTAGGCTCCACGCCCCTTTTTACGTTTTTTGTCGCCGTGCGGGCTTACCAAAAGTGCAAGTGCATCAGATGCCACTTGAATCCCTTCATGTACTTGGGCGTCCGACACAGAATGCACAGAAATCCGAACAAGTTGATCGGAATGATCACGAGCGCCAGCGACTTTGATCCGATTGACAGGAACTCGGGCGAGTCGATTAGTCCGAACATTTGGGCGCATTTCGAGTACGTCGTGTTGTAATATTCGGCTAGCGTGGTCGGAAAAGACGTCATTAGGTTTTGAAAAAAGAAGCGTGTCAGACTGGTTGAAATGTGCGAATAAAGTCAGCGAAAAGAGGAATTGAGGTGTGAGTAATTGGACAAAAAGCAACTCGTCTACCGCGGATTGAGTTCAACAAAACAACGAACACCTGTTCCCGAAATTTCCCAAAATTTTCCACGTGTCCCCCTGCCACGAGTTCAGAGAACAACAATTTCAGAGGAAACTTGAACAATCGAAAACATTTTCTCAATATCCATTCGGTTGTTGATCGTTTTGATCGAATCTACTTGCTATTTTTCGTGTGAGTTGCTCTTCTTTTGGCTCGTTACTCACGTCCCCCTCATTATTATGCATTTTCAGCGCAAAAAGTGTGAAATGGCTGAAAATGAGAAGCTCGATATAAATGAGTTTCTTCGCAGACATTTGTGGGTCAAGAATTGGATGAATTATAGAAGGGTTGGTGCAAACGCGCTCCATCGCACTTTTGGCGACACATTCAACTTTTCCGCCAAAAGTTCATATTTTTCCGCGCGCGCGAAACGTGAATTTGCAGCAAGAATACACAAAAGGCGAGCTGCTGCAACTGAACGACCTAGTAATCGAGCTGTTCCGCGTCGAGTGCTCGCTGGTACCCGTCTCGCCGCCCGTCACAATCGTCGGCGACATTCACGGACAATTCACCGACCTCGTCCGTCTGCTTAACGCGCGCATCTCCAAAGACACTGCCAGAAAGAAGGTCACCTACGGATTCGCGTGCAACAGGTACGAAAAAATAGAAAAAAAAATGTTTTTTGATCGCGGAAGAGCTGAAAATTTGCCACCGCACGCCGAGAACCTCATTGCCCTAGGCGGCAAGAGGTTGAAGGTGTGCGCGTGGCGCAGTGGTTGCGTTTTTGTTGTCCAGGCAATAGCTCGCTTACATTTTGTATCTTCTTTGCAGATGGCTCTTTCTGGGCGATTACGTGGATCGTGGACCGTGCTCGCTCGAATGCATCTCGCTCGTTTTCGCCCTCAAAGTACGTGTTCCTTTCAGTTTTTTTTTGCAATAGAAAAAAGTGCAGATCGCCTATCCGAATCAATATATTCTGTTGCGCGGAAATCACGAGACACGGGCCATCAACAACGCGTACGGCTTCAAGGTTTCAAAAATTCTTTAAAAATTTGCAATATCCCAAATGTAGGAAGATGTGTTTCAACGAATGGGCGCGGAGGACGGCGAAATAGTGTGGGAAAAGTTCAACGAGGCGTTCTCGTACATGCCGTTCGCGGCGCTCGTCGGCTCGAAAATCCTGTGCATGCACGGAGGAATCGGACCGAATTTGAAGTCGTTGGACAACATTCGCAAGGTGAGACAACACAATGAGCGCACTTTAAAAAGTGCGATTTTTGCAGATCAGACGTCCGCTGGTAGATGTCTCGCAGGACCCGCTCGCCCAGGATTTGATATGGGCGGATCCGGTGGAACTCTCGCTGCGGGTCGTCTTGGAAAAGGCCGTGTACGCGCCGAACCTGACCCGAGGACTTTCGGTCATTTTCAACGAACAGGCCGTCATTGAAACGTGCAATGCTCTCAATATTTCGTTGATTGTTCGCGCTCATCAGGTTGGAAACTTGTTTTTTGGCGAACTCTTTTCTTGTTACAGGTTTTCAGGCGTTTTGATGGCGATATCTTCTGAGAGCTACAGTAGGCTTAAGAGTTGTTTTAGAAAAAAGTTTTCAACTAACAAAATAAAGTTCATGTTTAGTACATTATTTTTGTAGTTGACAACATTTTGATCCGACCACTCTGAAGGATGCTGTAGCTCTTAAAAGTTGGGACAGCTTTGCAGTCATTTTGACAAGGCCTATCTACAATTGCTCGCAAAGGTACTGTAACTTCTTGGAGTTACAGTATCCTTGAGAGCAGTATTCCATAAAAGTTGTCTACTAACAAAATAAAGTAGCACTTTACCGTACCAGACACAGTTTTTTGCAGATGGTTTTGGAAGGATTTCGATTTTACGCGAACAGAAAACTTCTCACAATCTTCTCGGCGCCCAGATATAATAACGAATCAGAGGTCAGACACCTACGCATTTCTTTTTATTATTGCCGCGTTCAAAGTCTCGGAAAATCCGCAAATCTCGCGGATTTTGCAGTCCAAAGTCGGCAGAAATTTGCGGGAAATCCGGGGAGCGCACAGCTGAACGAGTGTTACCGTACACCATAAAACTACGGTATTTTTTGAAAAAAATTACATTTCTCGAGAATATTTGCAAATTTTCAAATTTCTTGCGTAAATTTTCAACGGTATTTTTTGGAAAAAAATTTAAATTTCTCGAGAATATTTGCAATTTTTTTCAAATTTCTTGCGTAAATTTTTCAACGGTATTTTTTTGAAAAAAATTTAAATTTCTCGAGAATATTTGCAATTTTTTTCAAATTTCTTGGGTAAATTTTTCAACGGTATTTTTTTGAAAAAAATTTAAATTCCTCGAGAATATTTGCAATTTTTTTCCAATTTCTTGCGTAAATTTTCAACGGTATTTTTTTGAAAAAAATTTAAATTCCTCGAGAATATTTGCAATTTTTTTCAAATTTCTTGGGTAAATTTTTCAACGGTATTTTTTTGAAAAAAATTTAAATTCCTCGAGAATATTTGCAATTTTTTTCCAATTTCTTGCGTAAATTTTCAACGGTATTTTTTTTGAAAAAAATTTAAATTTCTCGAGAATATTTGCAATTTTTTTCAAATTTCTTGCGTAAATTTTTCAACGGTATTTTTTTGAAAAAAATTTAAATTTCTCGAGAATATTTGCAATTTTTTTCAAATTTCTTGCGTAAATTTTCAACGGTATTTTTTTTGAAAAAAATGTAAATTTCTCGAGAATATTTGCAATTTTTTTCAAATTTCTTGCGTAAATTTTTCAACGGTATTTTTTTGAAAAAAATTTAAATTTCTCGAGAATATTTGCAATTTTTTTCAAATTTCTTGCGTAAATTTTCAACGGTATTTTTTTGAAAAAAATTTAAATTTCTCGAGAATATTTGCAATTTTTTTCAAATTTCTTGCGTAAATTTTTCAACGGTATTTTTTTGAAAAAAATGTAAATTTCTCGAGAATATTTGCAATTTTTTTCAAATTTCTTGCGTAAATTTTTCAACGGTATTTTTTTTGAAAAAAATTTTAAATTTCTCGAGAATATTTGCAATTTTTTTCAAATTTCTTGGGTAAATTTTTCAACGGTATTTTTTTTGAAAAAAATTTAAGTTCCTCGAGAATATTTGAAAATTTTTCAAATTTCTTGCGTAAATTTTCAACGGTATTTTTTTTGAAAAAAATTTAAATTTCTCGAGAATATTTGCAATTTTTTTCAAATTTCTTGCGTAAATTTTCAACGGTATTTTTTTGAAAAAAATGTAAATTTCTCGAGAATATTTGCAATTTTTTTCAAATTTCTTGCGTAAATTTTTCAACGGTATTTTTTTTGAAAAAAATTTAAATTTCTCGAGAATATTTGCAATTTTTTTCAAATTTCTTGCGTAAATTTTCAACGGTATTTTTTTTGAAAAAAATTTAAATTTCTCGAGAATATTTGCAATTTTTTTCAAATTTCTTGCGTAATTTTTTTCAACGGTATTTTTTTGAAAAAAATTTAAATTTCTCGAGAATATTTGCAATTTTTCACATTTCTTGGATAAATTTTCAACGGTATTTTTTGAAAAAATTTAAATTCCTCGAGAATATTTGCAATTTTTCAAATTTCTTGTGTAAATTTTTAAAAAATACCGTAGTTTTATGGTGTACGGTAACACTTGTTCAGCTGTGCGCACCCCGGATTTCCCGCAAATTTCTGCCGACTTTGGACTGCAAAATCCGCGAGATTTGCGGTGTTTCCGAGACTTTGGACGCGACGCTATAGTATTTACACATTTTCAGAACGACGGCGCCGTGCTGAAAGTGGACGAATCGGGACGGATCAACATTGCAAAGATGCGGAACACGCGACCGCTGAAGGAGAAGGTGGAGGACGAGCCGACGCGCGGAGACGACATTCCGGGCGCGCCGGTCAAGAAGAAGAAGAGTGCGGGGACGGCTGCGACGGCGGAGGGCAGCAAGAGCAGTTCCAAGTCGGGAAGCACGAAGAGCGGCACTCTGCGCTCGATTTGAACCGCTTATAAACGATTATTGTGGTCTCGAGTTGCGCGTTCAAAAGCTTTCAGTTTGAATTTTTCGTTTTTTGGTCGATGAGATCTTATTACACATTGGAAACCTGTTCGGGGTGAGTGTGAGTGACTTCAACCTTCGTCACCAGCGTTGACTGTAACCCCTCCTCAGAACCTGTCGCGCTGACTAAACACTCATTACACTCATCTCTTATCACCCAGCCCACATTATCATTCATTCCAGTCGCTTCTTCATCGAAGACGGAATGTCTCTCGCTTCTTCCAAATGGGATACGCTCGCGTTCGCCCTCTCGGCCGCCTGTCTTTCCGCCGGCATCGTCCTTCTCGTCTCGCTTGTCACGTGGCAGAGCCAGATCGCGCGGATCGCCGACGAGGCATTGGTGGAGACGCACCAATTCCAGGAGACGTCCGAACAAATCTGGGATGATTTGATATTTGTGGCCACCGGCGAGCACGATCGGCAGAAACGGCATGCCTGTAAGTTTGCCGTTTCGATATTGGTAGACCTCTTTTTTTCTTGCAGACTTGACCCGCGCACCAATCCTTCCTGTGACTGGTGGAGGATCGCAGTACGCAAACCGTGGACAGACTGTGAACCGCGCGTGCAATTGTAAAGGACCTCAGGGACCGCCCGGAATCGACGGAGAAGACGGATGTGAGTTGTGGGTCGGAAAAACTACGACTTCGAAGGATATTGTGGCTCTTTGAAGTAGGAGAGCTCCTCAATATCACTTCTTCCAAAGGCTACCGCAGCCCAGAGATTTGTTTTAGAAAAACCAAGCATTCACGGAACAATTTCCAGCGGGGTTGGATCCTAAAAATGTTGACAATGTTCATAGCCAACCTTTTTTCCAGACGACGGTGAGCCAGGATCCCCAGGCGAATCGGGCGACGACGACGCCTCCGTGCTCCGCCACGATCCAGGCCGTTGCGCGCAATGCCCAGCGGGTCCAATGGGACCGCCAGGCCCACGAGGAGACTCTGGACCGCCCGGTAGAATTGGATCGCCCGGAATCAACGGAATGCCCGGCAGACCCGGAACGCCCGGATACCCAGGAGAGCCCGGTCTTCCAGGACCAGTGGGCGAGCACGGAGAAGACGGAAAACCAGGAGCTCCCGGACAAAACGGACGGCGCGTTCGAAGACTGCCTGGACCACCGGGACCGCCGGGACCAGAAGGAGATGCGGGCGTTGCCGGAGGCCAAGGAGGACCCGGAGTGGCCGGTGCGCCCGGAGAATCGGGACCGCCCGGAGAGCACGGACCTGAAGGACAAAAAGGAGTGGACGGGGAGCCTGGAGGCGTCGGACTTTCGGGACCGCAAGGGGTCGACGGCGAGTATTGTCCGTGTCCGAAACAGGCGAAGAAGAGTGTTTTTGTGTGATATATTGATAATCCGCATAAAGTTTCCATCCAACACAACCTGGTCGTATGCCCAAAGTGCCAGTTAACTCGATTGTTTCTGCGAACTGGAAACCCCCTTATTTTCGGAAAATCCAATTTTCAGTCACGCTTTGCTCGCGATGTTTGGCTTTTTGTGAAAAAGAAACTCTCTCCGTCCATCCATCAAAATGCAACCATTCTTCGTTCCGAACATCTCCGACGAAAACGATCCGATCCATTTCGAGTGCGACGACTCGTTCGACGCCAATTCGGAGGTGCTCAAATATTTCGTTCAATTTCTGTATTTATGCCTCGGCGCCTACCTCAACTCTGCCATTCTCTACACACTTTTAATCAAACAACGCGAGACCCTTCTGGCCAACTCGTTTTTCGTGCTTTTCGCGATGGATTCGGGCGTCGTACGTTTTTCGTTTGTCAAAAATGTTGAAATGTTTTATTTGTTGCAGAGTCTGACGCTCATCCTCACCGACGTTTGTTTCGCGCGTCTCTTCATCTACTTCACGCCGCTGTGCCCGGCGCTGCGCGGCTACTTTGCCTCTCCGCTGCTCGCCTTCAAACTCGTCATGATCGTGATCCACCACTCGAAGGTGTGCAAATCGGTGCTGCAATCGCTGCTCGTGCTCAACCGCATGACGTGTGTCCTCGTGCCGATCCGACACTCGGCCACGTGGCGCCGCTCGCTGCCCTATCTCGTTCCGTTCGTCGTCCTCCTTCCGCTCACCGTCGACTGGAATCTCGTCATCTCGCGTGCGTACATGATGCCGACGTACGGAGGATTTTGGGTGAATTACATTAAAAAAGTCGCCTGGGTTAGTTTCATGGATCGGATGGCCTAGAATCGGGTTTTTGAGTATTTCTAGGCCACGCAGTCTCGATTCCAACTCTTTTTCCTTCTGATCGCCCTCGCTTTCACCGTCATTTGCACTTCCGTCACTTTGTACACGCTCGTCATGCTTCCCAATCGACTCCGAGGCATCGAACGGTCAATTACCATCGCCACTGCACTCATTTCTGCCGCTTTCACTACGGTAGCTGTTTTTCCAGGTACGGGGGTGTATTAAAGGTGGTGTCAACGTGACATACAACATATTTTTAAAATAAACTTCGAAGTGGGGCATTCACTTTCCCGAAGTCCCGAATTACGAAAAAAATTCCCCGATTTTTAAGATTTTTTTCAAAAAAGTTAATGGTACCGAGAGAAGTACACGGCGAAATCGAAGAGCCGGCCTAGATTTTTCTAGTCCCCGGATGGAATTCCCCTTTTTTTCGATTTTTTTCTGTTTTCGTGCAATTTTCTTAAATTTTCAATCGTTTTTTCACTGAGCACACATATTTGCAATATTTAAAAAAATTTATGATTTTTTTTCTGTGCCGTGACGCCAAAAAAATCGATAATCTGAAACTTTCAAAAATTCAGCAAAAATTCAGAAATTCAGCCACTTTTTGTAAAAACTCTATTTATTTTTTTCAGCGCGCAAACCGAAGATTGAGCGAAAAAAACCCGGAAAAAAACAACAAAAAAAGTTTCAGATTATCGATTTTTTTGGCGTCACGGCACAGATAAAATTATAAATTTTTTTAAATATTGCAAATAAGTGTGTTCAGTGGAAAAACGATTGAAAATTTAAGAAAATTGCATGAAAACGGAAAAAATTCGGAAGAAAAGGGAATTCCATCCGGGGACTTGAAAAATCTAGGCCGGCTCTTCCATTTCGCCGTGTACTTCTCTCGGTACCATTAACTTTTTTGAAAAAAATCTTAAAAATCGGGGAATTTTTTTCGTAATTCGGGACTTCGGGAAAGTGAATGCCCCACTTCGAAGTTTATTTTAAAAATATGTTGTATGTCACGTTGGACACCACCTTTAAATGAGTCTCATCATTTTTCAGATCCTCTTCTCATTCTTCTCCTACAACACGATCGTCACTTCGATATTCGCCCTCAACAATTTCGTCTACGATTTTTTGAACGTCGGGTCGGTTGTGTTGCGCTCCCTTTAAACCTAGCGTAATCTCCACATTTTCAGATCGCCAATAGTAATGCTCGGCGTCAGCAAAAGTGTTCGGCAAAGTGTTTTCAGTTGGAAAAAACGCGTGGAGCTCCGAAATTCGCAGATTTTTCCAGTCTCTGTCACCAGTACGATATAATAATGGTTTGACTATAAAACATTTATTACGCTTTTTCGCCCACACTGCTTCTGAATGAGTCGCACACTTCCGAACACACTTTTTATTCTAAAAACGAAGAGGTTTCGAGAAACGAATCGACTTTATTTTGACCTGGATCGAATTGTGAAAAAGCTTTCGTCGTCGAGTTTTTTCAACGAAAATGTGTGCTTTCGAAGCGAACTGCTCACGCAAATCATCACGAGCGGCGAGCTGAAATTAAATGAAAAAAATTAACGTTGCATCACGGTCTCCAGAGCTGACAATATGGGCGTGGCCTCTCTGGGAACTCGATCGCAATCTAATTAGAAAACTTTGCAATCTAATACGAACTCGTTTGAAATAGAATTTGCTTCAATTAGATTGCAATTTTTCTTATTAGATTGCAATTCAGGAAAAATATATTGTAATCTAATACGATTTTACTGGAACTTCTATTAAATCTGATTCGATTGCGAAATAGAGCTTTTTCTTATTTGATTGCAATCGATTTTCTAGAGCTCGGCCAAATGGCGTTTTCATGAATTGAGCAGGTTTTCTCTGATTTTTGTGGTCAACGACCAGGGGTGTGCGGAAAATATTTCGATTTTCCGAAATTTTCCGATTTTCCGAGAAATTTTCGGAAAATTTTCCGAAAATGTTCGGCAAAATTTTCGGAAAATTAGTGTGGATTCAAGGTCAATTTGTCCGAAACCACCGTATGCTTTTTAAAGGAAAAAAAAAATTCACAGCTTCCACGGAAAATTTTTCTGTACTCCCGCAACGACTGCAGAAACGGAGCGACTCTTTTCAACCGCGCGTCTTTCTCACTGACAATCGGAAAACACTGGACCCGGAGAGCTTCTCTCGGCTAATTTTTTTGCAAAAAAATATTCCATTGCTTGGCTTCCGCCCACTCAAGTGATTTCAAATCATAATAAGCATTTTTTTGTATTAGAACGTTGTTTAAACACTTTATTGAACCAATGAACAAGTGAGTTTTCCGATTTTTCCGATTTTTCCGAAATTTTCCGAAAAAAAAATTCGGAAAAACCGATTTTCCGAAATTTTCCGAAAAAAATTTTCCGCACACCCCTGTCAACGACGATGAAAAATGATTGTCCGACATAAAAACACACTAATTCTCCGAATTAATGACGTTTTGGCGCTCATTTTTCGCGGACTTTGCTTTTTCGCCGATCACCGCCTAAAAACATCTCATTTTACGCTTTCTTGACCGTTTTCAGACAGAATTGGTTTTGAAAATGATAAATCACGTAAATACAAGCATTTTGAGCGCTCGAACCGCGAAAACTACCGAAAAGCAACTGAAATTCACGCAGTTTTAGCCAAAAACCTTCAAACGGATAAATGTGATTTGCGACTTGACCAAATTTAACGCTCTTGCGCTTAAAAAATTCGTAATAGCCTATACAATCGGTGTATCGAGAGATAAATGAGAAATTATCGATTTTTCGTAGCTAATCTGGCAAAAAACACAAATTTTGCTGTTAAAATTTGAATTTCGCGCCAATGTATCGGGGCGCCCATTGTCAGCTCTGGAGACCGTGCGTTGTGTTACCCGATATTCAGGAAATCAAAGGTCAAAAAGCTGAAGCCGTAGACAGGACTCGAAGCGTCCGTGTAGGTGAAGAAAAAACTGTAGTAGATCTGGAAGTGTTCGGCTTTTTTTCGTTAATTCAGAGCAAAAAAAACCTGAAAAAGAGCGGTGCTGGTGAATCCGACGGAAATGATGAGATTCGCATAGGTGATCGACCTCTCCAATTCCTTAATTCTCTCGGGTAGTCTGATGAGAGTGATGAGAGTGATGACGGTACAAACGGCGGTGAAGGTGAGGGCGATGACGATGAAAACGAGCTGGAAACGCGATTGGCTCGCCTGCAAATAGTCCAACAATACTCCAATGAAATCAACAAAAAGCTCACTCACGTACCCAACTAACTTTTTTGATGTAATTCATCCAGAAGCCGCCGTACGTCGATTGCATATAAACACGGGAGATGGCGAGATTCCAGTCGACGGTGAGCGGAAGGAGGACGACGAACGGAACGAGATAGGGCAGCGAGCGGCGCCACGTGGCCGAGTGTCGGATCGGCACGAGGACACACGTCATGCGGTTGAGCACGAGCAGCGATTGCAGCACCGATTTGCACACCTTCGAGTGGTGGATCACGATCATGACGAGTTTGAAGGCGAGCAGCGGAGAGGCAAAGTAGCCGCGCAGCGCCGGGCACAGCGGCGTGAAGTAGATGAGGAAGCGGGCACACAGGCCTTCGGTTAGAAGGAGCACGGTGCTCTGCTCGGTAAAAGCCCGCAACTTTCACGCAAAAGTAAGGGCTCTCGCAACTTTTACACAAAAGTAGGCAGCCTCGCAAAGTTTGCACAAACTTTAAAAACTCCGCAAAGTTTGCGCAAAAGAAGGGAATCGTTCGAAATGTTTTGCGTCATGCAGCATACCTGCAGTAATTTTTAATGTTTTTCTCACGTTATACGCGTAATTTTTACATTGTTCTCGCTTATTTACTGGTTTTTCGATTGTAAAGTGCATCTAAATAGAATGTCTGCTTTTTCTAGACGGGTTGACAAACGATTTTGTCTGTTCGGATTCGAAGTCGACTAATATCCGCGGCACCGACTCGATTTCGTGAACATTTCGTGAAAAGTAACAGAAGAGTATGACTGAAACATGGTTCCGTAGACCTGCATTCGTTCGAAAAAGGCAGATTCGTGAGTTTCAATGAAACGAAAATGAAAAATGGGAAAAAGGTAATGTTTCAGAAGAATCTATAGACGTTTTCAACAGCACGTATCCGCAACGTCAGGAAAAACGCGAAATTCGTGTCAATGGGCGAGATGGTCAGTGGTACTTTCGCAGAATAGTATTAATACCGCTCTACCATGTACTAAATGAATTCCGTGGCAAATTGACAAAAGTAAAGAAGGAAATGAGGGATTGCGGTAGAACGAAAAATCCAGAGTCTCAAACAAAACCGATCATATTGAACTAAACATGGCACATTACAGGAACAGAAAACGGCTGCACTTCTCGCGAGGATGACCGGCAAGGAGAATCGTTTAATTCGAACCCGAACGTCGAACAGTTGGCGAATTCAGAAGACGATGACATCTTGGAAGGTAAAACTGGTGGTCACATGTTGTAACTTCTCAATTTTCTGTATGTTATTGTTAATGTAATTTCAAAGACGGAAACAGTTAGTTAGTGTTACGTAATACTGATAGAGAAAGGTAAAAGTTCAAGATGTTTCACGAGAAGATCGCAGTTGTACACCCATTTGGGAAACCGTGGACGGATCACTGGGTTCGTTTTCCATCAGAGGCATTCGATGAACGTTTGATCAGCCAGGGAAGACGCCTTAAACTACGTCACATCAGTTTTCGTGTTCAATAACATCTCGTTTAATTTGGGAAAAGACATTTTCGCAATTTCTAAAGTCCTGCGATCGTACCCAGACATTACTGTGAGTTCTCGGATAATAGCAAATAGGGCTAACGTATTCTTCAGCTTGCCGAAGTGCGTAAATTGGAGAATGAGTGGGCTGACTTTGATAATCGAGTTTATTCTTGCTGCGTTAGCTGCAGCACACTCTTATCGGATGATAAGAAACAGACTTGCCAGATTTCGGGCCGGCCATGCGGGCCGGCCCGGGTCGGCCCGGGCCGGGCCGGGCCGGGCCGGTAAAGTGCCGGCCCGGGCCGGGCCGGGTCGGTGAAGTGCCGGCCCGGCCCGGCCCGATCGCCCGGCCCGGCCCGGTCGGCCCGGTTCAAAAAGGCGGGAATTCAAATTTTTCGCGGAAATTTTTCGTTATTACAAAAAAATTTTTCGAACTAAAGTTTTAGTGTTTCTTCTTTGTTTTTTTGCTATTATGAATTTTTTTATGAGAAATACATTTGTTTTTTTCAATTTTCGATGCTTGCAAAAAAACCCCTAATTCTACAAAAAAATGGCTTCATGCGATCAATTATTCAAATTTTGAATTCCCGCTTTTTGAACCGGGCCGACCGGGCCGGGCCGGGTCGGGCCGGGCCGGGCCGGGCCGGGCCGGAGTTTTGGAAATTTCGGCCCGGCCCGGCCCGGCCCGGCCCGGCCCGTGGCAACTATGATAAGAAATGTCGGAATGCGACTTGCCAACGGTTCATGCTCAGTCAATCTAATTTAGCTGGCGTCAAAACGATGATCACCTTTTCCATTCGCGAGCAAATTCAAGAATTACTGAACCACGGAGTTTTCGGTGCCTCGCTGCTGGTAATGTGTGCTCATATTAATTCTTCCCAAAAATATATACACAGACTCGCGAATCGGGCCAATCACAACTTTCTCGGCGAACATGTGACACTCCGAAGTATAAGCGACATTTGCGCCATTATAAATCCGAGAACCCCGACAAGTTGACTTTGTTATTGTCGTTAAATATCGACGGCTTCCGAAAGAAAGGATGTTCTAGGTTTCTAGCGCCCCTCCTCAAATATTCTGAAGTCTTTTTCATTCAGAGGCGAAATCTGGCCGCTGTTCATTGCGGCGCATGATGTTCACGAGGGATGTGGGAGTACCGGGAGACAATCAACCCCGAAGTTCATTTTGCAATTGCTCAATCGCTGTAAGTATTGCTTTTCTTTTGACTGCTCTAATAAGAAATTCAACAGGCGTAACCTTCGAACGCACCACCTCGATGTCGAGTCAGGAGAACTTGTCCCATGCACGGTGAGTACTTCCTTTCGAATGGAAAATTGTAATGATAGGTTTCAGGGAAGACTGAACTGCGTGGATCACATCCGTTGGGACGCGGCGAAACGCTATCGCAAGAGCTGCAGGTTCAAACGAATCAACGACGACATTTCCGACGCGCACATGCTGTGGAGAAAGTACGGCTGCGTGCAATCATTTCTTCATAAGTTAATAATTTCAGACTGAACGAAGAGTGCGTGGAGCAAAGAGAGGCAGAATTTGAAGAAGAACTGGATGCTGAGGGCCAATCACCGAGCAATGACTACATTAATCACATATTCCAGAACGGAGAAGATTAAATACTTTTTCTCTCAATTGTTCCTCATAATCATAATGTTCTGCTATGGTTTTCTTGTATGAACTCTTGTTTTTTTTCGTTATTTACTACATAAACGAGAAGATGAATCAGGGCAGTATTCAGGGGCATACATTTAATACACAACTTTGGCGCTAACTCTACGCAAACTTTGCGCTAACCTCACGCAACTTTAGCGCTAACTTCACGCAAAGTTTGCGCACTTTAAGAATAGACTTTGCGTGAAGTTAGCGCTAAAGTTGCGTGAGGTTAGCGTAAAAGTTGCGGGCTTCTACCGAGTGGAATCGGAAAATGTGTGCTCTTCATCTTGTAGAATGAATAGACGCTCTTCGCGAACCGAACTAGGAAAAAGTAATCGAATCGTTTGAAACAAACAAGACAGTTGCGAAATGGGTCTATTCAAACCGATAAACCTCATTTGTCGGTGGAGAAATCAAAAAGTTGTCAACTGATAAATTGTTCATTAAAACATTGTGCACATTTTGTCAGTTGATCACTTTTCGATATCTCCACAGACAACTTTACTATTTCGCGTGGCCCCCGAAGGCTACGAAACCGGAGCACAGATTTGGGACACTGATAAGCGATGGCACGAAAATAGGAAAAGAGCGGACTGCCGCCAGTACTGAACAGTCAAGATGGGCGTCGCGGTGAGTAAAGTCGTCGAGTAAGTAGCATAAAATCAGCAGAAATTGAAGAAGAATGTTCAGAAAGCCGGTGAAAAGTCTTCAAGCTGCCTCGAAACTTCGCTCCAAGAGCCTGATGGGACCGAGCAAAGTGGAGGCGGTGAGCAAGGAGGGACCGCCGAAAGTCAAATCGAAATATGACGTCGTCTCCGGAGGCATCGATGGCAAGAAGGCGTTCGAATGATACTCAGAATGAAGCTTTTGATTCAACTTTCGAGTCCAGTTGGAGCGAAGCTCTTTTTCATGGGAAAACAGGTCTAAAGGACTAGCGATTATGCGCGTGTTGTTGTTGTTTTTTTTTTCGCTCACCTTTTTCACAAATCGTGAAATCAGCTCTTTTTTAAGCGTTTTTCATCTTTTTCATTGCTCAAACTTCAAAAACAGCCAAAAAAACGACATAGCAAAATTGAGCCCTTCCTCAAACCCCACTCGCCCACTTTTTGGGAATTTTATTTTTTTTAGATTTTTTAGATGTCTGAAAATTATCATTCATGATTACACGGGACGTTCAGTATTCCGGTCAATACGATGCGACTCAAAGAGCTGCTATACAACTTCTTCCATCATTTTTCCACTGATAAGCGAAAATTGCGCCAGAGAGGAGAAGCCTTACTACTGGCGCAAGTGCGCCCCGACGAATAGAGCGATACATTGGCGCGAAATTTAAATTTTAACAGCAAAATTTGTGTTTTTTGCCAGATTAGCCATGAAAAATCGATAATTTCTCATTTGTCTATCGATACACCGGTTGTATAGACTATTACGAATTTCTTAAGCACAAGAGTGTTAAATTTGGTCAAGTCCAGGGCTGGGCAAATGGCCGGCCATGGCTGGCCAATGAAAAGCCCTGGCCGGGCTAGTTGCAAGCGCGCTCCACTGCAAAAAAGCCTTGGCCGGCCAATGGTACGGTAAGCAATTCGGTTCACTGAGCGGTGTTTGCACACAAAGCATTTTAAATAAAGAAAAAAACGTGTTTTCGAAAGGGTTTTCCTTTTTTTCTAAGTTTTTTTCACTTCATGATCAAATATTTTTCACAGAAAAAAATGCTCTATTCGATGAATTCGATTCATAACGTTGTTCCCATACATTTTTCTTTCGTTTCGTTCTCATGCATCTCGTTCTCGTTAATTCTGTCGTTTTCTTTTTATTTTTTTCTCTTCACTTCTGCTAATTTTCGAAATTTGTCAGCTTTCATTTCATCGAAATTTAATTCACTTACTTTCTTTTCACCTTTTTTCTACTTTCAAGCATGTCTTCTTCTCATTTTAAAATAATTTCTTCGATTTTTTCTTTATTTAAAATGCTTTGTGTGCAAACACCGCTCTGTGAACCGAATTGCTTACCGTACCATTAGCCGGCTTTTTTGCAGTGGAGCGCGCTTGCAACTAGCCCGGCCAAAGCCTTGGCCGACCGCTGGCCAGCCAAGGCCGGCCAATGTTTTGCCCAGCCCTGGTCAAGTCGCAAATCACATTTATTCGTTTGAAGGTTTTTGGCTAAAACTGCGTGAATTTCAGTTGCTTTTCGGTAATTTTCGCGGTTCGAGTGCTCAAAATGCTCGTATTTACGTGATTTATCATTCTCAAAACCAATTTTGTCTGAAAACGGTCAAGAAAGCGCAAAATGAGAAGTTTTTGGGCGGCGAAGGCGAAAAAGCAAAGTCGGCGGAAAATGAGCGCCAAAACGTCATTAATTCTGTGAGAATTAGTGTGTTTTCATGTCGAACAATCATTTTTCATCGCCGTTGACCACAAAAATCAGCGAAAACTTGCTCAATTCATGAAAACGCCATTTGTCCGCCGAGGCCACGCCCATATTGTCAGCTCTGGAGACCGCGTGCAACGGAACATTCAACCCGCGAAACTTTCTGGCCTCTCGTTTGTTTGGAACTAAAAAGTCGGAATCAAAAGAGCATGTTCTAACTGAAGTTGAACTATATTTTCTAGAAATGCGCACCAAACCTACGATTAGCGCCGAACTGTGTTAGTCTTGTAAGACCAATGGTTCAAGATTCAAAGCGACAAATGATGGAGTAGTTTCGCACTTTCAATGCACTTTTTTTCAAACTCTTTTCCTAAAAACAGAAGAGAACTCACCACAGCACAATCCATGGAGAAGAGAACGAAAAACGAATTGGAGAGGTACGTCTCGCGGTACCGCTTCCAGATGGTCCACAACAACGCCGAATTCAGTGCGATGCCGAGTAGGAGGTACACGAATTGGAGACCGAATTTGACGAGTTCTCGAGTCTCCTCATACTCCGCGTCGCACTCCACAGGCATCGGATCGATGTCGGTGTTGGAAGAGTTGACGGAGAAATCCGACATTGTTAAGGGCTTAACGAGGTGAAAAGCGGCATTCACGGCAAGAAAGAAAAAGTTGGGAAGGCGAAAAAACGTGCGAGTGGATAATATTCATAAACTATTATTATGTTCTCCTCTCTCCCTCTCGCCTCAACAATAACTGCCCATTATCGTGTTCCGCAGCATTTTCGGAGAAATTGCGCTAAAAGTCACGCTGTTTGGAAGTGCTCGGAATTGAACTTTTGGATAGGAAACAGTTCAGGGACCAAACAATTTAGTTCGAACATTGAACATTCGCAAAATTAGGCCTAGGATCGAGCAGATGAAAAATTTCAGCAGTAGTGCGTGTAGTTTGTTGTCCAAACCCGTCTCGGGATGTTTCATCTGACCTACTGACAAGTTTTTGGGACCACCCAAACATAGAGTTTAAGAAAAAACAATTATTAATTACGAAGTTGCAAAAAAAAACGGATTAGTCTTTTGGAAAATTGACAAAACTCTTTTGGACATGAAACTACATGAAATGGACATGAAAAGACGACTAGCTCTAACCGGAAATTGTTCAGAAAATAGCAGAAAAATTGTTAAGTAAAACGTAGTTTCAAGCAGGATAGATAAAATGGTTGGGGGGGAGAGCCGGATCAACCGGAAATAGTGACAAATGAGGGGGAAGGATGAATATTAATGAAATGAAATGGCATGATGACAAGATTTAGGTAAATTTTTGTATGTTTTCACATAAAATTGTTAGTTTTTCTTTGAGCTGTGTTTGCGGACGAGTTCGATCGCCCGGATACTGTCCTCTTTTTCCTTGATGAGCTGCTGAACACGCTCCCGATGCTTCTTCTCCATATTGTACTGGTCCGCCTTGAGACTGCTGATCTGAAAATAGGAATTTATATCTTCCGATGTTTTCCGTCGATTTACCTGTTTATCCTTATCGAAAATAAGTTGATCCTTGTCCTGAATGACCGATTTGAGGCGTCGAATCTCGTCCTCCATCTTCTGCTGCTTCACCATACTCTCGCCGTGATCTCCGTTCGCAAACGGCAAAAATGCGCCGAACGCGCCGCCGTTTTCGTTGTTCGGCGCCAAAGGATCGGCTGGTGCGGTCGATGGGACCGCCGGAGCACTGGAGGTCCCGTGCGATGTCTCTTCGTGCCGCCGTTTCCGATCTTTCCGATCTTTGTGATCTCTGTGATCTTTATGCTCCTTGTGGTCCTTGTGATGATCTTTGTGATGATCTTTGTGATCCTTGTGACGATTTTGCGAAGAGGAGGAGTGTTTGTGATGGTGTTTCTGATCCTTCGGATCCCGACGGTGATGATCCGACGAGGATCCGGATGAAGAGGGCTTTTCCGGGGGCACCGGAACGCCTGCCACGACGGTTTGGTTCGTGTGACGGGCTTGGAGAATGCACAGGCGACAGAGAATTGACGAACCTTCCACCTGCCAGAAAATTAAGGTTTAGTAGCAAAAATCAGACTTTTTTCGGAAAAAATTCGTGTCTATTACTGTTTTTTTTTAAATTTTTCTATCAATTCAGCCCTTTTTCCCTCGTTCACAAACCTTGTCACGATCGTGTCTTGGGAATGCGCATCGTAATTTGCAATTGGCGCACGGGAACGGTATTCCGAACTTGCGTTCGGCGTGCGAGCACCACACACATCGTTGATCGTGAAAAGCGGCGTTCAATTTGCAGTATTGACATGTTCCCGGCTGAAAATTTGAATTTTTCGCAACATTTCGCAATTTTTTCGCGAAAAATCGGTAATCCGACGAACCTTTCCGTACTTTTCCTCATTTTTCTTGCATTTTGCGCATTGGGCGAGGCTGAAAACTGTGGAAATTAGCGAAAAATCGATAAATGGCGTGGCTCACCTGAGCGCGTCGTCCGGCAGTTGCATTCGACAATTGAAGCACTTTTTGAGTATCGGGCCCGGCATTTTCGGATTTTCAGCAAAATTTCTCGCGAAATCGGCGTCGAGAGTGGCGGAGACGTCAGAGAAGAGGCGGAGAGTCACAAGAAGAGAACGGCGAAAAAAAAAGCGGCGGAAAGTGTGCAAACACCGTCACGGTATGGGTGCGCACAATGCGGGCGATTTTACGACAACTTGGAGAAATGGGGTTTTGGAGTGCACTCGAGTGTACAAATGACGGAATAAAAGAAAAAAAACGCTTTTTGCAGTATGCTTAAGCAGAACGTGCCTTCAGATTGTCAAAATTCAAACAATGTAAAATGTGCGGCCCCCTGCACCCGACTTTCCGAGGCGTCGTTTTGCTTATTCTGCCAACCTAATTGCAAGTGTGTATTTCCGCCGCTGTAAATGTGGGTGAGCTTATTTTTATTACAATTATGTACATGTACTTTTTCGAACAAAAATAATACAATTTATTCCGAAATTTTTCGCTGTCGATGACTGGTCGGCGGATGGCTCACAATTCGCTCGGGCGGCGCCGAAATTCGTCCGGAAACGTGCTGAAAAATGAACAATGCAATTTTTGGCACTTAAAACTCGGTACCTCATAATAGCACTCGGCCAGCTGCTCTCGAATGCGGGCTCTTGTGCTGAAATGCTCCAAATCCCGTTCGGCCGTCAGAATATCGATCGCGTTTCTCGTGATTGCATCATCCGGACGCGTCAGCACAATGCAAACGTCGCCAATCTGCGTAGAATTTGAATTTCAGAAAGAAAAGCAATTTTTGAATTACCTCCAACATGGAGCAGTCGAGTCCGTAACTTTCTCCGCATTTCGGTGGACTACAGCTGCACCAACCTCTGCCGATCACGAAAAACGGATGCTCGATTTGGCATTTCAAGGGAATCTGAAAATGCAAATACGCTCTATTGAAGTACTTGCGCGGCAATTCAGAAAACCGACCTGTGCGCGCTCGAGTCCGGTCTCAAAGACGAGAATGGCGCTTCCGGGCGACGTGATCGTTATCGATTTGACAATCGAGGCGTTGACGAGCACGTCTTCCGACTCTCCGGCGCATTTCAGAAAGTCGTCGCTGCTCAGATCCTCGACCCGCTTCACAGGACCGTTCGGAATCTGAAGAAGGGTGCCGCGCATGTGGTGCGTCGGCATAAAGTCCTCGTTCGGAATCTGACCCATCACAAACTCAATGTCCGGTTCGGTTTCCGCCGATTTCTCGTCGATTTCCTCGGTTTTTATGCGTTTTTCCTGTTTTTGAGGCGGCTGCGAGGCTGCCGGCGTCGGCGGTTGTGGAGGACAGCAACATGAGGTCGGTGCGGGGGCCGACGGCGCCGGAGGACACGAGAACGACGCCGGCGTCGGGGCGAACAGTGGAGCGGACGTTGGCGGAAGAGGCGGCAGGTACGGCGGCAGGTAGTTGGTCTGTAATTGGCTATCGACACAATATAGTTTTTGCTGTTGAAATCGCCTAATTTTTTAAAGATTTCAAAGACACAGCACGCGATTCGAATAATACTGAGCCTTCATTAACGTTCGCTTCGGGTTTCGCCAACAAAAACGCGTTTGTCACTAATTTTCCCCTCAAAATCGATAAACTCACCGGTCCGACGGGGTTCAGAACGGGCGGGAAGAGTGCGGGTGTCTGCGGCAAACGGACGTCTCTCGCCTGTTGACAAGCGAGTAGAAATTGCCAAAATTCCGGGGAAATTGGCTGATTTGCCGGGAAATTGTTCATTTTCCGACCGGCGCGAAACGTGCAAAGTGGTCGACTGAATTTATCTTATCATTTTTTACTCTTCTATCGATTTTGCGGGCGCTTATCACTTTGATGTCGTCGGTTTGATAGCGGCTCCAAATGACGAGTTCTAGAATTGTTCGGAAAATGCGCCAAAGCGCCGCGTTGACGCGTTTTCGGTTTCTTCGCTGAAAATTAATCAAATCGATTGTTTCCATCAGTTGTTGCAGATATTTGCAATTTTTGCTCAAAAAGGTTCATTCCGGACGGGAAATCAATAAAAAAGACAACTAAAATCACAAGCACGGACCGGTTCTAGAACAAATTAAAGAAAAATGGGTTAGAATTCGTCCAAACGAATTTCCAGCGAGCCCGTCGAATGGGCGGTGCTTTCGGGTATTTCGCCCGAAAATATTATCAAATCGTCGACGGATAACTGCAGAAAATAGAGAATACAGTAAATAGAAACAAATTGCAACTCACCGAAATGTGTCGGACGCCTCTTTGGGGCGTCTTTCGATAGTTGTAAATGATAATTTTGGAAATGTAGGTGGGCACGTCGAACACGAAAAAGACACGGGCACAACGGTTCGGCAGGAGGGCGGTCAGCCACATGTGCTTGGCGCTGAACATTTTTATTCAAATTTCTGTTGGTTTAAGTCCAACTCGTTTCACTCACACATCCGTATCATTTGGCTGCGTAATCAGGTTATTCGAAGTCCTTGGGTCTCCGCGAATATTCGGAAGAATGTTGATACTTTCCGGAAACGCCGCCAGGTCTGCAAATTTTTTCTTAGGCAATATGATCATAGAACACTATAGAATTGGCATATTTTTTATTGAGCACATTTTGAAACACTAAGAAAAATTTCTGCCTGGACTTTTGAGCCACTTGTAATAATCGGATCGGGCCAGAACTTTGCAGGCTTCTTGGACACGGATTGAAGTATGTTGGGACCGAATTTCAGACCGATCGGATCATCCGGTCCCGAGATATACCAGTTTGAGGCCGAAAAGGACAGGGTTTTTGCGAAAATTGTGGCCTTTTCGGCCTCCGATCCACACTTGGACGCGGTTTAGGCCCGATCGGATAATTCCAAGTCGGTCAAAAGTCCAGGTGTTCGCTGTATGGTACCACTAGAACAGGACTGAAACTGACTGTGCTCTCTGATCCGAATGAGTTCGCCTTTCCGATTGTAGAGCTCGATTCCGTTGAGACCAATGTAGTACTCGTCGCCCCAAGTGGACAATAGTCGGATCTGGTACACAACTGCAAAACGAAACAATGTTCTCTAGACGACGTACACGCGATTATCGATTTTTCGTGCGGCACCCGTATAATTCTGTCTGAAGAAAATGTTCAACTCACATCCGCCAATGTGATACTTGTTCAAGTTGATCGCATTCGCCGCGATTTCGAGTGCGGCCGGCTCCATCAAAATGTCCTGAACGTAGTCGAAATAGACGAATCCGGTGGCTTTTCGCAGCATCACATGGTGCATCAGCGGCTTTCCGTTCACATAAAAGCGCACGAGTTTGGCGCCCGCGTAGGACATTTCGAACGACGAATTGTAGTTCCAGACCGAGACGGCTTTGAGCGAAACGGGCGAGTGGAAGGTGAGCGAGAGGGTGACCGGGTGTTTCGGGTCGAACGGGACCAGCCACATGTCCTCCGGGTTACGCGTCAGGTTACGGCCGTTGAACAGTCTGCAATCAACAAAGACATTTTCAAATGACAACAACTTTTGAAACGCAAAAAAAACCTGACGGCACGGTCTCCAGAGCTGACAATATGGGCGTGGCCTCGGCCAAATGGCGTTTTCAAGAATTCAGCACGTTTTCTCTGATTTTTGTGGTCAACGGCGATGAAAAATGATTGTTCGACATGAAAACACACTAATTCTCACAGAATTAATGACGTTTTGGCGCTCATTTTTCGCGGACTTTGCTTTTTCGCCTTCGCCGCCCAAAAAATTCTCATTTTGCGCTTTCTTGACCGTTTTCAGACAGAATTGGTTTTGAGAATGATAAATCACGTAAATAAAGCATTTTGAGCGCTCGAACCGCGAAAATTACCGAAAAGCAACTGAAATTCACGCAGTTTTAGCGAAAAACCTTCAAACGGATGAATGTGATTTGCGACTTGACCAAATTTAACGCTCTTGCGCTTAAAAAATTCGTAATAGCCTATACAATCGGTGTATCGAGAGACAAATGAGAAATTATCGATTTTTCGTGGCTAATCTGGCAAAAAACGCAAATTTTGCTGTTAAATTTTTTTTGAAATTTTGCTGTTAAAATTTATCAGCTCTGGAGACCGTGCGACGCGTACTTGGCCAACGGCTCGACACTTCCATCGGAAGAGGTGACGGTGAATCTGGACTCGTCGACAATCTGATTCCGCTCGTCCACAATCTCCAGACCGGTCAGGCCGATCAGACCGTCCATTCCCCAGTTGGAGGCCAGTTCGATGTGCAGCACTGGAAAAACAAATTTTTGTAGGCTCTTCTCTCTCTCTCTCTCTCTCTCACCCTTGACATCGTGTCGATAAGCGGTGGGCGGGGGCGGGGGCGGCGGATCCTGGCCGAACTTTGGAAAAGTCGTGGGAGCAGTGACGGGAGTGCTCGGCGCGTCCTTCGTCTCGCACGTGGACGGGCGGTACGGAGTGAGGTGCTCCGATTTGAGCAGCAGCATTTCAACGTGGGGCACGTGCTCCGGATGCTCGAGCAGACACACGTCGTGCATCGCAATCTGCTCCAGAATCGATTCGGACGTCGTGAACAGCACCGTCTGCAAGATGGTAGTGCGAAAGGTTTTTGCACGCATCCAACGAGCACACCTCTCCCATGAGCGGAGTGAATTCCGAGTCGGCCGAGAAGGCGCACTCCAATTCTCCCCTAAAAATGCCCTTCCCGTCGAGGTACATTTCCACGTGACGGACGCCGATTTGTGCGTGCACTCGCGAGGCGTTGTAGTTCTAGAGACAAAAAAAAAGCAGAGCGGATTACTGTAGGTCCATTTGTGTGCAAACACTTTCTCACCCAAAATCGCACGAGCGCAAACTGCGTCACATTCTTCATCTCCATCGTGATTATAATCGGCTGCCGAGACGAATTCCTCTTCGCACACCACATTTTCTCCGTGTCTTTACAGTGCAACTGCTCGACGAGCAACGACTCCAAATGGCCGCTGAACTCTGACGCGTTCGTCGTGATCTGTGTGTGTTTGTATATATGCACATCAGAGATGTTGGGAATAAAAATTTTACTCTACGGAACACGGAACACGGAAAACGGAAAATTTTTTTTACGGAACACGGAACACGGAAAACGAAAAAAACTTATTTCTACGGAACACGGAACACGGAAATTTTTTTTTTACGGAACACGGAAAAAAGCGTTTTCAAGAGAATTCCAGTGATTTTTTTAAAAAGAATGTTTTGTTTAATTCGATTATCTGACTGACAAGGCAGCTGTTTGACTCATGTGAAAGTTTTACTGAAAATTTCATAAAAATAACAAAACCAACAACACAGCAGTAAAAAACGACTGAAAATGGAATCCACTTTTCACGAATATGGTCCGAATCCGAAAATTTTCAAATTTTGACCACAAAACGTCAATTGTCCTAATCAAAATAATAAGGAAAAAAATAAAATTTGTGATCGAATTTTTCCGCGGAAAATATAGTTTATACGGAACACGGAACACGGAAAACGGAAAAAACGTATTTCTACGGAACACGGAACACGGAACACGAAATTTTTTTTTTTACGGAACACGGAACACGGAAAAAATATTGCAAAAAAACGCGGAACACGGAACACGGAATTCCCAATCTCTGATGCACATGAAAGTTTCAAAATCATTCTCACCCTGTCCACGTGGGCCCGTTCGCCTGTCGCCGTGAACATTTCCACCGAATTGAGACCGATGAAATTCGGGTCGCCCCAGTTGGAGAGCAGTCGAAATTCGAGCACTTTTCCCTCCGGCAGCTCTGGGATTGTGCTAGAAGAGAGTTGGTTTGAAAAATTGAAGAAAAAAAAATGAAATGAAACTCACATCTCGTCAGTGTCCTCCTCCGCCGCTTCGGTTTCATCCAACAACTGAAGGTCCCGCACGTGTCCGTTCAGCTCTTCGACAGAGTCATTTCGACGGTCCGACGCTTCCATTTCAGTTCAAAAGTCTGCAAAATCTATACTATACATACAGAAAGTTTCATGAGAAAAAGCGTGAGTATCTATGTAAGCATTGTAATAGAATTAATATATCTCAGTTGCCTGAAGAGATATAAAAAAGTTGTCAACTGATGAAATGTTCAGTATGTAATTCTGCACATTTCATCAGTTTATTACTTTTTGATATCTCCACAGGCAGGTGAGATACATCGTCTTGAATAGACGGTATTCACGGTTGTTTGTTATTCAGGCTGTGAAAAAAATGATTTTTTTCCGTTTTTTTTTTCGTTTTTTTACGTCAAAAAAGCTCAATTCAGCGGTGTAAGAAAACGGAAAACAAACATACGCTGAATAGCCCCATAACTTTACCGCACAGGTGTTTTTTTTTGTCTCACAAAATGCGTTTAGGCCTCCAAAGCCTGACAAACAGAGTTGAGCGGAAGAGCTCAATGGAAGAACAAGGAATAATTTTTTTTATCTTTTTTAGAAAATTTTTTCATGAAATGTGATCAACTGACGAAATGTATAGCAAAGTGAACTGTGCTCATAGAAAAATAATTGTAAATTTAGCTTTTCATACAAAAAAGTTATTCGAGTTGTTCCGTGAAAAAAGGAGGGCTAACGGAAGACGGAAGGAATAACTTTTTTGTATGAACAGCTAAATTTACAATTATTTTTCTATGAGCACAGTTCACATTGTTATACTTTTCGTCAGTTGATCACATTCCATGAAAAAATTTTCTAAAAAAGATAAAAATTTTTACGTGTTCTTCCGTTGAGTTCTTCCGCTCAATTCTGCTGACAAAGTTAAGATTCTCATCGAAACAAATAGCCAGTGGTTTCAGAAAAGTGAGCAACAATACTTATAACAATAATACTTCTCAAAAGTGGGGGCGAAAGAAGGAAAAAGGTATATTTGTTACTACTCACTCAACAGGAAACCACCAAAACGGAGAGAGAAAGACGCAGAGAAGTAGTGGTACGCCGCCGCGTTTCGGTTGCTATGGAACACGAAAATAGTGGGCGAGAAGCGGTGCGGAAAGCGAGAGAAACACTAATTAGGAGGTGGGAAAGCGCACGGGAAAATGCCATCGATATTCTGGTAATTGGATTGGAGCACACACACACTCACGTCAGTGTGTTATTCGGGGCTTCACGGCGTCAGCAGTTTGGTCAGCGGGCGGACTTGGATTAGTGGGCTAACAATGAAAGAGTGACGTTCCGCTTGAACCTTGATCACATTGAAAAAGTTGGAGAGAATTAAAGAAACCGAAAAGGAATATTGTCAAGGAAGCGTGAAGTGCTTTTGTGTTTCAGCTGTTATTGAAAAAAATTTTGAAAAAGTAGATTGAAAAAAGATTGGAACAGTTGAGATGTTAGACTTATTCGGCAAAAGTTTGAGGAATGCTTTGAATTACAGGACTTGGATTTCAAGGCTCCACGGTCTCCAGAGCTGACAATATGGGCGTGGCCTCGGCGGCCAAATGGCGTTTTCACGAATTGAGCAGGTTTTCTCTGATTTTTTTGCTCAAAGGCGATGAAAAATGCATGTTCGACATGAAAACACACTAATTCTCACAGAATTAATGACGTTTTGGCGCTCATTTTTCGCGGATTTTTTTCGCGGACGCTTTCTTGACCGTTTTCAGACAGAGTTAGTTTTGAGAATGATAAATCACGTAAATACGAGCATTTTGAGCGCTCGCACCGCGAAAAATACCGAAAAGCAACTGAAATTTACGCAGTTTTAGCCAAAAACCTTAAAACGGATAAATGTGATTTGCGACTTGACCAAATTTAACGCTCTTGCGCTTAAAAAATTCGTAATAGCCTATACAATCGGTGTATCGAGAGACAAATGAGAAATTATCGGTTTTTCGTGGCTAATCTGGCAAAAAACACAAATTCTGCTAATAGACGTACTATTTTTTTTGACCGTGATGTACTATTTTTTACTCGAAACAGAAACAGTAAAAAGTTTTTGCTAAAAACAGATGAGAAATGGGAGTTCAACCATCAGTTTTCGCTCTCTATGTAAAATCCATCGCAACTCACCACAGCACAATCCATGGAGAACAGAACGAAAAACGAAATGGAGAGGTACAACAAACAATAGAAAGAGTATCCAGCGACCTAACTTTCCTGGATATAGACAGGTCCTGGTCGAAAAGAATTTGTGACTCTAGTGACGCACATGAAAAACATCTGAAAGTCACTTTTCATCTTTTCAAAAAAAAAAACATAAAATTTCAGTACTTACAAGAGAAATCCTGGCGTTTCAGAAACTTGGATTCAGCTCAATGGTATGTGTGTATTACTTTTTTTACATTTTGACGATATTGCGATTCAGGGTGATTAACAAAATTTCAGAAATTTCACATACCGCACCTCCAGAATTTCTCTTGTAATTACTGAATAGTGAGACTACTGTTGCCTAGGAGTATCTCTGGCATTTCGTTATTAATCTAACGGCGGCCTAATAAGATTGATATGATAATTAGATTGATAAATTGTCTAGCTAGATTAATAAATTGTCTAGCTAGATTAATAAATTGTCTAGCTAGATTAATAAATTGTCTAGCTAGATTAATAAATTGTCTAGCTAGATTAATAAATCTTCTAGCTAGATTAATAAATCTTCTAGCTAGATTAATAAATTGTCTAGCTAGATTAATAAATTGTCTAGCTAGATTAATAAATTGTCTAGCTAGATTAATAAATTGTCTAGCTAGATTAATAAATTGTCTAGCTAGATTAATAATTTGTCTAGCTAGATTAATAAATCTTCTAGCTAGATTAATAAATTGTCTAGCTAGATTAATAAATTGTCTAGCTAGATTAATAAATCTTCTAGCTAGATTAATAAATCTTCTAGCTAGATTAATAAATTGTCTAGCTAGATTAATAAGTGCTCAAATCAAGTTTCACGCGTTTAGATCATTAACTTTCTAATTAGATTAATATCGAATCAAGGCTCCCTGTAATTCTAACAGTTCGCTTCCCGACAATATAAAATGCAATGGTTCCCAATACAATGTGTCAACAATCCGCTCTCTCTCTCTCTCAATTGGCCACTGTCCATCGGCCCGTCACAGATTGTGCACATCCACTTGACAATTATTGCAAGCTCTCTCGTTCCCACCCAAAGTTCAATCATCTCACGCTCCGAGTGACGTTGGCTCACAACTTTTTGAATATTATGAAACTGTACTCGTACGTTGCGAAAAAGCTCGTCGATCTAACGCTTGAAATGTTCAAGAATCCAGCTATGACTAACAACTCCATTTTACTGTTTCCCTATACTTTTTTAAAAAATGAAATAACCCTTCAAGGAAGGCAATCTTCGCAGCATTCGATGTCTTCACTTTTAATAAAACGTCGGCGTTCTCTAAAGTAGCAACAAAACTGCGAGCAAGCTTTGGAATGTCTCCTCGAATTCCTCGCCATAAGTGCCCTTTCCCCCGTGTACAGTCTATCCCGTTTGTGGCCGAACAGACAGACCACTTGACGGCTCACGTTAAGATTTCAATTCCGTCTCTTGATAAGTGCACAACGTTTTCACGATCAAGTTTCCGTTGACTTTTTCCTATTTTTTCTCTAAAATATAGCCGTTTCAAATTAAGAACAAACTTCGTTTTTTTCTGCGATGAATAAATGAAATGAGAGTAACAACAATCGTTTCAAAATACTAAACACCATTTTTGCAATTGTTACGGCAGACGAATGCTTCCGCGAAACTTCTTTTTTTCTCTTTCAAAATCAATAACATCTATTACTATTTTTGATGGTTGCGAAACGTAAGAGTTGCGAAAAATCGATAAAATTGAGAAGAACAGCGAAAAGACTCTTTCTTTGCTTTTAAAGATCGCTCTGACACAAATAACGCGAAAACTATCGTGTTTTTTCCAAGAAAAAAAGCAAAAAAAGGAGAACAGTTGCGCGGCGCTCGGTAGGTCAAACGGGTCACAAAATATAGGCATGCGCCTTTAAAGTGACCGTACTCGAGAGGTCGGCCTTCAGAGCGTGTTTACGAGTGTTTTGATGGACACGCGATCACGTAAACAGATCATCGGAACACGGGACCGTCCATTCTGTGAGAACCATCTTTGAAAAAAAAAAACGAAACCGCTCACTCATTTGTCCTTTGCGAGTACTCGATGATTCTTTTTATTCTCTTCGTTACTCTCATTGAACATCTCTGTCATTCCCGCAAACCGTACATCATGAACCCGGAACTCTACAATAGTCAATCGACAAAATTTCACTTCCAAGGTCGTCCCTCCCTCGCCTCCCTTTTTCCCCTTTTCCCTTTCTCACTCGCCTTTTGTTACGAGGTCATGTAATCCCGTTTCTTTACTGAAAACGCTGACATCAAGACATACTTTTGATGAAAGTTCGATATTTTCCCATTTCCAATCCATCTTTGACCAATCCAATTTTCACTTTTTCGCACTTTTGAACGTATCAATTTACGTGTCACTTTTATGAACTTTTCGCGGAAATATAAAGCGAGGATGGACTGTAGTTTTGTAGGAAACTCAACATGAAAGTTGTGTTCCATTTTTCTTGCGTAGAAAAAGAAGAATAGAAAGCTAATCGATCGATGCTATTAGCCGTTCTAAAATATGAAATCTTGTAGATCCAAAAGTCCGGTCCCACTTTCTCACTTTCATTTTCCCGAAAATGATGATCGATGCCTCCCGTTTTCTCATTCGTTTCGATTGACTTTTCGTTCCTTTTTCGAAGCCCACAATATCCGCGTTTTCATTGTTTTTAGCGAAAAAATCTAGCCTGAATAGGGAAAAAAGAGAAGGATAATTTGCATTCATTGAAATAAGAGAAACACATTGCGTAGGCGGAATGACGACATTTTTGCATGTAGTGAATGAATATAAAACAGATATTCCTCTTCTTTTCAATGAATTCATTCGGTTGAAAGAGCCTAAAACGACATCTTATCCTTACAAAAGCGGAAGCAACTAATTTCGGAACCC